CACCGGCAAATATTCACTCGATGAAGACCCAATAACCCTACAACTTCGTAAATTTATCATCTTGGAACCAAATAGGAGTAAAGTGTATACAAACGACGACTTCAATTCATTGAAAATCGTTCAAGACCTCCCATAATCAACAGAAAGACCCAAAACCCAAAATCTAACTACTTCAAATAAAAGTATATTACAATAATAAAATTATCTTCAGAACAACAGGGAAAACAACACCAATTAAGTGAATGCAAAGTACCAACTACCCACCAATTAATCAACGGAAAATTTTAAAAATTCAATAAAAGACTGCTAAATAAATGAACCAATTAATAACATAATTGGACAACTTTCTATGCACTTTTTAAGTCTAAAGACGTATTGTGAATTATCATTGTGTTAAGCTAATATGTCATAATAAATAACAATGTCATCATCAGATGATAAGTGTTATTATGAGTTGAAAAACATTGCTTTTACATAAGTAATTATGCATAAAATTCATAAAGGAACAGTATAACGTTTAGACGATAATGAAATAGTAGCGGGTTTTATGGTATGTCCTTTTATATATGAAATTTGTAAAGTTTTCTCGTTTGGTCTCTCTTTGGTTTGATATGAGAGAAGCATAAAACGCTTTAACATAAAGCAATAATTTTGATAAAATGATACAATATTTTACAGTTGTCGTCAGATAATGATAATAAAGTGGTTTGAGACGTCCTAATGACAATTGTGAAACATCAACACTTTCTTGACAATTATTTAAGTTTAAGAAGACCATCATAGTCGTAAGAAGTGGACGTCAATAAAGTTTCCCCAGTTCGGCTTGAGTAAACGGAGTAAGTCGGGGCCGGTTGGTGGGGGTTTGAAAGCAAGTGGATTGGATGCACCGAGAGACCCAACAGTTAGTTTACCAGTTGGGTCCGTCCGGCAATTCGAAAGACTTAGCGCGTCGGACCTTTCTCCCCCCACCCGACCCAACAGAAGAATACCCCAATCTAGTGAAAAACCGGCCGGTTGAACCTGAGAACTCTTCCCTCTCCTCGGCCATCTAGCAACGCACGCTCTTGCCTCTTGGACATGACCGCCATTTGTACAAAACCGGTCGATATGCTGTGGGCGGAAACGGAAAGGCAGATGTCTCCTGCACGACTCCCCTCTCACCGGCGGACAATAGTAGCATAATTTCGATCGCTGGGACGTTTTTGTTTGGAAAACGGCAACGCTACGAGAAGAATGATAAGTTTTTCCCCATAGACAATCCTGGGGGAGAAGGGAAAAAAATTTGCACAAAGCTATGATCAATGAACTAAAATCTCCTACAAACCATGACCAGCGGTCAATTTTGGCATTTGAAACCCACGTTTTGGTTAAATATGTCTTATTGAACATTTTGTGTTAACATGAAAATCCTGGCCTGAAAAACCCTAAATGTTTCACCCATTCTGTCAAACATTAAACTTTGGAAAAAATTCACCATTCAAGTTGGCAATAAAGACAAAATAAAAAATAACTACCAAAGCTAATATATCAGTAATTATATATTATATTATTATCAATATGAAATAAATCGCTTAGAATTATCCAATAAATTTATAAAAATAATAACAGAAACATTTACTCATATTAAAAAAAAAATTACACAAACCACTTGTTTCTGTTAGGAATTTAAGTAACTGAACAAATAATTATGGGTTTTTTTCAATGATCTAAGCATCATGGAAAAAGCGATTGCAGGATTTCACCAAAAAATTCGTACAATATTCAGCCTGAAATTTGAACTTGACAAATGGAAACTTGTGTTTCTAAAATGTGCCAAAACCGTAAGGTTCTTTGGGACAAAATCCATTATAGGAGTAATTTATTGAGCCTACAGAACAATTGATAAGGACAGGGAAGTCAATCGAACCTACATAAAAAACACGAAATAGACAATATTTACTTAGTAATAAAAGCATGACTACAAAGTGTGAAAGTGACTAAACTTCTACTATAGCACCTCCCTTCCATTCCCTTGCCATTTATTGAAACGCGAACAAATTAGCAACTTTCACAGTAATGAAAACTAAACAAACCGAGACAGCCGGACTGAAAATACGCCCAGCTTACCCAACTGAAAAAATAAATTAATGCGGACACAATTTGGCAAATTGGTTACGAAACAAGATTTGAGCTATAATGACTGACAAAACTTTTATTACAAATTAATTAATTAAATTTAAAAAAGTCAGAAACTTACAATCAAGTAAATATTACAAACATCATGGGCTTAGGTTTTAAACAGAATTAATCCAATAATAATACATCTATTTTTTTACTTTTTGTTTTAACTTTTTATATCATTTGATTTGTAATGTCCTTAATAACACTATTATCATTAAAAAGTTTATTGCTCCATTATATGACAGACGTTAGTAGAGATATTTTGTAATATTTCACAATGTAACGATATTGCTACTCAAATTGACAGATAAAAGATGGAAATTATAAATTAATTGACAGATAAAAGATGGAAATTATAAATTTATTATTCAATATAAATATGTTGAATTGCCGGCATAATTTCATTTTGGGAAGATTTAACAAACTTTTCAACAGCGGTCAGAAAGGCAAACTTTAATCGAGAGAAAAGTTAATAAATTTTATTTTATAGACTGTTAATGTTAGATAAACGAAGAAAAGTGTATTGATTCAAGCTCGCGTAGAGTCAACTATTACGGGACTATTACGGCTTATTACTCCAGCGTTTTATTAGCAAGTTTGTCAATAAAGGATTAAGTTAAAATAATGGAACCGTATTTAGTAAAAACAAACAAAAAGGGCGTTATTCAATCAAACAAACGATAATTAAAGGCCGATGGTGAAAAAATGCATAGTGCATTTCGGGTGTCAAAAATAAATGAGTCATGACGTTTATTTAGACCGAGAAGATTGGCGAGTGTTATTCTCAATTTTAGACGAGAAACACAAAAACAGAAAATGGGAGGTGGTCAGAAGGGTTGATTTGATACAATATACTGTTCATACATTATTACGACAAAGAAACAGAAACGCTCAGGACCTGTACAGACTAATCGACGACAAGGATAACACAGAAAGCCAGAAAAAACATTAAAAATCATCACTTTCAAGACACAATTTCAGTTTGAATTTCGAACAAGCTAATAAGACAATATTGAGAAATAATGCGCGCTAACATACCTTCCACCCACAATGTAACAAGGCGTACAATAAATATTGACTTCTAGGGTGTCATATAAAAAATGAATTAAGTAAATTAAATAAACGAGAACCGATTTGCCATCGCTTGGGATTTCCTATGATTGTAACACGATAAAAAAAAAGTTCCAATACGATAATTAAAAATCCTAATCATGATCAAATTCCACGATGAACTTAGATTTATACCTGTAATAAGCAATATTCTTACACATTGGACGATATTTAACAAAATGTTGTAAAACAAGGAATTGTATTATATTCCGTGAAGGTATGGTGGTGTTTTATTTAATAATTACTCCATTATGTTTCTGCACCGTTTCAAAAATTGGTGAAACAGTTCAAAAAAATAAAGGAGTAAACATGGAATTGAACAGAAAAACGATTCTTGTTTGATTACTGGAAATTGCTTATAATGAATTAATGAAATAAATAAAAATGAAGAAATGAAGTTATGGTGTGTTTTGCTTAATGATTACTCCTTTATTTTTTCTGAAATGTTCCACCAGTTTTCCAAATATTGGTGGAGCAGGTCAGAAAAATAGTCTCATGGAATAATGGATCAGCAAAACGGTTCCTATTTTTGCGTACTGACGAACTGGTTGAATTTTTTCAAATTTGCGATCATTTGATCACTGTAAATTATTTATAATGAATAAAACAAATTCACTTTCGTTGAAAATTATAATAAATGAAATTAAATAAAAATAAATAAATGAAGGTATGGTAGTGATTTGCTTATTAATTATTCCTTTATTTTTCTGAATTGTTCCACTAGTTTTTCAAAAATTAGTGGAACAGTTCAGAAAAATAAGGAGTGAACATAGAATTGATGAGCAAAACGGTTCTTAATTTTGAATATTCTCGACCTATTGGAATTTGTTCCAATTTACGATTTGTCTACTGGAAATTACTTATAATGAATAAAACGAATTTTATTTTTGTCGAAGATTATACTAAATGAAATTAATTAATAATAAATAAATTAACAAATGATGGTGTTTTGCTTAATAATTAATTGTTCCTTTGTTTTTCTGAACTATTCCACCAGTTTTACAAAAACTAGTGGAACTGTTCGGAAAAATAAGGAGGGAACATGGAATTGATGAGCAAAACGGTTCTTAATTTTACACATTGACAAACTGCAGGAATTTTTTCAAATTTTTTGATCATTTGATCACTGGAAATTATATACAACAAATAAAACAAATTTTATTTTTGTTCAAAATGAATATAAACGTTCTTTTTAACGGAAAATTCCATGTCAGTCTTTGAGACTGAACGAACGGTAAATATGGAGCTTTCGACTGGGGGGGAAAAAACATGAGATTGTAATGTACATAAGATAACCTAAAAAAGTAACCTTATATATGCAAACTAACAATGAGAAAAAAATTATTTCCAATTCTCTTTAGAAAAGGGTGATTGTGAACTAACAATTAAAGAGTTTTAGGTTATCAACAACTAACAGTTTCATTATTTATTTACAAAAACAAAACCATAAAAGAATGCTGAACGAGCCGAGTTTTAAAATTAATCTTGAACTCGCCGGTCAAGGTATCAAAAAGAAATAAAACGAATGTATAGTCGGAAAATGGAAAAATTTTAATAATAAATAATAGGTTTATAAGAGTTTGAGTATGGCGTGTCTAAGACAGGCTTTCCCACTTTTCAACGGAAACTTGTTTATAAGGATCTTACATGAAAAGTGAGTTAGTAAACGTGAATAAGAAGTACGGATGGTATTTGGTTTTAAGTCAGACGAAAAATACGATATCACTTACCTCAGAACTGAGTGGAAAAAGGGTCGAATGTAAGCCACGCTGCTGTCTGTCGGTCAACGGCCGGTTCCTTAACACACAACTTCCCAACTAAAACTATCCCTTTCCCAGGATAAGAAGGTGAAACGAAGAACTCGCGCCGGAATAGAGGAGAGCCGGTGTAAAGTCCTGCACTCTCCGGTCCTGTTTGCTATTTCTCCTCCGCCTCGGCTTTACAGAGGAACGTTTTCGACTTCGGACGAAACGTTACCACGGCGTTCGGGTGCGAGTCCCCTTTACGATTTCGTTCAAGATGGCCGCCAATCGTCTCGCGGAATAACGCAGTGCGCGATATCCTACGAGACCACTACCCCCACTACTCGAAATCAACATTTAGGTGTGTACAATTGATGAAAAAAGTTTAAATTTACAAAAAACAAAGAAGAAAATTAATTAAACAATTAACATTAAAAGAAAATAAAACACTGAAATAGTTTTAAACTGTCAAAACGAAACCCGAAACGTTGTTAACAAAATCTAACTCAAGTTTATAAATGCCGGAGGGGCGACGTCAAAAAAACGAAGCAAAACAAAAACGAAAAGAAAATTATTTCTCTCACAAAAAAAAACTATTTCAACAATAAAAAAAGTTTAATCCTATTTCATTCATGCTATTCCATCTTGCTTATACAAAATTCATTATTGAATTATTATGAAGGCATAAAAATGAATTACGTTTAATTAAACTTTGTAAAAACTTGAATTACCATTATTTCCAAGATTTAAACGTCAGTTGAACGTAAAATAAACAGTAAATGTGTAAATATATACTGCTAGTATGTAAATGTATATTACTGCACTTACAAATATTATTGATTTTTTTATGTCTTGTTCGACCCGAAACTTCCCGCTTGAGAACTAACAAATTTGAATTTTAAGCTGAGGCCGGGAATCGAATTGCATAAAGAATGTAATTTATCCTTTATCCTTATTACATTACGGGAAAATTTCCAAATAGTGCAGCCTTACAGAATAGTTAACATAATAACATTTATGTGCAGTAAGAAATACATATAAAATTTGTAAACAGCCAAAAATATGTCAAGTGCAAAGTTAAAAGTAAGTATGGTACATAACACAAAACAAAATAGAAATTTAGTAGGAACAGCACAAATTATTTGTATTTGTATAGCTTCAAACTACAGCAGGCTTGAGAATCATCCACCCTGGGTGTTGGCAGTCCAGGGTCAGACCTCAACCTTATCCATTCAGCCACCGAGGTTGGGCTCCTGGGAGGCGGGTACTGTCAACAACCAGGTCAATTCAGCTCCCAACCCATCCAGTTCCAAACCTATTCATACTCGCGTTCATGTTTAAATACATTTACTTTTATTTATATACCATTCTTTAATTAGAGTGATGAAGTACTCGATATTCCTCCATCACCCTTTACACAAATTATAAAACTGACCTAATTGAGGGTCGATGGGGTATTCAATATTTTGCCGTCGGCTATGTCACATCATACATTCATGCAAATTCACTCTCAACACAACCTTTACTCATATTATACAACTATATAATTGAGGGTTTGCCGTCGACCCTCTCACATCACATTTTCATGCTAATAAATACATTCACTCTTAACATAAATTATTTATTGCACTATTATTATTGCAAATTATTATCACACTTTATTCAAATTTATTTATTTATTATAAAGGCAAAAAATCAAAATTATACAATATTATAATTGGTCAAGTGGACCAGCGGATTAGTGAATTTAATGAATTATACAGTAGTTACAAATATACTCAAGAGAGATAATAGAGAGATTCATTATGAAAAATAAGTAGTTAAAGAAACAACTGAACTAGACTTACAATAAATAACAAATAATTGGAAGTATGAATTATTAAATAAAATATAGCTATAAATATATGTAGTTAACATAATTGACAGAATACAAACAAAAGTTAACTGAATAAAAATAATTAACAGTAATATTCAAGTTAACTAGCATAATATAGTAATGAATAGAATTAATAAAGCATTGTAAATAGTGATTTATAATTTTATGTAAAGTGTGGTTGAGATGAAAGCATTAATGTGATGAGCAGGACTTGAACCCAAGCCTTCTGGTAAATACACTGCTGTTTTAACCATGCTGTAGGTTGAGATGATTAGTTGGTGTCTTGGGAGTACCGAAGTCACGATAGCTCAAGTTGTTAGAAGAACAGTGGCATATTGAGGTCGTGGGTTCGAGTCCCGCTCATGACACTAATCTTATCATCTCAACCACACTTTACATAAAATTATAAATCACTGAATAATTGCTCTGGTTAAGTAATAGGACCAATTAAAATATAATAAAATTGTAAATATTAAACAGGGCTATGTGTTTACAGAACATCAATGAGATCTGAACATATATATCTTGAGTGCAGAAATTAATTGATTTTTAAAAATGCTAATATTATCTTGGTATGAGAGATGTGGATAGGCATTTTGTGTGCATTAATATATTCATGGGATTTTCTTTTATGTAATTAATCTTATGGTCACAAATGAAGAATATTTTGTTTCCAGTATGAGAACTGGGGTACATTGAAGTTTAATTTAGAAAGTAATTAAAGAGACTCAATTTAATTATTTGTGCGTTAATAAAGGAAAATGATGTCTAGGTAAATTATTCTCTTTTCTAAAGTTAGGATACCAAAGGAATCCAAAATATTAGTCATATATAGCCTGAGGAATTTTAAGTTTATAAGCTGCATATCTCAGAAATTTATTCTCAACCTTTTCTATTTGTTAGTTTTATTTATTGTTATGTGGGGACTAGATTACACAGGAATAATCAAGATGGGATCTAACAAACGAACAGAAAAGTATTTTTGACATAGGTGAGAATTGAAATTCAGCTAACTACTGAAAATGACACCAAGATCTTTAATTTCAGAAAGTTTTGTCAAAGGAGCATTACCTATAGTATAATCATAATTAATAGAGTAGGGTATACGAATACTACCATACAACATTACATTTCTAAATATTTAGCACCGTTGAGTTCTGTTGACACCATTCAAGAGTAGTAATTAGGTCAGACTGGAGATCAAGATTATCCTGAAGGGGTTTGATGGTTTTATAAAGCTCCAAATCATCGGCATAAAAAACCAATCCTAACCACTTATTGGGTCTGTCTTCACTCACGGGATTGTTGAAAAACTCAAAAGTGTTTTGGCATTGCGCCATCTTCAGTGAGGAGTTCCTCAAACTTTTTCCTGAGTAGTTCAACTAACTCAGACTCAAAACAGACCTAGTAACAGTAGCAACCAACAACCAGGAAGCAAATATTGGAAAATAACTACTGAGCTTACCCCAGGATGTCATTCCAGGGTTACACTTCTTCTAACCTCTCCACTTCTTGAGCACAGCTTAGCTGTATAAGAAAGAAATGTGCAAAATGGGCACTATGATCATGTCATTAAAAAAGACTGAATAATGTTAAGCCGTTGAACATAATGTTCCCAGAAAAAGCTGACATACATAGTCATAATCATAGTAGCTGATATACACAGTTTTAATTATAGTAGCTGACAGACATACTCATAACCACGGTAGCTGACTTACATAATAATAATCACAGTCGCTGGCATACATAGTCATAATCCTAGTAGCTGACATACATAGCCATTTAATTTTTTGCCAGTAATTTATAGTTACACTTAGCATGCATGATCTTTAATGCTTAAATACATATTGAAAAAAGCCACAAAGATGACAGAGCACTCTGCTGTGTGTATCTGCCCAATGAAAATAAGTGGTGGTAAGAATAGGAAGCATCATCACATATGTTTTACATCAACAAATACATAATTTCAGCTGCGTCAGCCATTGAGTCCATTAATCTGCAAATGACAGCATTCGACTACGAGAAAAACTGATTCAAAGAATTATTTCTGTTAAGCAGTTTGAAAGAGAGATATCAGGAAATGGCAGATATCAAGGCTTTAGAGCATCCAACCCTTAAGGTAAACTTTTAAAAGGTCAAACGGAATATAAATAAATATGTATATTTTCTATAGGTGCCTTATGAGATCTTAAATAAGAAATTCAGAGCTGCCCAGAAACAACTCGACAGAGAAGTGTCTCACGTTCAATCTGCTGCTGTTGAGGTTGATAAAGGTCTCTCGGTGGATAACTGTGCACCACATGACATCGGAAAGCTTCTTGGCGGAATGGTCGAGAAGCTTCAAGTACTCAAAAGAAAAGTAATAAGAAATAAAAATAATCATATTTTAAAATAATTAATTGATTGAATGTTAGGCGGAAGAAAGTATTTGTGAAGAACTTCAAGCTGGTTATGTCTGTAAAAGGCGTCTTGAGCATTTGAAAGAGCATACGACTGGATCTCAGTGGTGCCGTAAACGTCTTGACCGTATGTTAGTCGAGTATTTTCTCCGTAAGGGTTATTATAGCGCTGCTTCAAGCCTAGCTCGTGCTTCCGATCTGCAGGATCTCACTAACATCGGTACATCTAATCAGTAACAATTATAAATAATCATTTGAACCACTTTCCTTTGTAGATGTGTTTCTTGTATCGAGAGAAGTTGAGAAGTCTCTTATGAACAGAGAGACCTCGAAATGTCTCGCTTGGTGCCATGATAACAGGTCAAAGCTGAGAAAGCTCCATTCGACAATGGAATTCAATCTCAGGGTGCAAGAGTTTGTAGAATTGATCAAGGCTGATCGGCGACTTGACGCTGTAAAGTTAGTGTGCCCATTTGACAAATTTATCCCTTAAAAATATAGTTTATTACAGCTGGCATTTTTTCAGACATGCCAGAAAATATTTTTGCTCGTATGAAGAAGACCAACTTGTGGCAATACAACACTGTATGGCCCTCCTTGCTTTTCCTGTCACTACAGGTATTCTATATTATTACAGTAATTACTAATAATATAACAATAACCAAATATAGGACTAGTAAAATTGGAATTTATTATTCAAGTAGGTTTACATTTCAAGAGTTATTTTATTTTAGTTTAGCTATTTTCACTTTTGGGCAGTGCGCTCACTTATTTTTCAACCGGATGCAATGTAAATTTTATAAGCTGCCTTGGCCACCCTAGTTGCAAGCATAAATTCATATAATAAGCATACATGAATTACGGGTTTTGAAGACGAGAGAAAGAAAATATTTTATAATGATTATTTGGAGATCGTGAGATGCGGTCTGGTGTGACGTAGGTTTTAGAAAAAATTTTCTTTCTTTATCGTGCCAACGTTTCTATCTTTATTGAGATCATCTTCAGGGCTCAAAGTGTTTGTTTTCTGTGTAATTGTGTCATTCTTGTGTGTTGTGTTGAGGGCACTCTCACACTGAAGATGATCTCAATAAAGATTCAAACATTGGTATGATAAAGAAAATGTTTTTTTAAAACCTACGTCACACCAGATCGCATCTCACGAACTCTGAATAAGCATTAACTAATGGTCTCTAAACACCACACATATTTTATAATTTACAGGCAACTGTCTAAGACGTTTCTCATTTATGAGCTCGTGCATTATCCACTTGGCATTACATACTTAATTCTCCTATGTAAATAGAAATGTGTTGTTGAATGTTGATTAACAGTGATAAAACAATAACAAATCAAAAACATTAAATTTTCTGGTTAATTGGTAGATTGTTAAATTGCTTGCGTATGAGGTATTTCTATTGCTTAGTAGTTCTCACCTTTCCTTCTGATCTAAAATACCATTGGTTTCAGTTGCAAGGACATTTGCTTCATTCATTTTCCTGCGAGTCTTGGAACATAACATGACATTGTTTTGCATTCCCAATTTGTTTAGCTTGGTATTGTAATAAGGACTTAGACTTCTCATGGTTTGCTGTTGTTGTTGATAGTTCGTGGTTTGAGTCTTGTTTGCCCTGCCTGCTCAAATTAGTCTTTGGGGCTATTGACATCTAGATAATTTCAGCCCCCAACACTACAAATGTTTGAACATAATTCCCATCTGAAAACACATCTCGTTTTGAGAGTGTGGATGAAAACATGTCCTTAGGAAAGGACCAAGCTCCCCTGGGATTTCGAGTGTATTCTCCCAGAGAGCTTTTGTGTCCCCCCCAGCTGGATAACGCTGAGAGCCCTTCTGGAAACCTTGTAAAAGGATAAAGTAACTAATAGAAAGGATTAACTTATTGAAACTCTGAGACATGCATATATTCATATATTCTGTAGTATATCTGTATAGTATAGCACTGTCTCATGACAGCAGTGATACAAGGTTTAATGAACCCTCCATCCAGGAACTTGATAGGGTCTGAAGCATGATGTCCTCGTCACAGATATGACACTTTGAGGAAGGCCTTCGATTTATCATGTGCAAGTATAAGCTGCACATGCCATAATCAATTGGTAATCACGACAGTAGTGTGAAACTCTTTATTTTTCCAACCCCAGCCTCAATAAACAACGTTTTTTTATTAAGAGTGGAAAAGAGAGATCCTGTATCATCCACTTTTAAACATTATTGTTGTGATCTTTTTCAATCAATTTTGAATGTGAAGACATTTTAGATTCATTTATTGCTATAACTATTTTCAACCATCTAATTAAAATTAATTATAATAAAATACCAAAATGTTGAATTTATTTATAGTTGAAAGTAAGTTTTAAAAAAAATCAATTGTCTCACCTTTAGTTAGTTGTTTCCATGCTTCCTGGATGGGTTATTATTGCTGCTTTAGTCTGTCAATATTCAGTGCTTGATCTGTGCTATCTCCTTTTTTGTTTTTACATATCAAGAAATCCCAGAAATCATCAAGCAAAGGCCAATGAAAGTACATTGATGCAAGCACTTATGAACACTCCTGTTTCACTTTTTATAAATATGTAAAAGTGAAACAACTGCTAAAATAACCTACAAATCCAGTACTGAAGATGGAGAAATGCTAATATATATCTGGCAGGGAGATAGGTATATCAGTAGCAGATCAGAAATGAACAAACTACAGGTTCATCACTTTAGAGGGTAAAAGCTTCAACAAGAAATCAGAAAGGAACTATTTTACACACATAACACTTTTCTATAAAAATATTTTATTTATTTTTCAATTTTTACCATCCAGTTCTTTATTTTGTTTACAATAACAAATATGTACTATTATCTCTGTTAAAATTATTTTAGAGTTGTCGCCATACAAGGAGCTTTTGGATGATGATCGTTGGGTAAGTTTAGTGGAGCAGTTCAGGCAGGAGAACTACAAACTCTTTCAGCTTGCTTCACAAAGTGTATTCACAGTTGCTCTTCAAGCAGGACTATCTGCACTTAAAACACCATATCCTTTTCTAAACATTTACGATTATTATGTTTTCAACGGTGTAAAAAGTAGAATTTTTATTTCAAATTATTTGTATCTGTAGAATAATTTGAAATTGTAAGATTGGTATGAATCCAAACGGTCCTTAACAATAAATACTCAGTGCTACGGCAGTTCCGAGACGCGGAACAAGTGCTGCCCAGTCTGTCAGGATTGGTTGAACGTTCTCGCTGAACCTTTGCCTTTCGCCCACTGTTCACACTCCCGTTTAATCTGTCACATATCGGGTCTGCCTCTGGACGAACACAATCAGCCCATGGCTCTGCCCAATAGCCGTGTCTACGGGCAACAGGTATTCTAACAATTGTAACTTTCAAGTTCAGAATTATCATTCCTCGTTTTTTCCAGTCGCTGTTACAAATGGCGTCAGAAAACAATGGTCAGATCATCTGCCCAAGGACTCAAGACGTGTTTTCTTACCAGAAAGCAGAAAAAGTTTATGTCATGTAATAATCATATTGAAAATTTAACAGTTAAAATTATAGAAGTATATGACTTTTTCATGAAAATGAAACATTCTATTGATTTTTATATAAGCAAAGATTAATAAAGTTTAATCTGTTCAATGATTGCTTTAATATTTATACCTATAGAGTTTTTATAATAAAATATTGTTTCTAAAATGTATGTAGGATCATAATTAAACCATAAAAGTTCCGTAACAACAATAAATATAATTAATCCACCTTTAATGAGAGAATTCTCATATATTTATTATCAATTAACAAAATATTTTCACAGACAATCCAGCTTTGCTTCTTGTAAAATAAATTGTTTTATATACATCAAATATACATCTTTAAAAATAAGTAAACAATGAAGAAGTTACAAAATAGTTTATACTGTTAAATTGATAGTGTTGCTGATACTTTAGACAAAGAAATGTAAAATATTTTTAATCCTACATTTGTATTTAACTTCCTGCTTGTAAGGTGTGAGTTTATTACTACTATTATTTTTATATAAGGGAGTGATTAAAAATAATAATAAGGGAGTGATTAATTAATAAAAAATATTAAAAAAATGTTTTCTATGATACCAATTGGTAAATTAAACATCAGAACTGCTATTTATTAATTAAATATTGAATTCTTTAGTAACAAATTGTGAATTATTATGATGAACATTGGATAGTCTTAAGGACTAACAAATTCAGAATTATGCAATCTTCTTCTATGTTGGTTTAAATAAAAACCTTTTACATCAACATTGCAAAAAAAAAAAATTGAAAAGCAAGTATAGCAATCATCTTGTTTCTGTCAATTTGCCATCATCAGTGGCTTGACTGCATGTTTTTTGTTAGTAATATCCTTTGTGTGCATAAAAAAGCATATAATTAATCCATAAAGACACTGAAAAGACAAATAGTTACCCCCTTCAATTTCTCCCAATGTAGAAAAATGACATAGCTGACCAAATAACACTCAGACCACTGAATGTGGTGAAAAGCTGCAAGATACCTGACACGCAAAATCATCAAGAATAATCAGGATGATTGTAGACCACCCAAACTGTGCGTTCACACTTTAAGTAAATATTAGGTTATTAACTAATTGATGTTTGCCATTTGTTTATTGATGTTTTGTAAAAGAATTTTTAAAATATTTTGTTATTATGGTTCATATAATTGTTAATGTTTTAATATCCAAATTGGTATGAATTTTAGGTTTATCATTTATATTTAGTTTTTTTTTTATATAGTTATCAATAACAAAATTTATATATTAAATTTCCATAATAATATATTTAAAAGCTTTTTATTTGATTTTATAAATTTTATCGCATAATTGGCCAACTAGTTAGTAGGATTTGATTATTTTTTTAAATAAGTGTACCTTCATTTTGTAATCGAAAATTGTATTTTTAACTTTTCAATAAAGTTTGTATAATTTTATTTTATCTTATGTACATTCAAACCTTTAGTTTACCTCATTGTAAGTGCAAATTATATTTTCAGAGTTTGTTATTCCCAGGAAAATAGTGTGGTACCTGATATTTCAAACCCAGGGCAAACTTCTTCTTCAAGCTTCAAGCACTCTTAATTATCTTGAGGTAATGTCACGGAATTCATTACAAAGGTTTTTGAGGTAATTCTGTTTGGAAGAAGGCATTTGGCAGCAGAATTGTGCCTTGGCATGCCAAGATTGCCATATTCAGTGTGGTCATCTGAGCTGTTATGCTATAGGGTTATGAGCAAAAGAAAAATGTTTATCAGAAATGTTTTTTCTTGCCTCTCCTTTACATGCTTCACCTTGAGACCGAGCTGGACACCACGTCATCTACTTAATGAGTCTCCAACTTAATTATAGTAAAAGTGGCTTCTTTTTTCCTTTTAAATGTAAAATAGCTGTTATGTAGTCAAGATTCCTTTAGTGTCTTATTTATAATTATCAAAACTATATTGTTAAATAAAATGAACACAATCCAACCCAATCATATTCAGATAAAGTTGGTTTATGATTTCTAAAAATAAATAGGAAGCTTAGTCATCTCACATCATCTGCATATCTGGTTATCTATTAGCCGAATTTCATTTTGTTATCTTCAGTGGTTCTGTACAGTGTTGATTTATTTAAGCTCAAATCTGCACGTGCACACTTGTACAGAATTGGGCCTATCACTTCTCGCAATCCACCGGCAATTCTAGCCTTTGTGATTTACAACAAATTAACATAGGCATTGAGAATTGGTGTAGGCAGTCAGACCTCAGTGTGTCCAGCCACTGAGGTTGGTATCCAGAGGCTATCAACAGCTATGTCATTTCAGCCTCCAACTTAAAACGTCTCTGATTCACACATTAAACCTATTCTTTAATACATTTTTTCCTGTTTCCATGCCATTCACTCAGGGTGATGGAGCTCTCGATATTCCTCCGTCTCCCTCTACTCATATTATATAAATAATTTAATTGAGGTTGTTGGTGTACTCAATATTGCGCCATTGGCCCTCTCACACTACATTCACACTAATAAATACATTCATTCTCAACATAGGGTCATGAAATTATCAGCATTATATCAATAAAACTTGGGTTGTTTCCTTCAAAAATACCAAGATACTCGCTGCACTGCTCAAGCACAATTAAATACTGGGTGGCATTCCTACATGCTCTCTATATGGAGCCTAGAAATGACATTCTTAAATCATGTGGGCCACCTGGAGCAATCTTTCTCTACATGCTGAACACATACATTGGCCCAAAAGTAAGTGTCCATGTGTCAACCTTGCATAACTTATTCTCAATCGGATGATGATGACCCTTCTTCTAGAGTGAGATCCTTTAAGGGGCCAGTGGGTCTGTATATCCCTTTTTATATTCCTGTTTTGTTTATATTGAGTTAGAATTTTTTTTTTGTAACTACAGAGGACTTTGGTGCAATGTGCCTGACAGTTAAAACCACCAAAATTATGCAGCTAAATATAAGCTTCAAGCAAATGGCCTTCCCTTACACATTTCACATATATGATCTAGCTCGTACAAAACGTCAAATTAAATTTCAGAAAAATTTGCTGATGAATTTAAAAAAGAATATTAGTTTTATTTGTAATTGATTATATGAGGTATAAAAATGTAAACAATCATGTCTTAAAAAGGTGTAATCAGTCAAGTAAGAATCAGAAAAATAATACACAATGTAAAATTTATACAGTAACGCCTTATTCACAATTTAAAGAGCATCAATCTGTTTTTAATACACCTTGTTTATGAATTCATCCATTCGAAACTTCTTCTTTCCATACAAAACATTAATTTGAGAAAAAATAACAATTTTTCAATATTTATTAGCTCTTATAAATAAATTGTTTATGTACCCAAAAACCAAATACACTTACATATTTTTCTTAAAATAATTGTACAAAAATTAAAAGTTATATTAATTGTACAAGGATAACTGTGAAATAAATTAATGAGGAATTTGAAGGGGGAAAAAAAACAAAAAACAATTTAGTTTTGCCCGTCCCTCATATATTTGCTTCTTTTTTCTCAATTTTTGTGTACTCTTTTCCTTTCCAGTCACAAATTACAATACACAAAGAGATCTAAGGATTCCAGAAATGAATTTGGAAACTCCTATTTCCATCTATTCAAACAGGGATAATAGTTGCACAATAAAAATTAAATACAAGTTTTTTTGTTTACGTTTGTTTTATGTGCATGTGTACATCACACATACAAAAATGCACACATATACACCTAAGAAATGTTATTGTTAATTGTATTATTATGTATTCATAGCACATTATTAATATACAAATATTCATAGAACATTTAGATTTGATCAACTTCCAAATCCACTTCCCTCACTTTTTAAACATCTTTTAAAAACATTGACATTTTTTGTTTTAAAGATGGGGTTGTTATTTCAGAACAGAAAGCTTATTTTCTATATACGTAAATATCATAAAACTACATTTAATAAGTAAATTAAAAAAAAGAGAAACAAAAATAACTGGCTTAAAGTAAAAAAGGAAAGTAAATCTTAATCTATATATATTATGATAAAGCTACCAACAAACAGTGTTTTAGGAGAGTATTAGAGTGCAAGTGTAGATGAAACAGAGAGAATAAGCAAAATTAATACTATTTAAAAACACCATCTTATGGTTTTCATATAATTTTAAACAAAAATACCATCTTCTTTTGAAACATCAATCAACCCTACTTGAAATTATGAGTACAAACCATTCAAATACCATATTCATAAGTTAACAAAGCAAAATGTTAATTACACATTTTTCATAGGGGAGCAAATAACATTTTGAAATATAATAAAATTTGTGTTTAACTGTAAGAATGAAATAAACGAAGCTTGACGTAATATCACGTTTGTCAAGGATCAAGTAAATAAATAAAAAATAAAAGTCAATTATAAACTGATAAATTCATTTGCATAACCCACAGGTTTCTTACCATATTACTTTAATGCTATACATATTAGCCTTACATTTATATATTTTTTCTTTTAAGTTAACATCTAATTTTTTAACTATTTACATTAATTAATGAAGGCTTTATAAAAATGTTTGCCCTCTCCGTTCTTTTTTTTAAATACATTTTTATTTTTTTCCCTTTTTTGACACATTTTTTAACTTTAATTTTTTTTTAAATTTTGTTAAATTGGTATGGAAAAATGAACGCTATTTGACAAAAAACTACAATCTACAATTCTGTTTTAAATCTAAATAGACAAACCTTTTAATAATAATAATAATAATAATGTAATAATAAAAAATAATAATGAAAAGGAAGGTGAAGTAATTTTAATCCACAATTGAAGTTTTAGGCCTTTTCAAAGTGTATTTGCTATATGAATATAGTACTAAATGATTGTGTACATGGAATCAAAATTTGGCCAGTGGCAAAAGGGCAATTTTTCATACTGATATCTGAATTTTTGATTATTTTATTTTATTAATGTTATCCTTTTTAATTTGAAGTAGGTCCACTAGAAATTTTCCAGAAAACCGTATGAACCAACTGGTATTCCATACAACTGTAACATATCAATGGTTGCATTTGTCTCGCCAAACTTTATGGTACACCATAATCCTTTCTCAATCCTTTTCCTGTTGGGTACCAAGTGTGGTCGCTCTACGGCTGGTCTCTTCATAGTGCTCGCATCCCTTCACGTATTCCTGATGAGATAATATAAAACCATTGTAAAAACACATTTTAAAACAATATTTACACACAAAAATTTGCCTATTCTAAAAGAATTAACAAATTATCCTCTTTCAAATAAAAGTAAGGTTCAATGAACTCAATATAATGGAGAAATCTTGTAAAATTTCCTCATAAAAATTAGACACATGCACACGCAAAAAGACTATAAATTTGGAGATGTTAATGTCACAAAAATGACTCTGACCTTGCTTAGTCAGATCAACGATTTAAACATATACTGAGTCAGTCAATTCATACGTAATGTAATATGTAAACAGCGTAAATTATGTGGTAAAAGTTATGTTGGTTAGTTTTGTAATTTTTAAAAATTAGATCATACACACTGATCAAGGCAGTTATCAATTTTTAAATAATAATTTTATTTAGGAGTAAAAATAATTATTTAATTCATTTCAAGTTTTTTAGAAATATAAATTTATTAAAAAACACGCCTTTTGTTAATTTTAGTCTTTACATGCAAATAATATATTATGTAATAAACATTATTGTATAACACAATATTAGTTACTAAGCACAGTGCTGAGGAACTGTAAACACAATTATTGTTAAAGCTTAAAATATAAAACTTAGGTTTTATATTGCATTTCTAAAGTTTCATATAGCCCGCCCAATTTCCCATTAACCCCTTACTAAAAAAGGTTGAAAATCAGCAGAATAAATTAGTTTGAGGAATTATTTTCATTGTAATATTTAAAAACAACTTTGTAAAAGTTAAAGAGACACCCAATGTTAATGTATTTTCTTTTTTTAAATCAGGCAAACAAAAATCAAGGTTCATCGAATTCCATTAAAAAAAGTAAAAGATCGACATTTTAACATAGATGAAATAGAATAACTTTTAAAAACTGTGTTTTTAAATTCACATGTGTCAGAAAATAATAACAAAATTCAGAAAAAAAGTAGTTCACGTAAAAGGTCAAAAAAAAGCTACGATGGATGGTCTTTTGTCCGTGAGATTTCTGCAAGACTATCACTTTTGACCGAACTGATCGTATATGATGTTACTAATAAATAATTTCAAAGGCAGAGCTTTGGACTACATTCACGATTCCTTATTTAAGAAGAAAAACTAATTGAGACAGTTTGAAATTAATATTTAATTAGATTCTAATTAAGAGATTTTCTAATATATCGGGAATTTTTTCTTTGGATTCTTCGTTAAATGCAACGACTCTCTCCTGTGTAATGTAGTTCTCACATTTGCCTCACCTGTGGATGGGTAATTCTTCAATAATCAAAAATTATTTGTAAGAGGAAACTAAAATGAAAACTAAAAGCAAAAGAAGAAAAAAAAAATGAAGAGGAAATAGATTTCTTAGAGACTAAAGAAATCTAAATCCATTTGAATTTATGGTTATATGAATTTTATTCACAAAATTTTTTTTGCGAAACGTCTAAAATTGTTGGCATCAATTCAAAATTGGTTTAAAAATTGTGTTACATATTTGTTTATTTATAAAGTACAAAAAGCGAATTTTTACAAATTTTATTCAAATATAAATAACTTGTTTAGCTTTGAATAATAAACTCATTACTCAACTAGTGTTTAAACAAAAAAATAAACTAAGCAATAAAAATGAAATAACTTTTTGCCAAAACTTTTTTTTTTTTATTGTGAAATGTTTTAAACTTTAAGTATTTTTTCATTGTAAATTATGTTTTAATACAAGAAAACTCTTAAGTTAGAGTACTGTGATGGGAGGGGTGTCGCTTGCTGGTACTAGTAGGTTTTGTTTCGTTGAGCCATCGTATCACCGATCGCTCACCTGGAATCTGAAGACCCGACTGTGTTTGTTGCGGGGGCTGAGCTTGTGCACCTGCTCCTCCCGGCTGTGGTCCGGTGGCACCACCATTTCCTCCTGCCCCAGCTCCACCACCAGCTGTCACCCCCGCTCCGCCAGCACCAGCACTGCCAGAAGGAAGCAGGGATACGGCAGCGGGAGGTACCCCAGAGCTATGCTGATTCTTTTGTTTCAGCATTGTCCAGTCGAATGTATAATCGTATTGGTGGTTCAGCGTCCTAAACAGTATTCTAAACAACTGTCTAAGGTACATGTAATCGGGAGCCTCTTCAAATCTCAGCCCTCGGCAGTAATTTAGATACATGGAGAATTCAGCAGGGAAACCCTGTAAACACAAAAGAATGTTAATGTGTGATTTTTTTCATTTTGACATATGAAATTTAAAATTTTGAATTGCAAAACTTACTTTGCATAAAACTTCAACAGGTGTTGACATTTTCTTTTCACTTATTTTTTCGTATTTTTGTTTCTTTGTTGCAGCCTAAAAAATTAAGTTATATTGAAATTTATGTAGCATTAAACTAAGTAAACCACTTAAACACCATTTGACAATAAAACAAAAAATTGAAGTAATTTTTTTATAAATAATAATTTTGAACCTGTTTGGCCTTTATAAAACAACCTTTTTCACAATGTATAGATTATCATAATAATTACCTTAAGACCCTGCCACGGAAGGCTGCCTCTGTTGAAGTACATCATTACATAACCCAGTGATTCCATATCATCCCGACGGCTAAAATGAAATTTAAAAACACTCAATTAAGGACAAAATCAGAAAATTAACATTAACATAAATTTACCTTTGTTCGATACCGAGATGTGCATTAATGGAAGCGTACCTCGCGGTGCCTGTAAGGTTTTTATCTTCTCTATAACAGATGTGCGTTCGAGTTCTATTTTCCCTGAATTTTTTCGCAAGGCCGAAATCAATGAGGAACAGTTTATTGCAGTGACGACCTATGCCCATTAAAAAATTGTCTGGCTTAATGTCCCTATGAATGAAAGACCTCGAGTGAATGTATTCAATTCTGCCGATCATTTGGTCAGCCAACATGAGGACGGTTTTGATTGTGAACCGTCGCGAGCAGAAGTTGAACAGATCCTCCAAGGAAGGGCCTAACAGGTCCATAATTAAGACATTGTACTCTCTCTCTTGACCGTACCATCTAAAACAAATATTTTCACTCCAATACATGTCTACGTATAGGTTAGCAAAGTAGTAAAAATCACATAAAGGCATTAACAAAACAAAGTTTAACACTTTCTAGCTGCTGATATAGAGTATAGAATACAAACATATTCTAGTTTAAAAGTTTCTATACAAAAATGTATTGCTACTTTAAAATAAATATAATTTCATCTTATATCTAAAAACTAAACAAAATTCATAATTTGTGATCATTCCATCATTTGAACAATGACTTCAATTATACCTTATATGAGGAATTCCTATTCCTCCTTGAAGTACTTTGTAGAGTTTGCTTTCATAAAGCAGTTGAGGGTGTCTTGCACGAATTGGCTCTACTTTCACTGCGACCTCCTACAAAAGGGGAAAAAATCAAAATGTTATTTATTCCTGAAACAAACAAAACGCATTCCTTAAAGCTATACAAAATAAGCGCATTGAAAAAATTACCAACTCATATTTTGATTAAATTTTTATCAAAACGGCACTATATACTTTGTCCTAATGGTTAAAATAAATATATTTGTTTGAAATAATATCAATAACAGGGCATATTTTTCTTTATTACTTTTTATACTTCATCATTGATCAACCAACAAGTTTATTTATCACTATTGTTATGGTGTCAAGGTGATGAACCTGTAATGTCTTTGACTGTCTCGCCTGTTTGTTGGTACAGTTGAAATACTAAAATGCAATCTTCAGATTTCATTTTCATTTCATTCCTACCAGCAAGGGTAGGAAGATTGAAAAATTAAACTAAATAAATAAAATAATTTATGATATATAACTAATAAATTGACTAATATATATATTATATAGAACTAATATATATATTTATATATAAAAAATAACAATATATTAAATTTAATTTTTTGGAAAGTCATTTATGTTAATAGAAAATACTTATCTTTCTTTTCTAAATTTAACTTAACTTTAGATTAAACATCTGATAGAGCCACTAACTAAATTCAATGCACTATTATCAAATTCATTATTTATTTTAAAAGAATTTTGTATTATCAGTTACTGTTCTTTCATAACAAAACTACTATCAGGCATTTTGTTTACATACAGGAGAAACTTAGCTACTGATCTTACATTTATAAATTTCATATATAATACAGTATTAAGTGACATATAATAAAGAATTAATACTACAATTAACTTCTTCTTAAATATAATATTAAATCTTTTTTTACAATTCTGAGGTGAGTTAGATTTTAAGGCTTTCTTATGTACTGCAACCTAACTAAATCTATTGCAAATTTACTCTAATTTTTAGGCATAAATCATGGAAACACTTCATTATAGTAGGTCCAACATCGCACATTTCTTTAAGTTTCCTGAAGTGTCAGTTCTTTATTCTGATTCTGTTGATAAATTCAATAATTTTTCAAGTTCTACTTCCTCTTCTTATACAAGTTTATCAAAACTAGTTTATCTCATTCAGTCCCATCATATCCTGACAAATATCAATGTGACTTCATTACTTTTAAACATTGTGATGTGTTAAGCACTCTAACTAGCTTCGAATTAATGATATTTGATCATAACACTCTGAACACTTCTTTACTATCCTTATCCTTACAACTTCAAATCCTAACAGAATAAGCATAACAGAACACTGTTTTACTCTTTTATGATATAATCTAACATAGTACATCTAGATGCACTAACCTACAACAAAACAGGAAGAAGTGTTTTGGGATGTATAATGCAACAATAGAAGAAATTCAACCATTGAAATCAGGCATACTAATCAAATTTCTTGATGTACTAGGGCTCATCCGAGTGCTATAGGTTCAAAGGGTACAGTATATTTCTCACTCCGAATACTAAATCTACATCAACATACAGGGACTAAATTCGATTTCAAAGACCTTAGCTCAGAAAATAGGTGAAAGTGTCCCAGGGGTTTTGCAAAGGAGAAATTAGTTGTTTTTACCGACAGGAAACTCATTTTGACCAACTTTGTATTATTTATTATCATTATTATTTTTTATCTTATAATACAAGCTATTTACAATTTGTATTTTAAAGATTCATCACATTTAAACCATGAGATATTTTTTGACCAACTTCAGGACTGGCTGAGACAAGGAGTCTGTCAACAATTAGTCATTTCAAGATAGTGAAACTGTTGTATTTGATCAAAATTTTACGGAAAATGCAAGGGTGAGGATTTTCAGGAAGATACTCATTACCATACTTTGTGGTGTTGTTCTCGGAGGGGATTTTGCAATGTGAAAGTAAAAGGCGAGGTTCTTAATTCAGGTAAGGGAAAACAACAGGATGAAGATATACAAGTACAGTATGATGGAGTGATGTAAACAAATTTATAATTTTTTGCACATCCAAATGAAATTATTTTATTAAATTTGTAGTTTGGTCATATCCAATCTTGGTCTGCCTGATGTTGGTTTGATCTGTGAGATCCATTTCAGCATCTTCAGTTCTGGTTGATTTCTATGTCGTTTTTGAAGTACGGATTTTGATGATCAGAAACGATCAAACTACAAGTTCATCATCCTGTAAACTTCACGGATCTCACAATTTAATTGATAATAATTGTTAATTTATTTGATTCCCCTATTAAATTTATACTCTTTAGTGTTCTTACAACAGATCACACGTAAAGTCAAACTAATAAAAAATAAAATCGGATGAATTAGGCTATCAGGTTATAAAAGACAAATTTAGACAAAATGAAATTTAATCTTTCTGTCCACAATTGTTTGGTCTGTGGGAAATGTTTCGGCATCTTTAGTGTGTGGTTGAATTCTATGTCAAGTCTTTGATCACCCAAGTGTGTTCTGATGATCAGAAACGATCAAACTTCACGTTCATCATCCTTCAGACTTCATGGATCCCACAATTTAATTATCAAAATTGTTAATTTATTTCATTACCCCATATAATTTATACGCAAAAACTTCTTACAACAGATGTGTGAAGTTGAACATTATAAAAAAGAAAATCGGATGGAACAAGTGTGTAAACCCTGTACAATTAAACGTAACATTTTAAAAAAATATGGTTAATATGATATTCTATGGACAATGTATATTACATAAATACTATTTTTTATGTACATTAAAGGTTAGAAAGAGTCAGTGTCTTTATGAGCTTGCACTCCACAACCAATATTGGTCCTTATCACGTTAAGGAATATATTTACTGTACGTATAAATATTAACTGATAAATTTGTTTCGTTCTTAAAAAATAAATATGTTTATGTAAATATAACAGGGAAGGAGGGGTCAAGGAGATGTGGATGTTACAAGTGTAGTATATTGAATGATGTGAACAAATTAAAATGTTTACAGCTCCTCTTGACAAAATTATTTTATTTTTTGTAGTTTGGTCGTTTCCAATCTCGATCAGCCTGACCTTGCCGGTTTTGTCTGTGAGCGTTTTAGCATCTCAGTCCAGTGTCTGGTTGATTCCCTTCTCAAGTCTTTGATGGATCAAGTATGGATTTTGATGATCGGAAATGACCAAATTACAGGTTCTTACACCAAAAAAAAAAAAAAAATCGGATGAAACAGGCGTATCATGTTACAAAAGACAACTTTGGAGGGGAAAAAAAATATGGACCCAACAAGTACAACAGTGTCAGTTCAACAAGAGTTCACCGACTCACAGACCAACACCCAACATGAACTTTAAAACATCTTGTCGCTCCACACCCTATACAAAACAGGTTTAAAATTTAAAAAATGTAGTAAATATTATAAGCTCTTCTGTGGACAAAGTTAATATGTGAAACAAATCACAAAGTTAAAAGGAGTCGGCCACTTTAAGACCTTGTGCTCGACCAATATTGGTCAACATCATGTTATAAATATTTAATGATAAATTGTTTAGTTTTTAAAAAATAAATATTCAACATGTATATATATAATTAAAAAATTATTACAATGGGGAAATGAACATTGAAATTTCACCCTTTCTCTAAAATCTATTTTATAAAGTAAATTTTAATATTTTTGTTAATATTAAGCAAGAATAGCCAAAAGTCGTATTTTTTGTTGTGATTCCTCTACTTCAATTTAATTTCATTGTTAAAAAAGTGTCCGATTTCACCTTTAGGGCCGACTTATTGTACATATTGGACGTATCTATGTCGTGTCTACCGTCCAATAATTGAGGGGCAATTTTTTTTTATTGTATAAATAATTAATAATTATTTTTTTTAGTTATTTTGTTCGTTTAAAAGAGAGAGTAAAAGAGAACGTTGATGGTAATTGTTCGAGTCAAAATCTTTAAGATATTATTTCGGAAAGTGTTTCTTTATTAAAAATTCTGTCGAATGCGTTGAAAGAGAGAAAGAAGTTTTAAAAAACACGAGGTGGCCGACTGGGCGAGATGGGCCTTTTGAAAAGTAGGTCCCAGATTCTGGGGGTGAGGAAAAGAAAGTGCGTATTACAGCATTGTATGACTAATAAGTGTAAGGGAAAGAAAATTGCGCTGTGTTAATCAATAAAACATTTCTAGGTTAAATTAGGGCGAATTGTGTTGCCGAGACAAAAGCAGATGTTGTGTTGTGTAACAAAAAAATGATGAAATGTCGTTTCTAGAATATAAAATAAAAACTCACTTCTCCGTTGGCGATGTTGATGGCGAGATAAATATCACCGAAGGATCCGCTTCCGATCTTCTTCACAAGACGATATCTTCCACCGATGACAAAGTCTCCGGAGTACTGTTTCGACGTCAAAGACATTTCGTCCCAAAAGAAACTCGACACACAAAGAACCGTCCCGTTTTACAGCCCCGTTCCAATTATAAATTACAGTTTATATTTATATAAAAGAAAGAAAAGAAAAGAACCACAAACAAAATAAACACCGTGGAAACTTTATTTTCATTTATTTTAATTCACCATGTAAAAACAATTTTAAAAAGAAATCGATATTCTTGAGGAATTTTTAGAAGAACCCGATTATTAGACGAAAACGAGACGGGACGACATTTTAGCTAGGGGAAAATCCACTGCACACTGGATCCGTTAACTCACAATTCGCCTTTCGAAAGGGTTCCACTCGTCCTACCACCAGGAGAGTTATCGACGCACCCCTTTTACGCACATCCCGCCCAAAACGCAAAAAAGGAAATAAAACAATTTCTCTTCATCCCATTTTTTTTCCTTTGAAAGTTTATTTTTCAAACTTTTTTGAATTTTACTCTAATAAAACAACACTCATTTGTACATATATATACAAACCAAATTATTCTTTAGGTTTTTCAATGTTGTCAACAAATTTACAAAAACGAAGTCGAGAAAACCAAATTCTACTTATTACTCCAGTTAAAGAACATCTTTGTATATCTGAGCAGACTTTGAAATCCAATAATAATAAACAATAAACCAAAAGTGACATCTATTACAATAAAACACAACTGAAAAACTTAAAACTGTTTCCACTTTGTGGTTTCAATTTCTACAATATATGGGCAAAATACAATTAATCATTAATGTGGCTGGATATCATAGGATAAGGCAAAAAATAGACTTAATAACAATATAATCTATAAACTAGGTCAAAATTATTACAATTTTACCTTCCTAAAGAGAGAAGAAAATGGAATTTATATTAACATCATGTTAAAGATATTGTAAGGAGATTGTGAAATTGGATGGTTACAAACTATGAGAATGAACCATAAAAGCGACATATATTCCAATAAAACATTCTTGATAATAATCCATTTAATAATTATTTTATCTTTGTTTATTTGAGATTTTGAAATGGAAAAATAATACACTGCAAAAGTGACATCTATTCCAATAAAACCAGACTAGAAAATTTAAAATTGGTTGAACATTTCCACTTACTGTGGTTCCAACTTCTACAATATATGGACAAAAACCCTCATTAAAAAAGAAAGGAAAAAAAACTACGTTCAAATTATTACAATTTTACTTTCCTAATGAGAGAAAAATGGGATTTTTATTAACATGTTGCAGATTATTATAAGAAGATAGCAAATTTCATTCCAATAAAAACTGTTCCACTGTTTCCAAATTCTAGTTAATATTCCACTTAAAAAACATTTTATATTTGTATATATGAACAGATTTTGAAACCCAATAATAAACGTGACATATATTCCAAGGAAATATGACAAGAAAATTGTTAATTGTTTCAATATTTCCACTTTCTATGGTTCCAACTTGTTCAACATATAGACAAAATACAATTAACACCCATATAATCTATGAACTAGGTTCAAATTATTACAATTTTACCTTTTTAAAGAGAGAAGAAAATCGGATTTATATTACGCATTTATAAAAATGTAATAAACAACAAAATAACCCACACACTAATCACAGTATATTCATAAAAAAATAATCCAATACAATTATTCAAGTTTTGTTAATTGTTACATGCCCAAAATGTTCACTCTATCAATATTGACTATTTAGGAAACTTTATTAACTTAAAATCTAGCCTTAAAACCCAGTTCTTTTTTATTCAATAGGTAAAATACATACAGGCAAACATCTAAATGGTAAAATCTGTGTGACAGACAAAACCAATGGGAATATGCAAACCAGACTAATTGGAGACTTTCAAGCAGCTGTTGTTCAACATAAACCTTCAAAAAAAAAATTTTTTTTTTGCTTCAGGACACTTTAAACAAAAGTTCACTTCATATGAAAAATCCAGCACTCAACTGCCATCAGCATTATGATAATTAAACGAACATACTTCATCAATATATATTTTTTAGTGATTAAACTTATTATATTATAAATATTATATTCTTGTGCGATCATTATATTATATGCAATATCAAAACTATCAATCAGTGACATTTTAATATGCATTCAATTAAACTAATTGTAACTTTATACTGTACTCTAAAAAGTATTGCTGATTTTTTTATTATTATAACATACTTACTTGAATACCATTGATCGCTTTCCCGTTAAGTACACCCTTGAAAAATCATTTGTTAAAATAATTGCCTTTAGAACAATTAAATAATAATTCAAATTTGCTCACATCTTTTCCAACATTTGGAATTGCTTTCCCCGAGAATACTTGGCCAAAAGAGCCACTCCCGATTTTTTTTTCTAGTTTGTATATATATTTTGGGTTACCAAAAATCTTGTCTGGAATTGCATCCCTCTTTTCCGGTGAAGACAACTGAAAAACTGATATTTTTTAAAATCTGTTATGGTTTAAGTATTCAGTATTTAGGGATTACAGAAATATTTTCTAGACTCTTTCTGTATGTTTTAACAGAAACCTTTTCAAACTTGTTTAATTTTACTATAAAATATCCAATAAACTGAACCAGTTTTTTTAGTCCTATAAATATTCATAATTCATGTGTGTAGTGTGGATTTATTACTAACCAAATGTTTAATAGATGTATGTAGTATATATCTGATATGAAATAGTAATAGCATACCTTATTTCCAGTTTTGGGATATATAGGAGAACATTGAAACATCCTTGATGGTATGTCAGTAAGATTGTCGTCACCACTTACGTCTCTCCTTCTTGAAAAACTCTCAGAATATTGCTTCAGCCTTAACAAAATGAAAATTTGCGTACCATTGTTTTGCTATAAACATTTCTAGAAAAATGGGGTCTCATCACAGGAATTTTTGATAACTTCTTGCCAACTTCAGTTACACTCTTGCCGTGGGTTGGTCTGATGCAGTACCTGATAACGGTATTTTACTACATTTCATATAAACAAAATTTTCCAAATCTGAGCTAATGGAGAATATATGAAAGAGGTGGCGAACAAAAGAAAAACTAAAGTAAAGAAGAATAGTAACGAAAAAAACAAGGTTCACAATTAATGATTTTTAATTTTTAAACATCTGGGGAAAATTCAATGTTATTCTATTGTGTTATTTGACAAAGCTGTTTTTTAATCCAAATACATACCTGGTAACATGTAAAAGTTGTGAGTATTTACAATCCACAGGAATAGCATAATGTTTAATATTCTTCGTCTGTTACATTAATTAGTACTTAAAATAAGAATGTGCCTGTCTTCCTTTTTTTATTTCCCATGTTTCAAAACACATGAAACTTCTTTCAGTCACAAATACCAACTACTATCTAACATTACTGATAGATATTTTTAAAAGTATATCGCTTTGTCCTAAGCGATTAAATCAACTCACCTGATTTAGATCAGGTCAAAAATAATAAATATACAATCCAATGTATGTACAGCTCACGGAAATAGTTTTGTTTTGTTTTCTTGTTCAGAAACTATTACTATACAACCTTTCAAAACTGTTGATTATTTCAAATTAGTTTTCTGTGTCATATGATGTACGCTGAGCAAGATCGAAAAACGATACATCTAAATGTATTGAACAGATGTTTAGTAAAGGTTGTACAGCCTTTTATGCACATTTTCTCTAAATGTGTGACAAATATATGTTCTTTAAGAACAGATTTGAATTATTTCTTAACTATTTGCTTTTTTAATTTTAATAATTTACAGAGGAACGTTTATTATACTACAATTTTAAAAATTAACAATTTCAGAACACGTGTAACATATTAATATCAAATATTCTTTATATATTTAACCAAAACAATACTGAATTTCATTGGTAGTAGCTTATGTTCATATTTAAAATAAATACTCTAGAAATATTTAGTTTCACAGACAACAACAAACAAAATTCCCATTATTGTATTACTTAAACAGAAAAAAAAATTTCTATCATCAAATACTTCATTATTGACTAGTAAGGTCAGGTTTTTTAAATTAGTTGAGTAGTTTCTACCAAAAATAAATAAAAAATATTCGACAATATGTTGATATAATTTTTATTAGCAGGCATGTTGAAGGCTGTTTATTATTGCATAGACATATTCCTTTGTAGTTGACTGACCTCCAAGATCCTTAGTTTTCACCTAAAAGGTTAATATTGCTTATATAAGTAAAATATATTCATAAAGCTAAAAAAATAAAAATTAAAAAGAGACAAAAACATACTTTTCCATCAACATACACTTTAGCAATAGCAGCTCTTATCATATCACCATAATACTGTAGATTTGCATGTTGCAACATTTTAGCACCGCATAGCAACATTGCTGTAGGATTGGCGACATTTTTTCCAACAGCTTCTGAATAAGTGTGTTTTGCACCCTTGACAAATAATAACAGTGTCATGGTAAATTTGTAAGAACCTTATCTACATTTACAACTTACAGGTTCAAAAACAACACATTCAGCACTGTAAGATGCACCAGCTACAACTCCAGCTCCGCCAACGAGGCCTGAGGCAAGGTTATCAAGGATATTACCGTACAGATTAGGCATGACCATTACGTCAAACTGTTGTGGGTGAGACACCATCTGCATTGTGCAGTTATCAACTATCATTGTTTCAAACTTAATTTTTGGGTAAAGTTTCGCCATCTGACATAATATAAACAAATTGTTAAGAATAATCGTAAAAATTATCCACGAGTATACAAAATGTAGTATTGTACTTCATTACAGCTCTTGAGGAACAGGCCATCGCCCAATTTCATAATGTTGGCTTTATGTACAGCAGTCACTTTTTTCCTGTTATTTCTTGTGGCATAGTCAAAAGCGAATTTGGCAATCCTTTCTGATTTTGCTGCTGTCACGAGTTTCAAACATTCAACAACACCCTTAAAAAAGTAAATAAATACGATGTCAAATTCATATGTAAAAATATGATGAAAAAACTACCTTGACGCTTTCATGCTCTAGAGCAGAGTATTCCCCTTCGGTCTGCTCACGAATGATGACCGCATCTATATTCTGATGCCGGAGTTTTAATCCAGGCCAGCTCTTCACGTGCACAACATTGGCATAAAGGTCGAGGTTTCGCCTCAGCTTCATGTTCAGAGACTGGAGTTCACCTGTGAGGCTATAATCAGGCGTTGCTAAAATACCCTTGAGGCAGATCCCATTACGATTAATGGAAGCTGCGACATCTTCAATAGGAGCGCTCATACTCGCATGAACTTCGGAGAAAAAGAACTGCTCAAACTCGATTGGGGCACCTGCGGCCTAAAAATTATTATTATTTTAAGTTATTAAGATGAAATTTAAAAAATAAATTAAAAATAATTTGATTAAAACTAAGTTGTTTTTTTTTCCATTTTATTTTTTACATACTATAATGCAGAGTTTCTACAACTGTAGCATAATTAATTTATTGTTTAATACACTTGGAATAAAAATTGATCTACAAGTGACAATGAACCACTCATTAGTTTCTAGATGATGGTGTCATTGTACATGATATCTAGGTGATGTTGGGAATTGAACTCATGATTATGGTGCCTAATGTGTGGCAACAAAATATAAGCAAGATGAGGCAGGCACGCTAAATCACCACAAAATGGTGACAACCAAAACACATCTGACAGACCGAAACAGCAGGGATATGAAAACCAAAATTATTCAGAAACAACCAAGATACAAAACCTTATTGTGTTCATTCTGTTCATGAAAATATGTCTTTTCTCCAATCAACTTATTTTAAATAGCAATTCTCTGATTATATTTATTTAATTTTTATTTTACATTAAAAAACTGATCACTCATTTATATAACCCCAAATCATTCATACATCATCGTACATACATGTGTGCAAGAGTTGGGCCTATAAGTTCTCGCAATCCACCGGCAATCCCAGCTTTTGTAGTTTACAATCAACGGCAGGCCCCAAGAATCACCCACCCCAGATGGTGACAGTCTGGGATCAGATCTCAGACTTATCTGGTCCAGTAGCTGAAATTGGGCTCCAGGGGTTATCAATTTAGATTATTTCAGCCCCCAAAGCAAGAAGTCTCTAAATCCAAACCTATTTACACTCTCACTAACTCTTAAATAGATTCTTTATTATTTACATACAATTGGAGTACTTGATATTCCTCCATCATTCTTTGCACCTATTACATAACTAGTCTAATTGAGGGTCAGTGGGGTACTCAATATTCTGCCATCAGCCCTCTCGCACTACACAGGCATCCTAATATCTAAATTCGGCCTCAACATACTCAAAGAAACACAAGATGAGACATCCATATAGTATTATACCTAGTAAAACAGCCCTCTTTCCACTAAAAATTGGAACAGGGTAACTAGATATTCACTGCCGTGCTAAAAATCAATCACAATTCTTTCCTGCACACTCTCTATATGGAGCCAAGGTATGACATCCTTCAATTAAGTGGGACACATGAACAACCTTTCTCTACAACATGCTGGACACATACATGGGCTTTGGTCCAAAATTAAGTGTCTGAGTGTCAACCTCGCTGATCAATTCTTCATTGGACGAAGTTGACTCATCTTCTACAAGTCAGGTCCTCCGAGGGCTATAGACAGACAGTGCTTATGATAAGTAAGAGCTTGTCTGCTGATCTGGCTCATCAACGCTTCCACTTACTTTTAATTAGGTTTTTTATTGCATTTCTATCATCAGGGGGCCAGATGTCCCAGACTAAGCAATTTCAATACACTTATGAGGCTAAGTAAGTGTTAGGTGACAGTTTTCAAATGTATAGACAAAATGGCCAACTTGATTACTTAGCAACAAATAAGGAACATCCAACACGTGAATACGTCAAAGATATCATAGATGCTTGTTGGTGTTGTTTGTCATATCTTGGTGGTTGTTAGGAGGGACCCAACAATAGCTTGAAAGCCTTTTCATTTCCACGCCAAATCTATGTGTTTTGGGTATCCAGACTACCACCTTTTTGCAAAGATGCTCTAGTTCACGGTATCTTTTCAACAAGAGCAGAAGAGGGTTGGGAGAGGGCCTGTCATGAACAGCAGTACAGCTGAGGGAGGAGTTGCTGCTGAGTAGGTAAGCAGAGCCACTTTCATCTCGGATCACCTGACATGCCAAATCGCCTACAATTCCACCATGTAAAATAAATTAAAGTATATTTAGGTAGTGAAAGTCTATTTTGTCATTCAAGAAATTGAATACATTCTAAACATAAGGTAAATTAATTGGTACAATTTGCACAATCAAACTTCAAATAACACGTGTACCTGAAAAATTTAAATGTTATAATCATAAATACCTTGAAAACTTCCTGTACGCAGTACATGAGTTCCGGTCCGACACCGTCTCCTGGTATAAGTGTGCATTTTGTTATACCTTCCGGCCTTTTAGTTTTGGCTTTCTACGGGCAGGACAATATATAAATAAGTCCTATACCATTATAAATATTTATAATCACCTCTTCTAATACTGGTGATGAAATGAAATTTCTTGAAGATAAAATTGGAAGATTGGTAGAGATCTGAAATGTGTGCGAGGCAAATTGAGTCAAAGTCATTTTGGACATTTAACGCTTACAGACTTACACTTTGGAACAAAATCTGAACATTTTTCCTTAGCAGGGCCATTCCAACAGTTGTTTATTTTAGTTAAAATAATGATGTAGAACAAGGATCGAACACTAATGAAAATAAGGAGGTTTTCTCTCTAATCTGGTGTTGGTCCAGCAACAGCACTATCTATGAAATTTTGTTTAACCGCTATTTTTAAAAGTGCGAACATATAAATATAAATTCCAAGAGTTTAAATTCTTATTTCAAAACACAACTTTATTGTGGTATTGGATTTAATAGCCAGAATAATATTTTATGCTTTATTTCACTTAAAACTATTACACATAATGCCCATGGAATCAGACATAATTTTAATATCTTAAACTGTATAATAATATGAAAAATGAATATTTGTTGGTTTAAAATCAATTATACTTTAGAATATTAATTTTGCTAACTAATTTTAGTTATATTACGCGTTTTTCACAAAGTACTGTGTGGTTTTCCCATTGTATCATAATATCACTAAAGACCATAAGGAGAACTCTTAGGGACTAAAACCGAAAATGGCCTTTTTGGCTATACTTATACAGTAGTAATAAAACCCAAATTTCACTAATCTAGTGATGAAAGAAAACATGGTTATACAGACTATCGTCATTTCTATTCCTACAGAACTGATTAAATGCACTTGCAGCAAATAGTACATTACATTTGACGACTTCGGACCTCCATCTAGTAAACCAAAGCTCAACAAAATCAAGCTACCCAAACATTAGACAGCCCACAAAGACTGCCAAACCTATGTGTCACTGGGTCAATGAAAACAACCCTGTCAAATGAACTAAAAACACTGCTAAACATGCTTCCATTGCAAATGCAGAAATCGGATGGGGGCTAAACATTTCGGGCCTATAATAATTCCCCAAGAATAATTAATAAAATCAGACACCTTCTTACAAATAGGGACTGACTACATGATCCCAGAAACCCTCTTTACAACAAACTATAGTCTCAACAGGCAACAAAGGAGAAGGAGAAATCAGATACATTGTATGGTATTGATCTAAACTAAACGGAGGAACTGTATCATGCATTTTTTGTACAGGCCCAAAATATGAGTAATCAAACTAATTAGGAAAGTACACCTCTGTTTTTCTTAACTGAAATACATGCTAGCTATCAAAGCTTATGCCTTAGGAAGATGTTACACTGAAAAAAAATCCTCAAAAGATCAGATAGCCAAGCAGCCAATAAAGGACTAACATGAAAAAAAATCATCCAAAATATCCAAAAACTGGGAAAACGCAACACCCTGATGATATCTTGGGTGCCAGGAAACAGGCATTTTGGGTAACGAAATAGATTGGTAAGAGTAGGATCAGTAGGACTGTATAGAAGACCTTGGGAAGACAAATATATAATCCTCCATCTACAAATGGTTCAAAAAAAGAAATGGATAAACTCTGAGGGATTAGACATGTAAGCTTGTGTTAAAAGAATCCTCACCAAAACTGGCAAACTTATTGCTACACTGAGAACGAGCTAAACTCAACAGTAATAGTTCTACATATGGTACTGTTACCTGAGACAACCTTACATATCATGGGTATATTCAATAATGACCCCATTCGTAGGTTATGAAACAAGAAGAAAAAACCCATCATCTTTGAATACGAATCAATGCCCAATGGAGACATAACCAGGTGTACAAAGAAAACCTAGGGCAAGGAAATGTACCAACGACAATAAATGACCTCAAACTTTAAAGAAAAGGATCAATTCAACTGAACTGAGCTAAGAAACTAGGAAAAATACAATACAGCAATGATTGGAGGGCATAACCCCCAATCTAAGATTTTCATCATCATCCCATTGGATAGCCTCAAATAGACTAATAAGTCAGAATTTCTGAATGAATTATTATTATTTATTTATTTTTTTAAGAGATGGTCAGGGAAATTGCACACAATGACAATACTAATTAATTACTAATTATTTATTGGTTTTTATATTTTATTCAAAACAGTCGTGCTTTCTCATTTTCTGAACAATTGTTTATAAAAGAGTATTTAACTTTAACATACAAAATTGTTCTGATAGTGAGCTATAGTTAATATCTATATGATTGCATTTTCACCATGAAATGGAAGCATTTACTTTATAAATTTACAAATTTTGTACTTTTTTTAAATTTAGACATTTTTATTGTTACTCAACATTTGGGGTGTATAAAATAAAGACTTTCTTTATTGCTTTTTGTTTTTTTCTAAGGGCATGGCATAGTTTTAAGTCTTTGGAAAGCCTGCTTTTCAAGGTTCTCTCTGTGATCAGGGTGAGCGATTTTGATCAATGCATACGCCCTCTGACGAAGGGTTTTTCCAAAAAGAGAAGCGATACCATGCTCAGTAACAACATAATGGACATGAGCTCTAGTCGTAACGACTCCAGCTCCTGTAAAATATTAATAATCAGTGACTTTTATATAATTTTTTTTTTCATTGTTTGTACCTTCTTTGAGTGACGGCACAATCTTGCTCTCTCGTGATTTTTTATTCATTGATTGAAGAGCAATAATAGGTTTGCCCCTTCCATCTAAACCTTCAGCAGCACCTCTGATAAAATCAACTTGACCCCCAAAACCTAAATGTAAATTTTATTTTATAACAGATTTAACATCAATACAACATTTAAAAATGTATTTACATAAAAACTTACCACTGTACATTCTTGTCCCAATTGAGTCTGCACAAATTTGACCAGTCAGATCTACTTCAATGCAAGAGTTGATTGAAGTCATAATTGGATGTTGCCTAATAATTGAAGTGGAATTTGTGTAATTAACTTCCTTCATCACTGCAATCAATTACGTAATAATAACAGTACACACTAAATAATTTGTATTATACAAAATTACTCAAATCATATACTTACAAACCATTGGGTTATTGTTGATGAAGTCATAAGTTCTCTGTGTACCAATCAAAAATGATGAAACAATTTTCCCCCTGTGTATTGGTTTCTTGTTGTTTGTTATGACACCTTTTTCGACTAGATTGATAACACCCTCAGAAAACATCTCTGTGTGCACGCCGAGATCCTTGTAACATTCAAGGTGAGCAAGCACAGCATCAGGGATGCTTCCGATGCCAAGTTGCAATGTAGCGCCATCCTCAATGAGATTTTCCCCAATTAATATTCCTATTGCTTCTTCCTCTGGTGTTGGCTTACCACCACCGTGTTGAGGTAATTTGTCATCAACGTTGACTGCAAAGTCAAAGTGGGACTTATGGACAATGCTATCCCCAAATGTCCTTGGCATTTGTTTGTTTACTTGAGCTATAAAATCAAACATTAAATGATTAGAGAATTTGAAAAGTGGTTCATACTTTAATTTAAATCAATTTTTCTCTATTAATAAAGGAGTTGCCTAGAAAAGCAGTAGTCCAGATTACTAGGGTCATCAATGGCTTAATTATATGCCACAAATATGGAAGATCACTGAGGTCATCATGAGCCCAGATCATACAGAACTCTTGGCTCTTATTCCCACCACATACACCCCTGGTATTTTTTGTCATGCTATCCTTCCCTCCCTCCCCTCAAAAAGAAAGAAAGAGAAAAAAAACCATATGCATAATTGTTAAATTCATTACATACCAGCCTACATTAGCCGTCTTGAAATTCCACACCCTAAGAAGGCAAAGTACCTTGGTATGACATCAGATGCATGTTAGTAATACAAAACACACGTTTAAAAAAAAAAATCTTTGCCCATTGAAAGTAAGCTTTTATGTACTTTATCAACAGATCTTCACTCAAGCCTATGTATGGCATCTGGCTCAGGGGCTATGTCAGCAAGACCAACCGACAAATCATAGAAAGATTTCAGAATAGAGTAATGAGAAGCATAGTCAATACACCCAGATACATCAGAAATGAAGACCCCCCCCACAGTGACCTCAAAATGGAAACAGTACAAGAAGCTATCTATATAGATGTTTTAGCCCACCATCAAAGGCTTAGAGGACATGTCAACATAGAAGCAGTCCACCTGTTAGACAGTGAACACCTAGCCAAACGATACAAACACGTCAAGCCACATGATTTATTGCTGGATGCAATGATGTGGTATGGTGTAGCTTGAAAATGAAAAAAAAAAAAAATATATAAATTTTTGTCTATAAAAAAGATTACTTATTTATTGGTAATATTAATAAAATTTATCCACTTCTGAGGATTGGAGGGGAAAAACTATTAAACAATGTAATCAAATTTCATAGAACAATTTCTGTAATGCCCATTAATAAATTGTTCAATAATCAATTAAATGAAATATCTAAAGAACTAAATTTATCTAAACTATGTATGTTCCTTGACAAACTAGGACTTACCAGTGTGCTTTAAGCACAGAATGGGGTATACAATAGCTCTTAAAGGGTGCAATATAATAATATGCACCCTGACTAATTCATCTGTCATCTATACATGTTTTGGTGATCTGGAGTTTGTTAAAGTGCCAAAGTGAAGGCAAAATACTTTTAAATAGTAAATAAAATATAATAACATGTAAAAATGTAATCAGAGCGATTGTCCATACCTATAATAATTTTGGAATGTGTCATAGCAGCTCGAACGCAGTCAACACTTGTGCCTAAACTACAAAAACCATGGTTATCAGGAGGTGAAACCTGCATAAAAAAGTTTAATATTAATTTTTTTATAATATACATAATTGAGTGTACAACAGATAAAAAATCCAAATTCAGAAAACACAACTGAAAAATGTTGATTTGTAATTAACTATTTTATTTTTCAAATCTATAATTGATATTATAAATGTACATTAAAAAATAATGGGGAAGTTGCAATAAAGATTATTTACACAACAATTCAAAGGATTAGAATATTTGACTTTTTTGTCACGTAATGTCCTTTGTTACTTAAGATGATAATTTTGAAATAACTGAATTTAAAACACAAAGGAAATGGAAATTATAATTAAATGTATTAGGTTAATGTAATTCGCCATTTATATTTTCCTCTACAGACCATGTTGTCGTTATTTTCAGACTTACGTGCACAATAGACACATCAGGCTTGTATATCCCTCTATAGAAGAGCTGCGGTATATCTTGGAGGAAAATAGGTATTGCATCACCCCTCCCTTCCGCTACGGCCTTCCTCACGTTGGCTGCCATGAAAAACGACACCGACCTGAACACATCTGAAAAAAATAGAAGAGAATATACATTTGAACGTATTTTCAAATATTTTGAGCTTTTTATTAGCTTTTGCCTTCAGTTCATTGTTTATGAAAGTTAATATTGAAATATGAACGTAACTACTATCATTGCCATATCAAGTGGAGAATTGGGTTGTAGTGAAAGTGTATTTCCAATTTTTCTATTTTTCTGTTTGACTGCTCACCTCATAATTAAATCAGCACTGCTGAAGAGGACACAACAGTTTATTGTAAACTATGGAATCGAATAAATGGGTGAGACATTTTTTTAAATTATAAGCTAAAAATTTAATATTAGCAGTTATTATTATTTTTTTAATTCATGCATATTTTTCACATTTAATATTAAATTAATAAAAGGAATTTGGAGAAATTTTTTTGAAAAATACACCTTTTTTCCCCAACTACTTACATAAATAATACAAAATATTAAATTATTAAAAGGAATTGGGAGAAATTTTTTTGAAAAATACACTTTTTTTCCCCAACTACTTACATAAATAATACAAAACACTAAATACAAATGCCATAATGTAAACTAAAATGATATCAAGCAACTGATATTTTTATAATTTAGCTTTGATAAACATCTTTATATTAAAAAATAAAAAGCAACAATTTATTTAGGGAATGACAGTGGCTGAGTCATTACATTTTGTAGGTTTGTATTTTTCATGCAGTGGTCCTGGGCTCAATTTGTAATGTTGCCTTTGTAATTTATAAATAATTTGTGATATTGTAAAATAGTCTGACCCCGTGTTCATAACTAAAGTCCTTATGATATTCGTTTAATTCAAAATTAAATTATGAACTATACTCTGATTTATGTAGTAAAAGAATTGTATGTATGTAAAACAATTTCAACAATGCAAATATATTGAAAAATCAAATTATTATTAATTTTATTCAAATTTTATTGAAACATGTAGAATGAAAAATGGTATACATTTCAGTTGTTTTCTAAAGTCCAGTATATTAGGCAAAACGAACTTATATAATAGGAAAGTAAAAAAATGTATACTCTTTTGAAAAAATTTTTTACAACCAGGTAGGAAGTAAATCAAGTAAACTTAATTCTAAAATAAGAGTGTTGTAAGTTAAAAACAAAATTATTTATGGATAAACAAACTGAAAAATAACTTTTGACTGCCACTGATCTTAAAATGGGTTTTTGCTTTAATTTTAAAATTAAATGTATAAAATTATCGGTAAAATCATATCAGTTTATATTCAAGAGGGTGTTTGGGTTAATTCCTTTAGATTAAAGTGATTAAACTCTGACCGAAATAGAAATATTTACAATTCTTATCTCATTCTAACAAAAAGCAAACTTTGATTAAAGAATAATGCTACAGTCATACCGATAACATGTCTAACTGATTCATTCGACCTTTTTTTCTTTCTTTTTTTCAAATCTAAGCTATTGTATTACATTGTTTTGAAATTATCATCATATAAAATTGACTGTATAATATTTTGGAAACCACCTGACAATTTAGGATCACAATAGCTTCCTGGCCCTTCTGTATGCATGTGGCAAACTGTGACATCAGTTAACTTGGCCTGCTCTCCATACTTCGTCATAGCGTTTGCTAGGGTTATAGGGGTGGCTGCAGCCCCGCTCAGAAATACAGTGTTTCCTAGAAAAAAAGAAAAAAAAGATAGATACTTAGATCAATAGTAATTTTTACAGTTAAACTTAATATTCAAAGATGCTAAACAAAGGAACAGACGTCATAAAGAGTATAAAAATAAAAAATTCTGACAATTGAATAATATTATTGTATATGAATTGATAGCAGTATTGTATAATATTAAAACCAATCAAATGAGATAATACCAATAAAAGGAGCAAGAAAAAAGGCTTAACAGTTTTTTGTCTGATAGAGACAAAGGAGATCACAAAGATGTAAATGTTTTTATTGCCGTTTTACGAAATTTTTTGTTGTCAGAGGGGAAGAGAGGATCAGGAAGATAAAATATAATTCACATTCCGTTTTTATCTAATCGTAACCTTTTGTTCTGCACTACTTCCTTGCTTTGAGAAATTTCAATTTGGATGAATTGACTTTTTTTACAATATAAAACTAAGTATTCTGCTGATAATTACAAGTCATTCGTATTACTTGTCTGGCCTGTCACACAATGAAAAAAATAATAATAAAAATAAGGAAAAAAGATTGAAAATAGCATGTAATTATTCATTCATGGCAAATACAAGGACAAACATTAATCATGTCATCTTAAAAACAATCACCTTCATCTTCAAGTAAACAACTACATAAAATTATTTCAACATATAATTATTTACAAATCAACACTAACCGATTGGAAATAATAGTTTTACTCACAAACTGGTTTTATAAAGCAATCTGGATTTTGAGCACTAAATGCTCAAAATCTGGATTACTGCATATGCAGTTTGTGAGTAGACTATCGTTTCCGACCAGTGAATTGATAAACCCATTCCACCTTAAATAGTCTTATCAACACTTAATTACAATTTAACTGAGGCAAATTCAATTTATTGTTAATGTACTATTTTTTTTCTTCTATAAAGCGCAGTGGGAAAAATAAAATGAAGGTTGCTTCTAGATAATCTAAGTATTGAGTAACGAAAAATTTGCATATCAATACAATTCAAAAGTCTGGAACATGTAAGGACTGGTTTAAAGTAAAAAGAAAAAGTAAAAAAACTCCATTTGAATTGTAAATGATTCTTTTTATGCATGTATGATAGTATGTAATATTTATTTTTTTCTCTGTAAATAGTTTATATAACAACCCAAAGGATTATTTTGGAGATTTTGCCCTGTTAAAATCAGCCAGGTTGGCAATACGTAACAAGTAATAACTGTGTTAATTGTGTTAAGACAGTTTTAACTTATGCTCTTGTTTTTTTGAAGAAAAATGTGATTTTTTGAAAAAGATATAGCATAAAGGTTTATACAAATTAATTACTGGTACTACTCGAAAAGGGGTTTCCTTCGGGGACTTCTACTGTCACCTTAGCTCGTCTGGTAGATCTGGGGTCTGAATGGGGTGCCTGCAACTCCTTGCAATGGGGGGAAAGAAATCCTCTTCCAGACCTTCCCGAAATGAAGAAACCCTTCCTGGCTCACCCACAGTTTACTCCTTGAAAGAACCCCCTGGCCCATCCATATATCTCCTATCACTATATACCACATCATAATTATCTTTGATAATTTTTGCCAGAACCCTCCATCAAACCCCCATAGACCTCCAATCCATAAGCAATTCAACATCAACAAACAAAATTTTTAGCTTTTTTAACTAAAATGTGTAACTTCATATCCCTTAAATTCTTGTTTCCTTTACTAGCACCTCATGTTGGCACTTGTCCGGGGCCTCAGGTGCTGGTCAGTGTTGGGCTGAATCGAGGAGTGCTACCCTGGACTCTGAGGTCAGAGAATCTCCAGTGAGCTTGGAGATGGTGTTGATGGTGACTATACACCGACGCCTCCTCGATAAAGCCATGCTTACAATGTTAAGTTTAAAAGTATCCATGTCCTGTATTTTTACAGCCTGAGGCTACTGTGGTTTGCAGGGCTTTGCTCTGATGAAGCCAAACTGTACCACTGATAATGTACAGACTTAAGGGTAAAAGACCAATAAGGCTTTACAAAATAAAAAGGAAAAACAACTAAGCAAATAGGAAAGAAATATAAAAATGTGTCACATCTATTGGTATACATTTCAGTTGTTTTCTACAGTCCAGTATATTAGGCAAAACGAACATATATAACAGGAAAGTAAAAAAATGTATACTCTTTTGAAAAAATTTTTTACAACCAGGTAGGAAAAGATAAAGCTGTGTAATACATTTTTCTTTTAATCGTGGTATAAAATAAAGGAATGCAAATGTTCAATAGTGACATATGGGAAATCAAGACAATCAAGTAATAAAATATAATGAGATAGCATATAGTTCCAAATTGATTGAAATTCAAGGACAAATAAGGTGGTGAACCAGCTTTACCCCACTTTCATGTTTATCGAGTTGCCTCCTTGACAGTAAATTTTCTTATTTTTAGAACGCTTACGTCTGTAAAGTAAGCCGCCTTGAAAACAAGAAATAATAAAAATAGCCTTTGAAGGCAAAAAAAAAAAAAATAATAATAAAATGGAAACCAAACTGGGGAAGAAAAAATTACAGAAGTCATGCATTTTCGATTAAACATAATTTTTTTGTATTAAATAAAGGTTGGATTTTACCTGATTCTATGCATTTGACGGCTTCCTCAGGAGTGACCCATACAGGCTCTCGGTTCAGGGGCTGTGCGATTTCCCGGCTGTAGCCGAAATAATTCCTGGCTAGCTTTTTCGACGAGAAAATAGGCCTCGTGCGAAGAACGGAGCTCAGTCTCGGCACCACGCTCGTCATTGTCGGCTAAATAAAACAGAAAAAAAAAGCCGAAACCCTACGAAAAGAATTTAAACTATAACGACGTAGTATTAGGATGGGCGTTCTCGGAACTACCGTCTTAAAACCTGCGAGCTAACTGAAACCTGAAAGTCTGAGTAGTGAATAACTGATAACTGGGACAGCGTGATCCAAGTTTTAGGCTCGGTGGAGGGAGTGGAGAGTCTAACTATTTACAGACGGAAAAGAGCCGGATCGTCTTTCCATGAAACCTGACGAATGTAGCACATTTACTCACTAATAAACCACCCGTTCCCCCAAATTTAATATTTTTTGTCTTAAAACCGCTCACAGTTCCACCATCATTCAAAACTAAAATTGTTTTTAATACGGGACATTTTTTTAATATAAAGTGTACAAAAATAATTACTTAAACGCCAAACAATATGTCGTTTTAAATCAATAAATCACCTTGAGTAAATGTCAAATGGTAACGACTGAGATTCAAACCCATATGCCTTATAACTTGCGCTTACTTTTCTTATATTCCCATTAAAGTGAGTATCCCCAAGGCAGCATCTTAGGGCCTTTTTTTATTAACAATATACCTTTCCCTATCTGTACTATATGCTCTTTTGTTGACGACACAGTTATCATGTCATCTAATTCTGATCCCCAGTTATCCTACCCAATTTCATTTAAACCTCTACAGAGTTGGTCTCATAAACGGAGAATAATATTTAACAAAACTATATCGACGAATATCACCTTTATTACTCTGAAAATCCACTTGTTCTACAGTCTATTTCAATGGAAAACTCATTCCAATCTCAGGTGTTGTGCACTACCTGGGACTATACATTGACAAAAGATTAATATGGAATCCCACACATGACTGAAAAGACAGAAAACTACCATAGATGAAACTTAACACACTACGAAACACCTTAGTAACAAACTCATCATTTACAAGACCCTCCTGAGACCAGGATTAATATGGCTATATGGAATTGAAGTTTGGGGATAAACAAAAAAATCCAGTTTGTACAAAATTCAATCCATCAAAAAAAATTAAAATATTAAACTTGAAAAAAATATTTAACTTAATTCATATCAATTAAAACCACTTACAATTGCACGGTTTGTTTATGCTCATTAAATCCATTAAAAAACTAAAATTGTTTTTTACATGCCAATTGTTATTATATAAAATCTACAAAAATGAATAATTAAAACACACACTTAGTGGCGTTTTAGTCTTTCCATGAAATCTGGCAGAAACAAAGCATATTTTCTCCACTAATAAGCCACCCATTCGCTCATATTTAATATTTACTTAATTTATTTCTATTAAAACTGCTCATAATGCCACCATTTGTCCGTGCACATTAAATCCTTTCAAAAACTAAAATTATTTTTCATAAGCACATTGTTTTTATATAAAATCTACATAAATGGATTATTCGAAAACCAAAACACAATAAATGTTGTTTTAAATCATTAAAAACATCTTAAATAAATTTATAATTGTTTTTAAGTTAATGTAATTTATTCAATTAAACATATTCTGATGTCCCACAGGGCTCTCATTTAGGACCATTATTGTTTATTTTATATATTAATGATATTGATTCTTCCATTTCTAATGTTAACTTTCTTCTTTCTGCAGATGATCTTAAAATTTATCAACAAATTCCAAGAGCTCAAGACACAATTCTTTTACAGAAGTCTCACTCAGAAATAATTCATTGGTTTCATAAAAATGGTTTCAATATAAATGCTTCCAAAAAACCTATGTAATATTTTTCTATCTAGATAGGCACTAAAAAAGTTTGTTCTTGTTATAATATTATATTGTTTTAAATGTTAATTTTGTTAAAAACTTAGAAGTCACATTTTAGCCCAATATGTCCTTTCCACTCATTGATAGTAAAAAACTTTTAAGTTGCTAGGCTTTATATCTCACAATACCCAGAATTTTAATATTATAGCCTTTAAGCAACTCTATTGATCCCTTGTCTGTTCTAATCATGAATTCTCCTCTCTATCTGTATCCATATCTTCTCTGTCAGAAACATTGTTCAGAAAAGTTCGAAGCAAATTATTAATTGAATCTTCTTCAAATTAAATATTTCTTACCGTTCATATTTCCTTATTTCCTATTTGTAACTAACTTATCTTTATTAGAATCTCGTGTTTATTTATAAATTATTACATTAATCAAATTATTATCCTTTACTACTTACTCAATCCTAAATTTTTGAGTTCCACTCAGTAATCAAAGACATTCCATTTTTTAATTCCTCGTGATTATCTTCTTCATTCTGGTATCAACAGACTCCAGAAAATAGTTAATAACTTTATTCCAAAGTTTCCATTAATAGATATTTTCAGTAATTCCTTACAAACCATCAGATCATATCTTCTAGCTATTCAAAATAATTAGTTTTAACTATTTTTAAAAAATTATAATTGTAAGTTTTAATTATCACCGCTTAGTGGAATAGAGATTTCTTCGTATGTGGATTTTCATAAGCTCAAATCTGTACGTACAAATTATATAACTTCCTTTAGTTATTCGTTCTTTCAAAATTTTTTTTTTTTTTTTTTGAATCTGTCCTGAGTGCGGCCTGCGGGGGAAGCAGACGCCCGACCGAGGAGCCAGGCAGCACGGGGTTCAAAACTTTATATTATATTTGGTTTACCCAAGAAACCTAAACCCATACTTGTTGATGACTACTGCCTTATTAATATTATTCCCTCACTGACTAAACTATGTAAAGCATTTGAGAAGATTTTATTTTAAGAAATATATGTATTAATTGACTTCTATACCCTTAAATTCTCTTTTCAACCTGGCTTCTGAAAATTTCATAGTTGTGAGACAGCTCTTCCCAAAATCTCAGATGATATTTGCCTAAGCATTGATGATAATAAGTGTACAATTATTGTTTTAAATTTATCCCTATTTGCTTAGTGGTCATAATTTACCATATTAATATTCCAGTTTCTTCTGTTTTTCTTTTATTTTCATTTCAACCAAAAACCTTAGATAAAAAGAACAACTAATTGGAATTATTGTTTTACTTAATTTTTCAACTATAATCGGCTCCATGAATCATAATTCGCTTATTTGGAAATTGACGCATCTTTTTGGGTTTTCTTATACTGCTTATTGTACTACCTCAACTCCTCCGATTTCTGACAGAGAGTTTAGAGCTTCAAATTATATCTCCTCTTCTGTCTCAACTTTAGCTGGTATACCCCTAGGCTCTATTCTTGTACTTTTACTCTTTTCCATGTTTCTAAATGTTCATCCATTAGTTCTTAATTTCTCTCAATTTCCATTTTATGCTCATGACACTCAGCTTTACATTCAATGTCCTACAAGCAACACCTCTGAAGCTACCTCTCTGCTCAACAGGGATCTTCATTCTCTCAACCAATGGTCAAGAAAAATGGCATTCTTTTAATTTAAACTCTAACAAATCAAGTCCTTATTAATTTCCAATAAAGCCATTAATACAGATTACCCATTAGTCCTCATATCAATGGCTCCCTATTAATTTTTATCCTAAAGTTAAGAGCTTTATTATGAAAAAGGTCTACTCGAGCTTTCATTATAATCGATGCCTTAGCTTTTTCACTCTACAGAAAACTTGAGTTCTTAATAAATCCCCAATAATTCTTTTAGTCTCATATTGTAGTGTTATGTTTTCATTTTCCTTAGACTCTCAATCTCTTCATCGCCTTCAAATTGATTATCATTCTGCATTCTGTTATATCTTAAACTAGATATCATATTTCTTCCCATATTAATGTCTTCAGCAACCATAACATTCTAAGCACTTATAAATTAGAGTTTTAATATACATATTTAAAACAAAAACCTTCAATATCTATCAACTTTTTTTCCAACTTCGTTAACCAAGTGCACCAATCATATGCCAAGCCTTTAACAAACATCTAAAACTTTAGCCTTATCCTTCAGAATTGCAGGGGCAAAACTTTGAAATTTTCCTGCTTCCCCACTGACTTGTTTCAAGTCCTTGGCATCTGAGGTTTTAAAAAGACATAAATCATCCCCCTTTCTACCCTCTTCCTTTTCTTTTCCCCATTTCCTTTTTCTCCTTGTGCTTTTCTTTCATAATGTGGTTTCATCGTGTGATTATAAATGAAATATTAAATAATATATTATTGCCATTGTTTTGCACATTTTATTACTATTTTACTATGTTTAAACAACTATATGTTCATGTATGGGGGCTTAAAGCCATATTTGTATGTTTATAAATATATAAAACATTACTGGTTTTCCTCTTGTCTTTGTAATTCTTTAGAATTGGAGCAGAAAACAGCTTTTAAAAACACAAACAATTTATCAAAAAACAAAATTAAATCCTTTTTTTAGATTAAAAGGGTGTCTTTATTGAATAAATGACTTACGTTGGAGGGTTATTTAAAACCGAAAATATAATTTTTAAAACTAAAAAATATTAGTAATCAACATGGGTTGAGGTTGCAATCGTCTAGAATGAGAATCCTAATCAAAAATGCCGATAACGACGGAGCTGGACCGTTCTAAAATTTTCAATTTTACTGGGACGCACAGTTGGACAGAAGACCTACCGATATGCAGAGAATCAGGTGGGCGATAAGAAAAAAAAACGCATTCGTCAAGTAAAATGTACAAAAAAGGACAAATATGTGTACATAAAAATACTTAGAAAACATTGTCAGTTTGTTGCCAGTTTATGTACAATTTTTTATACTGATTATGGATAGCAGAAACTGGAAGATTTCCCTCAGAACAGCTTCACAGCTTATCGTACTCCTTCCTGTCTCCATTTTGGGAGATCTCAACAACGCAGTTAATTGAGCCTCTGGTGTTCTTCTATCAAAAAAACATAACTGATTCAGGGTCTCCGAAACCCAATCCTGTTGACCTTTTGTTGCGGCCACCACATTCCTTATGCTTCAGACAAATAAAAATCCAGAGACGATGGTGGATCAAACCCATGATCGCAAGATCGGCTAGTCTGACAACCATTAGGCTACCTCAGTACCTTTGTAGGACGAATATAAAATCAAACTTGACTTGTTTCATTTAAGATTTATTTTATTAATTGACTACACCAAAAAAGTCTTTGTAGACCCTTCGTACACTTAATTTAATCCAATAATAATTGTTTTTTAATTTCTTGGTTCAAATTGGTAATTTTTCTAATTAGGTGGTCCATTAAGTAAATGAAAAATAACACTAAAATATATAAAAAATTATATGCATGGAGGCGAGGAAGTTAAATGCACAAAAATAAATTTTCATACAAGTAAATTTATTTGTCGATCAGAAATGACTAAAGCTGTTACCTCGTTTGTTGTGGTTTGATTGAAAAGAAATGAAATTATTGTTCAGATTGAGCGTCACAAGCGAAGTGTGTCTGGCATGTAGAGAAAGGTTGCTCGACGTGTCCCACTTAATTGAAGGGTGCAATTTCTTAGCCCCGTATAGGGCGCATGCCTCATGATGTGAGAATCATGCTTGGGCACGCAGCAAGAATCTGTTCTGATTCTTGGAGAAAACAGGGTTGCTTTATTGTATATAGTAATGACAGTTTTGTACCTCTAGTATGTGTTGTGCATGAATGTATTTATTGGCATGAATGTGTAGTATGATGTTGAAATATTGAACACCCCATTGACCTTCAATTAGGCTATTTATGTAATAGTTGTAAAGGATAATGGAGGGATATCGAGTACTCTACCACCCTACCTGTGTGAATGATTGAGTGAAATAATTTTTATTTAAAAAAAAGCATACAAATTACATCTTGAATGGTACACAAATAATAATGGCATGTCTAAACCTGAGCAAATGGTATGTAAATTGAAAAGTATGTACTTAATTGTAAGTGAGAGTGTGAATGGGTTTGGATTTAGGATTGCTGAAATGATCAAGCTGTTGATAGCTGCTAGCTGATAGATGCTATTGCACCTTCAATAGAAGAATTGAAGGGTATGTAGAGGCTGCGAATAAAACTACAAATAAATTTTAAGAAAACAAATATTGATAGTAAGAATTTTTGAGATTAACTGTCAGGTTGGTGCACTGGGTGCAATATGATTCGAATATTTTAATATTATTTTGTAGTCCATGCGTGGTATCTGCCAAAATGACATTATCGTCTGCATAAAGTAGTATTTTTATGCTAGCGTTGCCTATTCAGACTCCACATTCGAGAGTCGAGGGGAGATCATCAAGAAAGAGAGCGAACAGTACATTTAACCTAAAAAAAATTTGATAAACCTTCACGCCCTCGGACCTCTGATGCTGTTTGTATGAAAAGGGATTTTAGAATATTCAAAATTTTGGAAGAGAAGCCATAGTTACTAATTTTGAACAAAAGTCCTCTACGATCTACACTATCAAATGCGGCTTTTAAGTCCACGAAAAAAAAATTTTTTTTGTTTAGGCCTGGCCAGTTTGATATTAATGATATTTAACAAGACAAGTAGATTATCACTTGTACAGTAACCTTTATGGAAATCCATTTGACATTCACTCAATAAACCCTTTCTTACTACGAAGGCATCAATGTGGGATAGGACTAGAGCAGAGAAAATTTTTGCGATCGAGTCCAGGCAGGAAATACCTCTATAATTATTTACATCATTGACGTCGCCACTTTTGAATAGGGGGATAATGATTGATTTTGAAAAGGATGGAGGAGTGAGATCTGAGGAAAATATAGAATTAAAAAATTGGAGAAGGTATTCACGAAAGGCAGATGGGGAATTTTTATAGAATTCGTAAGGAATTCTGTCAGGACCTGGGGATTTATTGTTTTTAAGCCTGGCAAGGATAGATTCCAGCCCTGCAAAGATAAAGGGGGCATCCAAAATAGGGTCAACTATATGTGGTTCGGTGTAGGAGATGAGGGTTTTGTTAGTAATGACAGGATTCAATAGTGACTTAAAATGTAGCGACTGTGCTTCGAGAGAGATATTATTTCCACAAATATGTCTCTTTGTTTTGAAAGTATTTATAGCTTGCCATAACTCTTTCAAATTTCTAGACAATTTTATTTGTTCAGCTGCTGAAAGGATGTATTCTTTTTTTCTATCAGCGCAAAGTTTTCTGTAGGAGGTTTTTGCACGCAGATAGGCTAATAGATAGTATATAACAGATAGTAAGACATCAGCAAAAATCCTCCTTAGTTATAAATAACAATGTAATAAATCGAGTGAGAGCATACCATTGCCTAGGGACGTTGTTCAAATGATCGGACTGCTGAGATCAATAAAAGGATCTAAATGGCAAGAGCGACGTTCGTAGAAATTCCATATTGTTATGCAGTAGAATCAAGGACCTTAAAAACAAGCCCACATATTGAAATTGGAAACATTTGAGATGTGTCTTTATTACAAAAAACTATTACTAACTTAAGTAATCGGTGGTGTACTTAGTATTTTCACAGTTGACCCCTTAAACCAGATGACATCTTAGAGTCATATTATTATTCATTAAATATAATTGTAATGATATGTAAATTTTAAAATAATTCTAGGTGTTGGATATGCCTGCAATCAAATGTATAGCCAGGATAATCACATGTGGCCTGAACATCCATTCGAAGAGATATGCCTTCATTCAGGATCGAGTGAAGACTCTTCTGTCTTTCTTTATGGCGTATTTGATGGCCATGAAGGAATTCAGGCAGCTGAATTCACAATGCAAGGACTTGCTGCTGAACTTCTTTTAGGGCAGCTTGCTGGAAAAACTAAGGATCAAGAAATCAAGGAAGCATTCAGGTTTTCACAATATTTGTATAAAATATTATTATTTAAAAGATAAAAATTGAGATCTAATGAATTGTCATTTTAATTGCCAAATCTCTGGTTATTGTATAACCCAGTTCTTTATATGTATTTAAAGTTATTTTATAAAGTTTTTATAGCCTTGTTCATGGTGATGTAATCACAAACATTTCAAAGTTATAATAACTTACTTTTGTTAAAAAATGCTACCAGTGTTTAACTGTAGTATTTTTAACATTAACCCTTGTGTACTGTTTAGTCAGGCTTTCCTTTCGGTTGAGAAAAATTATTTGGAATCTCTCGATGATAAGGTGGCCCAAAGAACGAGTTGCTTATTTGATATACCCGAAGGACTCAATCAGTTCGAAGCATACCAAAAGTGTCCAAATGTTGTAAGTGAAAACAGTTTTTTGACTTTACTGAATTGCTAATGATGCAAATTATGAATAATTTCAGTTTGAAAGTATACGAAAACTCAACTCAGTTTTATCATGTGGCACGACAGCAGTAGTAGCCCTTGTAATTGGAAAACGTCTTTATATCGCAAATGTGGGAGACAGTCGAGCTCTCCTGTGCAAAACGGATTCGCACGGTGTTCACAGGGTTTTGCAGGTTTCCGTCGACCACGATCTGTCAAATGAAGATGAGCTTCTTCGCTTAGATACACTTGGGATAAAACCTGACAAAGGAATTAGTAAGATTCATTTTTGAAATAAATTACTTAATTTAAGTACTAACGATTGGTATCCCTGCGTAGAAAGATTGGGCAATCAAGATAATACTCGATGCATTGGTAATTATCTTGTGAAGGGTGCTTTTAGAGAATTTGAAGAGCTGGCTTCAGCTTCAGAAGAGCCTGTCATTGCAGAACCTGAAATCCAAGGGGGTATTGAATTAGATGACTCTTGCCGGTAAGAAAATTATTTAATGTGTGAATATGTATGAAAAAAATAAATATATTGAATAAGGAGTTTTTTCCTCTTCAGATTTTTGCTATTGATGTCAAAGGGCCTTTATAAATCTCTAGAAGAAGCAACGGGGACTACTCAAGTTAATAAAGACATCGTGCAAATGGCTGTAGCAGAGGTGAGTATATCAAAAGTGTAAAGTAAGATGCTCACAAATTAAACAAACAATTTAGTTTAGGGAACAAACCACTCTGACAGGTGTAGCACAAGCTGTGGTCGACAAAGTGGTCCGGAAGCACACAGACATGTCTATGTCAGGAGTCAAACCTGAATTGATAAAACGGGATGACATATCATTATTGGTGAGGAATTTTAATTTCCCGATGCCCCATGCAACACCCCCGATGCATTTCAAAGGTAAATAATACCTATCCAAAGTGCCAAAGTGTTTACAGTTATATGAATCAACACTTTTTCTCGATTTTAGATACCCTACAGACAATGTCTGATACAAACAGCTCATCGACATGCCAAACGAGAACAAATCCGCCTACAGAAATCAAATCTTATATTGATTTTTCAGAATTTTACAAAAAAGTGGGTGAGGCAAAAGCAAATGGTACTCTTCCCAAGGAGCTGTATTTTTAATTAGAATTTATGATGCCTTAAAAACATCACTTGGTTTGAAGTTGATTATAAAAAAAATAGTAATAGTAATATTAATAAAAAAAAAAAATAAAAGTATTTTATGAAACTAAAACATTATTTAAAAAAAAAGTCAGTTTTATCTAAATTGTTGCATAAGTAACTCTTAAATTTGGTTAATACAATTAGAATTATATAGATGAAACGGATTCATTTATTTTATGACAGACTGATTATAAATTATTTTTTTATTTTATCAAAGTAAACTGTTTTAATTACTGTTATTTATTTTGTCTCTGTTGAGCTAAGTGTACAAAATTGTAAAAAAAATATATATATAGAAAATTAACTAATTAACTAACTATTCATCTAGTATTATTGTACATTATGTTGATTTTTCTTGTAAATTTTTTATCATTAATAATATATGATGTTTATTAAATTTTTCAGAAGTTTCGTTATATTCTTATCATCTGCCTTCTATGAACTCCTAACAGTAAATATTTTTATATTTTTGTTTTAACATTGGCTAGTTGATATTGCAAGAGCTTGTATTATATGAAATATGTTAAATTTTTTATCAAATAATTTTATTAAAAAAGATACAAGCAATGGTATGTTTTAAATAAATAAATCTGTTATGAATTATCCTGCCCATTAAGCTTTACATTGTGTTATGGAATATAAGTTTTTGAAAATGAATACCAATTCTTGTTGTACTATCATAATTAATTAAATAAGAATGTTTACGGATACTCAATTTAAGTAATTAGAAGACTAAAAATATCATTTCTGTTCAATTCACATCTTGGTGCTACTTGTAACGTAAAAGCAATAACAACAAGTGTTATTTTTGTTACTTATATTGCTGTTCTTGACATACTTGTTCTAAAATACTGAACGTTTCATGTCGAACGATAAATGGTTACAATAAAACATGTTTATAAAAGAAAATTAAGTAGTTAAAAGAGCAAGCTCAGTAGAGAAGAAATGCTGGTTAATATTATGTTGGATGTTCTTTCATGTACTTTGGATGATTTGTAATAACATTTTTCTTCTGTACACGTGTTTTATTTAAAGGTAGAATATATTTTCAAATTTAGAAAAAAAGCTGTGACACAGCAGAAAATGTTGGTAAAGACTAATAAAAATCACTCAAATCACACAAAAGAGATCAATTTTATACAAACATTACATTTTGATACTGGGCCATGACAGCCATGTGTACAAAGACATAGCAAAAATGAAAAAGCATAGTACCAATTTTGCAATATGTTTTAAGTGAGTTATCTTAATTTATCTGTGCACTAATGATGAGCCGCTGATTATCAGTACTGACCAAAATGCTTGTTCTTGAATCAATGAACGATTACTAAATTACTTATAAAACAAAATGAAGTAATTAAAAGGGTCAATTTTGTTTGATAAATTCCCTTCAAAAAAGTTTCTTTTGTAAAAATGATAACACCCATTTTGGAATACATTTCAAGTTATTTTATCTGTTCACTTGAGCCACTGATGATCAGTATTGATCAAAATAAGAGACTATGAGCTAGTCAAATCAATGAATAAAAATAAAAAATGAAAATAATTAAATTACAAAAAAATTACACTAATCTCAGTCTTTATTAATTTCTGAAAACCCTTGTGGTGTCATGTTTGTTTTCACGACTTTTCATTTTCACCTAGTCACTACAATATTGCACCACACTTTATGTGAGTATATTTATTTTGTTTGACATTTATATTAAATGTACTAAAAAAAAAATAATAAAGTTTCGAAATTACTTCTTTCCTGACTGCTCTTCACTATTTCAAAAAATTATTCAACAACTGTCGCTTAATAATACACATTATAAATAATTAATATTTTAATGAATATATTTTCTTATGTTTTATTATTATAATTACTATTATTATTTTACTCTCTTTATAAAACTTAATATATTTATAATATATGTACATATTAAAGCTTACCTTTAAATAGATAAATAAATTAAATAATATTGTTGGGCCAAAGATGATCATTATTGATCAAATTACTTGTTATCAAATTATATTTAATAGGAGTGCATAAGGTACTTAAATATTTAGATAATTAATTATTTTTTATAAAGTAATTAAAGAGCCAAATTTAACAGATAAAACAACTTAAATAGTTTTATGACAAAAACATATAATAATACACTGTTGGTATTCTTTTTTAAGCAATTTAATTAATTTAAAAAAATAGATTACTTATGCAGCCTTAGTTTTGATATATTTAAAAATTATAACACATCACTAAAAAGTGTGGTGTTTATCAAAAAGAGCCAAGTAATTTGTTTTTATGACATGTCTTCCTGATAAGAGTTTATACTTTGTTATATTTACTTGAGTTTTATACAGTACATAAAATTAATTAATAAATGTAAAATTAACCATTATTCGGCGTTAAAATTAAATATTTAACAATGAATAAATGAAGTTCGTTTTGTCACACCTGTGCCTGTTAAGTTAGCATTATTCAATGGCTGAAAAAATAATTGTAATAATTATATTTATTGATTATTTTTTTATATTTTATGATTTTAAGGCGTATTGAAATAAATGCAAAATTTAATTGTTCCTTATCAATTTCAACCCCCCATAAAATAGTTGGAGCGGTAATTTGAGGGGCTGATACATGGTGTATGGAGTTGATTGTTGCCAAGCATACCAGTTCGGTTTTCTCCCAAAAACCTTTTTTTACCCAACCCTGGAAATCGGGCTGTGGATTTAATTTCTCATCCGTTCCGATAAATTCTAAGGATTTCCCTTCAAAAATTGCCCTTTCTCCCACCTTCGGGCTCATCCGGCTTTTTGACAAATCTGATGCAGTTTTTAGCGGTTATGTTTTGTTGTAAGTTTGCCTGAGGAACCTTCCTGGAGTACCCATCAGTTCAACTTGTATTTTTATTATTAAACGACATCTCGGATTTATATCCAATAACAATTAAATGGTAAATAAACAGTTATTAATTCTGAAATTATTAATTTTAAGCAGTTTGTTAATGTTGAAATGGACGTAATGTATGCTCCCTTTAGTCAACTTCTACCAGGTTCATAACTTACTACACCCCAACCATAGCCTAAATATTTCTAAACATCATATAATTTGTTTTAAACTATTCGGCTGAGTAACAATTGATTTATTGTATCGTCCAATTGTATTTTACTCGGGTCGTTTTGCATTTCAGTTGATTTGGTTACAGCACTCCTAGAAACTAGTTAAACATTCGACTCTTTTACTTCCTTTTACTAAAAAACAAACAACTAAATCATTTTGCGCCTTGTATTAAAATAGCATGCCAGTTTCATAATATTTTTTTATGTTAAAAATGTTTTTTATGTAATCATAAATAGCCAGAAAGTAAGCGTTTTTTTCTCTTTTGTTTACAATAAGTTGAATCTTTTAGTTTGTACAATTCTAATATTATATTATTTAGATATTATATTTCCACAATCAATTCAAACCGAAAATGTTTATACTTAACAACTTTTTATATCTACTAAAAATATTAAAAATCCTTGAATAAAATTTAACAAAGTAGTAAGCTTTATGTACAGCAGATTACACTAGATCTTTTAAACTAAAATGAGAAGAGCTTTTTTTTTGTTTTATTTGTAAAAGGCTGAAAGCACTAATATTTTATTAATCAATAAATGATTTTAAAAAAATCATTTGAACGTTCCTTAAATTTTGTTTAACAAAACTAAAACAGTCTTTATATTTTCAAGTAATGCATAAAAAATGTTTTCTTGCTTCACAGAACTCTAAATCTTATTGAATCTATCTATGCAATTTATAAGAAAATAAAAAGCATATTTACAATAGAAAATGAAAATAACTTGTATACCTTTCTTCTTTTTATTGTGGTTAATTGTTTACTTATTTAATAATTAGAATTGCTTCTTAATATACAGCCGACTTAAAAATAAACTCATGCCTGAAGTGGCATTGTGAAGGTCACTCACAATGCTCACCTTCATTATTATTATAAAAATAATAAAACTAGTCAAAATTTCAATAAACATTTACTATTCGCATAATTAAATAAATCTCCAATATGTGAAATGTGTATTGACAATTTGATCAAAGTCAATTTAAACTATAAAATGAAATATTCTAGATTAATTTTTTTCCGTGTATAATTAATATCATTATAAGTTTTAGTTTCATGTTGTTTTTACATCCATAAAGGAAAAAGGTTGTATGAATAATCTTTTAAATTTTTTCGTAATGGTAAAATGGGAAAGTGTTAACTATATCTTAACTTGAAAATGAATATATTACAATGTTTAAGTATATAGTATTTGAATTCTGTTATAATTTTTAGAGGAAACAGAACTGTAGTACTTTATAGATAGCTTAACTTGAGCTTTTTTGTATTGATTGATTTGTATTGAGACTGTATGTGAGAGTCCTCAGAGGGTCTCACTTGTAAAATGGTCATCCATATCCGATTAAGTGTGAGGTTGACACATGAACATTTACTTTTGGGGCTGAAAAAGCTGCTCATTGTGTCCCACTTAATTGAAGGATGTCATACCTCGGCTCCATATACAAGGGCAAAATTGTGCTTTAAAATGCCATCAAGTGTTTGGTTCTCCTGTTTTGATTAATAGAGGAAACAGGGCTTTACTGTGCATAATATTTTATTGATGCCCATCTTGTGAATCGTTGGTGTATTGAGACTGAATGTATTTATTAGCACCTGTGTAGTGCAAGAGGGCTGACGGGGGAATAGATTGATCCTCAATTAGTTTAGTTACATAATATGTGTAGAGGTTGATGGAGGAATATAAAGTACTCCACCATCCAAATAAGTGCATGGTATATAAATAGAAAAAGAATTGAGAGTGATTGTGTTGTGGGCTGAAAAGACCTAGTGTTGATGATAGCCCCTAGTGTCCAATCTCTGTAGTTGGATGAATAAGACTGGTCTGACTTCCAACACCCAGGGTGGGTGATATATTGTAAATTACCCAAAAGCTGGAATCGTCAGTGTACTGTGAGAAGTGATAGGTTCAGCTTTGTACTCGGGTGTAGGAGTAGTACATCCGTGTGCAGAATTGAGCCGATATAAGTCAATAATCAGTATAGTATTTGAATTGTGATACTAAACCATTACTTTTTTCATACTACATATATTAATTTATTTAAATTATTTTATGCACTGAAACCATTTTTTATGTATAAACAATTTTTTCTTCTTATTATGCTACTATTTTCTTTTCAGAATTATCTGTCAAAAACGATTTAAAAATTTGCTGATGAAAATAATTTTCTCCTCCAGAAGAAAAAATCTACAGTAGGAAGAGAGAGAAAAACGAAGGATCTCTATATTTTTAGGTAAGAATTGAAATTTGCTTCTATACTTAAGTAAAATAATTTAAGCATGGACGTATTTTTTCATTTTATAATTAACTGCTTTCAAATATTTTATTATCTATTATACAATTATTTTTAACTTATTTATTTATTTTATTCTTATTATTTTAATGGCCTTATGTTCTTGCATATTAGCTAGAGCAGATAGTTTTGTTGTAATAAATTTCATTATGTATTGGGGGGAAGGGAATGTGAAAAAGTCCAGGGGCACAGTGGGAATCAATCCCATGACCACGGGGTCTACAAGCCTAGCCCAATATTTTTAACTTACTGAAGACCTTTAAGATTTTTTATGCCCATTGCGTGTTGAAAATATTGTAAACTATGGCAGATTTCCTTTATTTAGATGGTTTAACTAATGTTGAGCACTCCTGACCTCATAAAGGGGATGGATGAGGGTGAATGCTTGAATGTTAACATCAGTAAGCTGATGAATCAAACAAAGACTGAGTGGAAGAGGTCAAAACCAATCAGGACCTACAGTAAAGCATCACCACCAATGAACGATACAAAAAGCCGGTATGGCAGGTCGCACAAGCCCCGACTATCATGTGATTTTGTTTCAACCGACCGAAAAGTCAGTCAAATCCTTAAAGTTGATTTTGACAACCAGATGCATTACTTCAAATCGACACCATGTAACTCATACAGGTGAGTTTTTCTTTTTTAAGTTTGTTCTACATTTCAGTTTGTATAATAATAATTGAAAAATCTACAGGGTATCAAAAGCAGTGATGAATACGCCTTCTTCCTCTGGAAGTGGCAAAACAAAGGGAAGGCCTAGAAAGTTGGTAATGGAAATGGGAGCCAAGTCTGACCCTGGACCTCAGATTCAGACACGATTGCCGTTAGCGAGAAAACCATTTCCGAAGGAACTAAAAGACAGGGAACTTCAAGCACCAGCACCAACCTCAACAGAGACCATTCCATTACCTTTAGAACTTCAACTGAAAATGGAACCTCCAGATATTGATGATGATGTCGATGATGAATTACAGACAGACGATCTTGTAATAGGCGACCTTGCCTGGGCCTGTGTAGGAGGATTTCCCTACTGGCCATGTGCAGTCACAAAGGACCCTTTTGAACATGTTTACACTAAACTCAAGTGTATGTATTTGTAATTTAAGAAACTTGAGTTAATTATAAACCAAATTTAGTGATAAGAATAACAACAGCTTTATCAAATATTCATGATTTTTTAAATTTGATTTCTTTTATTGCGATGATTTATCTTCAATCATGTGTGTTTATATTCTAGTTCTGGGCAGGGGTAAGACTGGAAAAGAGTATATACATGTCAGGTTCTTTGGTGACAATGGGAGACGAAGCTGGGTGGTTAAAAACAACACTATGCCTTACTTGGGTATCGATCATTTTCAAGCTATGGTTGTGCAGTTTTCAACCCCTCATGTAAACAAACTTTTCTTTAAAAAATGTCTGAACAAAGTAACCAATAATTACAATAATTTATCATTTTTTATTTTTAGTATAAGAAAACTGATTTGAAGCTTTTCAAAGCTTTCACGGTTGGTGCGAGTGTAAGAAAACCTTGGCAAGCGGCTGTTAGTGAAGCCGAGAGTCTAAGAGAATCTCCTAGGTAAGATAAAATCATCTACTTAAAAAAATAAATAAACAATATTATTTTACATTATTTACTTGATTTATTTAGGTCAGAGAGATTACAGTATTTTGTAAATCTGTACCCCGTGGCACCAAACAAATTCAACACGTCAGTAATTATAACACCTGAGAAAAGGGTAACTGAAATAGAACCAACTACACCTTTGCTTAAAAGGAAACACGAACATGTCGAGGAGAATGGGGCTGCATTTGCTAGTGCAGAGGAGTTGCCCGAAACAAAACGGCCTAAAGTTAAGCATGTGAGCTCTATGAGTCCAACAAAATCAAGTGTGCCTCTGGCCAACCAGTCATGCATTACTGAAACACCGAAAAACAAGATTATTACCAAGAGACGAAGGTCTTCACATGGGTTTCTTGCGCAGGTGATAAAACAAGAAACAGTTTCATCTGAAAGTGCATCTTTGTCTGATGCAGATACACAGATAAAAGAAGTAAGCATATAATTAAAATGATACGCATTTGTTTTCTTATTTGCCATGATTTAATAATTACAGATTAAAACTGAACTAGAACAACAACAAAACAAATCCTTAGACGCATCCACGAATTTGCCAAGAGTGAGGAGGAAGTCAGACGCCCTGAAAAGGACTCAAGCTAGCAAACCTAGAAGTTCTGTGAAAAAAGAGGACAATGAATATGAGTACTTTCCGTACAAAAAGAGTTATAACAAATCTCTAAGGGACAAAGGGTCTAAAGAGAATAGGAAGTCATCCAAACCTACCAAAGAAGAAAAAAAATCGAAAAAATACCCTAGTGGATTTGAAACATTTTCTGAGAAACATTATGATCGTATTTCTGATGAAAATCCTCACCTTTCCAATGATGATGTTGTTAAATATTTGGAAAAAATGTGGTTAGAAATGTCAGACCTTCAGAAATCAAGGTATCAATTTCAATTTATATTCTTAACTGTGCTTGTTTTTAAACATGTTTTGCCCTGTCATGTCAAATCTTAAAATTATTGGATTTTCAAAGAAATATCTTTTTGTCGCTTGGTGAAGCTTTTCTTTGGATAAACCAAAATTAATGTAAAAAAAAAATCTATTTTAACAGCATAATATTTGAGAAGTAGAATTTATGCTAGTATTTACTAGATAATCCTAACATTATTGCTCTATTTGTTTCTAGATATCGCTCAAGATTGGCTGAAGATCAAGGGAAGGAGGTATATGAAGATGAGTCAAGAAGTCAGTCTCCTCAGCCAGTAGTTATCTCTAACAGCAAGGCAATAAAAAGAGGTATTGAGATTTATGCCTTAGCTTTTGGGGCAACTTATTTAATTTAATTTATTTTTTGTAGGATGGACTCTTTTTAGTGGGGTAAAAACTGACAAAGTGTGTCATATATGCCTTAAAGGTGGTAAAATTGTCAAATGCCGTGGGCCATGTGCTCTTCCTTTACATGTAGAATGTTCTGTGCTTCCAAGGCACCAAGCATTTGTTACTAGCCCTCAACCAAAAGAAGAACGTTTGAAGAAACGAGGAAGAAAACGAAAGTATAAACTTGATGACAAAGAAGAAGCAAATGAAAAGAAGGAAGAAGAACCTGAAGCAAATGAAAAGAAGGAAGAAGAACCTGAAGCAAATGAAAAGAAGGAAGAAGAGCCAAAAGAAAATAAGGAAGTTGAATCTAATATGATAAAAGAAGACATAAAGCAAATTAAGGAGGAAGATCCAAAGGAAACTGACAAAGAAATCAAGGAAGATAAAGAGGAAGTGTCTAAGGCAAATAAGGATAAACAATCAAATGGAAAAGAATCTAAAGAAAATAAGAATGAAGAACCTATAGAAAATAAGGAGGAAGATTGTAAGGCAAGTGTGGAAAAAGAGCCTAAAGAAAATAAGGAAGAAGAACTTAAAGCAGATAAGAAAGAAGAGTCTAAGGATAAGGTGGAAGAAAAGCCAAAGGAAACCACAGAAGAGCTTGAGACAGATGAGGAAGAAGCATCTAAGGATAATAAAGAAGAAAAGCCAAAGAAAAACGCTGAAGAGCTTAACACCGATAAGGAAGAAGCATCTAAGGGTAATGAGGAAGAAAAACCGGAGAAAAGCATAGAGGAGCTTAAGGCAAATAAGGAAAAGGCCAATGGTGATTCACAAGAAAGTGATATGGCAGAAAAAGAAATTGTTATAACATCTGAAGAAGAAGTAAAAGTTGAATCTATTAGTTGTCACCTTAATTCAGACGAAACTACTGTCCTTAATGGTGAAGTGGGTTGTGACACAGTAAACATCTGTTTGGCAGCAACAGAATTGAGCAATAACTTAGAAGTTGATAAACTGTCAGTTAATAATACAGACTTTAAAACGGAATTAGGAGATAAGGAAAATAAAAAAGGAACACAGGTTCGAGTTGTTTGTTTGTACAATTTTTTTTATGATTTGTTATAATGTTCAGTTGAAATTTTATTTTAGGATGTTAAAAATAAGGGTGAACAAACATATAACGGTAATGAAAGTAACAAAATGGAGGTTGAAGTGACTACTGGACTTCCTACTCCACCACCCGAAATGGAAAAACTGGGTGAGACGGAACCCTCTGAAAAACCAATTTCCGAAGTGTCTGAGGAATATTCTGATTCAGGAAGCTCATCAGCTTCTTGCATGAAAAAAGGGAATAAAAACGATTCCAATGACGAAAAGAAGAAAGGTTGGATGTGTAAATTATGTAAAGAAGGGAAAGATGGTCCTTGTTTTGTCTGTGGCAAAGAATCTGGCAAAGTGTACAAATGTTGCACAAGTAAGCAAACAAAAGATCATGTTAACAAACATTAAGCACTTTCCTAAATTGTTTTTAGCTTTTAGTAGTGACTAAGTTGAAGATTTTTGGTATTGTGAAGTAATTATTGGTTTTTAATGCTTTTTAAATTAATTATTTTATTTGTTAAAGGCCACTGTGGTAAAGTGTATCATGAAGAATGTCTTTTATCCTGGCCTCAGACGCAGGTGTCTACTAGCTCCAAAAGTAAACTTGTATTTCATTGTCCACAACATGCATGTCACACTTGCATTTCTGATAATCCATCAGCTAATCCACTTCGTTACTTGAATGACAAGCTGGTTCGATGTGTTCGCTGTCCTACTTCGTATCATTATGGTATAAATTTAATGTAAAACTTTCCTCACATATGAAAACTCACATTTTAATTTACTTCTAGGTAATTACTGCATTCCAGCTGGATCAGAAATTTTAAGCAGTACACAAATAATGTGTCCGAAACATTATGTTCATGAGAAGAAAAGTCTAGCCCATGTAAATGCTGCATGGTGTTTTCTTTGTGCCTCTGGTAATCTTTTTGATTATTCAAAAAACGCAATTCAATACTTAATGAAATTAATTTTTTATATTTATTTATTAGGTGGTTCATTGATATGCTGCGATCTCTGCCCAAATAGTTTTCATTTAGAATGTCTTAAAATCTCACCACCTGATGGTTCTTTTATATGCGAAGACTGCGAAACTGGAAGGTACCCACTTTACGGCGAGATTGTTTGGGTCAAATTGGGTGTTTATAGGTGGTGGCCTGCTAAAATCCTGTTCCCACAAGAGATACCTGATAATATCCGAATGTTGAAGCATAAATTGGGGGAATTCGCAGTTGAATTTTACGGATCTCATGATTATTATTGGGTCAACCGGGGGCGTGTTTTTCTCTACCATGAAGGGGTAAATACAACACAAATATCTGTGGAACAAAATCAATTTTATTCATTTAAAATTGCAGGACAGTAGCGAAAGTATTGTGAAAAATCGAACGGATAAGCTTTTTATGAAAGGTGTGGCTGAGGCGTCTGAGGCTTTTAATAAGTTAATCTTGGAAAGAGCTGATAGAGAAGCTAGTCGACCTTTACAGGTAAGACGAACTTAAAACTAACATTTTAATTTAGTGTAAAGTGAGTAAATTTATTATCTGTTTTTATTATTTTTAGAAACCACCGAAATATATAAAAATTCAAGTAAACAAACCATACAGTTCAGTCAAAAACATTGAACTAGATTCAAATAGCATTACTCCTTGTGAGTGTGATCCTAAGCAAGATAATCCTTGTGGACCAGACTCCAACTGTTTAAATAGGTACTTTGTTTAGGCGGAAAAATATCATACAAACTTATGAAAATCTTAATATAATACATTTAGATTATTTTAGTTAATTCCTTGTGTTATTTTTACAGGTTACTTCTAGTAGAATGCAACCCTGAGATTTGCCCTGCAGGTGAAAAATGTTGCAATCAGAATTTCGAGAAGAGACTTTACCCTCCCTTAGTCCCGTACAAGACTGAAACTAGGGGTTGGGGCCTCAAGACGTTGGTCCCCTTGAAGAAAGGTGATTTCGTTATTGAATACGTTGGTGAGATAATAGACGAGGAGGAATATCAAAGGAGGCTTGAGCAAATGCAGAAGACAAAAAGTGAAAATTATTACTTCCTCACAATAGACAAGGACAGGATGCTTGATGCTGGCCCAAAGGGAAATATGGCAAGGTAAAATTATTATGAACATAAATTTTAGGATCTTTAATTATGTTTTTAAATTATATTTAATTACCATTCAATTTGGAATTTTGTGATTTGTTATACTTCGTTCGCAGTAGTACCTGACTTTAAGCAAAATTTCTCTGAGTTGAGCTGAAAACAATTGATATTGGGCTATTTGGATAAACTTCATCGAACAAATTGTACTTATGAATTGGACTACAATTTTGGTTTTTAATAGTCTTAACTATTTGTATGTATAATAAAAGATTAAAAATAAAATTAGCCTCGGATACCTAAACTATTCATGTTAAAAAGTTAGAAAAGTTGACCAAAATTGTGCCTTTCAAATTTGTTTCCAAAGCCATTTAAGTTTATAATAATTGGTTTTTGATAAATTATATAACTGATGTCTGATTAGATTAGTCATTTATATTTTGATTATTAACAAAAATGTTTTAAGAGCTAAAATATGATGTAGAATTATATAAACATTGTTATTATTTATTTTATTTGTTAAGCCGGGGCTACCAACAGTGGTCATTTCAGTCCCCTAAACATTAAACAGATTAAACATTTTATACTTACATGTACACACATGAACACTTATTCATATAAATATACATACTTAACACACATATACATAAACTTACACACAGTATATGCATTCCTATATATAAAGGACGACCACATTTCCCTTAAGAAATGGAACAAGCGACCCAGCAATTGACCCGCCCATCTGAGTACCTTCTTTATCTCAGAGGCCATGCCTTCTCGCTCCCTGTAATGGGCCAGGGCATGGCACTCTTCGATGAGATGACCCAAAACCAAGTGTCTATGCGTCAGAAGTGTATGATTGATTCTCAAACGGGTTAGGACAATCCTTTCCTTTCATTTCAGACACTCAGAGGGACAATGTTCAATCACGCTCTTAATTCATAAGTGCTACGCAGACAACCCGGCTCAATGCCAACGCTCTATTACAGTTTTTTATTTTTTTATTTTTTTTTTACGAGGGTTCGCAACAGCAGAGTTTTTAACTACAGTATGAGCGCCATGTCAAAGACTAAACCTTGCGGCCACCGACGCTCCCTCTATTACAGTATTCTTTACTGTTTACACAATGGCACTGGGTCAGATCATGGTAGTTTGGTATGGAGGGTGAGATATCCCAGCTTTCGCCACCTCATCTATATGTTTTTTGCTCTCCAGCCCGATGTGTATGGTTACCCAGATCACTAACCAGAGATACTTCCAACTTAGCATATTTCTCCAAACACAGGAGCACAACAACAGGGTCTGCCGAGAATTATTATTACATTTATGGTCACAAGAAAATCAATCAATCATACTAATATTGTTCCCATCAACTTCTTCAGCTTTTCATCTTTAGATCTTCCTGGTTCCCTCTTAAATGAATTAAAGATGTCTATGGAGGAAAAACTAAAAGTTATTCTCGATTTTACCAAAAACTAGTTTTATTTTTACTTAATAGTTGTATAATAATAGTTTAAAAATTGACATATTTGTAATTGTTAAAAAAAAGTTTAGTTGAATTTAAAATTTAGCCTATAAATATTATTGAAACCTAATTACATTGTAAAAAGTGATTGTTTTAAATATAATGAGATAAATAAAGTGTAGAAAAAAACTCCTTGATTCAAAAGAGTAGGGTGTAAAAAAACTACTCTTCCATATAAGGGTGGTCATCAAAAATTCAAAATTTCACTCACTGTTGCTTTCAATAATTTTGATTTTAAATTGTAATTCTTAGGTTTATGAACCATTCTTGCGATCCAAATTGTGAAACTCAAAAATGGACAGTTAATGGTGATACTCGTGTTGGACTGTTTGCTCTCAAGGATATTCCTGCCAATACAGAAGTCGTCTTTAATTACAACCTAGAGACAATTGGTAACAACAAAGTCGAGTGCAACTGCGGTTCTTCGAACTGTGCTAAATATATTGGAGCCAAGCCTACCAAAGTAAGGACTTATTATTAACAATTTGATACAAGCACTTTTTATTTTATTTTGTTATTGCAGATCCCTGTTGAAGACAAAAAGGTGAAAGTTCCTGTCAAGAAAAAGAAAGTGGCCAAAAAAGACAAGACCTCGACAGGTGGGAAATTTAGTTTGCCCACGAAAGTAACAGAAGATAACTGTTTCACGTGTGGAGAAGGAGGAGAACTCTTGCTCTGTGATATGGCAACCTGCCCTAAGGCTTATCATCTTACGTGTTTAGGATTAACAAGGCACCCTGCAGGTGAGTTCATTCGAGGAATTATTCTATTTATTAGGTCCTATTTCATAAAATAAATTTTACTAATGTTCTATCATTTCTAGAGATTATTGATATTTAAAAAGCTTTGTTGGTTTTAGTTTACATCATCTTATGGTAGTTCTGGTTTGCATTTGTATTGTGCATGCAGGATGGTGAGCATGATATGCGCTTTTGCTTCTTGCAATGAGGTATTGAGAGTATAACGATAAATCAGAGTATCGTGCTCACCCCTACCTACGCTCAAGTACTGTGAGCGTCATATTGCACTCTAGTATTTTCACTTTTAGGCTGACTTTTCTATCTGGATAGAAATAGGGATGGGCGCAATACACACTCTCTGTATCTGCATGGACATAGGGATGAGCATGATGTCATACTCTCAGTATGAAGGGGAAATAAGAGCACTGACTGCCCTGGATGGGATAAATGAATTATACAAGTGTGAAATTTTGTTTTTAAGTATAATTAATTCAATAAAGCACTCTTAATATATTATTTTCCATTTTGAAATTATTATTACATTTTATAATTATTGTTTAACAAATATTAAATTATGCAAGTTGTATTTTTGAAAAATTCAAGTTTTTTTTTTAATTGTGGCCTGTGCTGTAACAATTATTTTGATGAATTGTGATTTTGAAAAAGCAACTAATGCATTTCCAGGGATTTTAGAGCATTTGCTGTAAGGTGACATATTTGAACTTTGAAGTTAATGAGTGCAATTTGCAGTACCCTTGGCATTCACGCTCGCTCTAAACCTTGCTCTCTTTCCTGGTTTATAGCTAACAATTTTCAAAGCATTAACACATTAATTACGGTAATGATTTGTAATACTAATCACAAAATACGGGATTTTAAAGTGCATTGTAACGAAATATGTCTAGAACAACATACAGGGGAAGGCTTACATTGTTCTCATGTACCCTCATAATTTTGGTTGCTCTCATGTTTCTACTCCAGTCACATATTATCAAAATTTTATATCTCAATCTCATTTTATTTTATTTAATATTTTAAAGGAAAATATCAATAATAAAGAGAAGAAAACAATTTTTTACTTACCACTTATGATTTATTTTACTATAATTTTGTAAAATTGTTGATTTGTTATCACAGGAGGTTGGGTCTGCCCATGGCATCAATGCAGTATATGCTCAAAGCCTAACGTCCAAAGGTGTACGCTTTGTATAAATTCCTACTGTCAGGAACATGCGAAATCCAATATCTCCCTCAATAAGACGCATGGGTTGCTTTGCTTCCATCACCACATTGTAAGTAGTTTTGTACCCACTCTCATTGCATTCGACTAATTTTTTTTTTTCCATCCCTCTAGACGGATAGTGGCTCTGAAACTGAAAAAGGTGAAGTGTCTGAAGACGAAGACGAGGATGATATAAAACTGCCGAGAGCTAAGTCACCTTTGAAAAAGACAATTTCTTATTCGAGTTACTCAAGGCGTAGTCAGCAACTAACAAACGGACACCTTTAATTTAAAGCATATGTATAAAATGTCACGGGACAAAATGAAGAAGTACATATTTTTAGTTTTAATCATATTTAACAAAACTGAAGTGTCATCAACACTTTCAATTAGTGCCTGTTATTTTGTTTGTTTTAAGAATGGACTTTTTACTAAAGTGAGACAAGAGAGAAAAATATGTTAAATTAATTATTTTAGCATTTCTATTTTTAAAGAAACAAGAACTATTATTATTGTAGTTTACAGCCCTGTTTAGAATGCTTTTTACAGTGTACTTGTGGTTTTATGATTTTATAATAGTTGTTTTTAGTTGTTCTAAATATTGAAATAAGTGTACAAAGAGAGTTGGTTAAATTTAAATAGGTAAGGGTTCAAAAGTGAAAGGTTAGATTACAAAATAATTAAAATAAAATAAATAGTTAAAATATTGCAATGTGTATAGATATATCAGTCAGTATATATGTGTGAAGGAGATATTAAATGTTCTAATCTCCAAAAAGACTTTGATAAAGAAATTTAAATAAATAAAATTTAAGACTCTGATCGTGTTGATGTTACCAAAAAGGTGTTTACAAACACTCTTTAGGTTTTTAAGAATATATAATTGAAATCTCCTTTTATAAAAAAAAGAAAGAAAAAAACGATTTTTGTATAATGAAATGCAATGTTTCGATATAGTGTTAACTATATTATTTATATATATATACATTTTTTTAAATTTTGTTTTTAATATCAACTTTTTTATATTGGTCCTTTGAACAAAAATTTATTATACACAATAAATTATTGTAAATATTAAAAAAAGCATAAATAACTTTCATTACATGAAATCATTATTCAGTTTTTATCAATTTTTGAAAATTTAGGCACATAAAATTGTAATATAAATTGAATTTGTTTTTAAGGATAACTTTGGTTTACAAAAATGATGGCCCGGTAGATAATACTAAATTTATTATGTACCCGATATTTTATACGATAAATAAATTATAATTTGGTTAAATATAAATTTATAGTATTTGTTTTATCTCAACTTCTGTCTGGATGTTTTTCCTGTTTTTGAAGTAATTTCTAAGAAAATAATAAATTAATAAGAAAATTATCAATGGAAAAAGGTATCACCGATTAAAAGAATATTTAATTTAATCTACCAAGCATTAAATGTGTACTTCAGGCTGTGAATCTTACATGAGAACAATTATTTTCAAAATCATGCTATCATCTATATTTGAATTAACCTCAATTTAAGCACAATTCTAACAAAGTTGTTTACAATGAAATTTTTAATTTTTCACATAACAAATTTTTTGAAATATTTATAAAACTAAAATATATTATATTACACCTATGACAATTGTGAAAATTAAAATAACAACTAAATAAAAACAGGTGAAATAAATTTTTTTTTTTTCTATTTAGAATATTTTTAATGAGAAATTGATATTTTTATATGCACATACATTTTATTTGTCTATCTTACATTGACTGAAGTTTCATTATTTAGAATAGAAATTAATTTATTATTAACTTGGTTATTAAGCATAAGCATCGCAAACTATAACAGGAAATATGTGATGACCATATTTATTTCAACTGCTTAAAGAGTAAATATAATTTAAACCTACAAAATTCATTGTATAAAAATAAACAATTTTGAATACGACATTCTTCTTTTTTAGTTCTAATTAAGTTTAGAATACTGGGGAAGACCTAGAAATCAAGTTGATGACTCGATGGAGTGAAACCTTAGGAACACCATCCCTTGTCAAAAGACCAAAACAATGTTTCTATGTTTTAGGAGCCATAAATAATTGGTATATTAATTAACAGAAAAGGAATTGTAAATAAACTTATGTAAATAAGATGAGAATTTTCTACACATATTTCTCCTTTTATTTTACAAAACAGCAAAAGGAAGAAAACATTTGTTTAAATCTCCTAGAATTTCTCGTAGTATACTTTTTTTAATGCTTATTGTTATAGTATCATAATCCTTTTATTTATTTATTTTTTGTATATTGGACAATTTAAGATATTAAAATAATGTATTCTGATCTCTGAATTGGAATTAAAACTATTTAGAGCACTTTTACTCATTTCTATATGATTATTAGTTACTGTTTTATTTATTTATTTACAGGTTATGCCCAGTTATATGATAAAATGGTGAATATTTACAGGTTAGATACAAGTGTTTTCAGAAATGAAAAGATTTAAAGAACAAAACTAAAATATTAAAACAAAGAACAAAAAAATAAATAAACACATAAATATTAAAACTAATGAGGCATATAGTGATTTTTTTACAATAACACTTTAAAAATTGAAAGAAAATATATTATTACAAATGAAAATTATTTTGCGTAACAAAATTAAAAATGCCAAAGGAACTGGGAATGGGAAGGGAGTTGTTCATTAGTCTTGGTAGACGGAGTGTTTGAGTTAGTTCATGGAATAGGATGGTTTTAGAAAAAATGAAATGTCTGATGTATCTGGAGATATGAAAATTAAGTAAGTGAAAATCAGAGCAGTCTATTGAATTGTGGAGTACATTAATATAATAATATCTCTATTGAATCATCTGGAAGTGAGAGTTTGAAGTCCTATAATCGGAAGAAGTAGTTCAAAAGGTGTGTCTCCATTTCTTGACATGTCTCTTGTCTCCACCTAAGAGCATTTATGTAAATAGTAAGGTATAGACTTGATATAATATACATATTTGACACATCATACTTTCATACAAAACTATTTTATAAATTAAACTATGTTATATTTATTTATATTAAGAACCATTGTATTAATGGGGTACTGTCTTGAACAGATATAAGAGAGTTTTGCAACAGTGTGCAATCAACAGGAGAGTGAATTTGAAAATTTTTACATCATCAGCAAGCAGAGAAAACCGCGTATCTGAAAAATATCATCAATTTGAAAAGAATAGGATGAAGAAGCAAACCCTGAGAAACACCAGAGGAAATAGGAAATTTCTTGGATATTGCATTATCCAATTTTACAACTCGGAATCTATCAGCCAAGTAGAATCTATACCATTTTATTGAATACCAGATGCAAACAGTTCATCACCAGAAGAGAATAATTTACGCTTTGGAGAAATCTAGATATACAGTACAGATTGGTGGTGGTAGAGCCACCCATACGAATGGCATGCTATTTCTGAATTATGAACCTATCAAGCTGTGGACACACTTTACTAAGTAACAAGGCTTCAAATACTTTTGTTAGTACTGACTGGATGCAGATGGGTACTTTTTTTACATCAGAGATCACTAGCCTTATGAATTGGTTTTATAAAACTAAATTTAAACTAAGCATGCTGGTTAATACAGAAGTAGGAGCAAGTTTACTGGATTTACATATTATGGGAGGTAATTTGTCAGGTCCAGAGCCTTTTTGTAATTAATTTCTTGATGATTTCATCAATTTGAAATCCAAAAGTTGACCGATTGATAGTATTCAGAGAGGGTGTGTTTAAAGTGAAGTTGTTGAAACAGTTACTATTTGAAATGGGTGATAAAGAATATACACTAGAGTAGTTAGCAATTAAATCATCCTTGTAGTTAGTTATTAGAAGCGGAAATACTATTTAGGTGAGTGTATGATAGCCAATCGCTTTCTATAATTGGGGATTCAATTTACATCAAGTAAATATCAATAATGTTGGTTAAGGATCCCAATCAAACTTTGATTTATAACAAGATATTGAAAAATTATTATTTTGTTAAGTGGCATTAATTTTAGTTGGTGCTGGTTTTTGATCTGTAAGTCGGTAAACTCATGCTAAACTGGAATTGGGTGGAACAGCGAACAGCTCCTCACTGAAGATGGCGCAATACCAGTGAGTATATAGTTCAATAAACACAAGAGTCAAGATGGACCTAATAAGTGACCCATTCAGCACGGTGTTAATTTGTAGTTGTTGTTAATCACGTTCATATATATCATCTTATGTTTTAGATTTATTAATTGATTTTAACTTATGATAAATTAAATGTGTGCTTTAATTTCGAATTGTTCTGCTTAGAGCTCCTTGCGACTGAAACCAACGAGAATAAGCTCAAAGTTGATGGACGCAACGTATCTCAGACAACTTTTGTATTTCGAGGGTTGATACGAGGGTCGGATATAACGGTAGTTGTGGTGAAATTAAAATGTATCGAATGTCATAGCGGTTTGATAATATTATTACCAGATTTAAACACGGTCGCCGAGCACGTGCCGGATTTTATCTTCTACGCCGGCCGTCTTTCCCTTTGATCGTGCGGGGGCATTGCTGAATAGCAGCATTAAAAGATAATCTAGGACATTCGTTTGGATCGTTTGACACTGGTTACTCCTGAGCTCATGGATGGTTGTCTTTAATTTGAATGAATAAAAAAAGGAAAATCATTAGAAACAAGTAAATAAGATTTCAGCTAAATCCTAGGAAAAAAAAATTATTTCTAAACAAAAATATCGCCTGGAAAGTTTTTGTATTATTTTGTATTCAAAATTCATATACTTTTCAAAATGCCGTTTGTTTCTAATGAACAAAAACCCTTTGGTAAAACTGAAAAAACATGGATCATTTTTTTAAATATTAGTTTCAAAAATATAAAAATGTTTCTACTGTTTTTTTTATTTAAATCATATAATTAATACTCCGATCATCCTGGTCCGTCTTTTCACGCTGCGTTTGTCTTTAAGACGTCGTATTGAACGGTTGGTCTGTAGTCGTGTGTGCGTTTGTAAAAAGTGAAACTACATATCACCACAATACTTCAAAATTTAACTTTTTCTAACCATCCCTAGTTAAAATTTAAGGTATATTTTATAGTTTTAGTTATTGCATATGTAATAAATGGGAAATATAATAAAATGTGTATGCATGAGGTGAGAGAGCAGAGAGAGAGAGAGAGAGAGAGAGAGAGAGAGAGAATAGATAGAGAGATAGATAGATGAGAGATATTAGAGAGAAAAAGAGTAAATGATGGTGTGAACTGTTGATGCAAATAAGAAAACGAGTGAAAGAGCGAGTGAGAGAGAGAGAGAGAGAGAGAGAGAGAGAGAGAGAGAGAGAGAGAGAGAGAAAGAGAGAGAGAGAGAGATATATAGAGAAATAGAGAGAAAGGGAGTAGGGAAAAGATAGATGATTAAATGAGGTAGTGAGTAGGAGGTGTGGTTTTTTTAGGGATGGTTAGGGTTTTTTTTCTTTTTTTTGCTGAAGCTCAATTTCAGCCATTTTGTTAAGTCATGGCTTGTATGTTAAATTTCTAGGCGGTCGTTTGAAACTGCTAGAAATATGTACGCTTATATATTGTAGTATTGTATCTAGTAATTCTATTAATTACAATATATATATAATGCAGGGTGGGCGACCAAGACCCGAGGGGTTAAATGCCTAGGTAGATTCGTACCCCATCCCTAAAAGGTCCGGGACCGGCTCACGTGTCCTGCATAAATCTCTTGGACTTGTTCATAAACCCCAAGATTTTGGACCATTCTATCTCGGGGAGTGATTTGGTAATGTCCGCTCCGTCAAAGATTTCAAATCTGGACCTAGCATACCTATCACACTCTGTGAGGTAGTGCCTTGCCGTTTCTTCTTTTATTTCGCAAAAACGGCAAAAGGGATCTAGTAGAATACCCATTACGGAGAGGTGTCTTCTCAGTGGGCAGTGGCCCGTCAGGATCAGCCTCCTAATTCCCTTCCTTGAGATAGAGAATAGCCATTTCGATTCTGCTGGTTTGATCACCTTAACGATCTATTGCCTGTGTATAGGTTACAATAAGCTAACCCAAAGATTAAAAGAAACGTGAAGGATGTAAAAAAAGAAATACATATTTAAAATAAAAAATAATAAATAGAAATACATATTTAAAGTTTTTGAACGATCTACTTTTATTTATAAACTATAGTATCTAGTTAACGTAAAAATAATATAATTTTGAGATTTATTGCACGTCAAAAACGTGTACAGACTTGTTTCAATAGCTGCCTAAACATGTCTAATTCTCGAATTACTGATATGTTTATATTGAAAACAATCATCCGGCTGCTTCAGCTGTCCAATCCCCACAGCCGTGATTTTTTTCTTTTAAGGACTGTAAAGCGACCTTTTGACAGACCCCAGATGAGCAGCGAGTTTAAAGGGACCACCTGATGGATGTAATCATCATCACGCTGTAAAAAGCTTTTGAAAAACCAGCCGCGTGCCTTGGATTTGCTAAAGTGCTCTTAAATACCACCCCCACGGTGCAGAAAAAATTCTGGCCTAACTCTTAGGGTGCAAAGCATTTTTCAAGAAAACTTTTAAAAAAAATTCTGCTCTATTTACAAGGAATAAGACCTGGATAAATGTATAAATAAAATGGATAAATTTTTAAAAAAATTAATTCTATTAAACCTATTTTGGGGGATGCCCGTTATAATCCCGAGGAAGTATTGAGTTTTAGGTTTAGGAAGTGCCATCGGAAACTCTTCTTCCTATCCCCAATTTCCGTTCGGACGGGTCGGATACTTTTTACCCCTTTACCAGCGAGTGGGTGTGTGGAAATAGCCAAAGGGGTGAGTTTTAATTATGTCATATGCTTGCTTTAAACCCTTCTTCCTGCCAGAATATGTAATGTTGATCAGACAGTAATCACCTCTTTTTCTTTATTATTGTTGTTAATGGTAAGTTAATATTATACAAAAAAGCTCTTAATTACCACATTGGTGGTTTTGATATTCACTTAAAAGTAAATCTCAATACTATTTGACCGTATTTTAACAAAAGAGTGAAATAATAAAAAACATCTAGAGGAAAATAAAATTTATCGCTTGGGGGAGAATTAAGTTATAATATTCAATTTTATAAAATGGATGGCCGTCGATTTTAAGATTTAGAATCTTTTCAACTTTTTCTGAGTCCATAAACAAAAATCATTCTTTCTCTTTATCTATTTATGTATCTATCTTTCTCTAACTCTCTGTCTCTCTCTATCTTTCTATCTGTTTATACATTAATCTATCTATTTCTCGGTTTCTCGCTCTGCCTTTCTATCCGTCAATAACTTCTCTTTCTTTATTTTTTTCGATCATTTCTCATTCTTTATCTTCTTCCCATTGTATTATTCTTGTACTCACTCCTTCTAACTCTTCCTTTATTTCTCTCACTCTCTCCCCCTCCCTCCATCTCTATCTCTCTCTCTCAGAGAGAGAGAGAGAGAGAGAGAGAGAGAGAGAGAGAGAGAGAGAGAGAGAGAGAGAGAGAGAGAGAGAGAGAGAGAGAGAGAGAGAGAGAGAGAGAGAGAGAGAGAGAGAGAGAGAGAGAGAGAGAGAGAGAGAGAGAGAGAGAGAGAGAGAGAGAGAGAGAGAGAGAGAGAGAGAGAGAGAGAGAGAGAGAGAGAGAGAGAGAGAGAGAGAGAGAGAGAGAGAGAGAGAGAGAGAGAGAGAGAGAGAGAGAGAGAGAGAGAGAGAGAGAGAGAGAGAGAGAGAGAGAGAGAGAGAGAGAGAGAGAGAGAGAGAGAGAGAGAGAGAGAGAGAGAGAGAGAGAGAGAGAGAGAGAGAGAGAGAGNTTTATTGACTTTATCAATTCTAAAAATTCTGAATTCTACTCAGACGGAATTAATAAGTTACCAACACGTTGGGAGAAATGTATTGAGAGTATGGGAAATTATTTTGATTAAAGAACATTGCTTTAAAGTAACTAGTTTCTTTTTTTTTGTTTAATACCAAAATCCTGCATTATTTTCCGGACAACCCAATAGTTTTATAGAGTTTAAGGAGGTGACTGGTTTTATTCTGGTTTTTTGCATACATGCATGCGTTAACACATTAGTTTAAAAATATGTTTTATTAAAGTTCAATTCTCCTTGTAATAATTCCTTAAATATATATTGGATGTTTTAGAACGTTATTATCATGGATTTCAAATTGGAACTTCGTAAACGTTTCCATCTTTTGTACATTCATTCAGCATTGATTAACCGCACAGTAACAATTTATATGTGTATCTTTCAGTAGGAGTACCAGTTTCTCATGGATGAAATAACCACCTTCTGCACAACAAACGCCTTCTGGTGGAATGTCAGTAGTCGTACAAAGTGAAACAATCATATCATGCATTTAACGATGCAATCGGGGAAAATTACTCATACACGAATTATTTCCATTTAGTCAAAAGATGAATGGGGGAAGCACGTGACACGAAAATCAAACACAGGTGATAAACACAAATCCGAAGAGCAAACATCGAACTGGTAGGGTGTACTAAATACAGGAACAATAACAGGTTTTTACACTCGATTTCCTACAAGTGCCGCTGGGGTGCTTTGATGGATATGCTACCTTAACGCTTGATCGTACATTGAAAATTACCTCAGATTTAAACATTGAAGTACAAAGATTTATTACGTATACATTAACTTATAAACAATCTAAATAAAATTGAATATATTTCATAAAAAAGGAAAAGCAATTAATTATATTTATGTCTAGCCGCTTATTATTGTTCACTGTATTGCATCGTTCTCCAGTAGTTGGTGTCTGCTGTTTATCTTGACTTTTTATAAGTTTATGAAACCAAACTTGGTCGTCTTGTCCAAGATCAAAAAATAACATCTCTTGAAGATATTTGTTGTTGGCTTAACTTAAATGATGAAGTATTAAAGATTATAAAGTTTGAAACGATGCGTACGGATTTTCTTTGGTCTAGACTTCTTTGGTTCATGGTAGCACAACAAACCCGGCGAGAATAGGCGGACCAGAATGGCAGAATGAACCAGATTTAAAACGTACATAATATTAATTAATTTTTAAAACTTTAATATTAAATAAAACGTAATATTAAATAATTTTTAATTAATTGTAGTTAAGGCTAAAAAAGAGTACACTTCGAAGGTTTTAGTGAGGAATCTATTTGAAATATATTCGAAAACTTGTTTCTATTGCTTGTACAAAACCAGGGAGAATAGGTGGACAAAAAGGTCGGAAAAGATCAAACTAAAAGTCATCTCTTTGTAAACATTAAGCTAACTAATGTCTTTAATAATTAAGGTCTTTTTGTGTTCAAAATTAAATTAAGTATTTATCATTTTTGCTTTTATTTTAACAGAAATTCAGTGAGCTAAATGGCAAAACGAACCGAGATTGTTTTGTACGTTTTAGTTGTATCTAGTTTTTCTTGCGCGTTTTGTTAGTTTTAAACCATTGCAGGAAACTATACCAATATTAAGTCAGAAAAGCATATTCGCAGGAAAATTTTTCCGCCACTCGATTTTTTTGGGAAAAATTTTAAATCTTTAAACGGGATTTCGCGAACTTAACCCGCTTTTCACTGAAATCACAAATATGTTTTCCATCTATGAAAAATTTCTGATGGCTGAGACAAGAAACCTAAGAAAAGTATCGATATGACATATGTGAATCTGGGAAGTGTTTTCCCCGTGTTGAATCTCTGGAAATAAGCAGTTTCCTCACCGACAGGCACGTCGGCCTGTCATTTCGTTAAATTTTATAGTGAAGCGTTCTAAAAGGGAGTGGAGAAAACTTTTGTGGCTTTTCAGGAATCACGACAAATTCAGTTTTCCCCCTTTCGAAGTAGGAACCGTGGAACAAGTCGTCAGATGGATGTCGGCAACCGGTGGAAAGTGCAACGGAACTTTAAGCCCCTTCTGTGAAATAAATAAATAAATAATAATCGGCTGAACGTGCATCTATCGGGATGAAGTGCGATGGGAAAAACCCCCCCACCACGGACGGTAGAGACAAGAGGGACCATGCAGGGAACAACCCTCAGTCAACCCTCCGTCGACCCCACGACAACAGTTCCTTAAGTTTTATTTACAAAGGATCCTAGATAAAACCGAGGAAAACGTAATGTATTACATTATATTATTTCATTTCCTTTTGTCCGAGTCCAAGCAGAAAAGAATTTTCAATACGTCATAATATCACACGTTTTTTTTAAATCAATTTTACGGAAAAAACAGTAGGAAATTTAAAGTTTATATTGTTAACTATAAAATAATCAAAACCACAATATTCTAAAACTAGTTCAGAACTAACAATTTCATTTTTAATTTTATCTGTAAACAAGTGTCGAATTATTTTGAAAATAACAAATGTTAACACCCTCTCAAAAAAATAACAAATGTTAAAAATACCCTCTCAAATTTAAAATTTTCAATTTTATTTTTATACGTGTTTATATATAACTTTTTTTTACGTTTTTGGTATTTAGTTTATAGCGATCACGCTTAACCAAAGATCGAGGTAAAAATTTATATTCCCAATGTATTAATTACATTGAGAATACTTGTGAATAGAAATTATGAATGATGGAGTGAGTGTGGAGTTCAATCCTTTTTAAAAAGATGGTTCCTACTCACATTAAGCATTACTTGAGAATATATTAATTAATTTTGAAAAAAGTTGTTTGTTATTTAATTTATCTTGTTCGTGCCTGCAAAAAAATCCTAATAAAATGTCTGTTCAGTTTATCGTATGCTCAATTGTCAATTGTTTTTGCTTTTTTCTAAGGTCGTTAAATAATTATGTACATAATTGATATAAAACAATAAACCTTTATAGCCAAATAGACTATAATTGTTACAACTTGATTAGTCTTTAATTATTGACAAAACCAACTATTTATAAAAATTGATAGTTAATGGTTTTTATGATAGGATGATGATTGAGTTACTAACAAATCAGAATCTAAAAAGTAGTTAGTAAATAGTTAATAATTTTGTGGAGATACTGCATAAATTTCAAGCATTACTAAACCTGAACTTGTTTAAAAAAATAATATTATTTTGTTTTTACATTTATATTGTGTCATCACAATTTGAGGATTAAGTCGCTGAAGATAATTTTTGTAAATTATTATTTTTCTCGGTGGAAAGAGGAAGTGAAGGAAGTAATGTTACGACGATAATACGGTTTGACGAGTTCGAACTCGTCTTGTTTTACACTCACCCGTTCGGAAGTAAAAGGATCAGGTGTCCTGACCGGAGTCTTCAATAAGTCACCTTCGAAACTCACGGTTATCCAATATTCATTACAAATTTAATTTTTATATTAAAACAGAATAGGGGGACCTTGAAAGTATGATCCGATCCATAATTTATCAAAATAATCAATTAAAATATTAGAAAGTCAGAAATGTGTAGATAGCAATGAAGGTACAGGATGAAATAACTGTTTGGCTTTAGCAACATTAGAAATTGTTAATGTCAAAATATATTAGCAGCCAAAAGCAGTCAAAATATATTATTGTTATTATTTATTTTTTTAAGAAAACAAAATTGACATATCAAATACAAAAAGCAAATATATCAACAAAAAATAAGTATACTCTGTTTTGTTTGTTTTGGTTTTCTAATATTAAAGTTAGTACTATTTATGTTCAAAATATATACATAGAATTAGTTAAAAACAAGTACAACTATACTTCTGGACTTGATGTTGTTCCATTAATTATGTAGAGTTAGTTCTTTATTGAAATATGAAGTATTGAAGTACATAAAGAAATTTATGAAATTCATAAACTATTTTATTAGATTCTTAGTATTACATTTTTTAGTATTACATTTTATTATGTATTACACATTTTTAGTATTACATTTTTTTTGATTGAATGCCAATTAGTTTTGTAATAATTTGTAATATCGTTCGTTTGTTAAATAGTTTTATAGGCTTTTGTGTTCGATAGGAAAATAATAATAAAAATAATAACAAACGATTTATGTATCTAACTATCTATATCTAAGTCCATTTATCCTTTCTCTCTCTCTCTCTCTCTCTCTCTCTCTCTCTCTCTTTTCCAAGTTCTGATCTTTTCCTTATATCTTGCAATATCGAACTGAAATTTTATGTTATGCCAGGAACACAGTTCTGAAATCGTTTTGATGCTCAAAATTTAAGAAATCATGTTGGAATAACAATAGAAAAATTTCGGAAAAATCGTTTAAAACGGTGACTTTATTTTGAGTTTTGGGTCAGAGCACACACTATATCATTCTCACTCTCTACTTCCCTCGCTCAGAAACAGGTTTTTAACTATTTTGCTATGCCGATGTTTTAACTTCTAATAAAAAATTGCAAAAAAAGTATATTGTATGTACTGAGTATATTATCTATGTATATTATTTAACGATCACGTAAAATTGACGATTGTAGTGCTGCAAACTGTAGGAATGTCGAACGTACGTAATCTTCGAAAGAATCCTTATATAATTAAATGTTGAATTATGTAAGGTAATGGTTCCTGATTTACAATGACATATGTATTTATGATCATAACGATTGAAGTTAACTTCAAGACTATACCAACACACCTACTAACAAACTAAGCTGAAGAAAGAACTGTTTTTTGACATACCACGTGACTGTAGAAGAGATTCATCCACTGAAACTAATTTACTAATCAAATTCCTTGATAAACTAGAACTTACTGTGTGCTTATGCGCTTTAAGCACGAGATACAATAGCTCTTAAAGGTCTTAAATTAATACATCTATCAAACCTCAAGACGTACAAAGTTAACAGTTAATATTTTCTTACCCATCAGCAGTCTATCATAGCGCACACCTCATCAGCTAAAGTTTTTATTGTTATCTTGACATAATTACTGATCAGTTGAAATCGAATAATTTATACTACTTAAAAGCAAAATTATATATTTTTTTTAAATAGAAAAATTGATTATTTTTATCAAAATTAGGCACGACAATGAACGAGTAATGTATTGACCGCGCCAAACATTTTTTTCTTCATTCTAATGGCTAGATTTCAAATTTACATTTTTAAAATAGATTAGTTTTCCTTAGAAATTTTATCAGCTTCTCAATTATTATGGTGTTATCTCTTAGAATTTCTGAGAGGCAATATAGCATATTACTTCTTTTCCTATCGTCCTCATATGCTCTGCAGGCTGTGAGAATATATTTCACAGTAATAGGCACCAGGTAGGGGATCTTCCTTGGCAGTGTGATGGCCATGTGTGAGTCTTGTTTGTCCAATTCTTAAACGAGTTAGAACGGACTCTTCATGTCTTGAGGACCGAAAAAGAAGATCCCAAGATTTGACTTGGGGTTTAACTCTCTCATTTTAGCATTTCTATTTCCATACCAAACTCGTTGCAACGCTAGCCTATCATTTCTTTCAACTGATATATGAAATCCTCATGAAGAGTCCCACCAAACATTACATAAACATTAATCTTTTAAATCGTACATTGTGTTATGATCTTACAGTGGATTTTAACTAACCAGAAATAAAATATTATTTTGTGCCCTTTGTCTAGTTATAAAAACTGTATTAGCCGATATTTGGTCAATTATATTATTATTTAACCAGAAAAGTTTACTCAAAACTCGAGGTTAATAAAACTATAGGCCTATCTCATTAACTTTATCCTTATCCAAAATTCTAGAAAAACAATTAAAACTAATTATTGGACTTTTTTTATTGAAAATAGAATAATTTCTCCAGTAACAGAAAACAGTATGGTTTTTTTCCGGGCAGATCCACTGAGCATGCTTTCTTTGATGTTACTAATTTGATTCCACAAGAAATTAATAAAGGTAAAATTACGTTATTGAATTGTTTCTGGATATTAAAAAGGCTTTCGACTCTGTTGATCATAAGTTTATGCTAAAAATATTTGAATGTATTGGTGTCTCTAATATTCTCCTTAAACTCCTTGAATCATATTTATCGGACAGAACTCCAGCCAGAAAGGTGGAAACAGTTTATAGCCCTTGAGTTGAATTTGGAGTACCGCAAGGAACAGTCTTAGGCCCATTTTTTTATATATTAATGATTTTTATTTTTTAAATTAAATCCTCCGGAAAAATATGTAGTTATGCAAATGATACCTGCACCATTTTCTCAGGTGATAATTTAATTAATTTAACTAAAACTATAAATAACGATATGAAAATTATTAATTTTTGGTTAAACTCAAACTTTCGACTTTTAAACACAAAAAAAGGTAATGTATATATTACACTTTTCATTAAAAAAGAAAATAAATACTAATAATTTAAAATTTGCTTTTCATCTTGTGATGATAATGATGAGTGTTCTTGCTGCCTATCCGTTTTGCTTACAGTGTTAGATATCTTGGTGTGACATTGGACTCAAATTTGAGATTTAATTTGCCTATTAATTCTTTGGTTTCCCGTCGGAGAAAGCTCTTTTATAATTTGAGAATTTTACGCAACTTTATGAATATTGAACTCTTAAGGGTAATATATTTTTCTCTTGCACAATTCATATTAGCCTATGGTGTAGTTTCCTGGGGATCTATTTATTTATTTTTTTAATAAAGAAAGGATCATTATTCAAAATTTCAAAAACTACAAAGAAGGCAAAAAATTATAATTTCAAAAATTTTAAATTGTAGCTAAGCTATTTTAATGCCAACATTTAACTTTTTTTTCTTCTTACTACACGTTTATTCTGTATTACGTTTGTTTATTTGTTTGTTTTTCAATATGCTTTTATTAAGATATATTCTGTTTATTTCTCTGAGGATCTCCCAAAACTCGTGCTGTAAGTACAAGCTTTGTATTTTGACAACAGGCAGGGATGTACCAAAATATTATTTTTTGTTAGAAATTTATATGTAATTACTCAATTAATTATACACAACTTTAAATTGAAAGTTCGAATGAAGAATTTATGTCACAGGCGGGATTCGAACCCACGACTTTCGTCTAAATACAAATTTCTCATTTCGACTCCTCGTTTATTCCAATTGTTTTTATGCAAATAAAGATTTATTATTATTATTTCCATGATAGCCAAACGTACCTTAGAATAGTTAGAATACTAGTTAGAAATTTTGAGTGTAAATTTCGAGTTTAACTCTTGACTTCTGTTTATAAATATGCTTAATTATCAAAGAATAAATTATTTACGTTTGTATTTGTTAGGACAAGGTAGAAATTCGTTCGTTTTATTCAGCTTGCACCCTCCTCGACCAAGGGGTGATTCTGGTTCGTCTATATGGCCAGAATCGTCCGACGATTGTTTTCATAAATGACAATTTTATAAAATACCTTCCAAAATTTGTCAAAGGCGGAAATTGAATGAAATCTTCAAAACATGTCGAAGGTTTTGACTGGGGGAATAAAGTGTCTTTCTCAGAGAATCGATAACGAGCTCGACCATTTTAGAGGCGAGAGTGGGCTTTCATTGGACGGAAGGCGTGGTTTGTCGAAACGGTAGGGGTTGAAATACACTTGCCATTTTCCACCCCCTTGAGGACAGTTTCATCCCAGACCCTATTCTAATATATACATACGAAACGTTCATCCTAACACTTGATTTTTATAATTGATAAATAAAAAACACCCTTTTTGAATAAAAGTTTTAAATGGAAACAAGTATCTGCTTGGTGAACAATAAAAGTGAGCTTATTTTCCTCACTTTGAAACAACCATAATAAATATGTTTTAAATATGTTCGTTTTATTTTTCTAGGTTGAATATATCTATCTCATTTTACTATAGAAAAGAATATGAAACAAGCAACAAGCTATTTGAAAATGTACGGTTTGGTTGGAATTTTTAAAAATAAATATTTATTACCATTTTTTATTATCATACATTATGTAGTTTTGACATATACAATCAAAGACAAAAAACGACCACACAGATTGTACTATTAATGTTATTTCATTATATTTTTATTTTATGTTGTGTAATACGGTGCGTAATTTATATATTTTTATGGTTTATGGGAACGGATGATTCATCCGAGTGAATGGATATAACACTTTTTTGAAAGTTTCTTACAATTACTTCTAATATCAGAAAATTGACAGTAATCTTTTAATGAGTTTGCAATTTTATACTGTTTATGATCATATCTCTTTTTACTAATGAGAAGTTTTAATTCTTTCGTACACCTGACAGGACAACTTGTATTGGTAACATTAGAAGATGAAACATTCAACAACAACAAACATACAAAGATTAAAAAAAATCGCTCAGAATTATCAAACTGGGCCACAAACATCCTTTGCTAGTCCACAAAAATTATTGAAACTTGATTGAGACGTGTTCTCACAATACTGACCTCGCCCCCTTCATATTACGGTTTGTTTCGTCCTTTGCAAAATTCTCTGGATGGTCAAAAAAGTCTTATTGATGATGATGGTATTCAGTCAAAAATAAAGTTTTGCAAACGTGGAAACATGTCTGGAAGGTGAAAAGCCATTGACAAAAATTTACAATATATTACAGAATAAATAAATCTCATTATTAAATAAAAAATTTTCTCTTTATTTTCTTGACAAATCCGAAAATACATAGTTGCCAATCTGATACATGAGACATTTTGCGGAGCTGTGATGTAGCACAATCTAAATCCAAGTTAAATTATTCAGCATAGTTTGTGGTGATAATCCGCATACGTATAAAAGGTTTAATTTATTTAAAATAAAAAAAGCTTTTTATACAAATCTAATTTTTATATTAACGTCATCGGTTTTGAACCGGATGCTTCCAAGGTTCAACCGAACTGTCCAATAAGGCAGCGACTATACTGGGTGTTGCAGGGTTAAATGTCAATACTGCCATTGTGGATCATTAAATAAAACGTAGTTCAGGGCCACCAGAACGAGGCTTCTATCTTGACTCTTTCCCGAGAAATTAATATTTTTCGGCTTTTAGTCTAAGATATGATTTTTTCACATAAAATCGTAATTTCTCAACTTTAGCCGCATTAAAATACAAATCTGACCTTCATTTCGCAAACATTAAATTTTTCAAAACATAACATTTCCGTTGAAAAATGTGCGCTTGCGAATACAGTAGCCGCCCAAAGAATAACAAATGTCAAAACCAGTATTTTTTTTTTTTTAATACTCAATTGTAGCTCGTGTAATGACTTTTCCAACAACATTTTTGGGGATTTCACCAAAAAGTTGCCTTATTTTATAAGAATTTATACGAAATACTCACTTTAACATGTTTTAGAACTGTTCTTAGTGAAATCTCCTTTGCAAGGTTGAAAAACGTGATTCGAACTCAAGGAGAGCAGCAACCCCAGAACATCGTACGTCTCTAAATAAAACATCTCTTTGCTAGAGGTTAGACATTCTTCACGAAGAGTTCTTTCAAGATCGTGGAGTGGATCAGGAAGTGATGGACGAGCTCTTATTCGTCTGTTGAGGTTATCCTGTTCGATGGGGTTCAAGTCTGGAAAACGGGATGGACAGTCTCTAAGACCCTGATGTTATGCTGTTGAAGGTACGTTTGCACTATGCGAGCGACATGTGGACGGGGATTATCGTGCATTATAATAGGATTGTCGCTGAATTCAACGAGGATAGGCAACGCTTGATGTCCCAAAATTTCATCCACATAGCGAGTAGCCGTCAAAGACCCTCCACGAACAACAACCAACTCTATTCGACTCTCCATTGAAATTCCGGCCCACATCATCACTGAGCCTCGTTGAAAAGGTTGGATCTGGGAAAAATTACAGGCTTCGTACCTTTCATTCATCAGAAGTGCAAATCTACACTCATCTGTAAAATGTACAGCAGACCAATCGTCCAAAGACCAATGACTGTGTTCTCGAACAAATGCGGTTCTGGTTAATTCTGGTCCTCTTATGGGGCCATACCAATCAGTCCATACTGATTTAATCTTCTTCCAGTGCGTTCAAAAATTTGGGCACCTCGAACTTCCTGGAGCTGATGAACTCAATAAGGTGCCGGTTTCGCAAAATTCTCAATGTCACAAAACGGTCATCCTGTGGTTCTGCTACCCTACGACGTCCAGAACCGGGCCTTCTATGGTAGGACTCAGCTTCTCTCAAACGTCTAATGGAGTCTCGCAGTGATTCGAAGGGATGACAATAGCGGCATACCTGGTGGAAGGTCCATCATCAAAAAGTGCCACACATCCTCAGCACTAAGTGGCATTTTTAAGTTTAAAAATTGAAATTAAGAAAACAAAGCTGAAAACTAAACAGTTTCAGACTTTTTAAATATACATATAAAAAACTGCATTTTGGAAAGTGGTTGTCTTACCAAAAACTTGATAAGATTGTTTGTAGCTATTTCAAAATTGACATGTCATGATAATTACTATTTTCTTTTCCAGGTGTAAATAAGGAGGTGTGGTTTTGGTAGGCGAGGGAGGATGCTGTGCGGGGGTGTCGGGGAGGGCGTGGTCTCGCTCGGTCTCAATTCCTTGGCCGTCGGAGGCGGAGGCGGCGGCGGAGGCGGCGGCGGAGGCGGGGGTGGATGCGTCGGAGAACAGACCTGTTGGTGGCAAAACCAAACTGGTCCGGATCCAAGCCTTGCCACGACAGATTGGAGAGATGAGGAAATGTCGGCTTTCACAGCCGCCTTCGATATAGACCCGCTTCCGCCCCTTTTCACACCGCCTCCGCTACAACCTTATAGGTAAAATTTGAAAAAAAAGGGACATTTTAGCTAACTGGGACGTTTTATCGACATTAATCACGTCTATTGACAAAATATTGCTTTCGGAATATAGTACAAACGTGGACAATACAATAGCATAATGGTTTCAACCCCAACATAACTCCAGAGGTTCAAAAACCCATTCCACAAGTTTAATTAATCTAAATAAAAGAAAGAACGACTATTTGACTGCATGGACTGCAAGATATTACACACGTATTTTTTCGAAGGGATGTTCATAAGTAAAATCTTTTTAACTCACTCCACCGCTTGTCATAAATAATTGTAACCATTGTAATGGTTTTAAATTCATTCAAACCTGTATATTTGCAATTTTGTTCGTAACTAGAAACTAGGCGTAATATAGAGGTGGTGGTCTATAGTGAGCATAGTTAACCTGACTAAATGGCAAGTCGCCTAATTGACTTTAACATAGAAAATTAAAATTTTATAATTTTCACATTTTAAAATTAAAATTTGGACATTTTAAAATATTCTAAAATTGTTTAACTACAAACTTTTTAAAACTAATATATTTGTAACCTTACAAACATTATATGTCTTATTTACAAGGTACTTCTTGATAATACGGACTGGTCATAGAAAATCTTTGATTACCATCAAACAATTGTTTGTAACCAATGGGAACTTATTTATAAAACAAGTCAAATCGAGAATATATTCAATTTTTCTTTGCGAGAGAGAGAGAGAGAGAGAAAGAGAGAGAGAGAGAGTGTGTGTGAGAGAGAGTGAGAGTTAACTAGCCAAATAGCTCAGTCTGAAAATAGCTGGAACAAATTACATAAATATTAGTTTATAAGGGATATTACAATACAGATATTATACACATACAGATATATAAACTTTTAACACTTTCAATATTTAAATCTGTTATTTGATATTTTCAAAATCAGACAAATAACATCCACTTATAAAATAGGAAGTATTTCCTATAGTTTGATAGTTACCTATCATCTTGGCCAGCATATCCACGCTGATTTATGTCAGTGTCATACACATGACTGACAAAAATCAGCCAGGATAGGCAGACCAAGATGATAGGTAATAGACCACAGTAGGAAATCTCACAATATAGAGTTTCACCTAACTACAATTTTGGGCTTGTGTACTAAACATTTAGACTTCTAAGGAAAAAAAAATGTTAATGATATAAAAGAGCAGTGAAAAATAAAATAAAAGCAAAAATTGACCTATTAGATGACCAATGATCAACATGGACAGAACTTGAAGGAAAGTTGACAATATTTGATAATGATCCTAAGGGTTATGTAGTACGTGCATTGTTGATAAAATAGTTATGGATTTTCACTTCTCTTACACTATAATATAGTACTGATTACTACTGATCTTTGTAAAGTTAAAGAAAAATAAATTGTTTTAGTTTTATAAAATCAACTATTAAACTTTACAATTTGCAATTAGTAAATTAATTTTTTATTACATAAAATTTTAGACTATTAAAAGAACTTTTAAATTGTATTGTTAGATGTGAAGGGCCTCCACAAGAAGTAGCCGATGTTCTCCTCTCGTTGAAACATGCAGTCGTCCATCCGCCAACGCCTCCTCCAAGCTATCCTCCACTTTCTACCAACTTACAACAGGTAAACTTCATATAATTTCAACAAGGTCCAAACATATAAATAAAAGCTCACTTTTCTTTTCGTATTAAGATGTGCGGATACGCAACCCTCGAGACGAACTGCTTCCAGCCAAGTTATCAGGACGCGACGCAGCACCACATCCAACCTTGCCACCAGGTAAGAGAAAGCCATTTTACACCTAGACTCGGCATTATTTCACCCCTCGATGGATATATCCGAAATCGATTCTGCCGATGTACAAAAGGGGCGGTTTATTCTTGAACTCGGGAAGCCATAAAGGTTCTGGATGGTATCCTTGGAAACAGTTATGGAACGCACGACCACCCCCTAAATTCATTTACGTACAACCCTCGCTCATTGTAATTCTCAATTGTTACAAATTAATTGAGCAAAGTTCGTACCAAATAAATACAGTGTAAACACAGTAATTTCAAAATTACTTGGCGATTTATTTGAGTCTGTAAGAATTTGTTGTACTTACAATGGTTATTTGGTAATATATATTTTTATTTTTTTATTTTTATATAGGGTACAATTTACAGGAGGTCTGGCCTTACCTAGCTTTTACATACAGATATTTTTACAAATAGCAAGCATCAAAATTAAAATAGTAACATACTTACACTGATTATATTAAATTGATTATAACTAAAATGAATATAAATAACTAAGAGTTGAATTTTTAGCTTCACTAAAGTATCATATTAAAAGTCTCTGTAACTAAAAAATTAAATTTAAAATAACATTTCCAAAAACCAAAAAAAATAAAGATCATATTATTTATTTACATCCTCAGGCTATTATGCTTATGCTATAAGAACTATCCATACTATTGTATCCCCACTACTTACATGCGGTTCATTTGATTACGATTAATTATTCATTGATTACGAATAATGAATCCGCAAACAATACAACGTCGTCAGGAAAAATTTTGGTTTTATAAAAAAGGCCCACTAGATAGAATTGGCTATTTAATAAAAGCTGGGATTATTTTTTATGTTTATAATTTTTAAACAATCCTTAGATAAAGGGACAAATACAAATATTTTTCTACTGATGGTTACATTTACAGATTGATCGTCTCCGGCTATCATTGTCTGCATATGAAAGATGGGTTTGTCTGACAGATGCATTATTTGTCAAATGTGTCTTTAAGTTAGTAGTGATTATTAAAATTAATCCATAATTGTTTAGTGTTCATACTTGAGCATATTAATTATCCCACTTAATTATTCTTTTTATCTAAGGTTTTTGGTTGAGATGAAAAATTAGTGTCACGAGCGGGATTCGAACTCACGACCTTTGGCTAAATACGTCATACCACTTGAGCTAACGTGACTTATTAGTACTGATTACTGATTTGTTAACTCAAATCTGCACATACATGTACATACACACATGTAAAGAGTTGAACTCACTTTTCGCAGTCCACTGGCTATTCCAGCTTCAATCGAGAATCACGCCGTGTGTTGGCAGTCCGAGGTCATAACTCGGTCTTATCCATCGAGGATGAGCCCAGGAACTGTAAACATATAGGTCATTTCAGCCCCCAACAGAATCCGTTCTTAAATCCAAACCCGTAACATATAAACATTCTTTCCTATTTACATACTATTCACTCAGGGTGGTGGAGCACTCCATATTTCTCCATCACCCTTTAAACCTATTATATAACTAACCTAAATGAGGGTCGATGGGAGATTCAATATTCGGCCATCAGCCCTGTAAGATTTTACATTCACGCCAATAAATTCTTCTCAGCCCTTACTAGGAGTCACAAAACTGTAAGTACCATATACACTAAAACAAACCTGTTTCTTCCAATAATGGAAACAGGGGGCCTAAATAAATAATCTCTGCCGTGCTCAAGCACAATTCTCATATCGGGTGGCATTACTCCGCAATCTATATATATGGAACCAAGGAATGGCACCCTTCAATTAAGTGGGACAAATCGAGCAACCTTTCTCTATATATAAATTGATATAAATGTGAAATGGTATGATTTATTGTCTAACTTTAACCGGTTGGATGTCGGAGACGATCAAACTTAATCATAATCTCGCAGACCTCAAAACAAGATTTCTCTGAATAATTCCAACAATTAATTTTACAGTTGGGATGGTCTGCATCGACGTCGCCCGTTTATTCATCCCCGTCCAATTACCACCCCGCCTTTACAGAATATCAGGACACAGGCACTCCTGATTACTCGAACGGAGGTCATCCCAAGTCGCCTTCGCCGAAATCAAACCTGTGTCGTATTTGCGGAAAAACCTACGCCAGGCCTTCAACACTCAAAACCCACCTTCGGACACACAGCGGTGAGAAGCCGTACAGGTGAAAAAAAACCCTACAAGATCATCCCTCTGGATAGAAAATAACTAATAACAAATTTATTTTAGATGCGATGACTGCAACAAGAGTTTCAGCCAAGCGGCTAATCTGACGGCACACGTACGGACCCACTCGGGGGAGAAACCTTTTAGGTATTATTAAACAATAATAATAATTTTTATTTACATAACGATCGATTCGTTTCAGATGCCCAATTTGCGCAAGAAGATTCTCGCAGTCTAGCTCAGTCACAACACACATGAGGACACATTCCGGTGAACGACCTTACAGATGTCGTCTTTGTAAAAAGGCTTTTTCCGATTCCAGCACATTGACGAAACACCTCAGAATACACTCCGGTGAAAAGCCTTATCAATGCAAACTCTGCCTGCTGAGGTTTTCTCAATCGGGGAACCTAAATAGACACATGAGGGTCCACAGCAGTGCGCCTTGCTGACATTTAAATGCATTAAATTTTTACATATCTAGTTTGTACAATTTAAAACTTAGCCTTTTTTCCCCTATTTTAAGAATAATTAAAAAGAAAGCAAACAGACAAAATGCGATTGCGGCATCTTAACGGGTTAGAAGCAAGATGAAACTTTTGGATGTTTAATCAATAATTAGCAACAAGTAATCACGAAGAAAAATGTACATTTAAAGCCTATTAGTTCTTTATCAAAACATTTTTTGTTATAAGTTAAAAAGAGGCAAAAGTAGTCATTCTATCAAATGATGATATGAAGTTTGGTATTTTAAATTGTTCGATTTTATTTTTATATTTTTAAAGTGTAGTACAATTTAAAACAATCAATATCACTTTTGTCTCAATAATTTTATATAATTATTGATAAACCTTTCTTTTTGAGCATAAAACTAGAAACAAAAATGAATTCATGAAATAAATAAGTTAATTAATAATAAAATGCTAATAATTTTAGTCAGTCCAATCCTTTTTTATTTTTTTCTTCGATTAATTAGTTATTAGAAGTATTGCTCATTGTTTTACATATAATGCAATGAGCATTTTATTATTGTATTTATTTTTCTTGAATCACCAAAGACTATAATTATATTCATACTTAGACATGTAGCTTCTATTCGTCTAGTCAACAATTTTCCTTTGTCTTTATAAATAATATAACTGTGATAAAGCTACCATTTTTTCTACTGTAATAAATATATTATGATAATAATTAGTTTCATTTTTGTAATAACATTATTGTTATTAAGAAAAGTTTACCTTCTCCTTTATTTGTTGCGCTTTCTGATCGACTTGATACTTGGTTTTTTTATTATTTGTTATTTCTTCATAAATCAGTCAGTCATCTTCCTAAACAAGTCGAAATTAAAAAAATAATAATAATAATAACAACTTGATCAACAGTATACTACTCCAAAAAATTGACGAACTTTGAAATTTTGATATTTTTATGTATTTACTGTTCAGTAATATTAACACCTAATAACCCCGCAGAGAAAAGGTTGCTCGATGTGTCCCACATAATAGTCTTGTCATGCTTTGGCTCTTTACAAAGAGCGTGTAGGCATGCTGCCGAATTTGAGAATGGTTCTCGCGCACGGTAGAGAGTTTGTGGGTCCCCTGTTTCCCTTTTTAGAGAATAATTGAAAATGTCTGGGGAAATTTTATCAGGGCTGCGGCCAGTTTCAGAGATTAAACGCACAATCCAAGAAGAATGGGAAAAAGGACTTTTTTTCAAGATATTCTTCGCCTCTATGAAATTTGTCATTTTGTCATTTTTTAATAGTTTTTTAAATTTTTTATCCCATCCCGGAACTTAGTTCGATTTTTAATTTAAACCATCAAAAATTCTAGATATTTTACGATTTAAGTTTTAAAAGTAAAAGATGGATTTCACATTCCTTTGGCATAAATGTTTACAAACAATTTTCGACAGTTGTATAATATCGATTGAAAACAATTAAACAAATTTTAGGTAAAAAAATGCAAGTTTAAACTTGTGAAAAATTAAAAGAAGAAATTATCATTACATACCATGGCATACATAATGGCCTGTTTATTGTGGAGTGGGAAAGAATATTTGAGTGAATAAATTACTATTCAGTATTAAGCCATTACGTTCATAGACAAACATTTTTTTTCGATTTATTTGTAATTTTGAAACTCGATATACACAAAAAGCAATAATCGACCGTTATGGTTTCGTATTTTGTATTGAAATGGTACTATGCCCTGCTTTTAGATCTTTTCTGTTGCCGTAATACGTTCCGTGGTACAACTCGAAGGTAATTATGGTGTAAAGAATTATCACAGCATAAATAAATATATAATATATGTATATCAAGATAATTTATTATAATTCAAATCTTTTGTTTCTGATTATTTTACTCTCGCTGGTTAGTTTGAGAAAATAAGCATGGGAACATAGAATATTTTTTTAAGGACATGGAACTTCATATTCCAATTTTTCCCAGTGTAAATAAATCAATTTAACAATAATATGAAAAAAAGGTGGAACTATGAAGAATAATTGATAAGAGACCTGTTGAATTATATATTGGTCTTCAATATTTATAAATAAACAATGTTATTTTCCACGTCTGCCTATACAAATAAATGGATTAGACCAAATAAATTTTAATAAATATATAAATATCAGGTTGCTGAATTTTACAAATGTGTACTTTTTCAAAGATGACATGAATAACAAATCCTGATAGTTGAATTAATGAATTTTAACAAATATTGATTCAAATTGTACAACTTGTGAATAATCAAATGAAGTATTGGAATTTAGTAAAATTGCTTTCAAATTTTAAATAAATTAAATTTATTTATTTTATTTTATTAATGTATTTATATTTACGGAAAATAAGTACAAGTACCTGGGAGTAATTTTGATATCCAACATTTTACTAGAAGAACATTTCAATCCAAATTTGAAATAAACAATTTAAATTTCTGATGTATAAAAAGTTCCTTTCCTTCCTACAAGTATATAATGCTGTTTCCAGGGCTATAATACCACATGGAGCTCAAATTTGAATTGCTATAAAAAATGATAGTTATTTAAATGCATACTTTATTTAAAATGTAATGAACTTACCTTGTAATAATTGATTAAATTATGTACTCGGAAACATTTCTATTACCCACTTTCTGTCATGTAAAAGTTGCTCAATGTGCCCTATTTAATTGAAAGGTGCGATTCCTTGGCTACATATAGAGAACATGTAGGAATGCCACTCAAAAAGAGAATTGTGCTTAAACATGGCAGCAAGAATTTGGGTCTCCTGTTCTGATTCTTGGAAAAACACATTTTTTATATTGTATATAGTTATTCAGATATCGAAACGTTGGCACGATAAAGAAAATGTTTTTCTGAAACCTACACCACACCAGACCGCATCTCACGATATCTGAATAATTATCGATTAACGGTCACTAATCTCTACACATTGTATGTAGTACTGATATTTTTTTATTCCCTAGTGTGTGCTGAGATTGAATGTGTTTATTAGCCTGAATGTGTAGTAGGCAGAATGTTGAGAACTCATCAACCCTCAATTAGATTAGTTATTTAATATGTGATATAGGGACATCACCAAATACCAAGTACTCCATCACCCTAACTGAGTGAAAGAATGTATTTAGAAGTAAGTGACAGTGTGAGTGGGTTTTGGATCTATAAAATTATTGTGTTTGGGGCTGAATGCTGTTGATAGCTGTGGCTAGACCTGGGTGATTCTTGAGACCTGCCAGTAATTTATTGTAAATTAATCAAAAGCTGGAATTGTGAGAAGTGATCAGTTCAACTCTGTACATGTGTGTATGTATGCTGGTTGCCAACGGTGATAATCCATTTTGCTTTTTACACCGAGTGAAATCTCTTTAGCAATCGCCAACATTTACTGGACTATTTAATATGTATAAATTGTCCATAAACATTCCACTACTCATGGGGTGCCCGTGTTTTGATAAAGTCCCGAGACCAAAACAATAATGATTCGTTGTGCCAATAGTTTAAATATTGTCTACCAAAACCCTAACAAGTTAAACAAAACAAAATTAAATAAAACTTACATATGATCATACTTTATGAATAATCAATGTGTGCTTATCATTTGATCTGGAAAATTGAGAATATAAATAGATATTTTATGGTAAAATTAGAATCATAATATAATGCTACAAGTACCTAGGAAATTAGCATTTAGTCAAATTTTAGAAAGAAGCAACACTAGTTCACAAAATGGAAACTTTTTATAAATAAGAAAAAAAATATATTAGAAAAGTTATGAAAAAGGAAACTTACAAAATAATATTAAAACCAAGGTTTTCAGAGGTTTTCTTTTGGTTTTAATGATTAATTTAAATAACAAAAAACCCAAATTTGACAAAAATGTTGTAAAACGTTAATCATTTTGTATAACTTACTTACAACTTATTTGAAACTGCTGTTGTACTATTATTTATATTGATTATGTTGTAGATGTTTATTTTTAATTTCTGTGTAATGCATTACTGACTGTTTACAAACAACCTCTATCACTTGGCATGGGAAAAATCTATAAAACGAGAAATGTTTTTATCTCGCTACATTTTTCAGCATTTCTTTCATAACAAGATTGTGATAACAATAGCATTTTTATATGAGGATGAATAAGCCGCTGTAATGATGACTTTACAAAAAAGCTGTTTGACTACATATTCCCAATCTGCCTTTTCTCAAACAATTATGATTGAAAACAGAAATAGTTGTAATTTCTGTCTTAGATGTAATGAATTTCTGTTTATTCTAGGTCATAGAGACAGCTCACACTCTGGGGATTGTTGTAGGTTTCCTCTGGTCTGAATGTTGTGCTGGTTGCCAACGGTGATAATCCAATTTGCTTTTTACACCGAGTGAAATCTCTTTAGCAATCGCCAACATTTACTGGACTATTTAATATGTATAAATTGATTGGTTTTATATTCTTACTTGAGTTTGTCGCAATCCCTTCGAATGCTATTTGTAGTCAAGAAGTGTTGAGGATATCTGGGACGTTAAATATTATCGGTAAGAATCATTTATTAAATCAATATTTTGATAAACCCATTGTATAATCTTTATGGTCATTGTTAGCAAGTTTTACTGCACCTCAATGGTAATTTCAGGCCTTTTCAATCTCCATTCTGGTGAAAATTGCTCAGAGATAAATTTTCTAGCACTGCAAAGTGCCCAAAACCTTGTTCAGTCAGTAAAAGCGATTCGCTTAATAAAACTAATTCCAAATTACGAAATTGGTCTTTCAATATTTGATCTATGTTTTAATAATGAATATAAGCAGAAACTTGAACCTCTTTGCATGGAATCGTTTCAACAAGGTGAGTAATTTTTTAATCGTGTATCGAATTTGTAATGTAATTGTTTAATGTTGATCTCCAGGAAGCTATGTGTTACAAGGCTACTCTGATGAAGATGTTAATGAAGCTTATGATTTTCCCGTTGTAAAACTAGATGAAAATCCACCATTTAATTTATATATAAAAGTGGTTGCGAGGACGATACATGACCTTAAGCTATCGCCTATCAACTATCTTGTTGTGGATGAGGGCTATCTGAAGAATTTTTTGATTGAAGAACTGACCATGCTACAAGTTTGCATTCTCAACATTACTAGATTTGACAAGATGTATGTTTTTGGTTTTTTTCAATGCATTTTTTAATGTTTAATTTGAATTTTTGTCTTTAGTGAGAATGTTAAAAATGGAGGAAATATAGTTTTCATTGGAAAGTTAGTACAAATAGAACAAATATCAATCCATTTTCCAGACACCACTATATTTATTGTGCCAACGGATGGATTATATAATGAAATGTCAGGTATGCAACACAAGAAAATGTAGCTTGATTTGTCCTCGATCATCCAGTATCAACCCATAAACCATAAACACTGACTATCATTGACATATAAAATATAATGAAAACTTTTTAAATAAAATTTTAACTTCTTTATAGGTTTATCTGGAGAGAAAACAATATTCCTTTTACCAACTCATGTGGAAATTGATGATCTTTTGATATCTGGAATAGCGAACGAGACAAAGGGCAATGAGTTCAATACCATAACATTATCGACATTGTCATTGTCACAGATTCAGTTGGTATCTGACGTTTTCAACTTAATACAAACCACAAAGTCTCGTTTGGAGACAGTTTGCAAAAATCTAACAATATGCAATAGCCTTAATAAGAATATATTTGATAAAGGGATAAAATCAATACCAATTAGAGAGGATAAAATACGACACCAACTGAAGGTAAGGAAGAGTTTTAGATATATATTTTAATATATATTAATAAATGTGAGGGCTCCTGCCCAGTTATGAATTTATAAAACCAAAAAAACTAAGGACAAGGGGTTAAACCACTTTATAGTACCTCTTTCGTACTATTCTCTGGGATTTGAACCTAGTACCGCTTGCAAATATGAAAGACTCTTGGCCTTATGTCCTTGCATATTAGCCATAGCATTGAAGTATATAAATTGACAACACATTGACTGAGTAAAGAATACAGTTGTTACTTTATGTAATTTCAAGTTCATCCTCAATTCAATTTAAGGTATTTCACTAGATAAATTTAATAAAATTTAAAAAATCATGTACATTATTTTTAAGTATCAGAGAGCAATTTTAGTATTAAATGCAGTTCTGCCATGAGCAATCAGATTGATCAAGCATAGAACAGAGTCATTGTGTTAAAAAAGTTTTTATTGTATTTTCTAACAACTTGAAAAATTAGATGTAAATATTACATAAAAGTTTAAAATGCTATTTTAAATTTAAATTTGTTCTTTTAGAAAAATCAGTGTTATTATTTAACAAACATTAACATCTTATACACTATTTATATATAAAAAATTGATTTGTTATAAATACTTTATTTTTGGAAAATTTAATTAATTTATATTTTCCTCAGGTTTTAAATATTGATGTCAACGATTTTACCAGTGCTATTGTATTCCTGCACAACGACCAGGGCTTTGTAAAAATGGGTGAAGTTAAAATGTTAGGTAATGAATGGAGTGTTAAACCAAGACCAGAGAACAGTTCTGAAATTGTGGGTTTTGGTTGTGATCAACCAAATTTAAACTGTTCATTATGTTCAAATTATCGAACTCTAGTCCAATTTAAAGAACAATTGAAAAGACCTAGCTTGGCTTTGAAGGAAGAAGCCTGGGTAGCGGCTTTGTTATCTATTTCTGCAGTCGGTATAATTTCTTGTCTTGCTATAGCTATATTTATTTTAGTGCGTATTTGCAAGAAAGACGTGCTAGAAGGAAACCCGTCATTTTCATTTTTAATGCTCACATCTCTGATTCTCGTGTACCTTTCAATATTACCATTTGCATTTAAAATTGAACATGACAATCCACAATTTTATTTTAAAAGTATCTTATGCGGGTTGAAAGTCATTGGTACTAGTTTCAGTTATTCTTTTATTTTTTCTGTAATGCTAGCTCGTTCATTCATGTTAGCGAGCTGTGATGAAGACGGTGGTTTTATGAGTCATGTTAACGGCTATTTACAGTCTGTTCTGTGTTTTTTTATCGCTGCTGTACAATTAGCTTTAACATTACAGTTCTGGGCGATAAACTGGGTCTTTACTGATCATGAACAATGCCAAGCAATGACTCAAGGTCCTGTATTTTTATATTTACTAGGCTACGACATGTTTCTTCTCATCTTTTTAATATTTATTTCTCCATTTATAATGAGATCAAAACGTAATTATCAAGAAGGAGGATATTTCGCCTCTTCGTCATTCCTATGCGTACTTGTCTGGATCACTTGGGCTTCCGGTTACCTCTATCTTCCTACTTATGCTGATATTTTCATATGCTCTGGCCTAGTGGCTACAGCTACAGTGATATTAGTAGTTGTTTTTATACCACGAACGTACTTGATGATGACTGGTATCGTACGAGACCACCTTGTGAGCACGCTTCCAGCTCTGACCCATACCACCTCAAGTGTTATTGATGTCAATTATCACTCAACTCAAGCACTGTACGACACAGTCTCAGCAAGGGGGCAAATCAATCCGAATTACTACTCAGAAAGACCGACAACCCCATCGACTTCTAAGATGGAAGACAGGATTGAAAACAATCCATATGATAACTATGAGAGTTCATCCTCGCCTCTGAATGTCACGAGGTTTTGACAAGAATTTACTCTTGATTGAAGTTTTTTTACTAATCTTCTAAAGGTTGTTTTCTTATCAATTTCATACATACAAAACGGTTTAAAATAGCCATTTTATATTTTAAAAAATTAACATAAAAATAAAAATGTTTATTAGTTTTTATATGTGCAAGGAATTTAATAATTATCTTCTAACGAGTACTTGATAAGTTTAAGTGAGATCTTGGAATTTATCAAGTCCAGTGTGGAATGAATTTAATTTGATGTTCATAACTTCTACCTGGTTGAGTGTTACATCAAAATCACAAGTATGTGATCTTTGATTCTATCGTTTATAGGTATTTGGCAAAGAGTTGATTATTATTAACAAACTTTATTTATTAGTGATAGTGTTTCTTCTATAAATCTGTTTGATTGTAACATCGCATATTTGTAATCTTTGGATTTATTATAAAGTCCATAGGGGTATTTGGTAAATAATTGTTAATAATAATTTGTTTTGAAAATAAAATGTTCCAAAATGTTCATGTTGTAAAATACTTGAAGACAAAACAAAATTCACATTTATATAACTAAAAAAAATCATAGTTGTTTTCAATAAAAAGATATGCATATTCTAAAAAGAAATTGTTAAAATTGTGGCCAGATATTTTTTGGAAATCAAGTTTGTTCTTATAAAGGAGAATTAATAAGAATTTCTGTTAAAATTCTTCAGTGAATTTTATTTATAAAAATTCATCTTGTTAAATAAAAAAATACTTACTTGTGTATGTAAAAGTTTCCTGGGAGTACATTGTAATTTACTTTCTAAAAAACAGAAATGGAACAAAAACATAAAATGTATCATTATATAAAATATATATTTACTTTGCATTTGTAGTACATTTAAAATGTATTTTTAAGTTATTCCTTCATTACACTATACAGTTGTGTACAGTTTTATTTTTCAAACTCTTGGACTAAAAAATACTTTGGAAACCAAAATTACATCATTCATCTATTTACAGCTTTACAATTACGATCTTCAAAAAATGTTTCCTCTAATAAAACAAAATAGTTGTGTTATTACAATTATTTTTTTAAATATACAATTCAAAGTTCAATTTTCATACAATACTGTAGAGAACCGATTATCTCTAAACAAATTATTGTTTAAGTAGGAAATTATTCATCGTTGATTGACATGACAGCAAAAAACCATGGATATTTTAAAAAGTTAAATAATCAATCCCATTTTGATTTGAATCATTCCTTAAAATATAGAAATTTGAGAATTACAAGAATAAAACTTGTATTGACATGATAATCGATTTTCCACTGTAAAATATAACAAAAATGTTAATTGGTAACAAGCTTGGAGAAAAAGTGGCAATGAAGTACTGTCCGCTTTTCTCGATAATTCACATATATTATAAAATATATTACATTCTGGAATATTCTTAATAACCATAGCAGATGTAACAAAAAAACATTCAAAGCGATAAGGCACTTGAGTGCAAATAATATAATTAAAATAAAGAAAAACAAAATTATCAGCCTAAAAAAAATTATAAAAAACCTCCCTCTTGTTTATACAATTGCTATTATAGTTAAATTTATTCATAATTACTATCTGCCAAATTAGGTGGTCTACTTAATTTCCATAACACTTATTTTAGCTTGGTAACTAATGCAAATTCTGATTCAGATCTGATTGGCATTATTGGCAAATAGTTTTTTTTCTTAGAAGGAAAAAGGTAACTGTCATTAGTTTGGCCGCTAAAATAAAAGTAAAGGATATCTATGAGAAAAGAAATATACTTGTCAAATTAAAAGCTACATATATTTACAAATTATATTGATTTTTAACAAAAAAAGTTTTCATTTTAATTAAAAAACAGGTACAACCGTAAACATTAAAAAATAAAAATTAATAAAGAGAGGGATATCTTGGTTTAAAAATATTTACAATGACTCATATTTTAAGATTTTCTCTTTACGGTTAAAATCCTTTACTCTTGTTTTTGCTGACAGTACAGCTCCTTTAACGACTTTAATTCTTCTATCAAGGCTTTATTCTGGTTTTCTAATACAGCTACTCGATTTTCAAGGCATTTAATATACTCCTTCTTCTTTCTTCTGCATTCCCTTGCAGCTTCCCTGCAAAGCAGATATAAAAAAAATTTTAAACTTTTTATCCTATCGCAAAGAATGCAAAACAAAAAAAAACCTATTCTTTAGCAGCCTCATTTCCCTTTTTCTTGCTTGATCTTCGGCAATTATTGTGCTCCCACCTAGGCTTGCATTCTGGGTAACAACTGAAAAAAAAAGTTACTTTATTGAGTTTCAATTCACCGAGACTTGATTTGATATTAATTTTAAAATGTCAATAATAAAGTAGATGTATATATAATTGCCTTAATTTAAAAGTTTTAATCAGTCTTAGCAAAGTTGCATTGATGAAAATTCTATGTGTCCACATTCTCGATTTTATTGTAAGAAGCTAGTTTTTCTTAAAAGTTTCAAAGTGGGCTGAACAAAATATATTCACCAAATGATCGCTTTTTCCTATTCTAAATCAGTGTCGAAGTGTATTTAATTTTTACTAATAAATTCTCAAAACTGTGCTATTTGCACACATTTTCGTTTGAGAAAAAATTCACCTACTAATATATTAACAGAAAAATTACCAATCTCACTTGGTACATAAAACTCTCCATCTTGCCCCTGTGTGTACTGTACAATGGTGCCCCCAGCAGTTGTGGAATTTGTCATCGTCAGCGTGTGAATGCCTTCACCTTGGCTCGTCAACTGGAGAGTACCTGTTGGTATTACTAGAAAGAAAAAAAAAGACAAAGGTATAAAGATAAATTTTGAAAGAATATTTTTCAATCAATACCTGTTTGATAGTGGGTGGGTAGAGAATGAGATGACAGTTCGCTGTCTAAATTTGAATCACAGTCCGAACCAGAAGATTCAACCTTTGTGCCTGTGACAAGATAAAGATAGGAATTAATATGAAAATCTCAATAAGCAAAATTTAAGTCTACACTTGCATTTAAATGTCAAATTTGTATAATAAAAAGAAATGTTTTTTTTTGGAGGGAAGAAAAAACTGAAAAGTTAATTTGAAAAAGGATGAAAGTATTTGAAATTAAAAGAGAAAATTAATATTTCCATTTTTCCTGAAAATAGAATTATTTATTAAGCTTGATCACCATTAACCTTATGTTTCTCTGTCTGAGTCATTTTGTTTCATTTATTTGTAACACAAGATTAGTGAAATATGTTAAGACAATTCTGAGCCAATTTAAAATTTTAAGTTTAAAAAAAGATCACAGATCAACCAATCAAGAAACATGTTCCACCAGAAAAAAGAGCAAGAATTTGCAGACCATGATGATCAAGATATTGGGTGTGTGCATAAGTTTTTTCCCTGTTCAAGAAAAAAAGTCAAACTTTCAAAATATACAAGTATTTATTTTTAATCCAAAGCATAATTTCCTTTGTTTTCTATAACATACTGCCAACTTTCTGGTAGCAGAAATTTCTCATCTTTTTTTTGTCTGATGACAGATGAGAAGAAATCTGTGTCTGAGTATCAGAGCGTTTTTGTTTGAAAATTTCCTAACTTTTTATTGGTTGTCTAGGTAGCAGAACAAGTAAAAATTGAAAGGAGCAAAGTTTGGAGGGTGGGACATTAGTAGCCAGCCTAACTTGGTGATTTTACTCTGAGTTAGTGCAACTGTGTGAGACCTGGCATTGTCATCATGAAACACAATGTTGTGTCTATTCACCAGGATTGTTGCTCTTCCTTCAACTTTGGCTCAGGACGCTCTGGCTGTGCACAATATACATCTGCTGTAAGAGTATTATGGTCGTAACAGTTTCCAATAAATTATTCCTCGAATATAGGATATTGTGAAGGGGCAATCCTGCTCTTGACAATGACTGCGGTGTTTCATTCGTTTTGCAAACGGTACTTCAGCAATTAATATTTTTGTAAAGGACCTACTTCTCATCCCCAGTGACCACATAGGAAATAACAATCTTCCGATTTATTCCTATTCAGAAAGTTTCGATTTGACAATGTAATCCATTGTTCGGATTCTTTTTTCTATTGTTGTGCGATGTACCTGAAATCTCTCTGATAGCTCTGCGAAAAACAAAAACTTAAGCACACAACCAATACATGATCATAACTAATGTTCTTTAGAAAATGTGTTGAAAAGGATTTAAAATTGTTTCAAAAAAATTATTTTCTTTTAGGAAGTAGAGATAGGTCATGTTTGACCCACTTTTTTTACAATGTCATGCTTAATATATTCATATTTTTTATGTTAGCTATGTTTCTACCATTATATTTATCTTGTCATTATTGTTCTTAAAATTTGTTTTCTACTGAATAATTGGATATTTAAAAATAAACATAATTTATTTAGTATTGAATATAAAATAAGAATATATTGAATTTGAAAAAAAAAATTTGTTTTCCATCTCATAATAAAATGTACCACCAAGATCGTTGAGTATTTTCCTGTATGAAGGCCTTCTTGTGAGTATGTCTCTCCTTTTCTTTCGGGTCCCACCTCCACCTTCCTCTTCGTTTGAAAGGCTGTCATCAGTACCAGCTTCGACCACCTAAACAAAGCCAGAAAAATATACAAATGTTAAAAAATAAACGAAACTTCACATGTTAAATCAAAACGTACCACTTGTAAAGCCTGGAGTTGACCTTGGGTTGTCTGTATGACTGAATTTGGTTTTGAGACAAGTATAACGTTTCCCTTTGTGAGGACAGGCTGGAGAGAACCTTGGGCGCTCTGTATAACACTCTGCTGATTTGCCTGTATTACACTTTGCACAGACGTTACTGCAATTGGGCTTGTGGCCAAGGGGTCAACAGGAACTCCACCACCTCCACCAGTACCGTTTTCTTCAACCATACCGTCCATAACACGTTAACACCTCTCTCTATCCCTAATTACAAAAAAAAATATTTTTAAAAGTTCCAAAGCATCATTGTACATTATATGTATATAAATAATACATTATTAACATGAATTTAAAGAAAAAAATATTTACATTCCGATTGTTATTTAATCAAATAGTTAAATGCATCTTTATTAAAACAGTTATTAATAAAATCCAAGTAATTAATCCAAATTATTAAAATCAAGGTATTCTCTTCAAAACATTTAATGTTTAATAATCAGTTTTACATAATGTTCATCACACATGCATATAGTGTAATGAAACAAAAATATGAAAAGAAATACAGCTGATACATAATGCTCAATGTTCGATTCTCATTTTATATAAGGACAGCCTAAGAAGTTCAGTAATTATGCAATCAGCATTAAGTTTTTGTACATGGAGAATATCAAGATTGCAGCGGTAAAAAAAGTATGTGTTGATTCAAAATCTAAAAAGTAATACCAAAAATAGTGTATCAATAAAAACCATCAATTATGGAGAAATACATATATATTTTTGGTATATATATATTTGAGCTTACACATTATGCATAACGACTTGTTAAGTAACAAACTCTTTTTAATTATGTAATAATTGAAATTATCAATGTAGGGTAAGGAAATTTTATTGTTATAATGCCAAACGCTCAACAATCATTGTGTATAATGTTCACTGCATATGGAAAATGTATTAAAACAAGAAATTCAACTTCTTCAAAATTTATTTATTTTTTATTTACCTTGGCTTTAATTGCTTTAATTAAAGACCATCGAACTTAACATTACACGTAATGACATTTTACAAAATGTCTAACACCATAATGAATCATAAATTCATTGTACGTGTTCACTGGATAGTCATCATGTATTATGCTTTTTATATTGTCTTTCCACTGGTAACTACTCGTAAATACAATAATTCATTTCTGCCTATCAATTACAGCCATTGCGTATTAAGGCCATTAAGCTTTGACTTATGTAATGACTACTCATTATACTGAATGTTCAACACATGACCATTAGCTCAGTGAATCAATGATGTATTGGATCATAGTACATAATGATCATATTATGTATTATGATCATAATGTCGAACTAAGTCGTTTAATGTCGAACTAAGTAATTATGCAAAATAAGCATTAAAACGAACAAGTCGTTTAATGTCGAACTAAGTAATTATGCAAAATAAGCATTAAAACGAACAATACTTTGGTGCTTCACTTTTAGCACATTGGGGAAAACTTCTCATTTACCTATTAATTATTAATAATAAAATACAATTTTAAACAAAAACATGCTCTACATATGATTTACCAGTAATTTCAAAAACAATTACTGTTCATTAAATAACAAATAAAATGTAACTTGAAATATCACAATAATAGTTAATATAAAAAACAATAAATGCTGAATTATTTAATATCTTGACACCAGTAGGGAATATAACAATTGAAATCTTGATATCAATAATAGCGATTGTGAGATTAATATGGAATACTTGTCATAGATTTCCAGTGTTTGAATCCAAGAGTCATCTTTGAAATTTTCTTTGAATTTGAATTGTAAAGCTTTCAGGCCTCTTGTCTTTCAGGCCCAACTAGAAACATTATTATATTACAACAGGAATTAATTATTGATTTTATTATAGTCAATCTTGCACAGTATACATGTAAAAGTATGGACCTTATGAACAGCATTAAATTTTGCCACTATGTACTTAGTAATTTTTATTGAGCATAAACTTGTTACATAATTACAACTTTTTTATTTGTTTTTTATTGTACATACCCCAAAGTAATTAATATTTATGATTTATGTACCAAACAGTAAAAACTGATTACAGTTCTTATTGTTTTCATTATTTTAATTCCATTGTATCATATATATTATTTTATATTTAATTAATTTCTGTAATAAAGTTTATGTGTGAATGTTAATAATGTAATTATAATGTAAAGAAATTTTTTATGTCAAGAATAAACAACAAAAATATTTTTGTAGGTTATTGCTTGAATTGAGCAGAAATCCCTTTATGAACTCTGATTCATGTTGGATGTTGGATTATTGTTATTCCTGCACTTCTGATATTGCTGTCACTGGAACTCACAGGCAGAAATGCGATTCATCAGTAAAAATAACAGCATTCCAATTATTGTTCCCTTCTAGACACTCTCTGCACCATATTCTTCTAAGTTGCTGGTGGTGGCCTGCTGCTGCAGGTTGTATCAAAGGGATATACGATGTGAGGCTAACTTCCTACAAACGCTTACGAATCGTTTGTTTTGATAAACAGCTTGCCAAAACATCTTGTACTTTATATTGTTTCTGACCTCCCTTAGCACCGTTATGCACTATGATCCACTACCAGGCCTCCTTGGCACATCCAGTCTCTTGGAATCGGGCTAAAGCCTGAGAGACACGCTCTGAGAAACACCAACTGCCTCTGCGATATCCACTTGCTAATACCTCAATGACTCATTCTCACAAAAATATTGCAAACTTCTGGTTCAAGATGTCTTTCCATGGTTAAAGAGAATAAAATGGAAACAAGATGAGAAAAGGTGTTTGTTTACAAAATGAGTAATCTTCACTTCAAGTTTACTATTCTTAAGTAAATCCGTTAGTAAAAATGAGGATTAACATTTGTTTATTTTGGTTTGTATTTTCTATTTTGTTTTATCCAACTAACTAGAATATATCGGTTAATTTAATTAAGATTAATAGAATAAGAATAAATTACAAATATTCCTATTTACTTTTGCACAGTTTAAAATGGCCACATATTTACTGCAACTAAAGTTTTGTTTTTTACTAAGACATGTCTTGAAGTAAAAAATATTTATAAGTTGTGTGCCAAACAGTAAGTACTGAATATTTTTTCATAATTAAATTGTATTTTTATACTGGAGTAATACCACGAACTGGAGCGTCTCTGAAAAACAATGGCTGTCTGGGTACCAGACACAAAGGCTGGAGGGTAATGAAAAAATGGAAGAGGTGTTAAGACCGTAATGTCCCACTTAACCACTGTGATGTAGCCCCCGTTGCTAAAATTGCAATAAAAACAAGACTAAAAGAAAATGGCAGCATCGGTGGGCCGGATCGGCAGAGAAACATCAAGAGCAATGTCAATAGATGGCCCTCAGAGAATATAACTCTTAAAGAGGAGTCATTCACATGATTATGACCCATGGATATTTAATTTTAGGTCAAAGCTCATGTATATATCCTGCAGGTAGAGTAATGCTTAATGTGTTCCACTTAACTCAAGGGTGCAATTCCTTGGTTCCATATAGAAAGCATGTAGGAATGCCACCTGATTTGAGAATCATGCCTGATAATGGCAACAAGTATCTAGGTCTCCTCTTCCAACACGAATGTTTCACTGTGTATATAATATTTTATCACCCTTCTGATGTCATGTATGTTGTATGAGTATTAAAATAGTTTTTAGCATCTGTTCTGACTTTGGAGATGAAACAAGGCTAAAAATTCTTTTAATAATTATTTAGAGCCTACACAATTTCTTTAATGTTGTTTTAACTTAAATTATAGATTGAAGACCTACGAAAGCTTGAGAATTTTTGTTTTTCTATGTTGGCGTCCTCTCCTATACTTGCACAACATCTATAATATTTTATGGTCTCCTCTTGTGTTTCTTTGTTTATCTTGTGACTTAATTAGCATGAATGTGTAGCTAGACAGCCAATGGCTGAATACTGAGTACCCCATTGACATTAAGTTAGTTAAGTGTAAAGGACAAACATCAAGTATTCCACTACCCTGAGTGAATAGTATGTAAATAGGAAACAATATATTTATTTGTGAGTGTGAATGTGGTCTGGTTTTAGAAACGGATTGCAATGAAGGCAGAAATGACCTAGCTGTTGATAGCCCCAGAGCCCAACCTCGACGGCTGGACGATAAGACCAAGGTCTGACCCCAGATCATAACCAGGGGTGGGTGATTTTCAAGGTCTATCAGCGATTTAATATAAATTACAAAAGCTTGTATTGCAAACAGACTGTGTGAAGTGACAGGCTCAACTCTGCAGATTTGAGCTTATATAAATCAGTAGTTTTTATACTGTCATTTAATAATTTTATCTTTGTAATACACAGTTTATAGTTGAACGTTATCAATATAATAATTATGCAAAGAAACCTGTCAACAATAAAATATTAATTTATGTTAAAATGAGTCATTGCTTGAATCCAGAAGAAATCCTGTCGATTTGGTTTCACGTTGGATATATTGTTAACCCTGTTCTTCTGATATCTTGGTGATATATAATGTTTAACTAATATATTTTTTGTTTTCATCATACAGAAGAGAGAGTTTAAGTCAGTCCAGGTAAAAATTATATTCGATAGGTGTATCGCTTGTATCAGAATAGAAGTCCAAAGTTAGTATATAACATTCCTAACGTTTAATATATAATCTCTGCAATACACAGTTTATAGGCAAACGTTATCAATATAATTATGTATAGAAACCTTCTGTCGACAATAAAATATTGATTTATGTTAAAATGAGTCATTGCTTGAATCAAGATGAAATCCCATAGACTCGGTTTCACGTTGGATTATTGTTAACCCTGTTCTTCTGATGTACCTTGGTGGTATATAGAGAGTTTAAGTCAGTGCAGGAAAAAATTAAATTCGGATAGGTGTATCGTTTGAAGCAGAACAGAAGTCCACGGGATAAAACATCCCTAACGTATTTGGTGTTTTAAATGTAAAATACGATATCAAAATGAAAAAAAAGAAGAAAAGTTTGCAATTAAATTCTATGATAGAAAGACAAAGGACACTTGTAAGCCATCTATGAATATTCAGTACATATTTGACCTTCGTAAGTAAATAAATCCTATTGATAACAAAACAAACTCTTAAAACGTTTGTAATCTTTTTTTTTTAAATTAAATTTGGGGAAATGATTTTAGTTTTGTTATTGTATATTTGTTGTGATAAAATATTTTATCTTTTTGTTTATGTAATATTTTTTTGTTTGTGATTTCGTTGTTGTAATAAAAACAATGGTAACGGGCTATTACGGTTTATAGGGTTCGTTGGCGCGGATTAGGTCCGGAACCACAATACAATGGTATTCTAACCTTATTGTGATCGTGTTTTCATTCGGTTTCGCATTAAATTCATCTTCAAGAAGAAAAAAAAAGGCGTCGGCCATTATTTAAATACAATTTCCCTAAACTAAAAAGATATAAAAGAAAAGAGGCTCTTTACTCTGAAGGCAAAAGTTTTCGAATCATTAAAAAAAAATTCGGAGTGAAAATTTTCGATAATGGGAGAGGAAAAAGCATCTCGTAAGGGACGAAACTCGTTCTAAGTTTAGAAAGAACTGGCCCGTGCGGTAGCGGTTAAGGAAGGCGGAAGGGCGAGCGGCGGTTGAACAGGATCAACTCGGGCCGGGTCGTTTTCCGACAAAAATCCATCCCCCGGTGGAGTCGGAGCGTCCGAGGATCCCGTCAGTGCAAAGAGTGGAAGAACGACGATGAGACTCGACTTACCCAAGTTACGTCTGTTGGTTCGTCACGGAGTTTTCCTGCAACCTGACTGGACGGGGCCAAACACTACGTAGCTGCCACGTCAAGGCTCGACGGGGATCAGGCAAACTCGGAAAGGGGGGGAGAGCTTCACAGTTTACAGGGTGCCGCCGTCTGGACTCCGTAAAGCCGATTTCCCGATGGTAAGACGGTGAAGCATGGAGGAAATCGGACTTTTTCGACTTCGTCAAGCCGTTTGCGGATAAAAGACGCCCTTTCGTCCGAATCTGATTCACCTCTTGGTGCTCGGTTCGGCTGTTGCGTTCTTTCGTCGATGACGTCATCTCGGATTGACGTCACCCAGGTTGACGTAACCCCGCGGCTCTTGGAAAAAACTACATCTCGCCCCCACCGACGGATTGACGATCCCTAGTCAAACCTGTTGGATGACAAATCGTCATAATGATGAATTTTTATTTTTCCTAAATAAAAGCTCTTGTGCACCTATTTTATATTCCCTCCATTTTATTTACTTAATAAAACCATACTATTTGTTCCTAGTTGCTATTTTCCTGTGATTAAACAAAATCTAAACATTTCTTTTAGATTAGATAGATTTCGAATCTATCATCGAAGAAAAGATAATTTAAAAAAAGGAAGTGGTTTTTTTTTATTTTAAATTCAAACTGATAACAAAACTGCAGGCTAATCTTAAATCCAGACCTATTTCATGGCTTAATTCATAACTTTTTTGTAGGTCGTTAATCAATGATATATTACGTTAAGGAAAAAATAATGTAAAATGAAAATATTTTTCGGATATAAATCATGTGCTCGAAAATGGCACAGGAAGGGGAAACGTATATTGGAAAATTTCTTTAACCACATTCAAAACAGGCCTATAAATAACAAAAATTAAACTAAACCCTTTTAAAAAAATCGTTCTTTTTTAATATGGTTAAGCAAAAACATGTTTAATTCTTATTTTTAAAATTTTCTGGAAAGTGGTTAGAGAAATTTTTAAATATACGACGTTTTGGCAACATGTGCTATTAAATTTTACAATGTTGGGTTGTGGGATGTGTATTACGGTGTGGATACAGAAAACAGCGTAGTGCTCAATTCTTTAATTTGCCAATTTAAATAATTTTTTCACATATAATGTTTGGGAAATTAAAGAATTGTGCACTACGCTGTTTTCTGTATGAATGCACATCCCTCAACACAACATCGTTGAATATAACAGTCATAAATAAAATATTTTAAATTTAATGTTTCACATTTTTTGCATTAAGAAAAAGAAAAATTCAAATATTTTCCAGAAATAAACCATGTGCTTGAAAAAGATACAGAATGGCGAGTCATTTATTTGAAAATTTCTTTAACCAAATTCAATAGACCTACAAATAACAAAACTTAAATGTATAAAGTAATTAAAATTAGATTATTTAATAATCAATTAAATTTATAAAGATTAAACTTTTTTTTGAAAGATGGTTAAAGAAATTTTTAAATATACGATGTTTTGGCATCATGTGCCATTAAATTTTACATTTAATGTTTCACGTTTTAATACATTAAGAAAAAAATGTAAAATTAAAATATTTACCCACATAAACCATGCTTTTGAAAAAGACACAGGATGGCAAAACTTTGTATATTTGAAAAAAATTTTAACCACCTTCAAAAAACCCTAAAATAAGAAAACAACCATCCATGGCCTTTGAGGAAAAACAATTTCCTTATTATTATAAATAAAAGGGCTTTTGTGAACCTACTTTTTATTACCTACATTTCATTTACATAATAAAATGATACAATTCATTCCTATTTGCCATTTTGCTATTATTAAACAAAAACTAGTTAAATTTTTGTTTCAAATAAAAAAATTGATAATTGAACTGCAATCATCCTAATCTTATATCCATAACTACTTCATAAAAAAAATTATATATTCATTTTTGAACAAAGATTTTAGTTTTATGTTTATCCTTTAAAAATGGCAAAAAGGAGGGAAAATTCAAAAGGTGCGGTTGAGATGGGAAGTTGGTGTCCGAGTGGATCGAGCTCAAGTGGTAGAGCAGCGGTGTATCAAGCCGAAGATCGTGGATTCGAATGCCGCTTGTGCCATTGACTTTTTTATCTCAACTAAAAACCTTAATTAATTATAATTTATGTTTAATTCAAACTGGTAACAAAAATGGAGTCAGACTAATATTATATCCAGAACTATTTCATAACATTTTTATGGATGGTTTAATTTTTCTTACATTTAGGCCTGTTTTGGAAAATGAATTTTTTTGGTGTCGTATATTTGAAAAAATCTTTCACATAATTTATAAAAAATATATATANTATATATATATACTTACCATTTTCATACTCAAGGTTGTTTTTACTCGTTACCAAACCACAGCAAGTGTAACGGATCATAGTGTTTTATATTTTATTCAGCAAGAATTTCTTGTACAACATAATGACTAAGGGTAAAGGGGATATGGACTTCTGGTCGGAGGGCCAGGGTCATTTGGTAGTGATCTCTTGATGCGAGGCCGGTACACGATCCATTTTTCATCACATGAGAAAATCCAGTAAAAAAATCTACTTTGTGCCATGAAAGGGAAATGTTTAGACGCTCAAGCTTGCCATTGGTCAATTTACAAGGAGCCAATTCGCTCCTCACATCCACTTCAAGTCGAGGTAAACTAGAGTGAATGGTTTCATCAGTTATACTGAACACTGGCAAGATTCTGCAACAGTTTGACTCGAATCAAGTTCACTAGCTTCCCTCAATTCATCTTTGAGGCAGGTTTTCCAGAACATGGTTCATCTTCAATCCCCTCATTCCCAGTAGTAAATTTTTGAACTAGTTGCACTCGCTCAGTTTCATTACCAACACATTTTACAAGTTGTATCTAAGCAATGTAAAACATAGAAATGTAGATTATACTGTTAATAAAACAATACCAAACAAATTTTTCTGGTTATTTGGTAATTTCTATTAAATCATAGCAAGCTATGTGGATTTATTTAATGTTGTTTGTTGAAAAACATGAGCCTGGTTTTAATTAATCTGGTTTTAATAGAAATCCAATGTTCTAAAAAAAATAAAATAAATGGTTGCCATATAAAAGTGATTTTGCTTTGATGAGAAAATTCTTAAGGGTTGTTTCAAAATAAACAAAAGTTTCAACTTTTACAATAACTGTATTAAACTCAACGAATAAAATCAATAAAGACAGTTTTTGGAAGACAAGGGAACAAAAATTAAAAAACTATTGGTCGTTTATTTCTTTAGAGGCACTTGAAAAAAATTTAGGTGAAAAAGGCACAAATGTGAATAACCAATATTATGCATGAATTGTTTCAAGGCAATGTGTAGTTATAAATTTGTGCTTTTAAATATTCTAAAAATAACCAATTCTAACTAAAAGAACATCATATTGATTCAAATACTTGCTTTAAAAAAAAAAAGAAGAAAAAACAAAGAAGAAAGTCAATATGTCCATTCTCGCTTGAAAATTATAATTTGACAATATTGCAAACTTGTATGCTCAACATATAACAGAGAAAAATATTATTTATAAAATTAAAGTTTACTAGCAAAATATGATGGTAAGAACATCAGATTATTTATCAAATCTCAGAACAACTGAAAAGTGATCTACCATCAGTCTTTATCTCCATGGTAAATTTAAGGCATCCTGAATATCAGAAAAAACAACAGTCCATGCTGTTAATGATCTTCACCAACTTCTTAAATTTTTTAACATATAAATTTTTTTCAATCACAAGTTAAAACACTATGTCTTTTCTTACATTTTAATTTAACTAAATACATTCATACCACTTTCACTAGTAAACCCTAATTAACATTAAACAAATATTATAACACAAGTATGTCAACAATTATTAAAATTTTGGAATGTTCACATGTCAATAGTGATTTTTTCTACAAATATATCAGTTTCAAAGGAGTATGTCTTTTCAAATAAAAAAAAATATTGCACTACTCTTGTACATTGTGTTTAGCTTTACGAAAATATTTTCCTCTTTGGTATATAAAGTTTGTCTTTGGTGTTTAGTTAATTACATACAAAACAATTCAAATTAAATCTGTATTATCTCTAGACGTCAGTCTGCTCTGTTCCCATCTTATGGATACGCTTGCAGTGTCTCAACAGGGAGGAACGTTGTGTGAATTCAATGCTACAGAGAGAGCACTTCAGCCGTTCCCCTGTGTGTACGACAGAATGTTTCTTCAAGACACTCTTGTGGGCATATGACTTGCCGCAGACTTCACATTTGTAAGCTCGTATCTGTGCCGGCGCCACAGAAGCCGCTACATCGTTTGCTGCAGTATTCTTAGGATGGAGCTGCAGTGTTACTTCAGGCTGGGCCAAATGTGGCTTCGGTGCTTTGGAACAGTGCCATTTTAAATGCAAAGCCAATGAACAATTCCTAATAGGGGGGAAAAAATCATTTAAAAAAAAGTATGAACTAAAAAATTTAAAATGAACTTTCAAGGCATTGCCATAAAAAGAGGTAATTTAAACTAATAGGCAGATCAGACTATCCATTTACTAATACAGTAAATAAGCACTAGAACTTGGGCGGATTTTGGTTCCGCAGTCAACAGGTCAAACAAATACGATTTGAATGTAAAATAATATGCACCTGTAGAACACCCGGCCACAATAAGGACATCGAGAACCTTCACTGGAACCAGAATTACTGTCTTCATCTTCTTCATTGCTGTCTTCATCATCAGAGTAAACAGCTTCAACACCTTGCAGTAACTCCTGCAAAGTTGTAGATGTTTGACAATATTCAATAAAATTAGGGAAAAATAATCGGCCACACACTACAAAAAAAAGTAGCAAAGTCCTGTTTGATATGGAGTACCAGTTGAGGGAGGTTAGTGAGCAACTTGGCTGGGAGCATCTGCTTGTGTCAGGATGAGAAAAGGTGTACAAATTGAATTATGCCTTCTTACAAGATTGTGATAGCATTGAGTAACAGGAACAGATGTTCCTGAACTGTGAGTATTTTTAAGGTCGAATCCCTGGGTGGATCGGAGGGTTTTCTTGGTAGAATTGAGGATGTGTTTAGGATTAGCTCTCTAAACATATTGGGCAGTTTGACCCTGGTATATTATAATATTTATTGAGCTTTGTAAATGGTTTTTATTCTCACCCTCCTGATACACCCATAAGAATGAGAGTGAAACTCGAAAATAAATGTCAAAAAGAAAAGCGTGAACGAGAGCTTTTCTGGGGGCAGTGATTTGCATTTCGCATGTGGGTCCTCTCCGCGCCCCGATGACTAACTTGTTGATTTTTTACTTGTGGAATAGATTTTATTTGGTTACCATATTTATCTGTTTAATATTTATTAAAGATTTTAATGTTAATTATTTGTCGATTATTTTACCTATATGCAAAATTGCTGGATGCCCAAAGGAAAAAAAATGGTTATCTACATGGTTATTGGTACAGTTAAATAAATTAATTGAAAAAAAGTTTATCACTCATTAAATAGTAATTAAACAAAAAAGATACAACATTGATCCTGTAAACATGTATTTTACCCACAATCCGTTTTGAAAATAATTAAAATAATTGTAATTTAAAAAAATAAATGGGGTGTATGAACTTTTTTGTCTGTGTATATGCCAATTATTTACCTCAATATTATTATCTTCCTTCGAGTTTGCTTCTTTGACAGTATAAGGCAAAATCTGGAACAAAACATAATAAAGCAATTAGACAAGATTAATTAGAAATGTTTTATCTTTTTGCAACTTACATCTACATCCAGATGATTAAATCTAGGCTTTTTTGAAGGACTTAGCTAAAACAACAATATTTATTTATTTTGTATATCGTTTTAAGAGAATGAAATAAACTTACACTAGCTTCAAAACGTAATTCTGGAATTTTTTTCCTATAAAAGATTTATAATTAAACATAATATCATTGTCGGAAATGAAAATAGTCTTACTTTTCAGCCTGACTGCATAGTTCGATGGTACATTCAGAAAGAAGTACACTCGGCAAGTTGGTTTTGAAAGAAAAATTGCTCAGAATATTGTTATTTGCATCATCATCATCATCATCATTTTTTGGCCTGAAACAACATATGGTCAAATAAGTTTTTTTTTTTTTTTTTTTTTTTTTAAACTGGGTTTGTTTCATTTGATTCTAGTACTTTTTGATATTGAATAAAGGTTAAAACAATTTTAAAAATATTAATTTATAATTGTTTAAACAAAATGAGAGGCGTTTTTATACAACAGACATTGATTGAAACACCAAAACTACTTTTTTTTACCTGTCCTCATTGCCTTGGACTTTGTTCTCCGTTTTTTCTTCAATTATAACATTGAGAAACTGGGAAGCTAGCATTTCAAGAATTTGCCAATAAACGCAAAACAAGCGGCTATCGTGCAAATTAAAACGAAAAAAGGAAAATAAAAGGAAATCAAATAAAAACCCTGGGTCAAGCAATAAGCTTTCAACCTCAGGAGTCGCGAAAACCTTTACAATTAGTGAGACAGTAGCACTGGAAAAAATCAGTAACCTTCACTGTAATCGTCACTAAATTTTCCCTTGTAATTTTCAAGAAAATTCCCTCAAATCATATAAATCGAAAAATAAAATATATTACACATAATAAATTTTATTTGGCGTTGAGATAGTTGGTAATCACCTTTATTTTTTGGCAACTGAATAAGTTTGTAGTTGTTATTACTTCTTACGTCTACAATAAAATATTTCTGATATAACTTCTGATGTATTTTTTTTATAAATGCATTGTTTTGCGACTTAAGTTACAATAATTCAATGTTTTAAATGTTTTGAACTTTTTTCTACATTAAACTTTATATGATACTTGGACATAAGGGAATCGATGTGATGTCGATAATAGTCTTTTGACTTTTCTCCAAAACGGACACGCCCACTTACCAGATGATAACTTTTCATTCAGATCCAGTAAACCAATAGTGAAGGAAGGAATATAGAAGAAAATGAAGGTATTTTTATTCATATTATTGAGTTTAGCGACAAATGCCCTGTGCGGAGTACCAGTACTGGTTTGGGAGACCAGCCCATCCATCGGAAAGGCTGAGATCATCCCAGCACTCTCACAATTGGACACCGATGACTTTTCCAACTACCTTGTCAAGAAGGTGCACGTTCACAAACCGCTCATCGTCCTGTTCGAAGAAGAGACTTTGAGTATAGAGGATTTCAGCTGGAAAGACTCACAGCAAAGAGGCTCATTCCCAAAGCTTCAGAATCTCACGGGGATGTCTTCCAAAGTCGAGTTCCTCTCATCGGTTGTAAACCCACTCAACGCGCTTAAAGACTTGGTCGCCAGCCACGACTACGTTTGGAAGAAATACGACAAAGATTTACCCGTCAAACCGAATGTTGTCCTTGAGGTGAAGCTCGACGATCCTCTTCCCAACGAAGACCGCCCAGACCTTCTTCGCAGACATGATACCGACATTGCCGAGATATATTCTCAACTTCTGGCATCGCATTCTAGAATTGTTGCTTTATTCACCGGCAAACACAGTTCATGGGTTGAAGTCGATTTAAACAGAGTTAGAAGAGATGCTGAACCAACTAGTTTTGTCTATGAGTCTAAAACTATTAAGATGGAGACACCAAAGCCAGTCACTTTAAAAACCACTACTGAAACTTTCAACCTAGATAATCCGACAGAAACAGTGAGTACTGTACAGTTTTTCAATTTCATTCTTTCTTTAATATGAAGAACCTTTCTTTAATAGAAGATTTTAATGATTTTGTTTAGAAATCTGACACGAGAGAGTCTTTCTTGAGACTGATTTTGAAATTCTCTAAAAAAGGAAATGAATCAGACTCGACAGGTATCACACTTAGAAACCGATTTGATGAGTCTAATGGCAGGTGGACAATGAGCTCCATTGAAATTGTTATTAATGGAGAGACAGATACCCTCGTCAGTTCAATGGATGTTTCAGCTCGCTTTGGAAGGTCTTTTAAATCTACTGGGAAGGTCATATTCAAAAACAAAAGTGGAAACCTTACTCTGATCTTCAATGGCTTACAGGTATTTATTTATTTTTTTTCTCTCTATAATAATAACACTTATGTTGATTGTTTTCAGGCTGAAGTTTACAAAGGTGCTGCTGAAAAAGATGGTGCCAAAGAATTCTCTTTACCTGATGTTCCCGAGGCGGTATTCTTTACCGCTCCGATTTGGTCCGGCCTTCTTACATCTTTCCTTCTCATTATGATTCTAACATACGGATTTCTTATGCTGTCCGACATCAAAACAATGGACAGGTTTGATGATCCCAAAGGTAAAACAATTCAAGTAAACACAGGCGATAATTAATTCTGTAAGTATAATTTGGTTTCAAATATAAATTAATAAATAGATTATTCATCATATTTTTGTTGTTTTTATTTTTCAGCGGCATTTCTGTAATTGAGCACCGACTGATAAATTGATGTACATTCCAACTTTTATTTTTCCAAAATTTATAATTATCTCATTAATTTTTTTCCTTTAGAATGGGTAAAGTATCAACCTTAGTACATTGTTGGTGATAATTAGGTGTAGATGTTTAGTTATTGTTTTTTTGTAAATATGAATGTAATTATTTGTAAATTCCCCATAAATTGGCGACTAAAATTAAAAATGTATATAAGCATGGGTGTGACACCATGTGTGCATTTACAATATTTCATTTCTTTTGTAAATTGTCAGCATTGTAATTATTTTGAAACATCTATATTAATGTACATCTCAGTATTAAGTTAATATTTTCAAGTAAAATGGTGTATTAATTAAAGATAAAACCTAAATATTTTGAATTGTAAATACACAAGAGGAACTAATTGTTTAAAGTCTTCAAATGTCGTACTTAACACTTATAAAAACAAATTCCTGTTAAATATTAGTAAGTTTTAATGTTTATTCTATATTAAAGTCCTCTGATTCATGAATTTGAAGGTTGTCACCTTTTATTATAACAATTATAATATGATGAGCACTAAAGTAAAAGGAGAACTCAATATTATAATTTAAAAAATGGTACAGAATTTAAATAAAACAAATAATTATGCTATCTGTTTTCTATTTTCTTTTTAAAAAGACATTTATTTATTTTCTTAAATTTAGATAATTTTTTTAAACATTACTAAGTAAAATCTGTATTTTTGGGGGACTGCAATGGCTGAGTGGATTTTCAGTACGTCATGGATTCAATTCCCGATATATAGCAATATGTTCTCTCTTAATGCTGACCATATCTGGTTTACGGATGACTTCAAAATCGATCCCGAGGACTGAAAGACAGTAACAACTAGAAGGACAATATTGGACATATTGCACTCTTTCAAGCAGAGACTAAAAAGCTAGGTATTGTTAGCAGAAGAATGTCAATCTGGTTGGATAGCCAGGTGGCACTAAGGGCAATTGCCGTATTAAGGCCCTATCAGACATTAGGGGGAATACAAAATTACCCTTGTCTGGGTACCAGGGCACACAGGGCAGAAGGACAAAAAAGAAGCCGATAAACTGGCAAAGGAAAGTTCGATAAGGATATCTATTTGCCCTGAACCCTTTTGTTGTATACCAAACTGTCAAAAACATGGATCCATCAGCCAGACTTTGGACCATCTTTGACACTATTGGCAGAACTACTATGACATGTTAGGACTAGAATATAAGTTGAACTCTGTAAACTCCAAAGGCATATGACTTGAAGAGGTAGAAATAAGCTTGTGCAGATATTCCAGGAAGATGAAGAGACAAAGCATGTCCTCTGTTCATGCGAAGGCTCATGTAGGCTGAGATTCTTACTTGTGGAAGAGGAAAAGCCCTCCCCGAAGGATACACACGAGAGTCCTTGAAAAAGTTTTGGGGCCTGGTAAAAAAAAACCCTTTAGCTTAATGAGGAACGACAATAATGGAGAAGCACAATAGAAAAGAAGCACAAAAGGTCATGATGTGCAAGTCGTAAAGAAGCCGACTACTTCCCTAATCTAATTTAGCTATATTGTAGGTAGTTATTAATAAATATTAAGTGAAAAATAAAGAAGATATATAACGGCTGATTGTCATTATATAAATATAGTGAGGTAGCCATTTATTTCATTTCATTTTTCCTTTAGTCTTCGCTCACCAGTAGACAAGCATTTATTTTGGCCCCTCAAGTAGTTTCCTTACAAGAAAGTTTTGACTCTTTACTTTTTTCTTCCTGGAGTGTTTTGGATCTTTGTTGTTTTCTTGCAAAGTTTATTTTGGAGAGTGCCATTCCTTGGGCTTTAATCTGGCCCCTTCTTTGCTGAGGCCTTTTTAAAGGTGCCAGATTAATCTTTTTTTGGCCATTCCAGTGTGAAATGTTCTTCACTAATTTTGAGGTGTTTCATTCTCTTTTAATTTAGCAATCTTAAAGTTTGTTTCTTCAGCTGACTTTCTTGTTATGGTAAAGTTAGGAGGACTGAAAGAAGACTCACCCTCTTTCATTTTTGTTAGTTCTGGAAAGTTAAGATTTGTGTCTTTTATGCCCAGAGGAACTAAGACCCTCAGAAGTTGAGAATTTATCCTGGGAAACTACTGCTGGAGGTCTTCTGGTATCCAATGTTCACATACTAGTGAATTAAGCACCCCCTGACCATGCGGCAATATGGGCATATGCTGGCCCACCCTTGCGGCTTGGGGGAAGAGATGGGATAGAGTATTTAAATTAATTGTGGATAGGGTAGAGCATGGTGGATGGAAAGGTATTGGATATCACATGCTGTGGGAAAGAAGGAGGCACTAGAGCCCCTTTGGGTTACTAAAGTTTTTGCTCTTGAACCAGTTTTTGTGATCATGATAATCATTTAAAATAAGTCATGTGAACTGATCATTTCTAGTCTCTTTCAAACAGTTAAACTAGACTATTACATATCCAAGCCACCTCTTTACATAATTTATGTAAATAACCCAAAATTTCCTTCAACCAAATTGAATGTTTGCTGATGAATTGGCCATTCGGACACAGCTAGATCGTCCGTCATTCTGACAAAATCAGCTTTAGGTTGATCACCTCATAACTATTTCAAAATGTAAGTAACCAAGATAGTTTGAAAGTAGTAGAATGCTAAAAATACTTGCTAATAGAAATTTTGGGTAAAAATAAAAACAGTCCTTTTTCCACTTTCACTTCTCTGCAAACATTATACAACTTTAGCAATTACTTGTTAAAAGTTCTCTGATGAAGAAAAGTATCGTGACCTTAACTATTGACAAACAATTGACCTACTTCCAATCTCATCAATGAAACTGGAAAAACATTGTTAAACCTTCTTACTGTCTCTATGTATTTTTATTTTTTGCTTCTATAATCTTAGGTTTAAAAGAACAAATACTCCATTATTTGTCCTTAACACAGCACATGGCTTATTAATTGATATCAAAAATGTATTGTGATGTAGTTTGATCCCAGTCGATATGATAGGTAGTTGGACGTAAGAGAATAATTACTTTACTTATAAAAGTATGTCATACATTGAAATTCCTAATGTTTAGATAAAATAAAGTTTATCAAGTTATTTTAAGATGGAGAAAAAACATTAAACACGAGATTGGTTTTGATGTTAATGTTTAGAGCAGCCTTTAGACTGTTAAATCAAGTTGCTTAAAATGTGTTTAAATAGTAATTACTTCACCATATAAGAAAATGTTTGTTGACAATTTATGATATAATTAAAAGAAGAAAAAAAATGAAATTCTTATATAACATTTATTTATACATTTAACAATAATGATAAATTTCTAACAATCAAAAAAAATTACAACAGGCTGCTACAATTTTTCAATCTATTTTCTTTTAAATGCCTAAAAAAAATCAATGAATCAGGAATAAAGGATTTTCCACCACCTTTTAAAAACATGATAGATAAAAAAGAAATACTGATATTGTGATTACTACATTTTTTTACCTTCACAAGTACACATCATGCAACAGATATTTCATCAAGATACACAATAAGTACATTACATGTATTTATTTTATGTACATTTTTTTTATTTATAATTAAATGAGTAACCGGCTAAAATTAAAACAAGCAAAAATAATTTGCTTGATAAAATTTAGGCGACACATTGGAATGTATACCAAAAACAAAACTGAACTATCAACGTCTTCAGGCATCTGAAACATCAAACAATTTAGTAAAGTTTCAGTATTATTTGACTACATTTCAAAAAACAGACCTTGTGTTCACTTGGTAGGTAGGCTTGTTGAACCTTGTTGGGCGTGTTGTCTTGAATCCCTTGGGTAAAACTCTGCAAGCGTCGAGGCTGGAATTCTCTTCAACATCTCCTTCGGGAAAATTCGAAGCAACTGCCATCCAATATCAAGTGACTCAAAGACTGTTCTGTTTTCATAAGTACCTTAACAAACAAAAGAACAAAATTAACTTTATGTCTAATAATTACTTAAAAAATCAAAAACTAACCTTGAGTAATGAAATTCTTTTCAAATTTAGTCAAAAATTCTAGATAAAGAAGATCATCTGGTGTCAACGCCTCTTCACCAACTACAGCTTTCATGGCTTGTACGTCCTTTCCAATAGCATAGCAAGCGTACTGAAACAGAAAGAATTCTGAATATTTTTTACTTAATCCTTTATAAAGTACTTTATTGTTATTTTTTAATGCTCACCAATTGGTTAGAGACATCAGAGTGGTCTTTTCTGGTCATTCCCTCTCCAATAGCAGATTTCATAAGACGAGAGAGTGATGGCAGCACATTAATAGGTGGATAGATCTGACGGTTATGCAACTGTCTATCAACGTAAATTTGCCCTTCAGTAATATATCCAGTCAAGTCGGGAATAGGATGAGTAATATCTAGAACAAATTTTAAGTTAAATATAGACAAATGATAATGTTGAAATAATCAAATAATATACCATCGTTAGGCATAGTTAAGATAGGAATCTGTGTGATGGAACCATTTCTGCCTTCAACTCTCCCAGCCCTTTCGTAAATAGTGGCCAAATCAGTGTACATGTAACCGGGGAAACCTCTCCTACCGGGTACTTCCTCACGGGCAGCAGACACCTCTCGCAACGCCTCAGCGTATGAAGACATGTCGGTCAATATAACCAAGACGTGCTTTTCACACTGGTATGCTAGAAACTCAGCCGCAGTCAAAGCGAGACGCGGAGTGATGATTCTCTCGATTGTCGGGTCATTGGCCAAGTTCAAGAACAGACATACATTCTCCATCGATCCGTTTTCCTTTAAATTGGCAAAATTAGACATTTTGTATTAAATAATAATACCAGAGAAACATACTTCGAAATCTTGCTTGAAAAATCGAGCAGTTTCCATGTTGACACCCATAGCAGCGAAAACAATAGCAAAATTGTCCTCGTGATCATCCAACACGGATTTTCCTGGCAGTTTGACGAGACCAGCTTGCCTACAAATTTGTGCTGCAATCTAAATTTTACACAAATTTAAATATTAATTTACACGAATTGCATAGGTATAACTTAAAATAATACTTAGAACTAATTGGCTATTGCTTACTTATATGAGAGTTTAAATTTTTTTAATCGTTTAGAATAAGAAAAACCTTAAATATTTTGTAAATATAAACTTACTTCATTGTGAGGAAGACCAGCAGCAGAGAAAATCGGAATCTTTTGTCCTCTGGCAATTGAATTCATTACATCAATGGCTGAGAGACCAGTTTGGATCATTTCCTCAGGATAGATACGTGACCAAGGGTTTATGGGTTGACCTTAAAACAGAAATCCTCATTGAAACACTTTTTACAATGTATTTTATTTATTTATTTATTTTTTAATGTAAAAACCAACTGACCTTGGATGTCGAGATAGTCTTCAGCCAGAATTGGAGGTCCCTTGTCAATCGGTTTTCCGCTTCCGTTGAAGACACGGCCTAACATGTCCTCTGACACAGGCGTACGGAGGATGTCTCCGGTAAACTCACACAGAGTGTGTTTCGCGTCGATACCAGAAGTGCCTTCGAACACCTTTAAAAACAAGGTTTCAGTTGTTTTACTTAATTTGGGTACTATTCTTAAAAATTTACCTGCACGACAGCTTTAGAGCCAGAAACTTCCAAAACCTGCCCCGACCTGATTGACCCGTCGGCAAGCCTCAACTGGACAATTTCAGCGAACTTTGGGAATTTAACCTCATCGAGAATAACAAGAGGACCGTTGACACCTCGGACAGTCTTGTAAGCTAGAAAAAGAAAAAAAACTCGAGATATTACATAAGTCCTTGTCTATTAATTTATTTGCATTATTTGGATAAAAAATAAAAAAATAAAATGTGAATATTTAGATAGATTTGTGTAAAGAAACAAACGCGTAATTGGAAAATGTGATAAATTTTAGAAATTGTAGGGATTATAAGTTAAAAGAGTAAATAAAGTTGTAGAGAGACAACGCCCACTTTTTTAAGTTTACTTACTCAACCTCGGTTGGGACACAAAGTCCCTCGAAACGGCCAAAACGTGCTCTTTGGCAGCGGCGACGCTAGTAAAAGCCATTTTCCTGTTGATTTTTTTCCCCTTTTTGTGCCTTTTTATGAGTCGACCAAATTTTCACTCCGTCTGTAAAGTTGCAAGCGCCTACTGGAATGGTGCCCTGCCTTTTCGTCAATCGTCAGTCCCCCAGAAATCAGCTGATTTGCTCCTATCGCCTGACGAAGAGGGAGAAAATCACCCAAGGACGCATGTTGCCAACATTAACTTCTAACGAGAATTTACAACTTTTTCCAACATCGAATTGAAAGAAATTTATCAAAGAATTATTATTTATTTGACCTTTCTTACAAATTTAATTGGACCACCATTATTACTGATATATTGTAAATTTTTTAATGAATTTTTATTTTAGAGTGTCCATGTTTTAGTGAGTCGTAAATTAATAGTGTGAACAATTCACATTAACACTAGAAAAAAATTGAGGCCAATAGAGTGAAAATTTAGATTTGTTGGATTTGTATTAGGAATCAGGTGACTGACCTCAAGAAAAATGCCATGCTTAATTCATATCTTCAGAAGAATTTGTATATTCAACAAATATATAATATATCATAATTTGCTTATTTGGACACCCACGGACACTCTGGATAAATGTATTGACTTGAAGAAAAAATCAAATTCAGTTCTTTGCCTTTACTGCCATGCTTTTGACCTATTCATCATCAACCAAGATAAAAGGCTTGGCAATGTTTGGACTGAGTCAGTCTTCTAGGAAATTTGAGATTGCCTATAAAAAACGTCAATTTGTAGACATATTTGCTCTGGTGATGACCTTAAAATAAGTCAAAAGCTTGGCAGTAATAACTGAAAAAAATGGCCTTGAAGCAGAGTGTTTGTGAGTGAAAAAGTGGTTCTAACATTATAATATCTGGAAACTGGCACATCTTGTTTTTTTTTAACTTCTACTTTTACAAATCTTATATCCTCCTATATATCTGGTAGTACTCAGGGATGTACTCTATGGACAGTAAAAATAAAAAACTGATTTATGAACTAAACATATAGAAAAAAGTCTAAAACCAATTTTACTAGCTCCAGGTAGTAGAAAATGCTTTTTTAAGAATTATTGGAGGGTTTCCACATTGGACTATGATAGACTATATGTTTATGTGAACTTAAACATACCTAAGAACCCACATCTATACTGAAATTGTCAATTTTTATAACTCATGCATAAGTAGCTCTTTTGAGCATATAAAAAAAAAACTTTTTTCTTAATATGGAAGACTTGAACTACCATAAATACAAGCATAACATACATATCATTTGCCCAATAGTAAAAGTATGTGAATCTACTATTTACAATAAGATATATCCATTTGTGTCGTAAATTATCCCGCAACAACATGTTTTATGTAAAAAATAAATCAGTATCTATTAATCTGTCATAAACACATTATAGATGCATTTGGTAAACATTGTTAAGTCAATTCAATTCACACATTTTGCAAAAGCATTTGACACTGTCCATCATGACATTTTGATTGCAAAATTGGAGGCATATGGTTTTTATAGCAGTCTTCTCTGTTGGTTTCACTTATATGGAAAATATATTCCAAATAGTCAAAGTTAATTTTTTTTAATGTTTTAAATTTACAGTTTTTTTTAGGAATTCATCAGGGCTCTCACTTAGGGCCTGTTTTGTTTCTTGGTTTTATAAATGACATTTACTCTGTGCTTAATGATATAAATTTTCTTTTCTTTACTGATGATCAAAAAATGTTTTAAACCTGTTTCTTCTTATTCTGACCACTTAATCCTCCAAACTCCAAAACAATTTAAAATTTCTCTAATATCGGTGTTTAAATAATAATCCAAATCTTAATACTTCAAAATGTTTCTATATCCACTTCTCAAGGTACAATAATTCTAGCAATTACACTTACAATCGATGACATCCCCTCAATTCAGTTAACATTATTAAGGATCTCGGCATCTTGTTTGACCAACAGCTAACGTTCAAAACCCACATTTTAAATTTAACTGCTAAGCTATAAAACTTCTCGGATTTATAATTAGTTTTTTTAAGATTTTCAGAATATTCAAATGTTAAAAGAGTTATATATTTCTTTAGCCAAATCCATCATTGAATTCTCCTCTGTAGTTTGGTCACCACATTGTAAGTATCTAAAACATTCTCTTAAACGTGTTCAGCAAAATTTCTCAAATATGTACATTTGGTTTTATTCCATAATATAGATACATTTGAAATCAAATGTAAAAAAATGATATTTCTCTATAAATTATTAAATAATCAGATAGACTGTCCAGAACTTCTCAAAGTAATTAACTTTAATATTCCATCTCATACACCAGAAATCCTTAAACTTTCAATGTAGCCTACAGTAGGTACAATTATTATACCTGTACATTGAAAAGAGATTTAATCAAGAAAAACAATTGAATTGAAAGAAAGCATCCTACATGCTAGAATTACCAAAATTAAAATAATGGCCAATACTAATTGGGAGACTTATACAAAATGTACTGAGGATAAGGCTCATCCCGTTAGCCTTGGATGAAGAGGTTGATTACGAGGGCGGAGACTAGAGCTACTGTATAGCCTCTGGTGCGGTGGGACAAAAAACTTGACATACATACTACGTGTTTTACATTTTCCCCTTGAATCACATTCAACAAATTTTGGTTTGACAAGATTAATGCCAATGTACGTACAATTGTTCAACATTCTCTTTTGATCAATGTTATTCTATAAAAATATATATTAAAAAAATCTTTTAGAAGCTAAATTATTAGTCAAGGAGCATCCGCTTTAATAATTATGTTTAATTGTTCAATAAAACAAATAGTGATTCAAGAAACTTTTGTACAAGATCAATATAATAATTATAAAGTATCTTTGTTTATATTATTTACAGAAAACTAACAAATATAACAATCTTGAGAAAAAATAAATAACTATAAACAATAAAATTAACCTTATAAAAAATTAAGAATACAAAAAATAAAATTAAACAGAATAAAAACATTACCCATATTTACATAATTAATATAATTAAACAAATATTTAAAGAATACGATCAGGGTCATATGGCTATCAGAGGAATCAATATAAATATAAATTATTAATTCATTTACATTTTAGTGGTCAATTGACCAAGTTACATCTTTCAATTAATTATTATTTCCATGTAAGGTCTTGGTTGAGATAAAACTTCGAAAAGTCCGAAGATAAAGTTTGAATCCTGCTCGTGACACGACTTTTTTATCTCAACCAAGACCTTACATAGAAATAATAATTAATTTATAAATATAAATATTAAAAAATGTCAATGATTGTGGGGTAAGAAACAAAAGTATTTTCATTATAATATACTCATATCATAAGTATACAAACTTTACTATATTGTAATAACTTGTAATAAAATATAATAGTAATGTAATCTACTGAATGTTATGATCGTATTTTTGAATAGTTTAATTATTTTTTGACATAAAAATATATTTACATGTCGTTTTGGGAGAATTGACTAAACAAGGGTAAACCTTACCTTCAGTGCACACTTCAAAATTTTAAGTATCCTTAAAAGGATTAAGCTAAATCTTATTTAAGATGTAGCAGACATTAAGTAATACCTGCTTTATTCTACTGATTCTGAGGGAGCATATCTTGCTATTTTTATTGATACAATATTTTCTCAAATAAATACTTTCTCTTATAACTAATTGAATTATATAATAAAAATATTGTGGCATTGACTGAGCTTTTCAGTATTTTAAATAGATAACATATTAATAAAGGATTGTTTAGATGAATAAAAACACTTTTTTTCTTCTATTAATAACTCCTGTGTTTATTCCTTGACATTTTTTCTTTAGATTCAACCATGTAGATAAAGTTATGAGGCAGATTTCCTTGACCGATCACAGATATAAGCTTCTTCACTGAGCCGCATGTTATTTTGTCACTAAGTTTACCAAAATTCCAACCTCGTCTAGTACAACTGATTCCTTCTGTGAACGGTGTTGCAGGAGTCCCAGCTTTGTTCGTCGATGGCCCATTTTCAATAGAAAAGACGAGTGATTTTCCTTCACGAAAAATAGCCTTCCATAGGTATTTAGGGTAGGGCACCATGCCTTGTGTCAGCCAAAGTTCCTGGTCCTTACGGTTTCCAGTTTTTATACCGTAAGTTCCAGCAAGTATTGTTATCGGTTCTGAATCCTACACACAAAATAATTTATTTTAAATATATAAAAAAAAGTGCTTTATAAAAGTATAAACTGACGTCTCTGTATTTTTTTCTAATCGTTTGTTCAATTAATTTCCAAGGTCCGTTGTAGGTCGAATTCCATTGTGGGACTGTATTTAAATAGTACAATGACATTTTTTGCATGTTGTAGCTCATGAAGTCTTCAGGCGGAATCAAGAAGCCTGGAACTATTGCTTCAACATAAGTCGGAGGTAACGCTGGCATTTTTGCAAGCCTTGTGATCTCCTGAAACATAATCGGTTAGACAAAATAAAAATAATAAGAGAAAAATAACAAATACAGATACATTTTTGACTAAAATTCAACCATTCAATCAATCATTTAACAAAGCATATGGATAAAATTGCATTGCTGTAGTATATTTTTCTTGTATTAAGCATTATTTATTCAATAAAGTGTTATTTTTATAATTTAAAAAATTTACTTAAATAATAATAAATACTTGTATAAATCATAAGAATCTTCGTTTTTGGTTTTTAGATTGTTATAGTACTTAATCAAAGAGATATTGTAATCATAATTAAACATTAAACTACCGAATAATGGTGTTATCTGACCTAAAATTACTGCAATTATTTGCTTTTGTTTAATCATTATATAAGGTCATTAACTTGATCCTAACTTATATTACTTTTTACATACATACAGTCATTATTTAAAAACTCCTATTTCAAGTACTTACTGCATTGTAGACCTCAGAAATATTACGGACAATGGACCCATAGATATCAATAACTTGGCCAATTTTTATTTCCTCTAAAAAAAGGTCCATCAATTTATTATATTTATGATCTAAATCATAATAAATCCTACCATCTATGCCAAGATGTTTTACCCTGTGCCTATACACTTTTGGAAAAACCACAGAATATACCCAGTATGTTTCACCTCTTTCTTTGCTGTGGCAAATCGACATTCCTTTTATAAACTCTCCATTGTCTCCCTAAAAGTAAAGAAAAACTTTTTTTTTTTCAAAATATAATTTAAACATAACATAAAACTTTAAATTTAGAAATCTTTTTACCTTATATCCAACATCAATAAATCGACCTCGCTTTGGGCCGTTGCAACTCCCTCTATAAATTGTAATAGGATACATTGGCCGATTACATGAAAATGAATTCAATGGAAAAACACCTCTCCTCGTTTTTACTTTTCCACCCGCTGTACAAGTACCATTCACTGACTTTGTTGAATAACGATTTAGTTTGTTCCCTTTAAATAAAATATCCATAGTTATTTTAAATAATGATTATTTGCTTTAAAAAAAATCTTACCAGAGCTGAAACAACTAATTTCAACTGTTTCACCATCTTTTAATCCAAAAATTGACAAGTCGTTGCCATCAGGCATCAGTTCTCTTCCTTTGGCATTCCGAAACAAGGGTGTGTTGATTGTCATCTCATCTAAGTCCATCTTGCAAGCATTTCCTACACATGGAATCTTATAATTTGGCATCAATTAAGAAAAATAAATGTTAATAAATACCTGGTAATTTTTTGGCAAAAGAACAACTGGCCATAAATGTTGAAATAAGAAATACAAGTCTCATATTGTAGAGATCTACCTTTGCAGGTTTGTAATTGCAAGTGTTCGGCAAATGAATTATCCACTACTCCGCTGACTTTTTATAATATCTACTTATCTGAATTTCGCTATTTTGCCAAACAATGCTGATAAATAAGAACATTTTTACTCACTCTATGACTTTGTGATTAAGGACTTATGAAACTTGATTAGACTGTGAGTCAGCAATACTTCTCTCAATTGTGGCACTTCCTAGTTATTAGTTCTGCTTAAACGAATACTATGGCAACAATAATCAAATATAATTGATCGATAAAGTGCTATTAAATGTATGAAAATCATATCATACACCAAGACTTAATTCAAATTAGTATTAACCCATAAGTAAATTGAGGTAATTGTTTTGTGTATAATTACCAAATAATTTTGTTTGTATTATATTTTTTTTTAAATTATAAGTTGGATGATTGTAACAAAGTTTTGATAAATAAAGCTGCTTTCAATATTTGGGTGTTTATTTTTAATATACATTCTATTTTGTCAGAGAGAAAGGATTGTAAGCCATAACAAATCATCGTGACTGACACTGGAGGAGTGAGGAGAAGCACCCTTTTGTGCTAAATGGAATTCTTTTCTCTAAAGAGGCAAAATATCAACGATTCAGCTTTGAACAAAGACTTTCAACTGAACAACTAAATAAAATCACAGAGAAACACATGGTAGATGTAAACCCCTTTTAAGAAAAGTTGGGGGCCAAAGCCAAAAATGTTCCCACAGCTATTTTTATTTATTGCTGAGCACTGTTGCTGTGGACCTTTTGTGGCAACCAAACTGCTAAAAATATTGATCTAATAACTCCTTTGTTCAATGGTAATATAGCCCAGGAAGAGGCACGCAAAAAAGTTCATCAATCAAAAGACTATTGCAGAAACTAACAGTAGAACTACTAAATCTAGGACATGTTCGGACTAGAACAATAGTCGGACTGCTAACTGGGCTGCAGACTCCGAAGGTGTGTGTAGAATCTGTGGAAGATGTCCTCTGTTGGTCTATGTAGGCTGAGATTCTTACTCAGGGGAGTCCTTGAAAAAGCTCTGGGATCTGGTGAAAAACCTTAAGCTTAATGAGGAACTCATTACTATAACAAAGAAGCACAATATGCCAATACTGGTCACGGTGTGCAAGTGGTAAAGAAGCTGACTCCTTCTCTAATCTAATCTAATTTAGCTGCACTATAGGTAGTTGAATGTTAAACAATCCTATGTGAATAAATATTAAGTGAAAAAAGAAGATATATATAAATTGGCTGATGGTCATTATACAAAGATAGTAAGGGTAGACAATTATTTCCCTTCATTTTTCCTTTTACTGATTCTTCAGTCAGCAGTAGACAGGCATTTACTTTGCCCTCCCCCCCATAGTTGAAGAATTTCTTTTATTGTTGTCAGCACTTTTTGGGCGGTAGGGTAAAACTACCTTTGGGCAAGGCATCTTTTTCTTTTACTGTAATCAATGTAGCTCCCTACATTAGAGAGGATCTTTCATAGTGTGCCGTCACCATACATGAGAGCTAGTGAACCACTATTATAGTTAAAGTTGAGAAAGTGAGGTTTAACATCATCTTCTTTCTGCTGTGAAGGTTGCTTCTGTATTGCTTGCAGGTGTCGAGTGCTCAAAAGAGTTTGAGGGAGATCATTATACAGGATGCCTTGTACTCCTTGCAAAGCTTGTAGGCTTTTGGCACTTTTTTTTGTTGCCTGAAAGTTTTGTTCTCTTTATTTTTTTATTTCTGTGGTGGTTTCAGACCTTTGTTGTTTCCTTGCAAGGTTTATTTTGGAGAATGCCATTCCGTGGAATTTAATCTGGCTTATTCTTTACTGAGGCCTTTTTAAAGGTGCCAAATTTATCTTTTTTGGCTGCTCCACTACTTAAACTGTACTTCAATAATTTTGAGGTTTTTCATTTCCTCTTTTACTGTAGTGATTTTTAAGTGTGTTACTTGTATTCGGGCTTTATGTTAAAATACTCTCATCTTCATCTCACCTTGAATAGAATATTGAAAGTTGAATAACTACATTAGTATTGTATTTTGTACAATTACATTAGTATTGTATTTTGAGAGAAAATTGCATCTTTCAAATTCAAGCAGCTTACCATGTATAGTATACACAATATTGATTACAGTAGAAAATTTCCATTTTTTTTTTACATTTTTGTGGTTTCTTATTCAAGTTACAAAATTGTTGAATGTTATGAATCCTATCAATAACCACAGACTAAAGAATAATAATAAAAAATGCTGATATCGAATATCTCTCTTCGAACTAGAAAAAAAACTTGTCTTTATTAGTTTAACGACCTTGGCAGATTTTTTTATCAGTCAAACAACTACTTTATGTGGTGGAGGTAGACAAGATTTTTATTGTATCATCGTTTCTGTATCAGCAACGTCGGCGTTTTAACATTTATCGTATACATATATTATTTAATTTATTATTGTGAACAGTAAGGATTCGATGGAGAGAGTCAAAATAAACGAGAACGACCTCAAATACTGTGCAGACAGGCTGAACGAGAGTCCAGAAAAATTGGAATTGTACTTGGCACAGATGAGGGATTTTTTGAAAGGGAAAGAAGAACTTCGGGCAAAAACAGGTAAATTTATAATAAACGAGGACAAGTGAATTTTATTTGTTAAAACAAATTCACAGGAGAAAACAGCAACAATTTAAGTTGAAAGTAGGTTACTGTCAAAGTGTCAACTGTCAAAGTTTCAACAAAGCAACAAGTAACCTCAATGATAATTAAGATGTAATACATGTTCGTAAATGATCATGTTCAAAGATACGACTGAGTAACTTTAAATTGTGGTATTTTTACGCTGGAAGATTTAATTTTATTAACTTTGATTTTAACATACAAAATGTGAAAAAAAAGAAGTTTAATAAAATAATTATAAAGATCGGAAAATTTAAAATATTCAAAATTTATTAATTATACAGAATGAGTGTAATTAGAAACTATTTGTTATATGTACATATTACTTCAATATTATCTATTATTCTAATCAAAAGTCCAATGACAAATTTTAGCTGAATTTCAACAATTTTGTTATATTAAGTCAATTGTTAAAAACTACCGGCTCATCAATGTAATTTGGATCATAGACAAAGTACTTGAATCAATTATTTGTGATAAGATGTCCACTTATGTCTGCGATTATTATCTTGCAGCAATAATGTTTTTTAAACAATAAGTCAGTATCCATCAATCTTTTAATCTATCAAAAACTTTGTTGCATTGATAAACATTGTTATGAAGGTTCAATTCACACTGATTTCATGAAAACATTTGATATCATCACAATCATCACATTTTGATTGCAAAGCTGAAAAAATGTAGTTTTCGTGACAGTCTTCTCTGTCGGTTTCACTCATATCTGGAAAATAGGTTCCAAGTGGTTAAAGTTAATTTTTCTGAACCTTTTAATTCTCAGTTACAGGAATCCCTCACGGATCTTACTTAGGGCCTCTTTTTTTTTTTTTTTTTTTACTAAATGGCATTTATGCTGCGCTTAATATAATTTTTCTTCTCTTTGATGACAATCTAAAGATTTTTAAACCTGTTTCTTCTTATTCCAATCACTCACTTCTTTCAAATTATTTAAGTTTAAATAATGATATAAATTTTAATACTTCAAATTGTTACCATATATGCTTCTCAATGAGCAATAATTTTAACAATAATTCTAATAACTACATTTATACAATCAATGGTACCTCTTTCACATCAGTCAACGTTATTCAGGACCTAGGCAATTTATTTGACCAACAGCTAATGTTTAAAAACCACATTTAAGTTTAGCTGCTAAAGCTCTAAGACTTCTGGGATTTAGAATTCATTTCTCTAAAGATTTTCAGAATATTCAGGTGCTAAAATTGATATATTTATAATCATTTATTATATTTTTTTTACATAATTTTGCTGTAAATTATTCAAAAGTTCTAATGACATTAAATATAGACTCGCTTGAAACCAGATGTGAAAAAATTGTATATTTCTCCATAAATTAATAAACAATCAGATAAATCCCCCAGAACTACTCCAATTAATTAACTAATCCATGGCATTTTTTAACACCAGAAATCCTCTAACTTTCAACTTAGCCTTCTATAAGAACAATTGCACTTTTCATTCTCTGATCAATAGGGTTCAATGACAGCCCAACTCCATTGGCATAGACTTTTTTCATCATAAAATTTAAAAAAAACTAACTTCCGTTTCAATTTTTTTTTCAAATATTTAGTTATATCTTTTTTATAGTTTACATATTCTAAGTTTAGTCATCTTTATTTAACCTAATATCATATAATTTTAAGTACTTGTAGTTACATTAAAAATATTCTTTCTTTTTATATCCACTTATATTTGTATTTTCTTATATTTATTTACTGTTCTATTTATTTTTATATTGTGTTTACCTTGTTGTATCTAGAAAGATAAATGGTGGAGTGAGTGTGTTGTTCAATCCTTTTAAAAAGTAGTTATTTTGAACGATCCGGATTTCAAACTTATAGCTCATCATCAGGTTGAAGAAATTTACAACCTGATGATGAGCTATATCCAGATTGTTGAAAACAACTAACAGTGAGTAGGAACTATATTTTTGAAAAGATTTTTTTTATCTTGTGATATTACGCTTCCAAGCCTGCGCTTGTAATAAATAAAAATATTTTTGAATAATTACAAATGTTGTATTGCAGATGATTACAATTTGATACGGTTTTTAAGAGCTGCAAAATACGACATAGAAAAGGCAAAGAAAAAGATTAGCTGTTATTACAAGTTTCGAAATGAATGTGACGCTTGGTTTAAAGATCGAAACCCAAATCTAAACGATATAAGTGCTTTACTTGAAATTGGGTAATAACTTTACATTTTTGCAATTGAAAGAGATGTAAACATTTTCTTCTCGTAGACTATTCCTGCCTGTATTACAGAGAGACAGCAAAGGGAGATGTATAATAATTGTAAGATCTGTCAAACACGATCCAAAAGTTCACTCAATTGATAGTGTTTTTAAGGTGATAAAACTTAATAAAAATAACTATTATTCTAAATTATTTATGTTGGATTTGATAAGGTTGGGTTTATGGTTTTGGATCTATTATTCGATAAATTTGAAGATACGTCAGTTTATGGCGTCAAAGTTATTTTTGATTTGGACGGAGTCTGTTTGGGCCATGCTCAACAACTATCCATATCTATAATAAAAAGAGCTGTTCATTCATGGCAGGTAAAAATATATTTGTATTATTACTTATTCTTGTTACAACTCATTTTACTTTTCAGGAATGCTATCCAGTGAGAGTTAAATCCCTAGATTGGGTCAATACTCCAACATACATTAATGTTGTCTTGAACATTTTTAGGAGTTTCATGAATCAAAAGTTAAAGAAAAGGGTAAGGTTTTCTTTTAGGCTTTTTAATTTTTTATTTACTTAATGTCTTTTGCATTGTCCTTCTATGGCTGTGTGAGTTTCAAAAGTTAATCTAATTATTTTGTATTTCAAACCAATTAATTTTCAGTAAGACAGTATTATTTGTCATACTTGATGGTTAATTACTATCTATAAGCTGGATATTAATTTTCTTACAGTACTTAAATTTTAATTATACAAATTCTTCTTTCTCAAATTTTACTATTGTAAGGAGTTTTTCTTGGCTGGTAAAGCTCCATTAAATAGTGAAACCTGAGAGAATTGAAATTTCAATGGAAGCAACTAAACATTAATTAAAAACTCTTCTTCTAAAGTTTTGACAACTTCCAATATACATTGGTGGACAAAATAAATGCACCACCCTTAAATTTTAATCTAGTTTATTCATATTTTGCATATCAAAAATAGGACTGGTTGTAAAAATGACATTAAAAAAAAGTTTATTACTAAAAAATAATTATGGAATAAAGAACAAATAAATAAGTAAATTTAAAAAATGTAAAACCTCTTTTTTGTCCCCTTTAGTACAGAGTATTTCCACTTCTTGCACGAATTACATACTTTGCACTCTTCGGAAAAGATTTCTAATAAAATCCTGAGGACTTATTTCCCATACAAAAAAAAAAAAAAAAAAATAGATCCTCTGTTTTGATTATTGGAGGAAACAAAGTTTTTTAATTCTGCATTGTACTTTGTAGTAGTTTTGTGAACATAGGGTGTGTTGAGAGTGAAAGTATTTATTGGCATGAACGTGTAGTTTGAGGGGGCTGGTTGTGGAATATTGACCATATTAGGCTATTATATAATAGGTGTAAAGGGTGATGGAGGGTATCAAGTACTCCACCACCCTGAGTGAATGGTATGTAAATATGAAAGGAAATATTTAAAAGTGAGTGTGAATGATTTTGGATTTAGGAACTGATTGTGTTGGGCGCTGAAATGACCCAACCTCAGTTGTTGGACGGATAAGATTGAGTCCTGACCCCGACTGCCAACACCTAGGTTGGGTGATTCTCGATGCTTGTCATTAAATTTATTGTAAATTGCAAGAGCTGGTATTGTCAGTGTATTGCAAGAAGTAATAAGCTCAACTGATTTGGCCCAATATAAATCAGTAATCAACAACATTGAGAAATAATAATATAAAATAATGTCAACATTTAATATTTTAAAGAGGTAATTTTTTAAACTTAATATTATATTTAATTTGTTGAAAGGTTTATGTTCATGGAAAAGATACAAGCAAGTTATACGAACGTTTTGAAAGAGGTATTCTTCCAGAGGAGTATGGTGGAGAAGGTGGGAAGCTTGATGCCTTGATAGGTAAAATAATTTTCTTTGTCAGAAAAATAGCCGACGTACATTTTCTGCTAAATCATTAATTTTGATTTTCAGCCTTTTGGAGAGATGCAGTCATGAACAACAAAGATTGGTACAGCACATCATAGTAAAGCTTTTCAGACTTGCTATTTTCAGATTATTTAAACAATGCATTTATACAGTAGTATATTTCAATTAAACTTATCATTAAAGGAAAATGTACATAACTATTTTTTTTTTTTTTAATAAAATTTTGTTAGCTTTATTTCTTAAAATATATAAATGGTCATGTTAAAATGTACAGTTACAAAAACAACATGTATATAAAAACAATATATTTAATGACTTTACTATAAAAAATAATTTATAACAAATTGGACGGATAATTTCTTACAATCAGATCTGTGCAGTCTTCACTTAGTGATTAACATTATATATATAAAAAAAAATGTTACAAAATAAAATTCATTGCGATTTTGTCTTGAAAATTTGATAATAAAAATATCATGTCTCTGAATGGCTTTAGATTTGAGAAGAGCTCATTCCCTTTTCTCTCTAATATTTAAATATAAGTAAAGCAATAAATAATAATAGTTTTGATGGTAGATTTGAATTTGAAGAAGCGTGACAGTCAACAATTCTTTTAGCTCTCATAAAATCTTTTCCAAGGTAGTCTGAGTACCAACGGAGTTCAGGCTTAATGACGTGTAAATGTGTCGAGGCATCTTGAAATATCAAATCTGAATATGGTGGATGCGAGTAAAACATGGCAAAGCTAAGGGATAATAAAAAAAATTAGTAAGTAATAATGCATATAAAATTATATATATTTACTTGAAATCATCTTGATCTCGCCTTCCATAAAACTGCTGACCATAAATAAATAAATTGATGTACGCATTTATTTCAGTGATGTTATATGCATCTCCGCCTCTTGTCACAATTGCATTTGCCCTCACCTTGCCAAGGTTGCAGTCACGGAATTTATTAAGAGCAGCTCTAGTGCCTAAAATATTAAAATCATTAACTTCAAAAAAATTTCAATATGAAAATTATAATTTACCATCTGGACATAGAAGTTGGAAGTCTTCGTTGAGTGCATTCCTCACCCACCATTCTCTCCTTTTACCATCTGTATTTTCTAAAACTGTGGTATGTTTTACAAATGCCACATCGCCACCACCTTCCACAAGACAGCGAAAAGCACCTAACAAGAAATAACTTTAGTCCTGCTATTTGGTTGAAAAATTAATACTTCCTACCTGTATGACCGTAATAATCTTCAGAAGCATCCCTTCGACAATATGTGTAACTACTTCCATGACAAAGGTGACACATGTTATCATATGGAACGTCAGTATTATATTCTGTTGAGATGGCCCCTGGCACACATGATTTTGAAAAGTACTCAGCAGCAGCTCGCATCGCATTGCAGCCATATGGCCTCAACCAGCCATTGGACAACATAAAAGCCATTGGCACTACCCAACCAGCACCAAAATTGATACCACCGTGACATGTATTTTTGCCTAATGAATGTACGTACAATTAAAACAATTATATATTAAAAGCAGAGTATTCACTTACCTTTAAGGTAAGTTATCTCAGTATATGGGTCTTCCTCTTTAGCTACAGCCACAACATAATAATCAGGACTTTGCAGGTCATAAACTTCTGACATGAAAGGTACCAAACTGTATTTTAGGCCAGCTGTATAAACATCACCAGCGTCAAATACTGATATATCAGCATCACTGAAATTGAGGTAAATTAAGGTATTTAAAATTAAATAAAAAATTGAGTGAAATAAAAAAATCAGTATGGAAGGGGCAAACCCATTAAATTAAGTCTTTTGATAAAAAGTGTACAGTTTGTAAAAATAAATCAATTATATATTTTTTTAAATTGCATTTACTCGTTATTTACAACTACAAATATTGTATTAAGTAAATATTTTCTATATATACTGAATTTGTCATTTGAGCCACTTGTAGGAGAAGTTGCCCAGTGACAACACTCCTTTACACTGAAACATGTCATTCTTAACTCGCTGATAAGGTCTAAGGTCCAATTTTGCTTCAATAATCTTGTAGGATTTTCTGGTAGTGTTGGAAGTGATAACTGTCAAACTTATAGATTATTGTGGATGGATGAATTTTTTTACAGTGGATTTTCATAAGGTCATGTACAAATGTGCTTTTATTTATTTTGTTGTCTTTTTAGTCTGGTGAGGGTTTTTAAGTCTTTTTATTTCCCTAACACAGTGTTCAATTGCTATGATTTTAGATTGAAAAACTGTAGAGTACTTATCTCAGTTTAAAGTCAGTTTAGTCTTTGGATTCACCCGAGACTACAGCTCCCAGCCTGTATCCTTTTTTGAGCCGTCAGTATACCAGTAAGAATTAAATCTTCAGGGGTATTTATTTGACCCATTTTTCCCTTTCTGGTAGGGGTGAACCTTGTACTTGTTGGTGAAGTTGTGTTTCGGTGTATCTCCTCCCTAAGTTTCTATTGTTCGTTGACATGGCTTATCCTTGGATTAGAATATGGAGCAGATGAAGGTTTAACAACACCTCCAAGGCATGTAAAGGGGGAGTGGTGTCCTTGTATCACAGGATTTTACAGGTCCACTGTTTTCGTAAACGAAGTAGTGTATTGTGTGTACATTTCAGACAGTTCTTGTTTAAACTTTTGATTACCTTTAATCTGTTGACCTCTCAGTATTAATGAAGAGCATATTAAACGATGGATACAATTTTTAAAATTTATTTAAGTAATGCCTATTTTAAATAAACTCACCCATTCCTTATGGCTTGCATGCAATGAATATGACTATGTCCTTTGAAACATGACATTTCCGGTTTCAAAAGTTGTGCTTTTAAAGCAGTCTAAAAAACAGAAATATATGTTTAAAAATGCTGTATAACTTGTCATCATATTATGTCGTCATTTATAATGATAGAATAAAACAAAATATACCCTCATTTTAAGACATTTTTCCATTTCAGGCTCAGAGGTGACACAGAGCGTCATTTTTCTCACAGGACAATCCCGCAATGCCATGATCCAATCCATAGCATGGCCAAGGTATGATGTATAGGTTTGACTCTGTTCTTCTAAAGCTATTAAATATTCTGTTGCATCCTGAAAGCAAAACCAGTAGAATGCAGAATTTATAATATTTTCTAAAATAAAAATATTCGGCTCACATCAACTAAAAGGTTGTGGACAATGCCGTATCTAGGGACAGACTCGAAAAAATTAAAACTGTTCTGCTTCTGGTATGATTCACTTGAATTAAAAGGGCTTCTATTTTCAGAGTTGTAATTAAATCCTTTGTCAGGTTTATTATGATTGTCTAATCTGTAAATTCCACTTTGATCATAATCTCGTCCATACTGATCTCGCTCTCTTCCAAACTGATCTCGCTCTCTTCCAAACTGGTCACGTTCTCTTCCATACTGATCTCGCTCTCTTCCAAACTGGTCACGTTCTCTTCCATACTGATCGCGCTCTCTTCCAAACTGGTCACGTTCTCTTCCATACTGATCGCGCTCTCTTCCAAATTGGTCACGTTCTCTTCCATACTGATCACGCTCTCTTCCGAACTGAGCGTTGTCACTGTTATACACATCTTGCTCTCTTCCTGTTTTAAAACCATTATTTGACAATAAGTCAGAGTTGGTTCTGTTTTGGTCAGTATTGCCGTAAAGCTGAATAGCTCTCTAACAGAGGAGAAAAAAATTAATATAAGAACTTCAATACAAAAAATAAATAAATACCTGTAAAAATTTCTGATAACGCCTCCTTAATTTTGTACTTTTTGCAGAAGAAGTAATAATACCAGGTGAAGGAATCAGTCCCCAATTACATACCTTGTATTCATCTACATGTTTTCTACTACCGTCAATACAAATCAGTTCAAAATCATCCCTTGACAAGGAAGCTATAAATGAAAAATAAATAAAAGAAAGGAGAATAGTTTATCAATTTTATTAATTCATTCAAAAAATTTATATCATAATAGGCAGATACTTACGGAAATCTACTTTACTATTGGTTAATTCAGCAACAGTCGTGTGCTTCAAAAATGCTATGTCTCCAGCCTCCACAAGGCAGCGGAAAGCCCCTGAAAATCCTGCATATGGATCTGTATTGGTGCATTTCCCTCCTGTTACTTTACCGATGCAAAGTTTGCAAAGTTTATCCGAATTGTCGCCTACTGGATTGTATTTGTCTCTCAGTGAATTAATGGCACAACTTGGTCCAAAGTATTCGATGGCGTTTTTAACTTGATTATTGCAATCAACAGTTTGTAAACCCCCTCTTTTCATAAGCTAAATGAAAATGCAAATTAAAAAAAAAAAAAAAAAAAAGATGTTTTAAATATTAACAGCTTACCACGTCAAGTGGTACAGTCCACCCGGCCAGATGTCCAACTCCTGTGAAACAAGCTTTCTTTCCTCTTAAGTGCCAAAGGCTAGTCACATCCTTTAGAGTCCCCTTTTTTATAACTGCCACTGTATAATAGGTCTTTTTATTTTCTGAAATTGCAAAAACATGTTAATGTATTGAAATCTACGAGGTGATGAATGTTGATTTAATTCATCTCTGATCGCCCGGTTTGCTTATTTTAGCTGGTTTTGGATGAGAAGAAACACTGTACCATATTCTCAAACTTGGATACAACTTGTATCGAATGCTTTTGAAACATCTGAACGAGTTTGTGTTTGTTAGCACCGAAACAGTAAGAAGAATACTTGGAGAGTACATCCCAGAAAAGGCCAGCAACTGGTCTAGTGCTTTCTAAAGACTTAGAATTTGCAAGAGAACACTGACAATGGACAGAAATTAAAATGGAGGAATGTTATGTTTTCGGGCAAGTTCCAGTTTTCTCTCCATTTAACCAAACAAAAGTCTTAAAGTTTATTGAGCAGATGAGGAGCACTACAGTCAATGCAACATTACCGGAAGAGGGTTGTTTAGTTCAATTATGGTGTGGAGTAGAATTTCTTTTGAGAAAAAAATGGAGTGACAAGTTTTTAACAGGCTGTCACAAAGCAGATATCAACTTGTTAAGACATTCTCGAGGAATATGTTGTACCATTTGCTCCTGTTATTGTCAAGCAATTTTTGTTTATGCATGATAATACAAGACTACATGTTGCTGCCAGGGCTATGCAATACCTTCTTCATGTCAATATTCTAACTCTGAGATAGCCAGCCCATAGCCCTGATTTAAGCCCCATTTAACTTTTGGGATGAGCTTGGACGATGGGCAAGACAAAGAAATAACACTCCTTAGCTGAGCAAAGTTAGTTGAAATTCCTCAAAATGCGGTCAAAGGCTTAATTATGAGCATACCATGGAGATTTAATGTATAATAAGATGTTATTATATACTAGTAAGACGAGGTAACACATCCTATTAAAGATTTTTAAGTTTGTTTTATAGTTTTATGTTTCTAAACGAAAGTGATTTTTCTTTATTAATTGTTTTTTGTTTTCACACTGACCAAATCTTTTAATAAATATATGAATTATAAAAATGTAATTGGTAATATTACTGAAAAGGCAAGTTCATAAAAAAACGAAAATTTCAAAGTACAATTTCAGTTTATTGATGAAGTCTCTTCACCTCTGAGGATTGGAAAAAAATCTTCTCAATTGTGCAATATTGTCTTTTTTTATGCATGTAAAATATGGCCTAGATTTTCACAATGTATCAAAACAGAGACTCTACTAACACGCCCCTTTTACCATTCACATATAAACAAATTATAAAAGAACATGATTGATAGAATGACAATAAGTTTGGTAAGTGAAGGCAGCAAAATGCTTAAATGTGCGTGACCTCCAAAACCAGCAAGAATAGACAGACCAGACGTCTACAGGTTTATTACTCTTAATGGGTTAAATTTATAATCTATACCTGAATACATGAATTGAAGAATAGGCACTAGTGAAAAGTATCTTCCTCCTGTAAAAACCTCACCAGCATCAGACGCAATAATATCTGCTTTGTCTTGTTCGATCATCGCCATGCAGTCTTCCTTGCCCGACCCCTAGGAGAGTTCGTTATTGAAACTTGCATAAAGTCCGTAAAAATAATTACCAACTTACATTTACACATTTCACGTTAAAGTAATCTGTGTCAAATTGGCGGTAATCTTGAGATACAACGTTCGCAAAAGTCGCGCATTTTTTATATTCTTCAAGTCCTATCGTACACCATTTCAGAATATTTTCTCTATTTCCCTGCTTCTCTAGGAACTGTTCTAGTACAGTACCTAAAATACAATAGCACAGGTTAAAAATTGTTTGCAATTTCCCAAAACAATTAATCAGTGACTATTTTACGATTTTACACAGTACTTTGGGACCAGAATTTGGTTTATTAATCTTAATATTAATTTAGGTCAGTGTTTTTATGAGAAAACATGAATATAATCATGGTACAACTTACTAGAAACGATTCCTAATAGACAGGAGAGAACTATAAAATAAAAGGCTTGGCCTTTAAAAAAAATCATAACTAAATAACTAAACTTATATTAACAAAACATAAAAATAATTTTTTTATTAATATTTTTGAAAACAACATTCAACAAGTGACTTATTTGTTTTGAGAGCGTCATATAAAAAAAAAAAGGCGTGGCTACATAGCAGGTACACACAGAACATTTGTAGGTTGTATAGGTTGAACCCAAAAGACACTTGCGCCCTCTAATTCTATAAAAACGCATTTATTTTCAATATAAAATAATAATTAACAGCTACAAATTATTGTAATTTGTTGTAAGTTAGTATTTATAAATATAAAAATAAATTTCTAGAGAATTTGCAATAAGAGAATTTCACACATTACCAACCAGATAATCATAACTTAACAAAAAATAAAAATTGTGCATGTATAAACGCAAAAAATATTTATTTAAAGAATGCAGTAGTTTATTTTTGGCTTAGTTATACCAATGGTAAATAAAAATGATTTTTTAAAAATTCTTATAACAAGTACTGATTACGTGCGTGATTCCCGCCTTTTTAGACCAGCTCATTGTATAAAAGTTTCTGATAACAACAAAGTGAATTTGTTGTCATCAGCCTTATTTTAAATTCTCTCAAGTCTCAACTGTCGTGCCGAAATTATGGAAACTGTGTCGAGAGAAGAACTTAAAGTACAGTTTACCGAGCTAGGTGTTCAAATTGATGAGGATGTGCTTGATGTTTGTAAGTATATTTAATAAATGTGTGTTGTTTGTTTAATGCGTGTGTTTAAGTGATTAATATATTTTCATTCAATCAAAGTAAAACTTATTAATTTAAGTGTCTCCTTTAAAATGTTGTAAATAATAATGTTGTATGTTGTTGTTGTTTTGTGTATTTCAAAATACACTTTTATGGAACAGTTTGTCAGAAGCGACGGAAAGTCACAACCAACACATCAAAGAAACACTTCGGTCTTAAGCTGTTGTAAAGAGTAAATCTATAAAAAAATACGTGAGAGCCTCGGCTTCTTGCATATCACCGATAAAGCAAAATTCTGATGAACGCCATGTATAGCATATCCCTTGAAATAAATCTTGGGCTACATCAGACAAAATTCTGCATTCTTTGAAGAGTGTGCGAAAACCTTGATACAAGAAAAGTTTATTGGTTTAAACCTCTGAGTTTTTCATTTGTAAGTAAATAAGATAATTTCTATATTTTTTCAGATTTCTTTGGGATCTTTATTATTCCATGTTTCCTGATATCCCAGTTCTTTAAGCCTTCTTTAGTAGCCCAGTTGTTTTTCAGCTTTTTGCCTGAATCATCAGATCTATCGAGAGCAACGAGCCTTTTATAATATAGTTTAGGATACTTTTCATTGCTCATTTCCAAAAGTGGCACCGCATAGATACTAGTCCACATTCAATTACCATGAATACAGAGGTGTTTCACATGATTCCAAAGTTTCTCTTGAAGTAATTGATTTGGTAGTTTTCTATTTCTTCAAACCTCCATATTGAGGCTTCATACAGCAGCATATTAAGTGTGCCCACGGAGGAAGTTTTGCTGCATACTATGAGACCTAATATGTAGTGTAAAGACAAATTTGCTTTCTGTTTTTGCATATGTTAAAACATTGGCAAATGACCCAGAGCATAAGAAAGGGATTCCAAGGAAGATAAGATCTTACTGTTTCCATAGAATTTTCTGATAAATATTTTTTCCTCCCTTTGCCAAACATTACTGCTTTTGTTTTATTTATATTAACATTTTGATAATTTTTTAAGCAATATTCTTTTAACGTCTGTATACCCTATTGGTATGTGTGTAGTGGATTTGCCCAGGATCACTAGATCATAAATTTTCTTAAATATTTACAGGTTATGAACTTTGTGTGAAATATGGTCTGGGTGAAGCTGATCTGGTGGAATCATGGATTGCGTACAGCTTCTCTACATCCAACGGTGCGTTGCCGACACTTGACAACATAAGAGCGTTTGAGCGAGTTGAATTTATAAATAAGAAGAAACCATCAATGTCTAAAACAAGTTACGTGCCAATCTTCAGTGCAGCTGACAAGTATCCTTATGACTTTTTGTTAATCATTTTGAGTTATCAGTCTGAAGAGCCTTATAAACTGCTTTAAAAGTTCTGTAATCGCCTCCAAAATATCATATTTTTTCTATAACTTGATCATCCTGGTCTGTCTATTCCCTGCTAGCTTCATCAAGCTAACAGATTTCAGCATTTTGCCATATTATGTCGATCCCTACCCTTAGTTAAAAATATCGGTTGTGTGAATAAGTTTTCTGCAAAAAAGGTCAAACTTTTAAAATAAAAATATATTTTATTTTTACTCGAAAATGCAATTTAATTAGTTTTCTACAACATAATGTTGGACTGTACTAGTAACAGAAATATCTCTTTTTTGTAAAAGTCTAAAGACTTAGACGAGAAGAAAGAAATCTGTAAGTCCAATTTTCAGAGGGTTTTGGTTCAACAATTTATAAAATTAAGAGGTTGCTAAGGAGTAGAACAAAAAAATTGAAAGGGGCAAGGTCTGATAGTATGGAGAGTTTGGCATTTGTTTCCAGCCTTTTAGGTGATTTTACTCTGAGTAAGAGCTATTAGTTTTGTCATGGGGAAACATGTTGAGTCAGTTTACTAGGGCTGGGCATTCCCAATAAAGTATTCCTCGACTATTCCTCTAAACAGACAACAGGTCTTACAAGGGGAAATCCTGTTCTTGATGTCAATGGCAGTGCTTTATTCTTCTTGAAAACAGTCTGTTGGCGTTTAAATATTTTTGAAAAGAAATCACTTCTCACCCCAGTGGCCGAACAAGAAATGTGCCCTTTCTATTTACTTATTCCTATTCGAGTATGAAACACAACAAGCCATGTAGGGAGTTTCACAATATAACCCAGCGTTCAGTCTTCTTTCTATTGTGGTTTGATGCACCTGAAATCTCTCTGATAGTTCTTCTTCAGTTAATTTGAACTCATGTCACTAACAAGTTGTTGCTTTTAAGCTCATTAGGCGTTCCACAATGAGGCTGATCAGAGATTTGTCTCTCTGACGAAAACATTGGAACCACTATTGGTTCATATGTTCAGTTACTATGTTATCACTGTAAACTCAACATAAATGTATATAGGTCTTTTCCCACACTAGAGCGAACAGGACTAGCAAGCAATAAAGGGTGAAAGTAGAAATTAAAAAAAAAAAAAAAAATAGGTACCACACCCAATATAAGAAGCTGCGATGAAGCCACGTATTGTGCTGTACAAGTGGTCTATACTAATGGATGGAAGTTAGATAATTGACTTCAGTTCAGTCAGAACCAACTAACCTTTCAATTGGCAAAGATTGGTATCATAGACTTTTGAAACCCCTTTAAGCCTGCCTGTGACTTCCCAGTGGCCTGGCTGGCCCTCCTGTCACCTTATATTTTGCAAAGTTATAAAAGGATATGACAAAATACATTAACAACTGAAACCTGTCTTCAGTTCAGGCAAAACGATAGACAATGTGCAGATGAAACTCCAGGTTTGTCATCTCACATACCTTATCATTTTATTTCACTATGTTTCTTTTAACTAATTATATAGTAATTCACCGATCAGAAATTCATCATCCAACAATAAATGCAAGACACCGAATGTAAGTTCAATTTAATATAAAAATGTAGTTTTTATTACCTTGCAGTAATTTACTCAAATGTTCAAACAGTATAAAAACTCCCAGGAGAACTTCCGATTGAACTTTTCGCCCGCTGGATTCTCCCCTGACATGTGAGTTCTTCAATGGTTAAAAGTAATTATATTTAATAACCATATCTCTATTTACAGTTATACACCATCCACAAAATATAGTAGCAGAAAAAACAGTGGACAAGTTTTGGCTACAGTCGGGAAATCGCTGTTCAGCTGGGAATCTAAAAGCCAAAACATGAATGTAAAAGAATATAGAGAGACAAATTCAAAAGATTGGAAATATTTTTATAGCACACTGCGAAATATGTCCCTGATTATAGAAGACTCATCAATGGAACTTGCTCAAGCGATACTTAAACATCATGCACTCCCTGATCCTTCGCCAATAACCAATCAAACAGAAGAAACAATTTTTATTGGTCGCATTTGCCTTATTGAAAAGAACAAACCAGTCTTTATTTATGATTTATGCTCAAGTGATGATGGAAAAGAGGACAGTACAAAAGAGCTTGATTTAACTAATATTAATGAATTTACATTATTTCCTGGTCAAGTCGTGGCCATTAAAGGAACAGCAGTTAGTAATAAAGTAGTTGCAACTGAAATCTTTAATTCAGCACCTTTGCCTCTACCTCCTCCGCCTTCGTTTTCAGGTTTTTATTTAACCTAATAATGTCAAATAATTATTTGATTCATGATTTATTTTAAAGGTAACTTGGAAATTTGTGTTGCGGCTGGTCCTATGACTCTTAGTGACACTCTCTCTTATGAACCATTTCAAGATCTTGTTAACTATGTGATAAAAAATAAGCCTAATATATTGATAATTATCGGACCGATTCTGGACTCGAATCATGTCAAAATTACTGAAGATGGAGTTGCTGAAACATTTTCAGATTATTTCACAAGGCTGATAAAACAAATGGAAGAATCTTTTCAAAAGTAAAATAATTTATGTGTGTTTAAGATATAAATATTCCAACTTATGTTTATTTTAGCATTAATATTCAAGTGTTTATAATATCAAATTCAAAAGATGCTATGAACATACCAGTTTATCCAACACCAGTACCATCGTCCAACAATTTCAGTAATAATATAAAGTTCTATCCAGACCCTTGCATTATTGATATAAATGGGTTGATCGTTGGAATCACATCAACAGATTTATTACTTCACTTAGGAAAATATGAATTATCTAAGTAAGTAGAAAACAGATTGTCTTAAAACATTTTGTAAGTAATTTATTTTTAGAATACAATCGAATCGTCTTGGTGTGCTGGCTGGGCAGCTAATTAATCAACGTTCATTCTACCCTTTGTGGCCAAACGAAAGTGATTTTGTATTTGAACTTAACCTTTGGCAGAAATATTCAAGGCTACCTGTCACTCCACATATCCTGATTATGCCATCAGACTTGCATTGTTTTCTCAAAGTATTTTTTACTAGTTACTGCTAATTAATTATTGCAACATCGTGGATATTTCATTGTTTTCTATTTTTCAGGAAACCGCTGGGTGTTTGATTGTTAATCCAGGACGGCTTACAAAAGGCATGGTGGGCGGGACGTTTTCATGTATTGAAATTCAGTCTCAAGAGGAGTCCTTGGAGTGGAAAACAGATACCCACATTGCAGCTAAAATAATAAGAATTTAATAAGTTAATTATATTTGAATAAACTTGTGTAATTTTATTTTATATTGAAAAAACAATCTTGTATATACATTATTTATATATAAATTATACTATGTAATTATTTAATTATTCATTATTTACTTCCTCATGTTTTTTTAAACATACTTATGCTATAAATTTTGATATTTTGAGTGTTAATAAAGAATAATTAAGTAGAGCACATAATTTCAAAGGTAAAATTTAAAATTATATGCCATTTCTGTTTCAAAATATTCAGGAAAAGGTAGTTCTACTAACGGAAGTAACTCCTGTTACTGTATGAAGAACTGTCTATCCAAAAAGTGAGTAGTGTATAATATTTGAGTAGTCAAAGTATTTGTACTCACTCAATACTTTGATGGAATCTAAAATTAACATCATTGTAAAAAAATTTCACATCAGCCCTGAAGATGATCTCAACAAAGATCGAAACGTTAGCACGATAAAGAAATTTTTTTCTAAACCTACATCCAAATAATCATTACGGTGTAAATTGGTGGTTGCTGGTCATTTTGGTCTGCTTATACTTTCAGGGTTAGTCTATTAGATGTATTTCAGCATTTTCAGTGTATCTGTGTGATTTCTCATAACATACATATAACATATATCAAAACATATAACGCATAACAAAACTATCAGTGATTATTAAATTTTATGGTTATCAGCCCTACCACACGAAGAAATCTCACAATATTACGGTGCTTTAAATTTTTGCAGCATGCCAGAAAAATTTAAAGACCACTCGGGCAGCCAGCCCTTCACCATAGTTCTAATCTGGTGGGAGTGGAAAATAGTAGTTCATTGAGGAAGTCGCTAAATAAGGTGTGAGCAAGAACAACACTTTTTTCTGTGGGGGCCATCTAAAATTAAAACCAACCAATTGCAGCATGTTATACAAATACATTTACTGAGAAACTTTATTTAAATGAAAAAGAAATCTCACGTGTTTTGAAGCATAAATATTTCTTAATTTTGTACGTTGTATTTGGGCTTATTGGCCTACCCTCAGCAACCCCAATTGGTCAATTCCTTAATCTGAGTCTCCATACAATGTATGATTTGATATACACCATAATTAGTGAAGCATATGTAGCATGGTGGGCAACCAATGGTCTCCTTGACAGATTTTTAATTTGTGCTCTCTGCCTTAGGACCAATTCAATGAGTACAAGAGATGCAATAAGGAGTGGACGGCAGTATACTAGCTGATGTGAGGCTGGTATGGAGATGCTGTCCCCGTGCTCAGAGGATAACTCAAAACACAAAAATAAGTGCCTCCAGGTCCTAATCGCTGGTCCCTGTGACTCGGGATACCAGGTCGCTGTTGAAACCTCTAAGCACAAGATGGAACTATACCCCGGCCTGATATCTTGCTACGATGAGGGGGGAATATTTGTCCTGGACTTTGCAGTGAAATATGAAATCCAAAGGCGCTTGGATCAAGTAGTACAGAAAACAATACAACATAAATGTTAATTTTATATTAATTAATTATATTTAATTTTTTTAAATATTTGTTAATATAATTTCCACCTATATTGAAAAACTTCTTTAAGTGGAAGTTACAGGTAAAATTTGGTATTTGAGGAAGATAGGCAGTTTCCAATTTTACATGAACAATGAAAACTGTAGAAAGACCAAACAAAACATACTGTACAATATCAAAAAAGTAGTTTTCATCAATTTTAAAGTGGTAAAAGATCCGGAGATGTGAGTTGCAACTTAACATTTCGATGGTTATGACTACTATACTGCTGGCTACACAAATTGTTCCAATAACTTGATATGAACAATGAAAACCGTAGAAAGGCCAAACATATCTAGCCCTACTGTAAACATAAACACTCTGGACTTTACTAACTATGTGGTAATGCTCTCAGTACCGCCTGGCTGTTCGAACAGATGGCTAGTCTTCTGTTAACGATACCTACCTTTTTAATCTCCTCTAATGTTCAATAGACACAGTTTGAGACCAGCTTTCTACCTCTTTGAGTCTACATGTCTGCAGTGTTCAGTTACCAGTTCAACCTATATTTCAAACCTAACATCCTAGATTTAGTAGTTCTGCTGCTAACATAGGAAGGACTGCTACTACAACAGTTTCTGTGATGTTCCTTTGATGAACTTTTGAACATGCCTTTGTCCTTCATCCCCTTTGAATGGAGGGCTTATTTTTAATTCATTGTCTGATGGATCCATAACAAAATGGTTCAGGGCCAATAGGTGTTGTCATTGAACTTTCTTTGGCCAATTTACCGGTCTGTTCATGTCTCTGCCCTGTTGTGCCCAGACAAGGCCCAAATTTTGTTTTTCCCTAATGCTTGTCAGGGCTAGATAATATTTACCTAAAAATTTGTATTTTTTGTTGTGCCTTCATCCTCCACATCATGTTATATCATTTGAAATCTTGCTATTGATGTATAACTCAATTCTTTCTATGATTTCAAAACATTCTGTTATAAATATGTTATAATAACTAAAATAAAATATAGACACAATTAAAAACTATAATTTTGTTGTTAATTTGAATGGAATAGTTTTTTATGTAGTTTCTGTTAGTGGTTCATTTTCTGCTGCGTGGATACCGTCAGTGTTGAACAAGACTTTTCTGGAAGGAGTTTGTTTTTTGCCATCCCAGTAGTTTAATGTCATGCCACAACCCATCGTGGTTCCAAATGCTACACATCCTTAAGACCAGGATAAAATTTATTAGACAAAAAAAAAATTTAAGATAAACATACCTTTGTAAGCAGTGAGTGTAGACAGTACATATCCAACAACGATACCTCCTCCTGGAAAATGCATACAATTATAGTTTTGTCCGATAATAGAATGAATTTGTGTTCTGTGCATAATTATGTTTTGATTACTGACCGATGTAAAAAAGACTTGTGTTTAAAAAATCGTTGGTGTCGGGGTTATTGCACCATTTAATCGAAATTGGAGTTTGCCCGTCGACGATCAACCGCACATTTTCCATACTACCCCCGATTAATTTGTAAGTTTGTGATTAGTACGACACTGATTTCTTTTGAGAATATAACTGGATGGGCGAATCCATTTCTGTTTTCAAAAAGTTAGGATTTCCGTTGGGAAAAACATCTGTTTAAAAACTGTTCGAACAAGAGTAAGAAGGAAGAGTTAAGAACATACGAACACAGGACACAAACACTACACACAAGACACTCGCAGAACATGCACAGAGATGCTTAAGATCAGCAAGAAAAAGGGTTGCGTTATTGACGACTGGAAGATCGGCGTCTTATGTGAATATTTTTTCAGTGTTCTTTTTAGGTTTAACTATGGTTTATAAATTTCGTGTTTATGTTTATTATAATAATTGCATTTTTATTCGATTTAACGACGTGCTTTACTGTTGCTATAAACACGTCCTGCTTCATTACCTACATCACATTTTGGATAATTCAACTTATTCCATTGTTTTCTTACGTAATTAAATTTACATTAGATTAATACACTCAATTTAACATTTAATAAAAAATAGAAAAGTGTGTGTGTTAAAATTTAAGAAGTGTTAAAGAAGAAAGATGGCCTCTTCCAAATTAGGATAATATTGGTAGATATTAGGAAGTGGGTTTTTGTTCCTTATGCAAGGCAGCCTCCCGTCTTATGTACTTTCCCAGTTCTTCAGTTCAGTGCAATCTACTTGACATTTTTCCTAAGAAATACTAGGTCATTGATTGTTCTTGCTACAATTCCTGACCCTGGGTTTTATTTATACTCCTTGTTATGTCTACACTGAGTGGTTGCTTTGGATGCGAAGATGATATGGCTGTGTCTTCCTCCTTACTCCATAACTTACAAATGAGGACATCATTGCCCATGGGTAGATATCAAATACCAGTGACCAGTATTTAATCCTATTACTTTTCTGAGTTCAGCTCTAACTGTGACTGAGTTTGCCAGTGAGCGTGGTTTTAGGCTTAAGCTTATTGCCATTCTACAATTTATCCATTTCTCCTTTTGCCTTTTTTGGATCTATTTATACCAAGAATAGGTTCAGGGTATAAGGATTTTTTTCAGTGAATCCTCTTTTAAGATTTTCTAAGGCACTAGTGTTAATGGCATATATCAGTTTGAAAGACCAAGGTGTACTTTAGTAAAAAATTATATCATCACTTAAAGATCAGCAATTAGACAAATTGCTTTTATTAAAACTTTTCCATTCTTGTTTTTGCTTTTGTCAGCAGTGTTAGATTTCATTTCAGTTGATTGTTAGTCAATATGTTGGCCAGAGAAGAAAAAGATCAATTTTTTATAATTAATGATGCCGTATAATGGCAAATAGATAAAAAAAATTGTTCTTTCCTCTTTTGGTTACTTATGATATCCAAATTGATTATGTATGCAACCGTAAATTTTAACCTTAATCAGGACAGGGGACCAAAATACTCGCAATCTTGCTCAAGAACAGCTTCACACTCTATATGGAGCAAGTGTGCCCTTCAATTAAGTGGGAACATTAAACAGCCATTTTTGTGCAGGCTTTAGCGCAAAAGTAAGTGTCTGAGTGTCAGCCACACAGGCCTATCCTTATTCACGTGAGATTTATCACTTATCGTCAGTGCTCTTAAGATGTGAGAGCTTCTCTGCCAATCCAACCCACCGACGCTGCCATTTTCAAGTTTTTAAATGCATTTTTAGCATCAGAGGGCCATTTTGCAGTGGTTAAATTTGGACTATTAAAGTAATATTAATGGTCTAACAGATTCAATAACTGGAAATTGGAAGTTAATAAAACACTAAAGTGATAATAATAAATAGTATAAAGTGCTTTTTTTATTTTATATATATTTGTGCAAACATACTGAACGTTGGGATTTTTGTTCATCAAAAACATCAACATTAAATATAAAGGCCCTCCTTAATTATCATCCTATGAAACAAATCATTATACAAAATATATTTTTTTACATTATTTAAATTAATACTTAGTTAATTTAATTTATACATAGTTTGTTTCAAATTTGTGTATTAATAATTGTTGTCTGCAGGTTCGAGTTTGTTGATTGGGACTGGTTTAGCAACAATATGTAAAGATGGTAAGGCAGCAATTTTTTAAAATACATATTTTTAATAGAATTTAACATAATTTCTAAAAAATCATATTGTTTCTATAAACTGTTATATTAGAATGGCCGGTGTTACTTGGTGTCGGTATTGGTTTGGGCATGATTGTCTCAGAAATGATATGGTTGGATGAACGAGTCCGATCTGATAAAACTTTTTAGCCTTCAATAAAGGTAAATCTTCTTCTCAATAATATAACTGAACACAAGTTGTGGCAAAGGTTCACAAAGAAATTACATTGTTAATTAAATTAAGTTTAAGGAAAAATAAAAATGAACAAAACTATAATATAACATGAAACATTCAATGACTTTTTGTAGATAGAAATTTTTCAGTTTTTTAATTGACAAAACTGCCCCTTTGTTACTGAAATTTGAATAATGCAATTATCTAATAAACTCAAATTGTGTATTTAAAAAAAAATGTTTTTATTGTTATATTTTCCAGGACTGTGCATTTGTTGCTATATTGAAGAACAGCCAATCAAACAAATATGAACTATTATAAAGATTTTGTATGTTATGTCAATAAATAAATTAACACTTTTTCATCTTTTCATTTTATGTTTTGTTACAGGCGCTGTGAAAAAAAGAGTTAATTTTTTTGTGTATTAATGTTATGTTTAAAATGTTCTTCTTTCACAAAACATCTGAATTGATAAAATAAATAAAAATATATCAAATATAATTATTTCATATGTGTAATACGTTGTAGAGGAAAGTGAAAATATAATGTAGATTGTGGATTTGTATCGAGGATCCTTATCTATTATTCTTTTCTACAAATGAGTTACAGTATTATTGTTATATGTGTGGTATTTAGTGACCATTAATTAATGATTATGTAGAGATTGTGAAATGTGGTCTGGTGTGCATCTCACGATCTCCAAATAATTATTGTTATAGTATATTTATATAATATAGAAACAGAATACTATCATACAGTATCGACAAAATCTACTTTAAAATGTAGTTTGAAATCAAGTTTGGTCGTTTTCAATCATTTTGGCTACATTTGAAAAACTACCAAGCGATATTATAAACTTTTAATATTCTAACTGAAATGAATTGATAACTTTAAAAAAAAGAGGCATACTGCCATGGTGTAGAATCCAGCATAAAATTACTACTTAGTTTTAAAAAAAATATTATAATCATTATTGAAAATAAAATTGTCAGTCAAATTGTGGGCCTTGGAAAAGGGAAAAAAGAAAGAATCATGTTGACTTGCCTGAAGATAGGCCACAACAGGTTGACACATGGGCAGCTTCTTATCAAAGAAAAATTACAAAGATGCCCTTTATGTGGCGCATAAGTATCTGTTAAATAGACTGCAAAGAATTAGCGCCTTGAAGAATAAGGTGTGACCTCCTGCAGATTTTATTGTATATATATGCCTATACACATATAATATGAATATGTATTGACTTAGGACAGTATGAAAGTGTTAAACATCAAAGATAGAGGTAATAAAAAAAATGCAAGATAGACACAACAGGATGAGCCTGCAATAGCCCTAGCTGCTAACCAGCCGGAGAAAGAAAAAAATCCTATAAACATCCATTATGAATAAAAACAAGCAATGATTCATTGAAATGTCTGCTTGAGTTCTTGTTATAGGCAATTACAACATGAGTTAAAACATAGAAAACTAGGGAAGTAGAAGTAGTGCATTAGGAATTAACAAAATTTATGCTAATGCAAAAACAAATTAAGTAGAGGAAAATGTGTAGATATAAGATATTAAAAATATATATATAGATATTTATGCATTTACTCTGACAACTGTATATAAATTTAAAATTAAAATCCCTATAACAGATGTAATTTCTTAGTATTTGTATTATTTTGAATTACACATGTTGTAAATTTAACTTTATTCAGACACCAATTTTTTTTTCTATCAAAATTTTTAAATTCCAAATTCTCAGTGACAAAAATACAACAAGTAACAAAGGGAAATGTCAGGGTGATTACACAATATTAACAAAATTTCCTTAGAGAAAAAAAGTACAAAAGTGGAAAATGGGTAATTAAACTGTAGACATGACCTACTTAAGTTCGTTTATCCATAGGATTATTACATGACCAATTTAACAAAATTTTTGTCTGATGAATGCTAAAGTTCACAGTTCAAAATAGTTAAAATGGTAATGCTACAAATTTTGTATTAAAATTTTTAAGGTTCATAGTCCTTAAATTATATTCAAATAATTTTTAATAAAAAAATAAAATCATTAGTAATACAAAATGAAAATACAGAATATTTACAAATTTTGTATGACAAACATACACATGGTCCGTCTGAGGTATCTTTAAGTCTTGTGTATCCATAACTCATAGTAAATAGCTTTGTTTTAAGGACATAGTGATATGTATATAAATATAAAACATTCATTTATGTAACTACAGTCATAAGTACATACAAGCTATATCATATTGAATAAACTGTTGTAAACAAAATCTGGTTTCAAATTATTAGGGCTGAAAAGACCAAAGGGGGAAACTTTAGCCGAAATAAGAGCAAGGGATGCTGCAAGGAAGAGGGAATTTGCTGAGAAACTGAAAAATCGCCCATCCGTCAGAGGAGATACAGATCCAAGTTCAGCTCGAGCAGATGCAGAGGCGTGTGCTGGTAAAAAGAAAACAAATAGATAATAATTTTGCTTTGAAACTACTCAGATTTCAGATAAATAAATTCTCATTAATAAAAATGAATTAATAGCTTTGAAAAGGCCTAAGGGAGAAACCCTAGCAGAATTAAAAGCAAGGGATGCAGAAAGAAAAAGAGAATTGAATGAGAAGTTGAAAAATCGTCAGCCAGTGTCAACTTGTCCACGACCGTATTCAGCAGACGAAGACAGGCCTGATACTGCAGGTAATAAATATTCGTTTCAAAAAGAAATTTTACCTACCCATTTTTCCTTTCGCTTACAGGACGAAAAAGACCAAGAGAGACTCTATCAGATCTGAAGAAAAGAGAGGCAGAAAGGAAAAGGGAGTTAGCTGAGAAATTAAAGAGCAGGCCATCCGTACAAGCAGCTGCCACTGGTTCAGCTGAACCGTGCAAAAGGCCCACATCAGGTTAATAAAACAAATTAAAATATGAAAGAATTATTTTTAATGAAAATTATGTTACAGAACGCAGAGGAGAAACTCTTGCTGAGCTACAAGCCAGAGATAGAGAAAGGAAAAAGGAGTTGCAAGCATTGAAAAAAGTTAAATCCAAATTAGGGACTCTAGGTGATTATATACACTTGTTTCACTAAGAAATTACTTTTAATTCAATAATGTTAATTCTAATTCTAATTCAAATCAGCGTTCTAAATTCAAATTTTACAATAATTTTTATTATACAGATTACAAACCCCGGGAAGCCAAGCCACGAGGGGAGACTCTAGCCGAATTGAAAAGAAAAAATTTAGAGATGAAAAAAAGACTGAAGGAAAAAGTTGCATCAAGAACTCCTCCACATTTGAGGGCAAAGAAAAGGGAGGATGTCGCACCCCGACCAGCTACAACGGGTGCAAGGCCGCGTACAGCATCGCAGACAGCTCAATGTGTCCGTCCTAAAACGACAACAGGCCCTGGAAGTAGGCCGAGGACTGGTAAATCACCAACTAGGCAGTTTGATGCTTCTGTTAGTAGAGGTAATTAAAAAAAAAATAATACCAGATTAAATTTTTAATATAAATTACCCGTAATTTTTAGCGGAGCAAGATGAAATTATAAGACTACGAGCGGAAATTGAAGATCTCAAGCAAATGCTTGCAGATGGTAAGAAAAAATTCAGTGATTAATTACGTTCAAATAACACAAATTTATGAGTTCAGTTAAACAAGAAGCTTGCCTAATGCCCCCTGGAGAGGCACCTCCGCGACCGACGTACATGGCTCAACAAAGAGAATTAACAGACCCTACATTTGAAGGGACAAGATATCTTTTGGAAACAGCATACAAATCATTCGGAAGAATAGAGGCGATGTGCCCTAACTTTCTTAATGATGATGTTAAAAGGGCTGCTAAAGTCCTTATAGGACTTGCTGCTGGCTTTGTACCAGGCACTCCTTACCATTCTCTCTATAAAAGAGGTAGTATAGTTTTTTTTTTTAATTATAATTTTTTTGTTGTAATTTTCATTTTACTTGCAGCATTAAAAGAAGGACGTTCTGAGCCAGTTGATTCTCAATGTAAGTTTGCAATATTTATGTCGTGTAAATATTATTTAACTAAAGTACAGTAATGTCAACAAACAAAACCAAGAAAAAAGGTAGATTATAGGTAGTACATCATACACTGAAGTTAGAATTTAATTAAATATAAAAATAATAAATAAAAGAAATTTTACTACTAAGCATTTAAAAATTACTTAATGTTTTAGCAATGCTGCCTGAGCAGATAGTCCTTCGACCAGGCGACGTAGACCCAAATGCAACGACTATTGTCAAAGTTACCGGGTCAGGTGATGTTGAGGAAACATGCGGTCCTTCAGAAGAACATATGGTAAAAGTGGTCCAGGCTAGGCCATCGCCTTATAGCACACAACAAGCCAACTCACTAGCAGGCATTCAGGAATCTGTTGCTCTGCCGACTTTGCCAGAGGAAGATGAAGACGAGATGACTACTGAGCTGCGCGAACTACTCGAAAATCTAAGGCCTCCTGCTGATGATAGAGGAACTAAAGAATTGCGAGAAGTGGTCGGTACAATCCGGGCCCCCAAATGGGAGGACAACCGTGAATATGGACTAGGCAGGCCAATTAGTCCTTTAAGAGATTTTGAAACGGAAGAGGGCAATATTGTTTGTATGAAACCGCAAACACCCGAATCTGAAAGGAAACGAAGGCGACACAAGCAAGCAATGTAACCCAAAAATATATGTAATAATTAATTACAAAGAAAATTTTATATTATTTTCTATTTTAATTCTAGGAGGGAAAGAGATCTTGAAAAACTCGAAAGGCAGAAGAAAGCTTCCTTAATTAGAATGAGAAGAGAACTATGGGCTAAAGCTGGGGCAGTGCCACCAGGGCTGGAAGAGGGTATGATCAAAAGATCAATTTATTTGTTATCAAGAGAATTTAACATTATTAAAAAAAAAGTGCTAAGTAAAACTCATATTTGACATATTATTTTAGAGTATGAAGTTGATGAAGAAGGCAGAGTACGTGTGGAAAACTTAATGCGTCCTGTACCACCGCCAGACGACAATTTGATAGATTTTGGTCCATATGGTGAGGAGCTTGTGCAGAATGTAGTTCCGCGATCTAGATTTGCCAGACAGCTTGGCTTGGAGGGCGAGGGGCAAGGAGCTGATCTATGCCTCGGAGATCGCTACTAACTCCTATGCTTGCTGAAATTTTGTGGTATTCATAATAAAGTTCCATTGACACACCCTGTACATATTTGATTGATTATTAGAAAAAAATTTTAATAAAGTGTAATAATAAAAAATTATTTTTATCAACTCGTTTAAAATTGTTCAAAGAAAAAATAGTTTGATCATAATTTTCTTGTTTCTTGTATGTAAAAACACAACATTTAACAGTTGAATTGCATGTAGGTAGGTATAAATTTAAAAAATTAATTAATCTTTAATTACGATTTTGGTTGAGATAAAAAAGTCAGTGTCACAAGCGGGATTCGAACCCACGATCTTCGCCTAAATACGCCGTTGCTCTACCACTTGAGCTATCGTAACCTCGATCCCCTCGAAACCAACCTCCCATCTCAACCCCACTTTTTGAATTTGAAAAATGGCAAAAAGGAGGGCAAATTTAATATAATTTAATATTAATTAAATAATTAATAAAAATATTTAAAACAAAATCAGAACTTAAATGTTGATTAAACAACAAAAGAAAGACCAAACAAAATCAGCTACATGTAAATAAAATTAGCACTCAGTAATTTGGCTAAAATTTATTTTGTTAAAATATTCTGTTTATATGTATGCACATGTTAATGTGCTATTTCATTAAGAAGAAAAATACTATAACAGTAATAATACAATATTACATACATGTGTACGCAACAATATTTATTTACATAAATACATAATACTGATTTAGCTATATTGCAAATCTAATTTAAAAAAAAATCATACAAATAACTCAACAATATGTTGATTTATCTATTAAATACATTTATTATTTTATTCCAAGAGACAAAGGAAACAAACTGATAAATAATCATTCTTTTATAATTATTCAATCGTTTTTTCTAAATCTAGACAAAAATTTGAAATTAAGTCAATACTTCTGTAATAGAAAATTACTTTTTAACTATACAAGTTTCACAATTGAAATTATAAATTAAACTTAGTGAATTAACAACAAACCGATCGTGTTATTAATGACAAACTTTAACAACCTAACTGCTTATTTTTACTTTATAGAATTCTATTTTTACTGTGGAGCAGTAAAATGTCATAGTTATATTTACATCAATTATAGTTATTTAAAGTTTGCTTGTTTTATAGTATGTATTTATTTTATTTTTTTATAAATCCCTTCAGCCAGTTTTTTAAGTATCTTTACAATGAACGTAGGCTGCAATATATGATAAAATGCATTTTGAAAAAGAAGGAACATAATTAACTACGACTTAGCGAACCTTAGCTATTTGCCAGCCCATCTATTATTATGTACGTCTAAAAATATGCATATGGATTAACTTAATAAAAAAGTATTATTTAATTTATAGAAGCTATTGAATTTATAAATAGAATATTTTTTGCTTACAACATATTGTTCACTTCGGAACAATCGACACAGTGAAACAATCACAACTAAACTTTATTTATGCAAGTCTGTTTTTTGTCAATAAATTCTTGTAAAAAATAATGTATTATGTTAACATAATTTTTCAATTTGCTTTTCTAAACGAAAGGATCTATCTATTATATGAACAAAGGACAAGGAGGCATAAAAGATTTTAAAAATATGTATATATTACAAAAAAAGTTTAATAAATAGGATACAAAAATCCCTGAGTAGGACAAAAAACAAACTTACTAAATAATGGATAAAGCTAGAAATAATAAACAAAATATGAATTTTTGGATTTTAATTGTTTTTAAAAGTTTTTAAACATTTTGTTGTGATCGTGTGAGAAACGAGGAGATTGTGATCATGTGTGAGAAGGGCTGACTTACATCACTGTGAGACAGGCTAGTCGTTATTTCTTTTGACTCTATCTTTAAAATTCCCTTATTTTTCATATTTATGCTCTCATATTCTTTTTAAAAAGTGGGATTATGGAAGTTCACAAATGTTTCGAGCGTCACTGGGATTTGCCCTTGATATGGGATGTTATACCGTACAACGGCCGAAGCAGATAGACATTTTAGAGTTGTGTAATTTATGAGGCAAATTGTATTTATTGGATTGCTTGCAATTAGAAGTGATGGGCTGTCTTTATTCCTGTTCGGTTGATCAAGATGTGCACCGTGGTCCAATAATAGTTGTACCAACTGTAAGAAATATATATTTAAAAAAAAATATTAAAATTTTATTTAAAAAACTTACATTACTAAAAAAATTGTAAGGATTTGCCGCAACATGGAGAGGAGTGGAGCGAGATTCATTCCTAGCATTTACAGGAGCTCCACATTCCAAAAGCAATTCTATCACTTCTAAACTTGGAAAAATTAACTAAAAAAGAAAAAATCATTAGATAAGTTTTCTATTTTAAACTAATTTGTTATGTTGTTGTTTCTTGTGGAAAATCACGGCAAAATATAATGAACTTGAAACTTCATGATCCCTGATCATAATTTTATCGTCATACTATTTGGCTCCCTCAAAACCCACTCAACATTTTACAAAGTACAAACAAAAGGATACTATTGACAAAATAACACATAAACTAACCACTGAAGATGGAAAAATGTGAAATGCATCGGGCAAACAAAGTGAAAAAGTTTAGACATGATCACCATAGAAGACAAGCATAAGTAAGACATGCATTTAAAATTTGTTAATTTAATTATCACTAAATGTTTTATAGGTATACATATAACCTCTAGTATTTTTTAAATTTTATTTATTTATTTTGGGGGGGATTTATATAAATAGGTTATATAAACCTTTGGGGTGTAGGTTTTTGAAAAAAAAGCCCATTTGAAAGTACGTCGGGTTTGAATGCAGGACCAATGGATTTTAACCCAGGACAGTGATGAGCACTGTGCCAATGCTTAAACTGTTGCAGCCACCAACACCCCTAAGATTAATTAATTGTTAATAAATTGTTTATTTAGAAAATAGGTCTAATTTTTGCCTCTAACTCCATGCTCATTATGATAATTAAAAAAAAAAAAAAATCAATTTGCCTTATGATTTTCATATTAGGCAGAGTACATTCGTTGATGAATTGATGATATATAGTTTTTGGGGAATGGGAAAGAAAATTCCCGGGGTGATGGTGGGAATTGAACTCATGATTGCAAGGCCCACGAGTGCAATAAGTTTTTAAAATGCTAATATAAGCAAATTCAGCTATTATGAGGATACACAAATATACTTCGATACTTACAAGATTATCATCTGTAAAATAACTGCTTTTGATCGTGTTTAGTCTAGAAACACAAAGGTGGAGTAGGGTGTCACCAGTGGAAGCTGAATGAGGATTGGCTTTGACTAGTTCTCTCACACTTTTTTTCACCAAAGATTTTTCTTCTTCTGTTTTGGCAGTTTCAACCATTAAGTAAATGAGGTGAGTTAAACATTTTAAAATACGATCGAAACTCTCCTGTTGTCTTTTATACACTGGACGAATCTAAAAGGTTTTATCATAAAAGAAGATTCTTCCTTGCATATTGATTATTGATAATTACATCAAGCAACTGCCTGCAGTATGAGATTTTATCGGCCAGGAGGTTGAAGGTAGCATGGACATCTTTGAACTTGGGCTCCTCCTCGTATCTCAAACCGCTGTTTGCCACCATCGCCACACTTTTGAGATTCAAATCGACAAAAAGGCGAACCAGCGCTTGTGCCGTAAAACACGTATCACTATATAATATCTGAAATATTAATTGATTTTTTTTCTTCAATATTTAACAAAACAAAATTCGCCATTTATTAACTTACAGAATCTTTTTCAACTCTTATTTCTAATGCTCTCCTCCATAAATCTATACATTTCTGGAACCTCAGGTCGTCGGCGTAAGCCGCTCCACGATACATAAGGCGGAACAGCGTATCCTTATGGTACGGGCCAAGGACCCTCTCACACACCAGTAGACTTTGAGTTCTCATCGCATCTAAATCTAGTACAAGGTTTCTGAGTTCCTCCTCAGTCGTGAACTCAGTGGCATGTCCAAATGCAGCTCTTGGTTCTACCTTAGGCCGTTTTGGTATTGGAGGATTGGCTGATTCTCTTATTCTTATTGCAGTTTCCCAATGACTGTATGCTAACTGTAAAAAATAAGAAACACCAATCAAAGAAGATCAGAAAAAAAGAAAATTTTATACAAATAAAATTTAAAGAAGTCACTGTTTTCTTAGTAATACAAGAATAGTATTATTTCATATATTCATACAGAAAAATCAAATAATCTTTTTATTAAACAACAATTAAACATCAAAAGTTATTTTTAACATTTAAACATAAGAAATAACTTTATAAAGTAATAGGTAAGTTAATTTCTAGTAATGGCAGAAATAATTGTAGAAAAATTACTTTGACTTTTATAACAAGTATACAAAAAGTACAGTTAATTTGACACAAACCAGTAGAAGTTTTATTTTGAAAAGGTTTTGTGACAGTGCCGTTAACAAGGTTTCTTTAGAATTTGGATAAAAAAGAGAAGAATGAAGGTGAACAACAATAGGAATTATTGATCTTATTGATCAATCGTTGCAATGTAAAGGCTATTTAAAATCTTAATTTGACACTATGAATATTTATTCCTCTGTACAATAAGATAAAGATAAAAAAGTTCAATATATGGATTTCATAGTTCTAAATAAATAAAAAAATATAAAAAAATTATTTAACATACAAAATTTATAATTTGTATGTTAAAATTAAAAGAATATATAGATTTTTTTAATTTATAACAAAAACCTGTATGTAATATTTTTGAGCTCGGCTTTTTTCTTCTCTCCCTCACTCATCTGTAGGCTTCAGTACAAAAAGACGGTGAACACGTTAAATTGCAATCGGTAAAACATAAATTCCCACGAATAAATTACCTGCGTGTCTACATGTTCATCTAGAATCGTAGAACCGATCAGTTCATGGGCATCGGCCAGACGCTCCGGTGTATAATTAATAGTCTCGGTGAGGTAGCAGAATATCTGATCGGCCCCTTTAAGACAAGCAGTCTCCAAAGCGTCATCGTTGTATCTACTCTTAGCAAAAGGGTCAGCACCATTTTCTAAGAGCAACTTTGTCGTTTCAAATCTATGTTCTTGAATCGCATAATGGAGAGCTGTTTTGTTCTGAAACATTTGTTTGGCATGATATTTTACAATTTAAAAATTATAAGGTATATTCATGCTTTTTGTATGATAGTTAACTTTCTTTAACTGTTAAACATTTAGTCTTTATACAAGAAAGCAGCATTATTTAGATTTAAATATTATTTAGATAGAAAGCATATATTGATGAGTTATACTGAAAAATAATACCTGTATATCCCTAGCATTGACTTTAGCACCATGTTGTAACAAATAAAGGCAAAGTTGAACAGACTGAACGGAATTGATGAGACAAGTGCCGCCGTTGTAGTTCGGTTTGAGAATGTCGGCACCACATTCGACTAAGTACGATACAATGTCAAGATGTGTCATAAAACAGGCACTCCGCACAGGGGTCGAACCCGAATCAGACACTGCGTTGACATCCGCCCCATAGTGTACAAGGCAACGTATCACAGGTAGATTCCCAGAAACAGCTGCACACCACAGAGGTGTGACGTTATGGACCGAGCGATCGTCGGGGACTTCGTAAAGGCCCTTTTGTTCGATGTCAGCATCACAGGTCGTTATGAGGTACTCGACAATCTCGACGTGACCTCTCTTGCAAGCGATAAAAAGGGGCGCACAACCGTCTTTCACCCTGCAGGCGATTTCCCTCCTGTCTGCCCTCGTGAACCTTTCCAACTTAGTCCTGAGACTGAAGGACAGCCGGGCACCTGGTACGACCGATTTGATTTCAACCATCAACTCTGTAAACAGGGCCTCCTTGTGACTCGACAAATCAGCTTTTCCAGTAAACCACATTATTCAGAAACGACTTAAACAACTTCTCGAACACTCCAGATAATAAGTCAACAACAAACCGACACAAAACTCTCAACAATACACATGACACCCCATTAGAGCATTTTGTTTCGAATAAAAATACATATTAAACATTGATATCTGCTTGTCTATTGTCACCACTGAGTTACCAGTTGGCTGTACTGAAAAAACGAAAATATAAAGAAAAACAAGAAACACGTCGGACTGATACCCACTTACTGCCCCTTAGACATTCACAAACTCTTTACATTTGCTCACTTGGATTTATATTTATCTAAGGAAAACGAAAACACCAAAAAAAGAACCTTCACCAAAATACAAAAGATAAGACACAAGACAAATCGGCCATTTTAAAAGAAGAATAGTATTCCTCATCAATCGATTGCAATATCATATAATTCTTTGAGGAAAATCGACTTGAATCGTCAATCATTAATATTCCACTCTTACAAACTTATAAATAACGACATATATAATTATGTTAAAATAACATGGAATATTTGTAAAATTAACTGTTAAACAGAGCGAACAAACAGTTTAATAAAATTACTACACGTTTATATGTTTAAAATTAGACAAAAATAGTGCCCAACGATTTTTTTAAGCTGTAATTCTTGAAAAGTCCCATATAATCCAACTAAATCGACAATTCAATTCAAACCGTTGTTGTTTCTTTTCTAGCCAGCTAGACAAATTTCTGCCTTAAAATCGATGCATAACAACCATATGCTTTTATAGAAAACTATCGACCGTTCTTCCAAGTAACCTGTAAAGCAGTAGACTTCAGAAATTTTGAAGGTTTTAAACTTTTGATATTTCTTTCAAACCTCATCAGGCCGTTCTAACATCAGACAATTGGCAATTTCAGCTAACCAAAAAAACAAAATAAAAAAAGAAAAAACAATCGAAAATTTTTCATAATTTAGCAGATTCACGGAACGATGACCGGCGTTCTCAACTTAGCATCCGCTGATGAATTCAACACAGTCCTTAGGTGATTTTCAATTAGCGTTATAATTGAATTTTATAGTTTTTAGTATATTTTTTCAATTTATTAATTACCATGTGCTGAAATGCATTGTTCCATAAAAAAGTGGCGCATTGAAATTTTGATTTTTTTGTACTTGCCGTTTCAGAAATACTAACGCCTATATTTTTATAATGCAGGTATTTATTAAAAGATTTGGTTAGGTCTGGTTCACACGGAGGCGATCCGTATGGGAGACAGGTATCGAGGGGATGGAGGTAACAGGTCAGGCCCCGTATTAATGACTGGAATTAGATACCGATTTTTAGTCGATTGATACTCTTTCTGTACGAAGCCAACTGACAGGACATTGTGCAGCATATCTTACACATATTTCATTCTGTATCGAGCAGATCGCTTGTCCAAACCATCATTTACATTTCATATGCCTCCATTAGTTTGGGATCACGTGGGATCAATTGGATAGAAATTTACTTTGGGATCACGTGGATAAAGATAAAAAAACACATGATGAAATGTGTTATAATCGCTATACGAGAAGGAAATTGAGACTTGGGATTAATCTATTCCCACAATTATTATTTGGAGATGGTGAGATGCAGTCTGGTATTACGTAGGTTTTAGAAAAACGTTTTCTTTATCGTGCCAACATTTCGATCTTTATTGAGATCATTTTCAGGGCTCAAAGGTTTGTTTTCTGTGTAGATGTGTCATTCTTGTATGACGTGTTGAGAGTGCATTCTTGTGTTTTGGCACTCTCACTGAAGATGATCTCAATAAAGATCGAAATGTTGACACAATAAAGAAAATGTTTTTCTAAAACATACGTCACACCAGACCACATCACACGATCTCCAAATAATTATTGGCTAATGGTCACTAAACACCACACATTTCTATTCCCACATATTTCTCGTCTAATTAAATAACAAAGAGCTACAGCTTCTAACTTGTCTATTATAAAAATATATCAGAATCAAACATCTCGGTCTTTAAACTGCTTAGGAAGGGTCAAGAAGTGGTGAAAGGGGGATAACTGAATCGAGTTGCCAGGATACTCTAAAACTCATTAGTGGCTGGCTAGCCACCACAGTAGACCAGACACCAAAACACCAGACAAGAAACAGACACCTAAACCAGCTGTTAGCCACTCAAGACCTTAGTGGTTAAAACAGTGGTTCACTCATCAGAAGGCAGCAAATGGTGTGTCAGGATCCGCAGCCCTCCCATATTCTGGGGATCAAACAACCCAGTAGCCGAATCCAAGTGGTGCAATAGTTGCTGAATCCAATTTTCATATGTTTTATGTATTGCCATTTCAGTAATATTACCACCTAAATTTTTATAATGCAGGTACTTATTAAAAGATTTGGTTAATGAAAAAATAAAACTACCTCTCAAAAACAAAACAATTTATAAAGAAAACATCATATTTTTGTATGTTCATAATGCTATTAAAATCTTAATAGGGTGTGTTATTGCTCTTGATCTTAACACACTTAAATCTCCTTGGCATGCTCATAATTAAGCGTTTAACCACATCTTGAGGAATTTCATACCAAATCTAAACGTAACTTTCAACTCAGCTAAGGTTGTAGGAGAGGTATTTCTTCATCTTACCCAAAGCCTAAACATGTCCCAAAAGTTCTCAATAGGGTTGAAATTAGGGATACAAGCTAGCTATCTTAAAGTGTGAATAGTTACTTCATGAAGGTACTTCATAACATTGGTGGCGACAATCATGCATTTTCTTGCATAAACAAGAATTTCTCACCAATAACAGGAAAAAATGGCATCACATATTTCTCAAGAATGTCTGTCATGTAGATTTCTACATTTACTGACTGTCTATTAAAAGTCTGTTACTCTATTTTTATTTCCAAAGAAATTCCACTCCACACCATAACTGAACCACCTCCGAACGGCTCATTGGCTGTAGTGATATACAGCTGCTGCATAATAATTGAATAACACTGTTTTTATTATCCTTAATGAGTGCAGTAGCAAGGGCTGATTGCTTGGTGATTATGGGCACCTTCATAATCGTTTGCCACTATAAAACAATAGTGAATAAACACATTTTTAAAGGATTAAAAAGGATTTTGAGGATTCACATTGTAGGAATTTTAAAACAAATTAGGAGTAGGAGTTTTGCCTCACAATCAACAGCAAAAACAAATACTTTCCATTTAATTATAATTATGAAATAATTTTTAAAGTTTTTAAACAAAAAATTTGGCCAAAACATTGACAAATTTAAAGAGAAATCAAAATTTCAAAGTGTGCCACATTTTTTGTGGAGCAGTGTAGTCTATTTCAGTTCCACATGTTTTTTTTTCAATAGTAGGGTCCTAGGACTTGTATTTTTTCCAACCTTAGTAATTTTTTTTCTATATATATATATTCAAAATGCTTACAATTATTTTCAATTAAAGGAGTGCCGGCCTGATGGTTTGCCACTTTTATGCCGATTGGGTTGACCAATGTCGCCACATGGAAAAGATCCTTATCGAAATGGCCAATCTACCTGAGTACAAAGTATTTATTTTTTATTACTTAAGATACCACTTGAATAATCAAAATAAAATACCATTCAGGGTGTTAAATTTGCTAAACTGCAAGCTGAAGATGTACCCGTTATTTCTCACAAATATGGGATTGCAGCCGTCCCGACGATATTGATACTCAGGCGTAATCAAGTTGTTGACCGGGTCGAGGGTGCCAATCCTGGGACTTTAATCAGCAAGTTGAAACAACAGGTGGCTTTGGTCTTAATTTCTTGTAGAAAGATAGCCATGTATAGTGTGTATTTTTTTCTAGATCAATAACATAAAATTGGACAAATTTCCTGAAGGCGTTCAATCGTTACCTGCTGGTGGAGAACCATTAGAGCTTAATGAGAGATTAAAAAAGCTTATAAACAAATCTGCAGTGATGCTTTTTATGAAAGGTATTCTGAATAATAAAAAAAGGATATTATGTAAATAATATTCATATCAATTGTTTGTTTTAGCCTCTTAAGGCTGGTTCAGTGTCCCTCAGGGGTTCCATGAGGGTCCTTTATTGTTCCTTATTTTCATGATATCAACTTGAACATGTGAATTAGTTTGAATTATTGATTAATTTCTGTATTGATGTCATGATTGTTTTAGCCTTTATTCTTTTATTATATATACTATGTAAAAGGATATATTATCCAATAAACAAGTTAACATATTTATACAATATTTTAGGCTCTGTGGATGAACCAAAATGCGGGTTCTCAAGACAGATCATTGATATTCTAAGATCGGTAAAAGCTGATTTCAAAACATTTGACATCTTGACTGACAATGAAGTGCGCGAAGGTTTAAAAAAATATTCCGAGTGGCCAACATATCCACAGGTTTTGTTTTAGACCTAATGTTATAATTACTTGTATGATTACAATGTTTTTTTTCTTTTGTTTTTAGTTGTATGTCAATGGAAAACTTATAGGTGGTTTGGATGTGGTAAAAGAACTTCATGCTTCAGGAGAACTTAACGATATTTTGCCCAGAATTCATAATCTCGAAGATAGGTATAAATTTTCATATACATATTTGAGGAATTGAGTACTTATTTATTATTCTTTTTTACAAATTCAGTCATTTCGTAGTATTCTGATTTTGAACTACTGTAATTATGATTTTCTTGGTTTTCTTTTTTACATACCTTTTATTTAAAAACATTTAATATGTAACATAATGGATGGTGTAATACGAATATACAATCCTGTTTGAAATGAAATATTATGAAGATGTTAATACACAATAAAAACACACAGATGGCTTTAGAGTCTCGGTGGGATGGTCTCAAGTGCTGTAAAATAATTTTGTGTGTTCATCAGATGGAAAATTCAAAGCCAAATTTTCTTTTTTCCAGATTGAAATTCTTAATTAAAAAGGCTCCAGTAATGTTATTTATGAAAGGTAACAAAGAACAACCACAATGTGGCTTTAGCAGACAGATGGTTCATATATTAAATGACTGCAAGTAAGTGTATTTTGAAAAATTTCAGATTTTTAAAAAATTATTTCAAGATTAAAATTTAAATTGGGTTCTTAGGGTTTCTTATGAAACATTTGATATCCTCAAAGATGAAGATATTCGGCAGGGCCTCAAAAAATTCTCCAACTGGCCAACCTACCCTCAGTTGTACGTGAGAGGAGAACTTATCGGAGGGCTTGATGTAGTAAAGGAGCTCCAGCAGTCAAATCAACTTCTTCCCGCTCTTGCATTATCTCCAAAACATAATAAATGTCCATAATTTGATTAAAAAATATATGTAGAATGTTTTCGATTGCATATGTACAGTGTTTTTACTTCAAAGTGAGAAATAAACTGGTAATTAAGTTAATTAATCAATTTGATTCACTTGACCTGGAAAGCGAATGTGCGAATCTGTTTCAAAATGAAGAAAATGGTTATTTGGTGGCGTCGGTGGCCACAATGTTTCCTGCATTAACATGGCAACTCACCTTTGGAAGGTCTCTCATTAAAATGTCAACAGCCCTGAATTTGAATCCAAAGTACTTCCAAATGGGCGTTTTATTTTGTGTCCGAAACAATGAAACCCTGGGGTTGATATAAAATCTTCAGTTTGCAAACTCCCCATTAAAATAACTTTGGAAAAAACAACATGCCAATAAAAGTCTTGGATAATATATAAAAAGTCACATTTGGTCTCTAAAAGTAAAAGAAAAACTTAAAAATTATAGGACCCCATCTGACAGGCCTTTTAGCGATTTATCTAATACATTAAAATATAAAATAAAAACTAGTTATATAGCAATGTATATTAATTTTTTTTTTTTTTTTCAAAAAAGCATTTATAAAGTCAAGCACTAAAATGGACCTCAGATTTTTCATTTGCCAGTAAGTCTTCATGCATTCTTTTTTTCGATTTGTCTTCTTTCTTGAGAGCTGACTTTCGCCAAGTTTCATTCTCAAATTTATCTTTTTGTACTAATTTTATTACTCTGAAAAAAAAAAAGACATTATACATAGGTTTTTTTTAAAAATTAGGTTTTAAATAACCAAGCTGTCTAGAGACAATTTTGACTGTTTTAAAGCATATAATGCTCCAAAGTAATAAGAATTAAGGAGGAAATAGCGTTGTTTTATTGTACTTTATTGATCAATCAATTAATTGGTTCAGAATTTATCAAAGAAATTTTACAATACTATTTCATATCCCCATAGTATACAACAGTTCTGTTTTAATAAAGAACTGTCAACAGTTTCTAAATTAATCACTCAAATGTGTTGGTTCATTTCAGCTGTATCCAAAATGTCTAACATCCTGTAATATCAAGATAAAACAATAAATAAATTATTTCTAATTTATCATTTGTATCCCAATATATTGTATCCCCAAATGGCCAAAGCCTGCATATGTGCCCGGCATGTAGAGAAAGGTTGCTCGATGTGTCTCACCTAGTTGAAGGGTGCAATTCCTTGGATCCATATTGACGTGTGTAGGAATGCCAACTGATATGAGAATTGTGCTTGAGCACGGAAGCTATCTTCATATTTTTTAAGGAAACAGGGTTGTTTTATTGTATACACTACAGATAGTTTTGTGTATCTAGCAGGTGTTGAGAGTGAATGTACATTTTAGCATGAATGTTTAGTGTGAGGGCCAATGGTGCAATTGAGTATTCCATTGTTTTTAATTAGGTGAGTTACATAATAGGTTTGACGTACATCAAGGATTCAATCACCCTGAGTGAATGCCATGTATTTAAGAGTGAATGGGCGACTGATTACATTAGGAACTGAAATGACCTAGCTGTTGATAGCCCCTGGAGCCCAACCGCCTACGTTAAGATAGATAAGACTAAGATCTGACTCTTGACTGCCAAAACTCGGGATGGGTAATTCTCAAGGTCTACTGGTAATTTGTTGTAAATCATAAAAGCGGAATTGCTGGTGGACTGCGAGAAATGATAGGCTCAACTCTGTGCATGTGCAGATTTGAGCTTATATAAGTCAGTAATAAGAACTGAATATATTTGCAAACATACTCTTCAATTTCTTCCAAGTGTATCTTCTCTCTATATGCTCTATCCCTCTGCTCTTTCTTTATATGCTCAAGATATTTTAACACTTCACCTTTTTCAAGAGTTTCTGAAAGTATAAAATGATTAGATTCACAATATGGAGGTTAAATTAACAAAATACTTTTTTGCTCAGGCATTTTAATCTGTTTGTCTTCTTTGGTCTTGCTTTCTTTACTATACTGAAAATTTTACAAATCTAAAATTAATGGATACTGAAATCGCAAGTTTTATTTGATTTACATCTTTTTGTAGAGTAGGTGCTCGTATTAAAATATCATTTAGTGTGTATGATACTTGTTTTTCTTGTGGTTCCCATTGCTTATTGCCAGTTTCTACTGACATTTTTTCCTCGTGTTCAGTGTCATCTTTCCTAGTAGCCTTATTATTTTTAAAACCTTGACTATCTGTTTGTTCTGATATTTTATTAATATCCCCTAACAGAAGAAATTTATTAAAATAATATATTTAAAATGGTAAGGATGATGAGGAACAAAACCTAGTTTTGAGTAAGCATTTATAAGTGCATCTTCCAAGAGTGCTGATAGAGAGTTCATAGGTTGCTTCAGTTCATTATTTTTATCTTTCATCACAGCCAAAAATTCATAAGCCCACTGTAGTTGTGCAATTCCTTAAAAACATGTCCACATTTTAATGAAGGCAATGAACAAATGAAGCATATCTACCTAGCCCTTTTTTTTCTGATTCTTTTTTTGAATAAAGTTTCCACGTGACTGCCAAGAGGTGATCCATGAGAAGCCAGAACGGTGGTGACATTGCCAATCTTACACCACTTGTTTTAGACATCTGTGTGAAAGAGTATAACTGAGGAGAGAATGCTGCTTCACTTTCAGCATCGTCTTTCTTTTTGTCAATAGGAGGTTGTAAATCTGTTCTTTCTTGGGGTGCCTTTTCATCAGTTTCAGTGTCATTTACCTTTGAGGCTTCTTGAGCTTCTTGTTTTACCTCTTTTTCTTTGTCCAGTTCATTCCCTTTTTTACTAGAAAATATAAATAAACAATTAATATATATTTTACTTATAAAAATGTTTGTAATTAAAAGTTTACAACTTGGCATCCTCGCCAACCTCTGATTGAATTTTCATTTTATCTCTGTAAAATAATACATATTATGAGTAAATTTGAAAAGTTCTTGTCCACATAGGTTTTACCCTTTATTGATTGAGTCCTTGTTCTTCTGCATTCTTTTTTGTCTGGAATTAAACAGTAGAAAACATTTTTTTTTAATATTAGTTCATGTATAAACATACACTATTACATAGGATCCATATAGAGAGAATGTATAAATACCACCCAATAGCAGAATTGTGCATGAGCACAGCAGCAAGTCCTCTGTTCGCGAGTTTAGAGGACATAACTGTTTTACTGTACATAGCACATTACAACGTTACAGATATCTCATTTGGTGTCCTATGTACTTTCTGTATATTGAGCAAGAGCGTAAGCAGTATCCTTATTGGGGGGTACGTAATTAGAAGTCACCATTGCTTAGGTTTGTTAGAGGACTTGCTAAACATTTTGAACAATTTCTCTGTCCTACACTTTTTAATAGAAAATATTCAAAATAAAATATAATAAAATTATAAGTATTATTTAACAAACTAAAATACAATCATAATCGGCTTCAGATTATTTGAAGTAACTCCCAATGTTTTACATGGTATAAAAGGAAAAATTTACATAAAGTGCAATGTAATTGCGAGCTGAGGTCACATTAGTCAACATGGATTTTCTGAAAATTTGTTGACACTGCTGACTCAATTTCTCATTTCTTGTAATTCTTCTTAATTCACACATATGTATGTACATGCATGTGCAGATTTGAGCTTATATAAATCAGTATTCAGTTCTCAAAACCTGGCTATCTAAAGATATTACTTCTGAGGATAATGAATTATTTGTTTTGTTAAAGTTACCTCTGAAAAGCTAATATTTAGACGTCAAAAGGTTTATCATTTTAATACTTTTTTATTATTATTTAACTGCTGAGATATATTATTTTGAAGACAAGCATGGAAATATTGAAAGTAATTATTTGGAGTGTGTTGATCTATTAATTTGATGCTCAACAAATAGTTTTAGATAATTGAATTTATTGATTCTTAAATTTTGGTAAAATCACATTAGAAAAAAAAATTGTTATAATTTTAATATATAAAAAAAAATTATGTGAGATATTTTGTAGTGGTCTGCAAAGGGACCTGAAGTTTGGTCGTATCTGATCACCACAAACCCACCGTTGAAGATGGCGAGCAGACCAAACCAGCGAAAATGGGCTGACCAGTAAAGATGGCCAAAATACAAACAAATTGTCTTTTTGTTGTTCTCTTATTTATTGATACATATATTGATTAAATATACAACAAAAATTTACCTGGATCGGTCCCTTGATTTGGAAGACACTTGCTGTTTTCGTTTATCTCTAAACAATAACAAGAACTACAATAACACATTGTGCCAATTATGAAATAATGGAAACTCATAATTAAATGAGATTTTATTCAATTTTAATTTTAATAAATAGAATGAAGTTTAAAAAAATCAATTAAATAAATGACAAATTTTTTGTAATTAATGCTACAAGATTCAATTTATTAGACCTTAAAGTTACCTGGATGATTCTTTAGATCGGGTAGATTCACTTTTTTTCAGATTTTCTCTATAAAAAAATTAAGATAGTGTGTTATTAAGTGAAGAATTTTGTTTTGTAATACTCATTTTTTCCAGAACTACTTGCAATAAAGTATCAATAACAATATCTATATTAGTTATTATTGATATATTATAGCTCTCAATATCCTCAATTATCCTAGGAAGAATGAACGGTTTTTTAAATTTACCTTGGTTCACTTTTTTTCAGATTTAATCTAAAAAAATGAAAGTAGCATGTTATCAAATAAAATATTTTGTTTTGAAATATTCATGTGTACCAGAGCAACTTGTACTACAGTACCATTAAGTTATTATTGACATTATTATAGCTTTTAATATCCTCAATTACGTTAGGAAGAATGCACAGTTTTAAAAATTACCTTGTTTCACTCCCTTTAGCAGAAATGTTGCTTTGATTTTGTGTTTTGTCAGAGCTTGTGTGACCTAAACAGAGTGCTTCTAATCCCATCCCCAGTAAGCTGGTTATGTAAAATATAAAAAAAAAAAATACCCGATAAAATCAATCAGAATAGTTACAGTAAATATAACTTGTAAAATTTAATATCTGGGGTACCATATGATTGAAAGGATTGCCTAAGGGCAATGATCATATATTATATGTAAAAAAAAGTAAAAGTAAAGTCATTAGTAAAATATCCTACAAACAGCCTACTGGCTAAATACCCAACAACCTCTGGTCACTCATGGAGCTTAGTATGGTTGCCAAAAACCTTAGAAAAGAAGATACAGGATTGGTTAAATAATTTACAAAGATTGGCATTTCTTAACATAACAGGAGCAAAACATAATTGCCCTATTTCAGTAATGAATGTTGTAAACATACATCCAGAGGATGGCATTCAAAAGGGCCAACAGGCTCATAAAACAAAATTAAATTAAAGATTTAAGAGTTAGTCATCTTAAAATTCTAACAAAGATAAAATAAGTAAGATTGTTATAAAAATGTCTGACAAAAGGCTGGTAAAAGAAAACTTTGATAGACCCTTTGAAATAAAAATAAGAACAAAAGATATTTAGAGGAATAAAAACCCTGGCATAATTACAAGTCAGACTATCTAAAAACTAGCCAATATATTCATTATACAGGGTGTCCCAGTTCCTTCTGATGAAACTCAGGGAATCGATTCTACTCTTCGTTTGGAGCAAAAAATGCCCAGGAGAAAATTTTCGGAAAGTTCTCTATTTTCAAGATATTCATCAATTTAGGTTTTTTCAACTTTTCACTACCTTACCACATAAAAATGCTTAAAACTTCCAAAATGTTGAGACTACAACAAATCCAATTACACCATTTGAAAGAACGCTAAATTTGCTGAAAGTTACTTCTATTTGCAATAATCTAAATGACATAAAATGTTAGCCAATATCAGTTAAACTTCGATCCCATCCAGCATTTTTCATTCAACTGGTCAAACAAGTGTCATTTTTATTTTACAAAGCGAGTTCTAATTGATTTATTTCTACCCCCCTTCAAATTTACCTCATCTCACGTTTTCGAACATTCAGTTGTTATTTTTCAACTCTACTAGAACGTTATTAAGTTTTTGTGAAATTTGACAAGTTGTAGGTATTTTTTTGTAACCTCAATAGAACATGCAATAATGACCAAAATTCTAAATTTTGTAATTTTGACATGTTCCAACTGATATTGGCTAAGATTTTATGCCTTTCAGATTATTGCAAATAGAAGTATCTTACAGCAAATTTAGCATTCTTTCAAATGGTGTAATTGGTTTGTTGTAGTCTCAACATTTTGGAAGTTGTAAGCATTTTTATGTGGTAAGGTGTGAAAAATTGAAAAAACCTAAATTGACGAATATCTTAAAAATAGAGAACTTTCCAAAAATTTTCTCCTGGGCATTTTTTGCTCCAAATGAAGAGTAGAATCGATTCCCTGAGTTTTGTCAGAAGAAACTGGGACACCCCGTATAATGTAACACACAAAATAGAATCTTAGCATTAGAGTATCTAAATTCAAAAAAATAATTTGTGCAATAATTATACGAATTAATATCAATTAAATTATTAAATTATTATGATACACAATAAGAGCTTATTTAAGGAATTTGATAGTATGTAAAAGCTTGTAGTTGAAATATTTGTTGATTTATGTAGGTAAAAACTCTTTCCTTCCAATGCTTTGAATGCTGAATTTTAATATTGAAACTTTGCACACCATTAAAGTAATTGATACTGTGGATAAGTAATGCAAGAGTATCTTTACAGCCAATTTTGAAAGGCTACTCAAAAATGTTGGAACATTAATAATAGGATGTTTAACATGGGGATTTAGCTTGGTGAAAGATTACATCAAGAGATGTAAAGATTATTTAATCAACTATTCCAAATAAAAGGGCTTCTTAATAAAAGTTTTGTGTTGTGTTTCATTTCAAATGGTGTCTCTCTTTGCCATTTTGAGCTTCCTTACTATTTGATGTATGTCAACAAATATTTTCATAATTAGTACACATTACAACACAGGTATTGTTTTTAAGAACAATACAATTGTTTTGTATAATTATCATGACTATTGTGTTTACTTAGATGATTGATTGTCTCCCCCTTGGCCTAAACCAAGATGCGATGTAAAAATTAAGATCATAAATCCATTTATAGCCTGTCTATAAAAACAATTGTAATAAGTCAATAAATTTTTTTTCAAAACATTTGAAAAATAGTACGAGGATTTTACATTATTTATGCTGGTCTAACATCATATAATTACTAAGTTTAATTCAATCAATTTTCAATATACAAATTGGCCACTAGGCTATAGCTCACAGACCCAACGATCAAATTTCACAATTAATGTTTTTATTATCAAGACTAATAAACTAAATTGAATACCTGTCGGAATCCTTGTCGTTAGTAGGTTCAACTTTTTGGCCGGATCTGTCGGAAAAAAGAATACATTGTGAACAAAAATGATTATATAAAGGATAATTCTCTAAATTTGTCGACATCCTAAGCATTATGTAGACAATTTTTTTCTGGTTTAAGTTTACCTTGATTCATTGCTTTTAACGGATTCAGCATTTTGATTTTGAGATCTAAAAAAAATAAAAATTGTAATAATAATAGTAATTGTTATAGGTTGAGATGGGAGTTGGTGTTCGAGTAGATTGAAGTCACGATAGCTCAAATGGTTAGAGTAGCGGCGTATTGAGCCAAAGGTTGTAGGTTGGAATCTCGCTCGTGACACTAACTTTTTCATTTCAACTAAGACCTTATGTAAAAAGATTAAATAATTGAAAGAAGTAATTTGGTCAATGACCACTAAATATAATGGAAATAATAATAATAATAAAACAAATTCAAATGCTCCATACTGAACACAATGACTATTGATTGAAACTTCTATGTTCATTAACGTCTAATAATATACTATTTGGAGGGCTAAGATGAAAATAAAATCAGGCTACATATCATTAACAGAAGAATAGCCGTCTACTCAGACTGCTAGGTGGCATTGAGGGCAATTACTGCATCAGTAGTAAAGTCCAGAGTCGTTTGGGATTGCATTAATGCCCTGTCAGATATTGTAGAAAACAACAAAATTATCCTTGTCTAGGTACCAGGGCAAAGAGGGCAGAGGGGGCAAGGTAGAACCCAATAAACTGGCCAAGGAAAATTTGATGAACGATTAGGCCTGAACACTTTTCTTGTATCAAACTGCAAAAAACATGAATTAAAATAAGTCTTCTGTTCAATAGGAAAGTAATCCAAGACAGAGGCATGCAAAAATGTTCATAAAGATCACATTGCAGAGACTAATTGTAGAACTACTAAATCTAGAACGTGTTAGGACTAGAATAATAGTTTGGACTGCTAACAGTACATTATACACTCCGGAGGCCTATACGCTTGGCATGACAGAAACAAACCTACAAATATTGCCAGGAAAAGGGACAAAAAGGAATATGACCTCTGTTGGTGTGAAGGCTTGAGGCTGTTGAGATTCCTACTCCTGGGAGAGTAAAGCCCAAGCCTGAAGGATACACATAAGAGACCTTGAAGAAGCTTTGAGATCTGGTAGAAAGACTTAAGCTTTATAAGGTGCTCTAGATTAAAAAAAATGGAGTTGCACAATAGCCCAATACTAGTCAGGGTGCACAGGTTGTAAAGAGGCTGACTCATTCTTTAATATAATCTACAATAATTGACACGCTCTCTATATGAAGCCATGTAATGGCAGGCAACCTTCATTTGAGACACATCAAGAAACTTTCTATATGGCAGACACACATGGCCCAAAATGGTCTGTTTGTCAACCTTGAATGTCCTATTCTAAATCAGGGGTACATTAATGTGAAATGTGTTCTGTCATGCATGCAGATCAGTCATACTTTTATTTCTTACCCTTTGGAAAGCACTTTCCCAGGTCTTACTTTGCTTATTATTTCAGGAATTTTTAATTGCCTTTCCAAAGTGGTCGTACTATATCCTGCTAATGGCTTCAAAATCACATACGGGATTACGTATTGACTAGATAACTAGTATTGTAATTATTATTCGAGTCCTGCTAATTTTTCATCTAAACCACACTTTACATAACCAATTAAAATATATATGGATTAGTAATTATTATATTAATTTGGCTGTTACCAATCATTTTGGTCTGCTTATTGCTTAATGAGTTGATTTGCTAAACATGTTTCAAAATTTCCCCATCCATAGTGTTTTTCTGACAAACCAATCTAGCGAGAATAGGCATACTAAAATGATCAGTAATGATCAAATTACAGGTTCATCACTGCAGATCACATATCAATTACTATATTAAATAAGTAGAATAATTTGTAAATTTATATTCTCTCTAATTTTTACATTATTCTAAAAATAATAGTTACTGCATTTTTTATAAATTTACCTTGATTGTGATTCACTACCTTTAGCCAAATCATTGGTTGGATTTTGTGATCTAAAAAATGTAAAACAAGGTTTTTAGTATAAATTATGTATAGTTTTTCTTTAATAATGTTGTAAAATTGCTTTTTTATTTATAAAACCATTTATTTAATAATGGAACAAAAAAATGGTTATTTAATTAATTACCGTGTCGTTATATTTCCTAAGGTAAAGTTTATTTGTAATTCACTATTGGTTTTATTTATGTAGCTTTCATCTTAGAATAAAATTTAATTTGTCTGTATTGTCAATTCATGGCTTTGATTTTGCAACCTAACAGTTTTTTTTTTTTTTTAGGAACACTACAAAACTTGTTTTGGACAGTATAACGATTATTATTCTACTAAGATTTTTAATTCTTGAGGGGCCCTTGGAGAAAATAGTTTTATGACTGTAGTTTTAATGGTTTACGTGTATAAATGTTCTTGTAGCTTGATCAACCTGGTCTAAGAAACTGTCAGAAAGAGCCAAGGGAAATGTTGAATTATTTGGGTTATAGAAAACCAGCTAAACTAGGTAAACCAGTATGTCAGGGAGAGTGTGCAATGAACCTCGCAGACACAGTGTTTTACAATTTGTTTTCATTATGAAGATGGACAAAGTTGAAGTGTATACCTGGAAGAATCCTTAGATTTGACAGGTTCAATTTTCTGATTAGATCTAAAAATTATGAAAAGAAATCTATGAATATAATTTTATTCATATATTGAATGCTGCATGTTTTTTGACTAGGTTGTTAAAATTACCTTGTTGGTTGCTTAGATTTCAGGGAATCATGGCTTATTGCTCTAAATTATACAAAAAAAGATAATTAGAAATTAAAGCAACACACAAAAAATCTCAAATAATCTGGACCTCGGTTTGGCCTGGATTTAAAATAAATAAGTAAATAAATTAAATTAAATTAATTCAATTGTTATTTGCCAAGAGTTTGGCTTATTTTAAGATCATCACCAGATCTTAAAGATGCATACTAATTTACATAATTATTAAGTTTTTAATAGATCTAACAGTGTAACAGTTCATGGCAATGTTGGGACTGGGTATGTCTTCAAAAAAAGAAATTTCAAACCATCTAGTAAATACTTAATAACTATGTCAATTTGTATGTCTTTAAGATTATTTTGCCCTGTTTTTGACCTTAAAGTAGGTCGAAAGCTTGGCTGATAGAACATGATTTTTTTTTTCATCCAAGCCATACCAAGATCCTGATTATCTGTGAGTAAAAGTTCATTTTTAATACAACTAACACTCTAAATAGAAAGGAAAAAAGTTAAATTTAAAAATGTCATTCATAATGAAGCATTTAAGAAATTACTATTTAACTTTTAACACATTAGAATGTAAATATAATTGGATTATTTTTGTTTGATTGTTATAACAAAAATTTTGACATAGATTTGTTTAAATTTCTTAAGTGGAATTGTTGTAAGTGAAATATCTCTAATGGAATTAACAAACTGAAAACTTACACTTTTTTAATTTCAGAATCATCATTAGTTTTTTCACTGAAACAAAAAAAAATCATTGGTTGGATTTTGTGATCTAAAATATGTAAAACAAGGTTTTTAGTATAAATTATGTATAGTTTTTCTTTAATAATATTGTAAAAATGCTTTTTTTAAATTCATAATACCATTTATTTAATAATGGAACAAAAAAATGGTTATTTAATTAATTACCGTGTCTTTATATTTCCTAAGGTAAAGTTTATTTGTAATTCACTATTGGTTTTATATATGTAGCTTTCATCTTAGAATAAAATTTAATTTGTCATGCAATGCCAATTCATTGCCTTGAAAAAACTCATGGCTTTGATTTTGCGACCCAACAGGTTTTTTTTAGGAACAGTACAAAACTTACAGTACAAAACAAACAGTACAGAACAGTATAACGATTATTATTCTACTAATATTTTTAATTCTTGAGGGGCCCAGGGAGAAAATAGTTTTATGACTGTAGTTTTAATGGTTTACGTGTATAGATGTTCTTGTAGCTTGATCAACCTGGTCTGCCTAAGAACCTGTCAGAAAGAGCCAAGGGAAATGCTGAATTATTTGGGTTATAGAAAACCAGCTAAACTAGGTAAACCAGGATGTCAGGGACAGTGTGCATTGAACCTCGCAGACCCAAACACAGTGTTTCACAATTATGCATGTTTTTAGACTTAGGTTGTTAAAATTACCTTGTTGGTTGCTTGGATTTCAGGGAATCATGGCTTATTGCTCTAAATTATACAAAAAAGATAATTAGAAATTAAAGCAACCTACAAAAAATCAAAATAATCTGGATCTTGGTTTGGCCTGGATTTAAAATAAATAAATAAAATAAAATAAATTCCATTGTTATTTGCCAAGCTTTTGGTAGATCACCAACAGAACAAAACGATCTTAAAGATGCATACTAATTTACATAATTATTAAATTTTTAATAGATCCAACAGTGTTACAGTTCATGGCAATGTTGGGACTGGGTATGTCTTCGAAGAAATTTCAAACCATCTAGTAAAAACTTAATAATTATGTCAATTTGTGGATGTCTTTAAGATTATTTTGCCCTGTTTATGACCTTAAAGTAGGTTGAAAGCTTGGCTGATAGAACTTGAAATTGTTTTTTCATACAGGCCATACCAAGATCCTGATTATTTATGAGTAAAAATTCACATTCTCAATACAACTAACATCGTAAATATAAAAGAAAAAAAGTTAAATTTAAACATGTCAGTCATTACTATTTAACTTTTAACACACTAGAATGTAAATAGAATTGGATTATTTTTGTTTGATTGTTATAACAAAAATTTTGACATAGATTTATTTAAATTTCTTAAGTGAAGTTGTTGTAAGTGAAATATCTCTAATGGAATTAAGAAACTGAAAACTTACACTTTTTTAATTTCAGAATCATCATTAGTTTTTTCGCTGTAAAAAAAATCAATAAAGTAATTAATTGTTGTACTTGTTCAAAGTTCATAAAAACATATTTATATATATAATTTTCACTCTGTTTTGTTGCTGGCATTTCCCTCCTTTGGCCTGCAACATTATTTTTCAGTTTAAACTTAAAAGACAGCTAAAAAAATATAAATTTCTGCCAATTACTTAATTATAATTTACGTTATAGTTCCTGCATTGCCTTCTTCTGATCTGAAAGTATAAAAATAAAAACAAAAAGGTCAGAAATTGTTTTTGAATTGTAAAAATTTTTTTGTTTGTTTTTGTACCTTTGGTCATTATTTTCCCGGTTCTGTTTTCGTTTTTCTTTTAATTCAGCCTGTGCTTGCATCAAGGTTTCCCTGCAGTTTTAAAACACATACAGTCACAGTTTACAAAATTTTTAAATTTGTATTGCTACATGTCTATTGTAAAAGATAAATATTTTCATTTTTTTTCTTCCATCTTACAAAACTTGATTGTTTGTTATAAGGTAAAACCTTTAAAGTGCTTGATGTTCAAAACATTAATCAAATATCTTTTGTTTCCATAATTTTGTTTAAACTATATTATATATAACACAAAAATCTTCTATAATTTTACATAATCATGTTTTACCTCTTCAAATAATTAATAAAGTTTTTTATACAGTAATGACAGTCATATATTTTAAAATACAAAAGGACCAACTTGTTTAGTGATTAATTTATTTCGTTTTCTTGGTATATTTTACATATTTCATAATAGCTTTCATAACTCCGTAATCATTCAATTATGAATCAAAATTTCCTTTCTTGTTTTATTTTATTTTTTATTTATATTATCATAAAATGTATTATGCATGGAATACCAACATAAGGTCTCAGATTAGAATCACCTGTATTCATAAAAAAAACTTACTCTTTTTGGTTCATGGTTTAACGTGTGAACTGGGCACTTGAACTGCTTCTTGAAAGACTGGAAAAGTGGGTGTGAAATGTAATCTTGTGTTGGGCGAATAGTTCTTACAGGAAGAAGTGTTTTGATGTGTCTTGGCTTGTTTCACGAATACATATGTTTTTTATTTTGTTTAAAGATATTAAAAATTATTACAGAAAAACAATTAAGCGTTAAGAATTTCTTTATTCATTTTTACCTCTTCGTTACTTTTACATTAACCTTAATATTCCTAGGAAATAAAACAAAATTCTTTATGAAATACGAAGTAATCAAAGTTCAAATGAAAAAAGTAAGTTCAAGAGTTTAATATTTTGAGTGAAAGTATTGAGAATTAAAAAAGAAAAAAATCACCAGGTTTTTCCTTCTGAAAATGTCTTCTCTTTTGTTCTTCGTTTTTGTTTATAATTCTGCCTACAATTGAATCATTAATTTCAAGCAAAGTATTAAACAAAAAACTTACTGTTCTTTATTGAAATTTGTATAACTCTTATTGAATTCACTGTGAAATAAAATAGTATTAACTGAATTTACAATTTTGTATTACAGCCTTATATTCAAACCTTGTAAGTTTCTTAAATCTTTCTTTAATTTCTTTTAAACTTTCATCAGATCTATCTTCTGAAACTTTTGTGTGCTCTGGCTCATCTAAACGGCTCTTTCTGTACACTTTGATGTAGCTAGAACAAGTTTTGGATTATGAATGGTATTTTTTAAAGCAATTACTTACGATTCAAGCCTGTCGATGCAATCTAACTCAGTACATCCCTTTAAAATAAGTATTTTTTTACAAATTGATAGGCATTTTTGAAACTTCTCCACGAAATCCTCATCAAAAGACATTTCAAAGGAAAACTAACATCTGTCAACAATTTCAAAATTATTTGATTTTATGATGGGAATGCATAATTTTTAAAATACAATTGGTTGTTTTTGTTTTTAAATGAGGCAAAATGTATTTTTAATTCTTTGGTACAAAATCTAAACTATTTCCATTTTCGACATACTCTTACTCGTTCATTTCTTCAGTATAATGATTGGACATTCCCGGAGGATCCATTAAAAAAAAATCATACTTTTGGAAAGAGAAAATGTTCGTCTCTCCAGATGTTTCTCACACATTTACCTTAGTTTGTGTACTAATTTATTTATTTTTTTAGAATGGACATCTTTCAAGAATTAGTAATTATTAAAGACTGGATTCCTATACAATTGCATTTCAGAATTTTGCATAAAATTGCAGTTTTACTTTTACTGCACAAAATTATATTTTTATTGGTTTTTTTTTTCAATGGTTTTATGCATGAAAACAACATGTAAATAATTTTAATGGTAACAGATTGAAGAAGTGATTCTTCAACTTGGGAGAAGAGCAGAACAACTTGAAAAACAATAGTAAAGTTAAAATCCATAGTATAAGTTCAAAATTTACTCGCTCAAAACAGGGCTACCTGAAATTGAAGAATGATGGTAATTTTTTATTTATTCATCGCAAAACCCCTATAACAATTATGTAGAGCATGACTTTCTTCCTTTGAAACGCATTCTGGATGATAGGAGGGATAAACTGACAGAAAAAATGTTTTAATTAAGTTATTTATTGCTTATTATTTGTTTTATACTTTTAAACCTACTTTATATTTTTGCTATATATTTTTGAATTTGAGTGTGTACTTGTATTGTATTTTAAAAATGGGTGTAATCAATAGAATAAACAATTACACCGTAAATAATATTTAACACAAGAAATAATTTTAATATAAATATAATTTTCACTGTGTGACATGAGAACTATTATCTTTATTACACATTTTTGCACGTTTTGAAATTTTTATTGCATGTTTTTGACTGCTTTGAGGGTTTTACTTCTTAAAATTGGGCCTTTAGAAATTATCAACATGCTTATTAAAATGTATTGGCTTTAGTATTAAGTTAAATTATCCAATGATTTATAGTGTGAAATATATAATCTATATATGTGATCGACAAATACATTTGAAAAAATAAAAAAAAGACACAAGTGAAGACAGACAGAATAAGTGATGACTCACAGAAGTGATGACCCATCATCAAAAATAATCATGTAAAACTATAATTTTAGTGAAAATTGTAAGCAAATGGAGAATTTAATAAGAATTTCTCAATTCAAATATAATTTTAATTTTTAATTATTCATTTTTAATAATATTTTAATAACATTAGGTCAGTATATTCTTACTTTCTAGTAAAAGCAACAAAATGTTGATTTTTGTAATAATTGCAGATAAAACCTCAATTTTGGTATCATGACTTGTTTCCATTTTTACATAAAACAAGGATAAATAAATTCTAGCTTTTAATAAACATTGCCATACAAATTATTAATTTTAATAATTACATTGAAGAATTGGTGATTTTTATCCAAATCATATCCCCATGGTACGAGGTTCAAATTTGATTCTACATATTTTTGCATACTTAAAGAAAATTGCGAATTTGAAATGTTTTTGATTGGGTACTTAAAAAATAAATTTTGCAAAACGTGTGCCTAAAAATTTGTTTTCAATTCAGTTAACTTCTCCAAACAAAGACAAAAACAAACGGACACAACAATAGAGTTACCTTGAAATAATCAGCATCTTATAATCTCTATTTCCAAAACTTCTAGGTGAGCTGTTTTTGCCATACCTGAAAAAGTAAATTTTCTGAAGTAATCAGATTGTGGAAACACTAGAATAGTATCTGTACTATTTCATACTGTCAACTGAGTATGCCTAAAAAATCCCAAAAATGGGAACTTAACTTCTTAAATAAGTAGGTTGGATTTTTCATTTTATTGCAAGTATATTCAAATAAAATCCTCAATGATGCAAGAATTGTATTCAAGAGAAATTTAAAAAAAAATCTTGGCAAAAATACCAGATTAAATGAACTGGGGGGAAAGTAATGAAACCTCATGGAAAAAGTTGTATAAGGAATCAACGATCCAGTTATTTTCAGTTCCTAAAAGTATGCTCTTACATCCTCTAACGATGTTGAAAAGTCTTTTAGGGAAAAGTCTTTACTGAGTACAAATATTTGTTGAGTGATAAACACTGTAGTTTTACAGAAACTAATTTTGAAATGTTAATAGGTGTAAAAAAATATGTTTAAAAAATTAAAATTAAATAATACTTTTAGTACAAATTATATGACATATTAGAGGTTTTTTAGTGCATATAATATTGTATGTTTGACATTTTATTTGCATATTATATGGCATTTTTATTGAATATAAATCCGAGCTCTACTCATAACAATGAGCTGACAATCAATACATGAAATTTACATTACATTACTCATTTAATTTTCATTATTTTAGTGTTAAATGTCACAGAAATGTTTGATTTAAATTAGAATTGTCAAGTGGAACTGATTTTTAATAAAAATTGCTATGTTAAATCCTTGATTTTCATTAAAAAAAATTAAGTATAACATTAATTTCAATAAGAATGTTTGAAAATGAATTGTTTTGTAAAAATTTGAAACTAATATAATAAGTCAAGTCAAGTATGATTTCGGTAAGAATCATCAATAAAACTTTCGATTTCAGTGAGAATTGTCAAGCAAAAAATTCATTCAAGCAAACTTGATTTTAAAAATTTATTATAGTTGAACTATTATCGAATGAATCAACTGTATCGATTATTTGAAAAATAGTATTGTCAAAAATCCCAAAACTTTACGATTATTAGCAATGCTCATAAAGTCTGATTCTCGTTGTTGTCGATTTAGGTTTAATTATTAATAATTTACTTAAAATCAAAACATTTAAGCGTGTAAACATTTTTGTGTGTTATTGTTAATTTTGTAAGAATCGATTGTAGACGAATGGTCCTTGACGAATGTCGGTTATGTGTTGTTCGTTGGGGAGTTGCGGTTTGCTTTAACAGTTCAAATTCTTCTCTGCTCTTAAAATTTGTTTTATGCTTTTGATTAACCCTAGCCAACTGACTGCTGCTTACTTTTTTTCAAGCCGTGAAATGGCTTTTTGTTCAACTATCTTTCTGAACAAAATAGTTTTTAGACCGGGACAAATCGGCTATTGATATCCTTATCTGGTTTGTTTTTATTGCAGTTTATTTCCTAGCCTTGCAATCGTATGACAGAAGTCTCTTTAAAGTATATAAATAGCTTAACATGAAGTTGGAAAATTGGGAAAACATTGTTTTTTCATGGGTAAGTTTGTGTTAGCAAAGTTGTACTCACATCTAGCATATGCATCCTTATTTTTTAATTTCTTTATGTATTTATTATTATTTTTTTATGGAGGCTACCGACAATGGAGTCATATCAGTCTCCAATTCCCTGTGAGGGCTGATGAGGTACACGATATTTTGCCATCGGCTCTTACTCTACTTACTCATTCATACAAAAATCAAAACGGTACCGAACAACTTACTTTCATGCTCAAGGACTGTTACTTTATCGGGTGCCACGTTTACTTGCTAAAGGAAAAAGGCTTGACACTCCTCGATAAGTGTGACACACTGAGCAACCTGTCTCTAAAAGCAGAACGCCTGCGTGGGGTTTGTCCCAAAAGCAGGCATCTATGTGTGGATCAGGAAGGGCCTATCCTCAAACGGGTGAGCACGAATCCTTCCTTTCGTTTCAGACTCTTGGGGGGGGGAATTCAGTTGTGCTCTTGATGCCAGCTTCTTGAAGTGGATGAACCTCTGCAATACACATCGCAGCCACACTCTTGTTGGTTCTAGACGAGGCAAAAACCAGCAAATCCTGATCAGAGTTCTAGGAATACAGCTCGGTAGAGGTGTACCATTATACACGACTCTGCTAGTACTGCAAGATCGTCTGAACGAGGGAACCCAGGCTATGACCAGTTTCCTACCTTGAGTACTGTCCCTCGTGTCAAAACGGCCCTCTTTAAGACTTTTCCAAAGTGAATACCCAGTTTTAAGTTCAAAGTCTCTTGTATTCCTGCTCGTTTTTCATAATCGTGCCTGGTCAAGAGGTAGCCCAACATGAGAAAAAAGAAAGAAACTGCATTGCTAAGATAAGCCGCTTTATCCAGGATTTGGGAGACAGCACACCCAGCTCGCAACAGCTAAACGTGCCTGATACATCTTGAAGGCCCTGATAGTAGAGCCGATAAGCCTACAAGATGCATTATCCAGGTCGAGGAATAGGCCATAGAACAGTCTTGAGCAGAGCAATGCTTTGAGTACTTTCAGTAGGGTCTCATTGCCTGCCACCATGCATAGTGACAAATACATGTATCGATCCTGCAATGAACTTCGACAGCTTTGATGTGCATCCTTATTAATTTAATCTAAATATTTTTATGCCCACAGATGAATTCATGGAGTTTTACAAAAGAGCCGGTAAACGATATAGGGTCTGTTCTCAATAATGAATTTTACTTACAACTTTTTAAAGAGCTGTAAGTATTGAATGAAAGCCAATAAATATAATGTGTAATTATATAATAATAATTCTTGACACAGGGGCAAAGAAGAGTATTACCAAGATGACAAACCTTTGTCTAAATCTGTTGAAGAATATCTTAAAGGTAAACAATTTTGCTCAATGTTCATTTCAAATTGTTAATTCTTTTTTGTATTCTTTTAGATGAATATCAAGGGTTTGAGGTGACATCAAATCCCTGGAGTGATGTGGAGACCATCCTTGTGACATCGCTTGTGCTGTTTTCTGCTTCGCTCAAATCTCACAATTTGCGCACACCTTTATTCCAACTACCCAGAACAACCCAATTGTCAATCCAGGCCTTTTTTCAAAAGTTGATTTCAAAACCAACACAAGAAGTCAATAATGAAATCCTGCTGGAAGTTATAAATGATATATCAGGTATTTGTTTATGTTATGTTTAGACTTTTTTTTTAAGAGTTATTTTGGTATTTGATACTTGACCGATGGTTTACCTTCTGATTCTTCAAAAGGTTTTGATGAAAGACTGAATTTCAGCAACATTTAGGAAGTGGGCTGACCAAAAGTCTGTAAAACATGTTTAAATTGTTATTTAATTTGAAAATCTTAAAACACGAGTAAAGCTTTTGCTTAAATTCATTTTTTGAATAATGGTTCTACTCACAGATTTGTTGTTTACAACGATCCAGATTTCAAGCGTAAAACGCTCATCATCAGGTTGAACAAGCTAATACACGTCTCTCGACATGAATTTGTAAGAATGAACCTGCCAATCCACCCCAATGTGACGTTCCAATGAGAAACAGGTTTTAATGCCACTCAATTTTGAAAGTGTGAAAAACGTGAATTACAATGCAATTAAATATTATCCTAAAAATACTGTAAGAAAATAATTTTAAATTAGTAATTAATTTGTATGTTAAATATTATTTAGGGTACATGTGTAAAATAGGCGGTAAATCAAATTTATTATATTATTTGTGCAATTATCTCCATGTTTAATTTTACATTTTTTTATTTCAAATTTCTCAAACCAATCTAGTCCCCTCTTGTTGTTGAAACTGTGTAACACTGTTGGGTTTGAATTGAAATTGAAATTGTCTTTTGTCATTTACAGGGACCTTGGATTCAGAAAATTTGATTTAACAAGTGTTCTTTTACTCTCGTTTTGATTTCTCTGCTGTTTTGTCCAACATTTAATATTGCAATCATGACAATTAAATTGGTGAACCCCACTTTTTGACAATCTGTCGGCCTTGTTACCTTAGGTTTTGAGAGGATGTTTCTAAGTTCTAAAGGCTACTCTAAAACCTTCTTGTTTAACAATTTTATGTACTTTTTATGATATTTCCCCAATGTAAAGCAAGCAACGAAAACCTAAAGATTCATTTTTGGTGGGGTGACTGAGTCCGATTGTTGCTTTTTTTAAAGTTAATTTTTTTATTCCTTTTACTAGCAACCTATCCATAAATATTTCTTGATATACATTGTTTTTAGATATTTTAATTGTTTGTAATTCTTTTGGTAATTAACAGGTGTTAAAGGGAGTTTAAATTTTTTTAAACGTCATTAGGTCAACGAGGCTGGTCTTTGATTCTTCTCTCTCTATTATGAAAACATCGGAATCACTGTTGACTTACACATTCAGTTACTGCATTATCACTGTAAATTCCACTCTGTACGCGAAATCGAACTCATATACCAAGCAATGTCTCAAATAAATTTTATTTGCTAATATGTATGCATCACAGTTTATTCTAGACTGACTTTTGGAATGACTTTGGTTAAAATATAAAATATTATTATTAAACAAAATCAAATTTTTTTAGTCCTTAATGATCTGGGTTATAAAATTAATAAACAAAAATTAAAAGCAAAACGAGGTTTTAATATGATTCATTTATGATGTGTATTGAATGAAATGTTCTTAGTAGATAGAAGAAATTGTTTTTTAAAATTAACTCTTTGCCTGAAATATTTACCTAATAGTTAATTCTATATTTATGATGATAATAGTGACATTATTTTCCAGATGATGAAAACGATGTCCTAGACAGTTTGCCGAAAACTCCGATTTTACGGTTCAAATCTAATTTACAAGAGGTATTTTATTATAATTTTTATTTAAATACAAAATGAAGATGTTTTGGCTTTACTATATTATTATTTTCAGACTCCTGAGTGGAAGAGACATGAGAGTGCTAAGGTGAAGTCTTTAGAGTGTAAATTAGACCTTGTTGAATGGGAAAAACAGCATTTACAAGAAGAAGTGGAGCTCTTAAAAAAAGATTTGGATGATCTAAGTAAATTTGATGTTTTTTAAGTTTTATTTTATTTTTGTTTTTTATTTGTGCATTGGCGAATACATTTAATCCTTATTGTTTATTTTACTTGTTTGCTTATGTTTACTTTTGATAAAATTTTAAAAAATGTATTCAGTCTCTTTTAAGTTCTGATTAAATTGATTGTATAGTTTTGTGCATCCGAGGTTTAATTTCAATTTTGAATTTAACAGTACCTCTTAGCTCTCGATGATGGATGTTCCATTAGATATGCGCCTAATGCCATCAGGGTTCCCTATGAAATTCTGTGAGACACAGTTAAGTGTTTTCGTGAAACTGGGCCTTACCATACCTAGACATCTCCATTCTGGATGCCCTAGAGAACCAGACCACGGGTTCAAGCTATTCATCAGCTCAGAAAAATCAGAAAATATGAAGTGTCCAAACTGCTTGACAAATTGGATTTTCAATAGAGAATCGCACAGAGTTGATTGCTGTTCGTGGAGGGCCTTTGAAGGCTGCCTTGTGGGTGCAATTTTGAAACCACGTGTTGTCCTAGAGAAAATCAGCGAAAATCCTGTTCTAATGTGCGATAATGCCAACATAGTCCAAACATTTCTACAATAACATAATATTAGGATCTCAGTTTGGCCAGCATGTTCTCCAGACTTAAATCTCATTGAACATGGATTTAATATCCTCGGGAAGCGAGTAAGAGCTCGCACAGCTCTTCCTGATACACTCCAGGATCTTGAAAGGGCTCTTCAAGAGAGATTTCACAATAAAGTATTTCGAGTTTGCTGAAAGGGTTTTGGTAATTTTCTTTTGGGGTTCTAATTTGTAAGAACGAAAGGTAAACATAGAATAACATTTTTATTACTGTGAAACCTTTTGAACATCTGCGACTCAATAAATGTTTCATCCTCTAAATCCAAATGTCTATCCTCATGGCATTGTTTTAACAAAATAGAATGTTTCCTGCCTAATTTTATGTCTGCCTGAATTAATTTTCCTTTTACTTTTTTGTATGATTGGTTGGTCTTTGGGTAGAAATTATTTTAATTTTTGAGTGACTCACTTTTTGCACTTTTGAAGATAAGATAGTTCATTCATGCATGCTTGTATGAGTATTTTTTGATTTTATTATTTTTAAAATTTCAGGAAAGAAATATAATGTCAAAGAGCAAGATGTTCTGAAGCTGGAGAGTGAATTGTATATTTGCAAGTCTAAAGATGAAGACACTATTGAGGCGAATGCTGTCATGGTAAAGGCGAAACACGAGGAAAATAGGCTAAAGGCTCAAATTTGTGATATGGAAAAAGCTATGGAGACGATAAGGACAGATCTCTACAGAGCATTAACGAGCAACTCTACTCTTGAATCACAAGTAGGTAAAACTGAGTGATATTAGATTAAATTTTTATCCTTTCATTTTTTAACAGTTGGAAAGGAGTGAAGAGCGGGAAGAGGAGTCTGAAAAGAACTGTATGCAACTAGAATCCAAGGTGGAAATGTTGACTTTGTATGTACAGGAATTAGAGTCGATGGTTTCAAATCTTAAACAGACTACTAAAGTAATTATCTATTAGTTATTTTTTGAATGTGCAGTCAATTGTAACATGGACTTTTTGTATTTTGTGTAGGAGCAGAGTGAACTTCTACTTGAAAAAACAAGTTACAAAACGCTGAATGAAAGTCTGGCTAGCATCGAGGCAGATGGTGAAACTTTAGCAACTGTTGTTGAAATGAAGTATCTAGAGGCAGAAAGCCAACTTTGCAGCTTGAGAGCCGAACTGCGGGAATGTGTAGAAGAAAAAGAAGAATTAGTTAAAACAGTGGAATATCTTCAAAAGGTGATTAACAGCAGAGAAGATGAGGATAAAGAAGAGTTCATACGCCTCAAGACTAAGCTAATGGAAACATCCAATAGTTTAGAAGAACAACGAGAAGAAAATGAATTTTTAATGTTATCTTTGGAGGAGAAAAAATCTGAAAATGAACAACTAATAAAGGTATGTTGTATGTATTTGTTCATTAAAAACGTTAAAACTTCTTTTTTTTTAGGATTTAGAAATTTTAAAAGGAAGTGAGGTAATTTCAAATGAAGTGGACTTCAAGAGCTCTTCAGATTCTGGTATTAAAACAGACATGCTTCACGATGAACCCAATAAGGAAAAATTACAAAGTGAGATTACACATTTGAACTCGCTCCTCGATGGCAAGCAATGCGTTCTTGAAGAGACAAAAGGATACATCAACAAACTCAAAAGGGAAATATCAAGGAGTGATCGTGAGTTGTCCTCCCTCATGGAGGATCTCAGTCTGACGAAATCCAAGCTTTCAAAGGCCCAGCAAAAAGTGTGCGAACTCAATAAAGAGCTTATGGAAAAGAACATGGAAATCAGCCAGCTCAACGGGGAAATTTCAAAATGTAAAGCTGAAAATTCTATGATAAAAGGTAGAATTCGTTCTGTCGAACTGGAAGCTGAGAATTTGAAAGGAGATTTACGAGTAAAAGATACTACTGTTTTGGCACTGGAGCAGAATTTAAATATGCACGATCATGAGAAAGCAATTCTCGAAAGAAGAATTTGCTTTTTGAAAGCCGATGCTGATCAAGTTAATCAGTAAGTTTTATTTTATTGTCAATCAAACTTTTTGTTGTTTTAATTATTAATCTAGATTTTTTTGTATATTTTATTAATGGATGGCAGTGTTTAATGGTAGTTATTTCCTCTTAACAATTTGAAATCAGTCTTATTAACCTGCAGTTTTTTATTTAGTCTTATTTCAACAAATATTCAATTAATTTCAGAATGAAGTCTGAAATTCAAATGTTAAAAAAGGAAATTGCAAAATTAGGCGAAGACTTATCATCCCAAAGGACTGAAAAAGAACAGCTAAAAGTGCAAATTGAAGAGAAGGAGAAGTCGTGTAAATTCATGGAGAATAAGCTGGCCAGTCTTGAAACAGAAATGGTAATAATGGTCTTTATTGAAAAAAAAATCTTAATTTTACATAAAATAATTTACATTTTTCAGCAAAATAAGTACGAAGAGGCATTGCAGAATGCGACTAGTGAATATGCAATAAAGATAAATCATCTGAAGAAGAAGATGATCAAAGACAAGACCCACATAGAAGAATTGAGCTCAGAGCTCTGGGAGACATGTGATAGGTACCTTTTGGCCTCACAGGAGAGTAAGGCACTACGAGGGCAGCTACAAAGGACAAGGGCTGCTCTCGAGCTTTTAACAAACACTCAACCCATGACGAGTCAGAGGAGCAATCCCTGCCTTTGGCTAGAAGAAGAAAACTTTGATGAGAGGCTTACTTATACGAGAGAAATATGGGGAAGAAGGTATTTATTTTTCGGCTATGTCTTAGATTCTGAACTTAATTCCTTTAATTTTTATTTATAGATATTCGTTTACATCAAATAAAGGTGTAATTGACAACGACCAAGAACATATTGATGATGATGAAGTTTTCAATGATGCATGTCTTGAAGACTTGAAAGCTGGTGTTTGTCGCCTTCCCACCAATCCACTTCCACTCGCTTCAAGAGCTTCATATCCAGTACCAAGGGTATTACAGTTATCCATCCAAAAATTATATAATCCATTCTATTTTGGCGGAAAACCATTATGATTAAAATCTAGTTTAAACGTAGCTGATTAAATTAATTAATGATTTTTACATGTAAACACCTAATTCTTTTTTTTAAATAGAAATGTTTATGCTATTCAAACAGTGATAAATGAAAAACCGCATGAACTTTTACCTGGTACATGAAATTTTTGACTTAAAAAGGCCAATTTCATAGATGGGATTCGAACCCATAGTCTTCAGAACTGTCCCCTGACGCCATAACCACCTTAGTGACCTTTCTAACACATAGCTTATTTTGTGCAATTCTCTTTTTATTTTTGCGTAGAAAAGTGTGGTGATTATTAAATAATGATTATATGGAGATCGTGAGATGCAGTCTGGTGTGATGTAGGTTTAGAAAAACATTTTCTTTATCGTTCCAACGTTTCTATTTTTATTGAGATCATCTTCAGTGCCTGGGATTTGTAAACATTGTTTAAATTATACACATCACACCAGACCACAATTCACGATCTCCAAATAATCTCTTTTTATTGTCTGTGTTACACATTGTGGCATCATATCAACTGACCAATCTTTTGAAAAAAAACAAAAAAAAACTGTTTAATGTGCTATCAGACACATCTACACAACACAGTTCATTATTATGTTTCATTCAAGGACTACAAGTGATTATCCTATAGCTTGGCCATTTTGGTAAAACACAAGGCAGACCAAAATTATAAAGACGACCAAGTACAAATATAGTTTATGTTTATATGTTAATTGTTAACAAATTCATTGCAATATGTCACACAGTTTAAAATGCCCTTTTGTACTAATGCGGTTGTGTATGTACTATTAGTCATATTGGTGGGTTTAGTTAAGGGCTGATATTTCATTTTATTTTGTTGTATTTATTGTACAAATGTAACAGTTAACTCTTTTCAGACTTCAGAGATGAGCATGGGGAAAACATCAGATCGACAGAGCCTGTTGATAAATGAGAAACCAAAGAAAATCAAAACTGGAGTAATTAGCATTATATTTTTGTAGTGAGTTAATTAATTATATATTTATTTTTAATTTTGGAAATTATTATTCGTAGATAAGCTATAGCCGACCAGGTCCCCCGACACCAGTCAGAAACAGGCTCTCTCTTCAGGTATTATTTTCTTTCAGTCATAACTTATTGAATTATAAATAAATGTTTTCTTTACACACAGGGATTAGACAGAATGGAAAAAGTTGTCAATGAGAACGAGAAAATTATGCGGGAGTCACAAGGGCCTTTGAGCTTCAGCAGATTTTTTAACAAGAGAAACCAGAATAAGATCAAACCTGTACAAGTTAGTATATTTTGTAAATTTATAGTATAGGCCTTGTGATAAAAATGATTATTTTTTATAGGTATCTCCAAAAGTGAGGAGGAAAAGTTTTTTTCAAAGGAAATTCGGCTCCAACAGGGAAAACATACCTCCAAATTAACATATGGTTCGAAGATGAACAACTAGTCATTGTTTTCTTTACCTTTTTTTCCTTGAAAAACCTTACTTATTAATTAATAATATGAGAATATTTTGGTTTCTATTTATTACCTTTTATAAATAAATGTTTTAATGTTTTGAAGCTTTTTTTATATATCAGCATTACGTCTAGCGCTACTTTTACATTTTATTTTTCTCTTTATATATCACGATAATTAGTCAGTTAAACTTTATTTTCTGGGCATTTTAAAAGTTATAGCTGTGTATGCTTTCCCAGATCTGGAATTGATGATGTGTACATATGCCACCATACTGCCATAGTCTTCTTAATTTATGTTAGCCTCCTTCTGCATTCCTGGTTTTATTGGGGGTATAATAAATATGCTTTTGAAAATCTTTAAAGTAGTTCGGCTGTAAATTCTTGATTTATTGGTTCAAGATTTTTGTGTTTAGCACTATATGAAGCAATGATGCTTATTAAAGTTGGCTTAACAAAAAGGTACTTTTTCTGAACCATGAATTACACCTTGGTATTTAAAGTTTTTTTTTGGGGGGGGGGGAGCATCAGTGGCCTCAATGGTTTAATCATTGACATGGCGTTCATCACTGCAAGGAAAAAGTCCGGGGTTCAAATCCAGTGGCCCTGCTACTACTTACAAATGGACTTTTTTCCAAAATACTGGCACTCTGAGAGTTCGTTGAAATACTCTCATAAAAAATGTACGTTTTGAAGCTTTATTCAACGGCTTTTTAGTTCCAGGTTTAGAATATTAATATGTTTTACTGCTAGATTGTATTAAATCAGGTAGCATGCTGTGTTTATAAATATAATAAATAACGACATTTATGCTTCAATAAAGTTGCTAGTACATAACAAGTTTTAGCTGAAAAAAAATTGTGTGAAATAATGATAAACTGCAAGCTCATGCTGTTTATAAAGTTGATGATGGAACCCATATAAATTATAGCCATACCTTGGAAAGTGCACTTTTTCCTATAAGACTAAGTACTTTCCTCAGTGCTTCTTTTTTTTTTCTTTTGACTGCCCTACAGACATTCATTGTCATTTTGTTGATTACTATGCCAACCAATACCGGCCACCCCCAAAGGGCACTACCCAATACACCTGCTTCTCATTCAGGTATACACTTAATTTCGGCAGCATTAGGAGGATGTGGATAAAAACCATACATGGCGGTAACAGAGGCCCTTGGAAAAGTCCACCCCCTCCCCGGAGACCATTTGCCCTTTGCATTGGAGCACCCCCCGGAGAAAACCCGAGCCAGCCAACCCAGGCTCCTCAGTCGGTGCCTCTTCGTGCACCTCTTTTGGAGTGTAAATTGCTGAAGTGGCTGTATCGTAACCAGGCTAAAGTTTCACATTCACAAATGATTTCTGCTGTCTCTGGTCACTCCTTACAGTCGGCATATTTCTGTCCCTGCTTTGCCTATCTCCTGGTGCTAGTTAAGAGGGCAGTGGCTGGTATAGAGGCCTATAATTTTCCTTCGTTTCTGAGAATTTATAAATCTCTTAGCTTGTTTCATATGTGGTGTTTGGTTTTTCTTTCTCAAGCCTTTAGGCAATTTAGACGCTCCCAGACAAGTATTGAAGGCATATGCATTTAGCGCCTTTGTAGCTGCCCAAATGAGATTCTGTAAAACTAAGCATCCTTCATATTTTTCTTTATTAACTGTAGTTTTATTGCATGGGTCTCAGCTTGGAAAATTTGACTGAATAAATGGATGATTGAAATATAAATATTAATAAAACAAATAAAAACAGATTTTTATTTACAATAAAATACATAACATATTTTTAAATAAAATGAAAAAGTAGTTATATTATGAAATGGATGCTACAGTGTCCCTAAATAAGGAGCTTCATCCGTCCAATAGCCGGGTGGAGATTTCAATTTAACTAGAGTCTCTTGCAATGCATTGCTACTTTTACCATTCTCCAAAGTTCTTTTATAATAGTGACATTTCCTTGCGCCAACTCCAGGAATGTTGGTGAAATAAGGCGGTGCGAGTATGTCGAGGAAAACTGCTGGCCCTTGCTCAGCAGAAAGTTCATGAATGTTGCCTTTGTTTGGTGTCAGAAGTACAGTTTCGTCTACCGGGGTGACAAACTTATCGTCCTCTTTTTGTACAAGGACCTCCTCCTTGTCGTGCGATGCAAGCGGATCACCAATGAACGAATAATTCTTAATGTGTATTTTGCCCAATATGACTTTGCACAAGCCGTGCATCATCGGGTGATCGTGCAAAGGGAGCCTCGATCCGTCCTTCAGTACGAACATTGACATGCTGAAATATTCGTTCTCTTCTATACCTATGAAGGTGACAGGTGCTGAATTCTCACTGCTCTTTTCAAGAAGCTTTGTGTCAAATTTAACATCATTACTGGTGAGTTTGTTCATTTCAGAAACCAGCTTTTTCAAGTTCTCTTCGAAACCAATTTGACTCTTGAACGTCTTCATTGCCTGGTTTCTGACAACTCTCATCATTTTCTCGTCCAAAGGATTCAACCGCATGTAGAAGAACAGAAGAAGGAAAAGGACGAACTGAAAACTGAGTTACTGAATACTGAAACTGAACGAACGTTCAGTACTTCACCACAGTGTCGCGCTTCTGCTCCACCTCGATACTGAACGACCATCCACCATCTACCCTTAATTTAATTTATCGGATAAAATAAAAATAATAATTTAAACAAAAAAAATTTTAATAACAATGACCTCCTTATAACCTTAAGGAATTGTGAGTTTGTATTTGTATTGTTTGAATGGCAGGTTTTACCTTTCGTTAATGATTACTTTTCACACAAAATGAAGTCATCAAACTGGATAATTACTAATATTATTACTTTTACAAACTTAAACAATTGACTAAAGAAATAAGGAGTAAATTTATCATTATAAATAATTTCTGTCTAATGTGGACTTAAACAATACAAAAACATCAGATTAACAACCAAACACTAAACTAAGAATAAACTTTGAATCCATGCAATTTCTATTTGATTTGAATAAGTGTGATTCGATCTTGAATTAAAATACAAAAGAAAAATTGAAATGTTGTAATGTGCATAGGTCATACCAAGATCACAAATGTACACCTTCTAATGGTGGTGAGATCACGCCTGTTGTGCAGAAAACAATGTAATAACCGACTGCAAAGAATAAGTTCGTTTTGCCTATTGTACTGGACTTTAGAAAACAGCTGAAATGTGTATCAATAGATGCGACACGAATACTTCAGACCTTCTCAAAGAACTAAGTCTGCAAAGAAAGAAATATGACATCTCGAATGATCTATGCGCAGCACTGAGGAATGGCAACAGGCAAAGATTTCTGATCCAATATCCAAGGCCATGAATGTTTAAATTGTATGTAGATCTTTGTACCTTCGTGTATGTGATATGTATTTATCTGCATGAATAGAGGGGCTTATCCCCAATTATCATGAGGAATGTTGAGTACTTTGGGGTAGCGTGAATGATATTTATTAGTGTGAATGAAGAGGTATATATCCAATTAACTCGAGGAATATTGAGTACTGTGGGGTAGTGTGAATGCTAAGTAGACTATCATGTTTTTATCTTGTTTCTGTGTATTTGTTTGTGTTTGTTATTTGTGTTATTTTATCCACAATCAAGGCCCTAAGGTATGGATAAAGAAAAGAGAGAGTTGGTTACCGTATTATCATACACCATAATTTGGGTTGAGAAAGACAATAAAAGAAAAATAAGGAAGAGAGGGCTGGAAATGAACAATGTAGTTTGCTGTTCCTAAAACTTCAAAAATAAATAAAGGTGGAAGTTAAATTTGGAATTTATAAAAAAATAAGGATTTAATATTGCGGACAATTCAGGTATTTTTTTGGTGTTCTATTAACTGTTCATTTATATATAAATGGCATAATTTTTTAAAAATTAACTTATAAAATTTAATTGAAAAGCATACGCTTTTGGTGATGGTGGTTTCTTCTTTGGTGGTTTCACTCATATCTGAAAAATGGGTTCCAAATAGCAAAGTAAATTTTTCAGAATCTTTAAAATTTTCAGTAATTCAGTAGTTGCACAGGGATCCCGCTTAGGGCCTCTTTTGTTTCTTGTTTTCATAAATGACATTTACACAATTGTTTTTCTTCTCTTTGCTGATGTTCTAAAGATTTTTAACCTGCTTCGTTTTATTCTGACTACTTAATTATTCCAAATAATTTAAATTATCTTCATTCTTGGTGTTTAAATAATATAGTATATATAATAAGAAATTAACGAGGAATACATCCTTCAAACCAGCGATTGGCAGGGATTTTCGATTTCTGGATGACAATGCCAGACCTCATAGAGGCTGAGTTGTTCATCAATGCTTAGAAAACCTGGGAATTTGCGATCTTCCCCTTTCCTCATTGTCTCCAGATCTCAATCACATTGAGCCTATGTGGGATGCCTTGCAGAGAAGGCTTTTCGATCACCATCCGCAGCCAGTTGATCTGCATCAACTGAGTGCGGCATTACATCTTTGGAGTGAAATTCCTTATGAAATCATGGACAACCTTATTAACAGTATGCCTAACAGGTGCCATAAGTTTTAACTAACAATATATCCTTATTCATTATTTAGCAGTTTATATTCTATGTCTAATATTCCTTATTTACCCTAGTCTGATTTAGGTTTAAGCATCTATAAATACATTTTTAAAATTTCTTCTTTTTCTTTATAACCTCTTATTTTTACTTAGTAATTTATTTACTTTTGTATTGTGTTTCTTTGTTTTATATTTTGCCTTATTATATTAGGCTTCCAAGCCTTCTTTGCAATAAAATAAAGAACAAATATTTCTTTGACTAAGTTGATCATTCATCATACAATCTTTAAATATATTTATAAAGCATGTTATATTTATGAATATACAATTAACTTTTTAACTTTTGCATAAGTCATTTGTTTCATTTTCCAACATAATATTCTACTTTTCGAGTATCACAAGCAGAGAGCGGTATCGTTTCTTATCACTTAGTTGGAAGGTTTAATTTTCGAAATAACGTGTTTGTTTATATATTACTTTTGGAAAAATGAATATTTTAAGAAAGTGTTTCAGTATAGAAATACCCCAGGGTTTTAGACAGTTGAATGCCGCATATTGCAAAAGTAAGTATGTCTTGTCACTTTTCCTTTTGTTGAAAACTCACCAAAAAACTTCCTTTTCCAAGGTGTTGGCAAACCGAAAGAACTACTTTTTTTTGACAAAAGCGTGCAGAAAATATTGAAAGATGTCACAGATAAAGATTACGCTATTGTGTTCAGACGGAAAAAAGAGGGTAAAAGGTTAAAGGCACCACAGTTCAAGTTCATGACTGACGAAGAGTACAAAGAGGTATTTTTATATTCAAACTTCCATAAACAATAGATATAATTGAGTTGGAATGAGTATATCATAAGTAACTGGTTGGAAAGGGTAGTTCTGTTCACAAACTGTTGCAGACAAGCTACTAACTGTTTGTGAGTTGAACATCCTTTCCAACTGGTGATTTTTTTATTTTTTTAAATTTTTTAATAAGGGGTCAACTATGACGTAACCTGAACCCTTGGGGTGCTGGTGTTTTTGAAAAAAGCCCATTTATAAGTATGTTCGAATTTGAATGCAGGGCCGCTGGATGCGAACCCGGGACCTTTACTTTACTTTACAGTGATGAGCAGCATGACCGTTTGTGGCCACTGACCCCCCCCCAGCTAGTGATCCTTAAATGTTTTTTTTTTGGTTTTACCATTAACTAAAATTTAAAACTAATACTAAAACTGAGGGATTTCTGCTGGCTCTTCAAACTCCGAGGTGAACTTCTGTTCCTTAGCTCTAAACCCTTGATAGGCTGCCGGAAGGATACAGAAATGTGCTCTCTGTGCAATACAAGGGGAAAGGAAACCATCGTGCACTTTTTGGCTAAATGTACCATTTTGTCCGAAATGCATGCTTCACATTTGGGTAGTGCTGAGCTCTGGGAAGAAAGCCTAGTCAAACTTTTAAACGAGCCAAGCCTGCAGCTAATCAAATTTGCTCATCACGCATGGTTTTACTGCTGGAAACTGGTACAAGAGTTCAATTTTTGATTTATTTAAATAAAATTTTACTTAATTAATGGTATATGAATTTATCTTGTTCTGTGTTCACCAGATTATTTTATTTTTTGTTTATTTATTTTTTCTCTTTCTTTTTAATTATGTTAAAAAACACAAAATATTATTATATTTTATTGGCTATACCTTTTGTCAATATTTTATCATTAATCTCGACAACAAGCAGACGGATATTCCATTTCTGTAAATACTTGTTTTTTAAAGGGTATGTTTTGTTATTTATAATAATTGTCAAATAAAGCATTATTGTTATTATTATAACTAACATTTTCTTTAAGATCTTGCAAGATAACAGGAACGCTTATAAAGGTGATTTCACATTTTGTAAGTGTTTCGATGTACAAGAAAAATGCACCACCTGCTTAAAAGAACTGGTGCAATTTTCCAATTAAAATGAATTTCTTGGTAAAGACTGAAGGAATTTCACTGCAATTTTGAAATGTAAAAGGTGTTAATAAATGAATTTCGGCAAACCAAAAATCATTCTGTACAAAATCCACTGAAGAAGTGTTCTCATGATTGAAAGTGATTGGAATCTTCTTTTGTTCACATGTTTCAATAAAAATGGTATGCATACCATTAAATGTTTTTTCCTTCCGTGTTTGAGGTCATAGGGATTTCTCTTCTTAGCTCTTGCATTTTATAATAAACATGTTATATAAATAGTGCCCTTAATGTAAATTTCAGAGGGAAAATAATTGTTTAGGAAAGGTTAAAAATAATGGTGTAATCCATTGACCAAATGAAGTTTAACTTTATGTTGTTTATTAGATTAATTTGATGCTTTTTAAAATGAAAAATGTGTTTATTTTTGTATAAATAGCCATGTTTATAGCTGGTCCTAGTTACCCAAATTAATTATTTAAATTTAATAATAATAATTAATAATTTTTATCTAAAATGTAGTTTTGATGAAAAATGGGTTGGAGTAATTTTTCCTCTTAACCTACTTTACATAAAAAATATAAATCAATTTAATTTAATTTAATTTAATTTAATCTTTCTATTTGCTGTTGGTTTTACATTTCAGTTTGTACATGGTTTTAAATGTAATTACAGAGTTATTTGACACTTTACTTACAACTAGGTTTACAATTATTTCAGTATTGTTTCGGTATTGACAGCAAATTTTTGGGTTTAGGTAAAAAAGCCTAACTTAGTGAAAAACCTATAACCTACCGATATTTAATTTAATTATCTTTGTTGTATTAATTAAGTTTAATTAGAACTTGTAGATTGATCGCTCCTGATCTTGTGGTGTGATTATTTGGTTGACACCAGGTACTCCAAAAATGCTCTTTTGTATTTCGTTGGGCTGCAGTATTTTTGTTATTGGCTTCATGGTGTACAAACTCCACTTTACTGTTTATAAAGGTGGCATTAAACTCTATTCCAATCTGAGTTAAGCATTTAAATAGTAGATAATTTGGTGACTTACAAATTCACTCTGTTTTGCTTTACGAGAGTAAACTAGATTTAAAAGTGATTGAGCTGGGGTTTCGGTGGCCGCAACGGTTAAGAGTTGATACGATGATATCATGGTAAGGTAAAGGTCATACTTACAAATGGTTTTTTTTCAAGTGATTGAGCCTATAAATAAAGTAGAGCCTGCCTGCAAAATATCCATGGCATTTTGTGATGAAGCACTCTGGTTGAAAGGCACAGTTTTGGTTTGTGTAATTTTATGATAGTAAGGCTTAAGATTTTATGATGGTGAGCTCAACATTGGGGCTCATTCTAGAATGAGAGGCTAATGAAAGATTTAATTTAATTAGATCTTTGCCAAATCTTCTCGAGATATTATCTCAACTTGATATTTCTTAATCAATTGCCAGAAATTGCATGTATCAAATCAATCATAGTTAATTGTAAACGTGATCACCCTGATCTGTCTTGTGGATTTGTTTTTCAGATCCATTTAATCATTTTCACACCTTCAGTGTCAGGCTTGGCAGACATGCTGCATAACGATCAAACAGATAAAGACAGCAAGAGAAATGATAATCATTCATTGATCATCTTGCAGACCTCACTGTTTCACAACTTATACTTGGCCATATTCAAAATGATTTTCTAAGTTCTTTTGATTCAGAATATTTTTTAATTTTTCAGGAATTACGTTTAGCTGAAAAGAAAAGTGAACGGATGCTTCAGATGCCGCCTGTAATTCCACCAAGGAAGGAAATCGATTATGTGTTTGTGAAGGATGATCATCTCAAAGGTTATTCAGATAGCAAATTTGTATTTACTGATATTTCTTTTGGTAAAACAGACCAAGTATGTCTTATATGTATATTAAAATGTACTTTATTCCATATTGAATAAACATTGACAGAACAGGTGTATTGTGGTGAGAGATCCGGATGGGACATTGCGCAAGGCCAACTGGGAGGAGAGGGATCGTATGAACAAGATGTATTTCCCGAGGGAAGGGAGGTCGGTGAAAAAACCTGAAATGTTTGAGACAAATTATTTAACACGACTCTTGGAACAAGAAGAGTACGAATTTATTCTAGACAAGGCGTGCATTCAATATGAGCCTGATGATCCCGATTTTATCAATATTAGGAATTTAACATTCGATGATATCAATAAAAAAGGAAACTTTTTAAAATTGAGGTTAGTCTTTGTTTTCGTAATAAACGTCCATGTATATTTATATTTTTTGGTTACAGATCGACCAGACATTTTGGACCAATGGTTTTCTACCTAGCTTTAAATAACAATATAAATAACATTTTAGAAACATACATCAACACTGATAGGTATGTGAAAAAATTAAACTTTTTAAAGTATATTAAATAATAATTATTTTTAAATTTCAGGCTTGATCATGGAGTGAAAGTTATCAAATTACATTGCTTACTCCACCCAGAGAATAATTTCAAAGTAATGTTTGTAGAAGGGGAAGAAATGAATTATATAGAAGTTAGTCTGTTTTCATTTTTTAAATTTTATTTACTGTATATAATTATAATGTGCATTTTTTTTTTTCAAGGAATTTGTTAATAAAACGTACCCGGATAGTCAGCTCCAGAATGCGATCAAAAAGTATAAAGCTTTGGTCCACAGACAGAGTAGTTCAAATGCTGCCTAATTTTGGTAGTTTTGTTTATATATTTGTAGTATTTGTATTGTTTTCTTAATATAACTAAAATGTGTTATAAGTGTTTTATTATATATCCAAAAATACAATAAGGTTAACATAAAGAAAAACCACACAATAATTAACAGAACAAATACAAACTGAAGTTGTAATGGGTTATGCAAGATGTAATTTCATTGCCTTCGATCATCCTGAGCTTTTTATATTTCTAACTCACTCTTCACAATAAAATCTCTAGAGATCCCTAGACAAAAATTTTTGTTTGATTTTAAATTTATCAATTTTTCTACCACTAAAATTTTTACAGGATTTTAACGTCAAACAGAGTATGTGACACACATTTGAATGAGGAGGAAAGTAGCTTTTAATGACATATAACCCATTAAATATATTAATTTAATTTAAAATACATTTCTAGAAAAAAATAGAAAAAAAGCAAATTTATTTTCAAAAATTGGCCTAGGTTCTTAAATGGAAATAATAGCCTGATTTTAATGTTTGAATACAGTAATAAAATGCACTTTACAATTTCTTTCAAATGAATTATCAACCATGAAAATCGGTGCACTAGTTTTTGAGAAAAATTGTAAGTATAAAATCGATTAAAAAAATATTATTTTTGGTATATTAATTTCATTGTTGGTTAACATAAAAACAAAAATGTTCTACAAATACGCCGCTGAATATTCTAATTTGGAATGATTTAAAATTCAAAATAATGTTTTTTTTTTATATTTTAACATTCTGTAATGTCAGAGTAGGTCAGAAAATGTTCAAAACTTGGATTTCACCTCACCCTTAGGTATCAACTTTCTTGAAAATCATAGTAAATTAATTTTTTCAGTGATAATTTTGAGGACTTCTGCCTAAGGGATGATTGACATTCTCAGTGCAACAGGCTTTAATGTCATTTTTCTCAAAAGCTCATGGACTGATTTTAATGGTTGATAATTCATTTTACAGAAATTATCGTGTATTATACAACTCCATCAAACATTAAAAACGGACTATTATTTCCATTTAAAAAACGAGGTTAATTAATGACAAATAATTTTGCTTTTTTGTGTATTTTCTTATACAAATATTGTTGTTATGTTTATGCTATGTTCCTCTTCATTTTAAATGGTCTGATTGATGTTAAAATCTTTTTGGCTATGTTTAAATTAAAACTGTTTCAATCAGATATTCCAATAATCACTTCTCAAAAATAAGAAAAATTTTAGGGGTCAAAAAATTGATAAATTTAAATACAAACAAAAATTTATATTTAGAGGACAAATTTATTAAAAGGCGGGTAGACTTAAATTTCTTATGAAACTTAAATTTTTAAACTTCTACATATATTGTTATTATGTACATATTATCAATTCTTTTCTAGGCTATTATCTTTTTATTTCTCTCTCCTCTCTATTACCTAATTTTCAGATCAACAATATTATATACAGTGATGATAAACTAGCAGTTTTTTGCCTTAAAAAAATAAAAAAATAAAATAAAAATATATGTTTCATAGTTAAGGTTAATTTATATTACAATTAATTAAGGTTTTTAGTTGAGATGAAAAAGGTCTATACATTTGTCGTTGAGAATCCAATCCGATTACACGACATTTGAAAAATGGCAAAAAGGAGGGAAAACTCATAAGGTGGGGTTGAGATAGGAAGTTGATGTCCGAGTGGATCGAGGTCACGATAGCTCAAGTGGTAGAGCAGCGGCGTATCTAGCCAAAGATCGTGGGTTCGAATCCCGCTCGTGCCATTAACTTTTTTTCATCTCAACTAAAAACCTTAATGGTAATGTATTAATTGGTCAAGCGGACCACGAAATTAGTGAAGTTAATCTATATAATGTAGTTTTACTAATTTGTACATTATATTGTTTCCACAAATATGTCCTTTATCTATTTATATATTTAAAATGGTAATTTTTTCTTATTCCGAGGTTAATGTAAGGTTAAGGTCTCGACCTCCAGCAGACCGCGATAAGCCATACTGTAGATTCTTTGTAAATTAAAACAAAGTAATCTCCAACGGTAGTTTGTGATCAGCCTCCACACTATGAATTTATGTAAAAAAGGTGATCAGTTTTGAGACCAATTAGACAAAATCAACACTCCGTTCCATTATCGAGCTTTCGAGGAATATATCCCCTTCATTAGGATCATATTTGAAACATTACAATTAATAAGTTTAAAAACAATCTAATACAGGTAATCTTTGTCGTACTTGCGTGAAACTATACATTAATATTTATAAAAGTTTTTAAAAGTATGTTCCATTTACTAGGTTTACTATTAAACTATGGTTCAATAATAACAATTTCAACAACTAACTTGACTATAATCACCAATTACCTCCATACATTTATCCTTTCCGAGTCCAGCCACATACCCATTTAACTATAATTAACCCATACCTAAGCCAGCAATAATATGAAGTTATAACTATTAACAACATAAGGTAATAATTATTACATATATCACAGTCAACAATAGACTAGTTCGAATAATTTAATATTGCGCTATATACAACACTCAAGTTTTTAAAAAATCTTTTTTCTATAATTACAAACATTTTCTCTTTATATGTACAGATCGTTTCTTTGATAAGCCTACATATCTTTAATAGCGACATAATACATAGCTTTTGCACTATCCCTGTCAAAATTGTGACTTATATATTCTACATGATTAAACAAAGCAGTTCCATTCTTAGCTGGGTTTCGTGTCAGATTTGAGCCAAGATATTCTTAATTAATTGATTTGTTTGGCCATAATATGTGGCAATGCTTAAAAGACAATTTAGTTTGTATATCACATTGCTTTTATACAATTCAGGTACTTTGGGCTTTAATGTAAACATTTTTGTATCAGCTATTTTTATACATAAGAGTTATATATATTTTTATACATATTTATGCCTATTTATTTGGCAAAAGAATTAAACTACTGGTGTTTTCAGATGATGTAAAACTGGTAACAGATAAGTATACAGTGCAAAAAATGATAAATCTGTTTGAAGAATACTGTAGAATATGGAACTTGTGAATTTAGACAAATCAAAAATAATTGTTTTTAGAAATAGAGGTAAATCGGCAAAAAAAAAAAAAAAAAAGAAAGAGAAATGGTGGTATAATACTTCTGGATAGAAGTAGTGGGGAGCTACAAAATATCTATGCTTGACAATTTCTTCAAGGCATTATTAAATAAATATTTTGAAGATAAAAAAAGCTAAATCCAAATTTGCAATAGGATCACTTCAGGGCATAATGTTGAACAGCAAGATTTACCATCATATACATTTATATTTTATTTAGAATTAAATGTGTTTGTTTATGCCTTGAAGTTACATATAAACTGCCTGCGTGTGTATGGACTTACCGATTAGACATGCAGGCTATTTTGTGATTTGATTGATCTGACTTTGGCTGTGTTTGTATCAAAAATTTCTGATCAACTTATTCCACACAAATCACCTGTGCCTTTTTTACACAATGGAAATATTATTGTCGTCATAGAGCTATCTGGCACAATACATGTCTCAAAAATTATATTATAGAGATCTAAAAGTTTTTGCCTAAGGAATTTTTTCATTTTTGTAGAGAAAAAAGTTAAAAAAGTAGTGGTCTTTTTGGCCTTAACTCTCCCTGGTATCTTTTATTATTAAAATCTTCTAAAGACTAAACATATTGATTTTTCCACAAGGTAATAAATTACTTACAATTAAAACAAGGTAAACTAAAAATTAAAACGATAAAAAGGGGGCTTCGGTTATGCTAAACCCGCACGCCCTCTAGGAATTGCCGAACTGTAGGCTCTGTGCTCCGATCGAATTGGTAAACCATTAAAAATTTTATGCTGCGTTTTGTTATGCGCTAAAAATTGTAATAAATGTAACTTTGATTTCTAGAAAAGAAAATGGAAAAAAATGATGTGATAATTTTTTTTTAAATTGACAAATATGCTTTTGAGACTATGAGAGTATAAAAATACATTTGTGGCTATATTTGCTAACATTTAAAAAATCTGACGGAAGCTTTTGAAAATATTAGTATAAAATTACATTAGTGGCTATATTTGATAATATTTTAAAATATGGCAAAGAAGTTTTTGAGAATATTACTATAAAATTATATTTGTGGCTGTATTTGACAACATAAGAATACCTGACAATGAAGCTTTTGAGAATATTAGGATACAATTACATTTGCGGCGATACTGCTAATATTTAAAAATCTGACGATGCTTTTGAGAATATTAGTACAAAATTACAATCGTGACTTTATTTGTCAATATTAAAAAAAATCTGACAAAGAAGCTTTTGAAAAATTAATTTTGTATTAATATAAATATAATAAGAAATAATAAATATAATTAATATAAATATATTGAATTAATATAAAAATTACATTTGTGGCTATATTTACCAATATTACAAAAAATCTGACAAAGAAGCTTTTGAGAATATTAGTATTCAATTACATTTGCAGCGATATTGCTAATATTTCAAAATCTGACGATGTTTTTGAGAATATTAGTACAAATTTACAATTGTGGCTTTATTTGCCATTATAAAAAAAATCTGACAAAGAAGCTTTTGAGAATATTAATATAAAATTACATTTATGGCTATATTTGCCAATATTACAAAAAGTCTGACAAAGATATTTTCGAGAATATTAGTATGCAATTATATTTTCCAATATTAAAAAATCTGTTAAAGAAGCTTTTGACAATGTTAATGTACAGTTACATTTGTTGCTATATTTGCCATTATTAAACAAATTGACAAAGAAACTTTGAAATGAAATTTGTGGCCACATTTGCCAAAAATCTGTCAAATAAGCTAATAAAAATCTTACAATTACATTTTGGCATTATTTGCTAATAATAAAAAAATCTGATAAATAAGTTTTCTAAAGTGTTAGGATAAAATTATATTTGTTTTAAATATATGTTGCTTTGGTCTTAAAGTGAAAGATTTTAAGTGTCATTCTTGACAAGAAAAGAAAGGAACAATGAAGTGTTTGACGCAAAATAATTAAAGTAATCATTATTTGAGACAATAATTTAAAAAAGCATATCTTGTAACACAGCACGGCACAAAAATATCTAACACGATCTTTCATTATTTTTAATAAATCATCAATTAATTAATTTGCTCGGCACGGGGTGGAAAGGATACAGGAAGGGGTGGGTACGCCGGGTCGGGACGCAAGTTTGTGAGATCCGTTGAGCCTGCTAACCCTTCATCTCCCAATTGATTCGGGGGATGTTCCACAGGGGCGAGTGGGTGTTTTCAGTGGGGGGGGGGGTCGTTGGAAAGAGGGAGGGCCCGGGGTCGTAACTGTATAGGAGAGAGGTATTTGATTCTCCCTTGCACACTCTCCCTCTATCTCTCTCTTGCTCCGTGCCCAAAAGGCTCCCCGAGCGCATGTCTGCCCAGCATTGAACAAGACTCAGGATTTCACTCAGTTTTCGGGGTGTGCGTGTGTGTTGACTGGGGAAAAATTCGCCTGTTCTTCCTTTTCAAGTATTCTTCCGACACTTTTTTCCTCAATATGCTCGTTTAAAAGACGTAAATATATTGTAATGTTTTTTTAAATTGACTTACCAATTCCCCCCAAATTTTACTGGCGTCTGATTTATAAATAAAAAAAGGTAAGATATCAACAATCATTTTTTATAAGAGATTTTTCTTGTAATTTTTAAACGCTTATAATTGAACTAGTTTTGAACCATTTGAGGCTAAATGTTGTAATAACAGGCCTTTTTTCATTCTTTTAATTTATCAAATTTTATAGTAATATAAAAAAAATTATTTTTATGCTGTACATTCGCATTATTTAAGTTACAAATTTGTTTCTTCTTTAATAATGAACTCAGATAGATCTCGAAACGGATCATATTTCTGAGTTAAACATGTTTATACGCTACCAGAAAAATGGTTTAAAAATATTTATTTATTTTTTTATATAGTAAGCAAATACTGCAAGGGAAAAACGTACTAAGATCTTACTATGGTTAATACTACATTACTATACACTACATAGTACAACGAAACGCCCGTACTATATACTACAAATGAATCATTTGATCAACATTTTCGTTGAAATCACGAAAGGAAACTAAATCAGCTGGCTATTTTAAACTGTACTCATAATATGGATCGAAAAGTGAATTCCACAATTCGAAAATTGAGAAGAAAAGATATGAACTACGATTTATGAATTTATTATAATTCCAAATATAAAGAATTCTTTATATTTGAAATGATAATATGTCAAGTAAATAATCGTTTTTTGCATAACCTATAGTTGAATATAGTTTCACTAGTTAAATACAAACGTTTGCATACTGGGGGTTTCTCCTTTAAGTTTTTTGAAATTTTCCCTTTTTCGCTTGTTTTATACTTTTGCAAGTTTGAGAAGAATATTTTTCCATGTTACTTTAACTAGTTTAAGTTTTTATGCAGTAACCTACACATATATGTAGGTCATGATTGAACCTTAAATAATTTTCTTATTGAGTCACATTTCATGGACAGTTTATTTCATATTGAATGATACAAATTTTTATCGTAAAATAAGTTTATAATTTATTTTCTTTAAACTAAAAAAAAGATAACCGATATAGTAGGTAATAGATAAAACTTAAAAAATCAAAACTTTTAATCAAGCATGGTAGAGAATCGTAACTGAATTTACTATATAGTTCAAAGTTTTCAGTAATTTCAATTTCCTTTTTTATGGTTAATTTTTAATTTTAAATTAATTAACTTCATAATTTTAATAATGTAATATGATCTTTTTAATTATGATTTTTCAATTAAGTTGATTTGTTTTATTCAAGTATTAAAGCTTTAAAAAAATGATCACAGAAGATTATCTTTGTACTAGAGAAAATTAAAAAAGCGTCCTTCAGAAGACGTTAATAGGGAAAATAGGATTGTTATGTCACGTACCATGACAGGGAAAGAAAAGGAATGGACAAATGGGAAAAATCTTGGATCACATCAAGATTTGAGTGGTTTCAAGAGGCTCCTCTAATTTTCTCCTTTCCCGACTTTTCTAAGTGGTTGGGAAGTTCCCTTGGTCGGTCCCTTTTCATTATTAGTCTGCCATATCTTTTTGAAAAGTCTTTCAAGATTTCCTTTCGTAATCAAACAACCTAGATGCCGTTAAAGAGTGACGAGTTATCGGTTTAAACGATTTGTAACGGAAAAAGTCGAGCAATTATTTTTTGTTTGATTTTTTAATTTTATTGGGTTGGAAGTTTTTAATGAATTATATTATAAAGTTTGGTGTTATTAGTTGTCGATTCAGAGAAATTTCCCTTTTGGAAACAATTTATTCCGAAAAGGTCAACAGTAAATGTATTAGGACTTTTCGTCCTCATAATAAATAATAAAAAGTTAAAGTGTATTTTTGAAACAGTCGATTAGGCTAAACCGGCACGATCGGACAGCATTGCAGAACTGTTGATTTTTTTTTATGAACCATCGACACCCCTTGTGTTCATATAACCTCGTAGTTGAAATTCATTCGTAAAAAAGGTCAACAGTTCTGCAATGCTGTCCGGTCGTGCCGGTTTAGCCTAATCGACTTTTTAAAAATACACTAACTTTTTTTGTTTATCATTTATTACCAGGACGAAAAGTACTAACACTATTTTTCTGTTTTGCTTCATAATGATACCATCCTAATTCGATTGTACTTATTGTATTGAATACAAACTGTTCTATAGTTTCCCTTTTTCGCTTGTTTTATAATTTTGCAGGTTTGAGAAGTTCCATGTAATATTTTTCCATGTTTCTTTAATTTATAATTAAGTTTAATTATAAATTGTTAAGAAAGCTTATATATAATTAAGTTATATATATAATTAATTANTCTATAAAAATGGCCTCTCCAAAGCCAGAATTTCTCACATTTTTAAAATTACAAAAAATATCTTTTAATTTTATATTTTGTTTTATATATTTTTTCATTTTAAGCTTTCTTAACAATTTATAATTAAAATTAATTATAAATTAAAGTAACATGGAAAAATATTACATGGAACTTCTCAAACTTGCAAAAGTATAAAACAAGTGAAATAGGAAAACTTATAGAACAGTTTGTATTCAATACAATAACTACAATCGAATTAGGATGGTATCGTTATGAAGTGAACCAGTTTTTGTTACACCGTCCTGACCCTTAGTTCGTGGGCAAATTATTGGTCATACAGTTTCTTGGCTTTGTGCCACATTCTATCAGAAAATGTTGCATATTTTCGTCTCGACCTTATACGAAGAAATAAATCTTTAGTTTTAAAGTAAAATCTCGAAAGTTCTTCTTATTGATATTTTTTTTAAGTTTTGTTCTCTTCTTCAAATCGATATTTGACTTTAAATGTCTACCACAACTAAAAATTCCTTTCGAAACTTTATATATTTTATTTTTAAAAGATTTTTGTTTCAAATTTCAGCTTGGCATGATGTGATTGCACTATAAACTGTTGTTCGCGTTTTTCTTTGCCGTGTTCGATTGCATGTTGGATGTTTTGTGTTATTATTTCGTTCCATAATCTATCATTTAGCCGTGTTGGCTATTTAGGTTTTCTTCTAATATTCAATAATTAAATAAATTGAATATTTTGTCTTTTCTTCAATGATTTGTTCGTAAATTTGTAAGGCATTTATTCTTGTCGTATTCTGACTGAAAACAGAAGAATAGCCATTTGTTCCCTTGTGTATTTAAATGTGTTGACTGAGAGTTTAATAATATAAGAATAAAAATCAATAAAATAAATAAAATCTTTCTATATTTAGTGAGATAAAAAAAGGTGAAGTTTGCAGTTTATCATGGGTCAACGCAAGGTTAGCTTATTATTATTAAAATTGTCATTCAGCCAATCGTAGAAAATTCATTGTCAAACATTAAAAACAACAATGATAATGAGATTCAATTTACAAAAAGAAGAAAGCATTAAGTTTTTTGCCCAGTTAAAATTTAATTAGGCCAAACAGCGTTTATAAAAGTTTGAAATAAGACAACGGTTTAAATTTGAAAAGCTTCATTATGAATTTATCTTACATAAAACTTTTGCAGAATTAAGCGTTGGTTATCACTGTTTAAATTACGCATTTCTAATTACGAAAAAGTCCTGTGTAAGCGAGTGTTGAACTTTTTTTCATCGTGTAGAAGGAACAAAATAACCTCGGGGAATTTCAATTCGACAATTCTTCCCAAATATTAATTATTTAAAGAAGGACCAGACGGTTTTCCTTCGGGTTAAAAATACAAAATATGCAATGCGTGACGATTCACTCTGAATACTTAATCGATGAATCAATCTCCATGACGTTAAGAAAAATTCCAGCGCGTCATTTCTAAATAAAAAAATAAAAATCCAATTTGAAAAGGCATTAAATTTGCAAAATATATTGGGCGTTTAAAGAATAAAATACGTTAATTTACCTCGTTAATGCAGTCACAGTTTACTAAATAATTTCAAATGATTTTTGTTTATGCTGTTAAATTATTTATTTAATGTAATGTGTAATGGTTGGAGATATATTGCTACTTATTGATGTAGCAGGTTTGCTAAACGATTGGTCTATAGAAAGGGGCCGGTGTGGAAACCCATTTATTCGGCCTTGAAACAACACGAAATTTAATATTTGGCCTACTTTTCACTGTGTATAATTGATTGAAACAATCAGTTCGGTTGTTTAAAAATCCAGCTTTGGGAAAAGACGAGTTAAACGGAAACGAGGACGACTGTTCGGATCGACGAAGCGAAGTAATCCTTTTGAAGAGCTTCTCGTTTACTCTATATAAACATAGCGAGGGGGTGTTTTGACCTGCAATTTTGGCATGTCAATATGGATTTTATAAACCAATATTATCTAAACGCCTTTGCCGCCCCAGTTTTACATCAACGATTTTCAGCCCCTGCTTTACGACTTTATAACCTTTCTTGCTGATAATAACAGCAATGCAATTGAAATATAACAATGGTTTTAGCAATACTGTCATTTATTGAAGATTGATATTTGATTTGATTCACTGCGAAATACGTCATTTAAGTAAGATAAAAAGTTATAATTTCTTTACATTTATCGCTGCTATTTCTTAATAAAACTTTTAAACTAGAAAATTAAAGAATAGTTTCGTTTTTTTGGCAATTAGGCCAGCATACATTGAATATAATCAGACATGACCTATAAAGATAGGTTTACTTAAGTAATTAGGTTATCTTTTTTAAGCTCTCTTCTTTGCATTTATAATTAGAAAATTTCATATTTCAATTAGACAGAAAGCGTTTTATGAATGGGCTCTGATTAATACTTAAACCCTGACCGACAATAGTGGATGAGTTAACCGACGTCACGGATATTGATCTTGAACCCAACTCCACCCCGCACGATCTGCCCACACGCTCATTCCTTATCCGAACAATAAAGGAAAATAAATTTAGATGTATCGTATATTAGCTGTTTTTTGAATCGATAATGATGCCTTTTCCCCTGGCGGAGAGATGGGCCATGACTAAATAATATTCGGGTAGTGTTGAAATAAATATTTCATCATTAGCCAAGGCAATTTAAACGAAAAAAAAATCCTTTTTAATTATCAAGTATAAACTATTATACTCAAAATGACTGTTAAGGTTTTCAAACCCTATTTAAAATTTGAGTAAGTTAAATATAAAAAAGATTTTGATATACATTTTTCATACCAATTAAAATCATTAGATTTATTTTTTTTTTGTTAAAGTCTGCGGATGAACGTTTTGTTCGGCCGTTTTTGATTACTGAACATGGCGAAATGACGAAACGCGTCTTACCGGCCGAAACAGCGAGAATAGGCGGACCAGGATGACCGGAGACGACCAAAATATACTTATTATTAATACCATTAAATTAAAAATAAAATTGGTGAAAATGTTAACTTTTATGTCCTTGGAGGGGGTCCTTACAAGGGTATTTTTTTGATGTGGGAGGTGGGATGGGAAGATTGGGGAATTATTGATTCGTTCACGCAAATTAATGCTAAAAAGAGAATTCTGATTAAAAACTTGATGCGATCGAACGAAAAGAACCGATAAAATATAAAAATTAAAATTTTTTCGGATCTTTTTAATCGGTATTGTAAAAAACAAATGACAAATCTTCAAGTAATTCCTATTAAAAAAATTGATGTTGATAAAAATGATGAATACAGAAATTATAACCTAAATTTAAATATAAAATATTGAGCCATATGATCCCAGTTCTTTGTTCTTAAACATTCATGATTTTTCAGTTATTTAAGATTTTTTTAATCATTTTTTAATTATTTCAGTTTCAAACTTTTTCAGACGCTGAATTTAAAATAATTCGTCTTTTTAGGTATCAAATACTTCTTCTAATTTTTAATTCTATTGATTATACAATTTATTATAATAAAAAATGTCCTTGAATAATAGAAACATGTTATAGAAAGACGGCAAAAATGAAAGACCAAACTAGAAAAGACAGTTAAAACACGTCATAAGTCCATTTCAAAACTCAATCTCAAAGCTCAAAAATATATTGAAAAGATAAATACGGTCGTTTGTTTGTTTTTGACAGATGGCCAGACAGCGAAGGCTGACTTTCACCATATATTGGGGTATTAGCATCATCTTGTATGCGTTTGTACAGTCTTCCTCAGAACAAACCACAAAAATACCAAGTACAACAACACCAAGTGCATCAATACCAAGCACATCAATACCAAGTACAATGCCAAGGTCCACAGTTTTAACACCAACGGTAAGCACTTTTTTATCAGATGTTTTTGGGCTGTTGTGTTTTTGTTTATTTGTTTAATAAGGCGTAATAAATTAAAAACACGTTATCATTAATTCAATAACACATTTTTCTTCCCCTAATCTAACATTGAGAAAATATTTAGGATGAAATTATATCAATCGTGCATTATTAATTTAAAAAAACCACAAAAAAACTTGATCCTGGATAGTTTATCAAAAAATTATATTAAAAAATTGCATCAATACATAAAAATCATCATAAACCATAACATTTATTTAAACGTGATGTAATGCTTATTTATAATAAATAAAATGAAAGTAAACAAATTATAGTCAATACCACTGCAGATTGATAAATTTATAAGATTAATGTTTTCAATTTCTATGGTGTATTTTTTCTTCTTAAAACACAATCTAAGAATTTTATGATTCAACTATATTATAAAATATTGTCAGTGGGTACTGTGTTTACATAATAGATTTTTATAAATAATGGAGCCATAAAAAAATCTTTTATATTTTCAATAAATTGCATTTTTATTAGGTTTTAATGAGTTATTCATGTTTGGCCATGACAAAATAAATGCTTATAAAAAATAATAAAACTGCAAATTATTATTATTATTATTTTTAAATTTAGCTTCATGTATATTTTTAATTAAATATAATTTTTTTATATGCAAATTTTTTGACTTGCATTATATGTAGTTTCAATGATTTTGATTTGGACAATAATATTTAAACACAAACAATACAACATTTAATTAAATGTTTCATTTTGATTAGATTTCGAATGTAAAAACAAATTTCAGATGACTTCAAGGGAAGAAGAGAAATTTACGACAGCGATGACGCCTAATGAACAGCATTTTGTCCCTTTAAGTAAGTCAGTGGATTTTTGTAACTTTTATCACAAATGAAGTTCAGATTTTTTTAAAGTTTCATATTGAATAGATGAAGGGGAGAGGAATTGTACACCACCTGCGATAGAACAATTTCCTAGGCCTCTGATCAGCCCTTCGAGTCGGAAGCACGGAGCTATCATCATACACGTCCTAGTTTGCATTTATTCTTTCATAGGTTTAGCTATTGTCTGTGATGATTATTTTGTCACTTCTCTTGACAGGATATGCGAAGGTATTTATTTCGATTTATTGCTGAGTCAGAGCATAATACTACAATCATATCTTTTGCAGTACTCAAATTGTCACCGGATGTGGCAGGTGCCACATTTATGGCTGCAGGTAGCTCAGCTCCTGAACTTGCTACTGTCGTTATAGCTGTTTTCTTTGCTAAAGATGACATTGGAGTGTCTGGAGTGATCGGTTTGTATTTATAAATTTAAATTTAAATTTATAATTTACTACAATGGTAATTTCAGGTTCGGCTGTATTCAATATTATGTTTGTCATTGGTATCTGTGCATTATTCGGTGGCACTGTGTCCTATCTTAATTGGTGGCCCTTATGCCGAGATTCGTTTTTCTACTTGCTTTCCATATTAGTAATGCTCATTGTTATATTTGACGACCTAATCACTTGGTAATAAATAATAAAATAGAATCAATGCAGCTTTGTAATATTTAATTTTATTACAGGGGTGAAAGCTTTTTCATGTTACTGATGTATATTGCATACTGTACTGTACTCGCTTTCAATAAGCCTCTTGAGAAATGGGCACAGACTCTACCCGTTCCGTGCAAAAACATCCATCACGAGACATTGGGAGGTAATTACCAGCAGCCGCAACAGCCTGTACAACAAGGGCTAAATGAACAACAGCAGCTCGTCTCTTACAAGACATTAGATGACAAAGAAGGATACTCTACTACGAGGCAAGATGGTGGATTTTCAAATGTGGCAAACGGTGAGAGTGGAGTGGTACAGATGCATGATGTTGGACCGTCGCATATGAATGGGCAGAACAAACCGGAATACTACAGAGCAAAGGAACCAACCACAACTCAGGTATGATTTTTCCCTAAATTTAAAATAATTTGATTGAGTAATTAAAATGAGGAACATCAAAAATGAGTTTTTAGCCTATTTTGTTGCTCATCCTCAAACTTTCTGGCTGATTATAATTTTTTTTATTACTGATTTATATAACCTCAAATTTACGTACATATATATGCCCATGTACAGAGTTGAGCCTATCACTTCTCTCACAGTACATCCACAATTCCAGTTTTTGTGATTTACAATAAATTACCAACAGGACAATAAACTACCTTAGGTGTCGCAGTGCAGGGTCAGACCTCGGCCTTATGTGTCCAGCCACTGAGGTTAGGCTCCAGGTGCTATCAACAGATAGGTCATTTCAGCCTCCCACATTCAGTCTCCTATTCACCCTCTTAACTTAACTCTTAAATACCTTTCCTATTTACATTGCTGCCATTCTCTCAGGGTGGTGAAGTTCTTGAGATTCCTCCTTTACAACTATGTACTACATAACCTAATTGAGGGTCGATGGTATACTCAATATTAGCTCTCTCATACAGGAGAAACACTGAATATCAAATCAACAAACCAGCAAGACTAGACAGGATGTTCAGAGTTGATCATCTCTTAGTAAACCTCAACATAATGTTTTACAATATAGAAATGGTTTTATTAAATATGTTGAAATTTTCAATGTCAGGTCTCTCCTCTTCTGAAACCTGAAACCGATGACAGAATGACTCTGATTCAGTGGCATCTTTGTTACCCCATTCACTATACCGCACAGGCAACGATGCCAGATTGCCGCCTTGAAAAGTACGCCAACTGGTATCCATTTACATTTTTAGTTTCGATGATATGGATATCGTTCTACTCTTACATCATGGTCTGGATGATAACGATAATCGGTATTGTACAACGTTTCATTAAGAGAGATTGAAATTTTCGACTAAATTTCTATGATTATTTTAGGAAGTACTCTTGGAATCCCTGATACAGTAATGGGTCTTACATTTGTCGCTGCGGGAGTCAGTGTTCCTGATGCGCTTTCAAGTCTTGCGGTTGTAAAAGAAGGTAAATTCATCATATATCAGAAGTTAATCACAAAATAAATGACAACAATTTTTCAGGCTATGGGGATATGGCTGTTTCAAATGCCGTAGGAAGCAACGTCTTTGATATTCTAATCTGCCTAGGTCTTCCATGGTTTATAAAAACAGCAATTATCAAACCTGGAAGCTATGTTAAAGTATTCAGCAAAGGTACTTTTAAGTTATGTCTTAATTTGTATAAACTAAGCAATTTAACATGCATCTAATTGATTTTAGGTTTGACGTATTCAACATTAACTTTGTTATCAACAGTGGTATTTCTGGTTGGAATTACACATTTGAACGGTTGGAAAATGGACAAGAGATATGGCATAACGTTGATATTATGGTATATATTTTTCATCTGTTTTGCTTCGCTGTATGAGCTCAACGTATTTGGGAACATGAACCCTCCTGAATGTTCAACTGACTATTAAAATTGTTTTTCTTTGTCTCTTTTTCTTCCTATTGTTATAAGCGTATTCATCTAGCAATGTGTTGAGAATGCGCCTCGATATCAACATTATCAATGTATTTTATTTTCTGCAAAAGAATACCTTTAAATGTTAAAACTGTATTTTATATAGTACCCTTTTTTTATCATAAGGATAGAATGGCTGTTTACACAATCTTCCCAGTAATAAAGAGCATACTTTTACTTACCCAGCACATTTTCAGTTAATAAAATATTAATGTGCCCATATTTGTTACATAATTAATATAGTGATTTGATGCTTATTACCACTATTTCATAATAGTTATGATAAAAACAGTGATACAATTTATTCCATCATTCATTAGAAGAATTGACTACCATTCTGACATACCAATAAAAAAGCCTTAAAAACACAAATATTTTACATTGTTTTGTTAAAATAAAGCAAATAACTTGTTTTTATAAATAAACTAACTACACGTTAAATCAATTAGTGAGAAAGCTTAGCATATCTTAGAAAAAAGTTAAATAAAACAAAAAATAATAAGGTTTTTAAATATAAAAAATGTGTACATATTCCTAGAGGTTTAGTGCTTATATAATAAAAGTAAAAAGTGTAAAAAAACTTGGATTATTAGTGAACGAAAGGGGAAGTAAACAATATTGAAACTATAATTAAGAAACAAGTGACAATAAGTTAAAAGCCTTAAAATTTAGAATGTAACTAGTTATAAAGTGCGAACACTTTGTTATAAGAGGGGAATGTATAAAATGTGGTTGTGAGATAGTAAATACCACGTTTAGAATAGTATTTTTTTTTATCAGTCCTTCTAATATTTTTTAATTTTCAGATTTTAAGAATACAATTTTATTACTTATTAAATAAAGATGTGAAAAAATAAGAGAAACATAGTTTGAATGTTAGGTTTTTCTCTGTTTCATTTTTGAACATGAATTAATAAAATATCGAATAAAACTGAAAATGATTAGAAAACTAAAATGGAATAAATACTTTCTTAAAGAGTTAATGGTATAATAAGGGCAAGAGTGTGAGAAAGTTAAATGGTAGTTATAAATAAGCACATTATAATTGTTATGTCTGCACAAATTAAAATTCTATACAATTTAAATGTGAGACTTTCTGATTTTCCTCTTATTTATGAAAATTAGATAGCCTGTTAATGAAATGTTTTATAGTTTCCAAACTCCAAAACCTAAAGGTCTATTAATAGTTTGCAATATCATATTTGTATGTTACGTTATCACACAAATAGACTAATAAAATAATACAAATTATGTAAAATCTGCTCAGTTGTTAAAAAATATTTATTGTAATATATAATTATTGTTAAATGTGATTGCAACATTGGAAAAATAAACAATAAACATCCAAATTAAACAAGTGATTTAATTTTTCCCTATAAATATTTTATATCTAATAATACAGTGAACAATATTGCACATGCTTAGAATTATAGCAGGGAGCATCTTCAAAATGGGAGAATAATAATACTAGAACTCCAAAACTAGTAATTCATATACTCAATTTTATTTGAAGTATATTATTAAGAGGTAATCTTCGTTTAAAGCCAAAGTTTTGAAAATGCTGCATTATTTTCTAACCGAAATAAGTACAAATAAAAAGAAAAAGAAAGGAACAATAAAAATACGGAAGTTAAGAAAACATAATAAAAGTATCTAAAAAATAAGAATAATATAAGTAAAAAAATTTTGATACCTGAAAAACTGAAATTTCAGTCAAAAGTGAAAAATATTTTGTATATATAATCAATTTAAACACGAAAGTTCATTTTTATCTAAGAATAAAAAGTACTTCACTGATTATTTTTCTTTTTTCCTAACTATTATTATTATTATTATTATTATTATTAATTTTTAAGGGCGTTTTAACGGCTAAGGTCATTTCACGCCCTCCTAACTATTATTATTTACATTTTGGTATTTTAAAAGTCTTTTCCTTATCAATGTTTTTTAAAACATTAAAACTGACATTAAAAATAAAGTACTTATATTTAATACATGTTATGCCAGTTTCTTTATTTTTAAATAACATTTGATTACTATTTTAAAAGAATTTTAATCTATTTTTAACCAGCATACCTAAATATATATATAATATATTTATATATATACATATTTGTTTATATCACAGAAATCAACAGGGTACATATCCCATTTTTTGTTTCTTTCTCTTTGAAACTCTAGAATCCAGAAGGTAATACAAATATCAGATCTTGTTTGTTTTGTATCTTTCAACCTTGTCTGAAGAAATGGTTTCTGTTGAGCTCTGTTCTAAGTTGACAAAACATTTTTGTTTGCCTGGAAGCCATTTATATAACTTTCTCGCCCAAGGGTGTACGAGTTTTTCATCATAGCAGTCCTCCTCTGAAGCTAAGAATGAAAATATGTGATTTAAATAATCAACAGAATAAAATACACATTAAATGATGTATTAAAGTAAGAATACCTGTGATGTAGCTTAGTATTGTTCCAAACAACACAGTAATAACCGTCCCAATAAGAGAGTAATACATGTATGTCATTGAATATAAGGATGTCAAAAAATCGCTGAAAACGATTAAATTTCAATAAATGCCAAAATATAATCTTTTTTTATTATGTAATTACTTGTCATGGTGAGCAGGTCCGATGACAGGGTTGACGTCAAAATCTTCTGTCCAAACAGGATCAGATTTTGGTGGTAGTGGAGGTACATTCGGTGAAAATGTTGTATTTGTGCATCCATCCACAGAGACTGGTAGGAATGGAACTGAAGGTTTATCGACTGTGAGACTTCCAAATGTTATCCACAATACTATGGCATGGCTGGCCAACATACCGAATGCAGCACCCTAAAATTTTACCAATACAGAATTAACTCATATTTAACATTATTTATTTATAGATTTTACCTTCCAATTTGCAGGTGGTACGAACATAGCTAGGATAAAAACCCCGAGTAGTGGTCCACTTGTTGCTGATGTCATCAACTGAGAAGCCTCTATCACACCAGAAAGCATCGCAACAATAAAAGCAACACCCATAATCATCACACCACAAACAGCACCTAAAATATACCAAGTTGTAATAAAAAAATGAATAGATTTTAAACAAAAAACATTTTTTATTAGGTACAATACATTAGAAACTTATGTCAAAGAAGCTTATTTGATACATAAAGTGGAAATATTACCCAAAACTTTAATCAGTACAAGCTGAGTTCGGTCTGTTGTATTTTTCAATGCTGGAATTTGGTAGAAGAAATCTTCCCACATTACAATTGATAAAGAATTCAGATTTGATACCATAAGGCTAAAAATAAACAAAATCAGTCAAACTAGAATAATTTCGACAAATAATTAACAAAATTTAAGTCTTTACTTGAGAGCTCCATTGAACAGGCAGGCCATTACGAGTCCGAGAAATCCAGGAAGGAAGTAGAATTTGTCTTCAACATAAAATGGTAAAATTTCATCAATGTCAGAAATGTACCCAAGTGCTTTCGGGTCACATGACATGTAATTGGCGAAAATCACCATCCCGACGACCCATGACAAAGAGAAGAGTACAGTCATAATCGGTATGTTTGCCATTAAAGTCCTGCAAGAATAAGTTCTTAGAAACATATTTTCCCACATAAATATGTATTTGTATAAATTAATTAATTGTGTAACATTGAAGTTTGTGAGGTGATGAACTTGTTGATTGTATTTCATCCCGGTCTTTCTATGTTCACTGGTTTTGTCAATATTTCACCATATTCAGTAGTTTTGTGTGCTATTAGCCAATTGTGTCATTTTATATGCTTTAAAAAAGATCTGATTGCTCTTGTCAACTTTTTTTTTTACTTGAATGACACATATCTAATTGCAGAAGATGGCGAAATACCCAGCACATAAGAAAACCAAGGCAAACCAGGAAGAACAGACAGACTTAAATGATCAAAGGAATCATTGATTATCCTCAGTTATAAAAAATGTAGACGTTAATTTAAATAAACAAAACATTAATATTGTTTCTTAGTTAAAAAAACTTACTTATTAACTTTGCTTTGTGAGGACATGGAACAGTATCTCTGTACAAAGTTTTGTTGGCAGCCAAATATTGAAAGAGACATAAATAACTGTCCAATAATGGCTGACACTGTGTTAACTCTTATTGTTGGGTCCATGTCAAAACTAAAAAAAGGAGAAATTTTTAATTAACCGGCACTAAAATTTAAACCAGATTGTAACATACTCAAAAAATTGTAGTCTTCCATGAGAGCTCGATGCATTCACGACATTGACAACACCTCCTGCAGTAATGGTACCTTGAATTATAATAGCTGCACTACAACCCACCATCACAAGAAGCTGAGTCACATCGGCGATAATCGCTGTCCTCAAACCTCCCTGAAATCCAATTTGTTTAACAGACAATATCAAAGTAAAAAAAGTTTAATTTATCGATTAAGTAGCATACCATCATTGTGAAGAAAATGGAAATTCCAACGATTGCGGTGATTGATGTCCAGTACGGCATTCCAATAATGGTCTTCAAGGCGACGCATGGTGTGAACACGGTGACACCAAGGTTGAGGACACTTCTTAGCAAATATGTCCCTGAAGCCAAACAACGAACCAAACGAGACTTAAATCGCAAATCTAAATACTGGAAAAAAGGAAATTTGCAAATGGGAAATGAACATTTATCGTTGGTACTGATTTAATTTAATATTTAAAAAAAAGTAAAACTAAATGAAGAATTTAAAATGCAAAAACAACCAAAGAAACTTTAATAAAGTGTACGCTAAATAAGCTTTTTCTATGCATTGTTCGAAGTTCATTCAAATGGTAATCTTTATGCAAATTAATTAGAAATTTCATTCAAAACAATCAGGTTGAAGAATCATTCAAAGAAATGAGAAAACTCTTTAAAACATGATTTTTATTTATTTATCTGGAACAATTTGTATTAACATGAAAGTTTTTTTGAAATTGTATGAAAGTTTAACTGTACCAGGGGAAATTATTGAAATAATTTTGGTTTTGGTAAAAATACACCTCCGGAAATTTATACTTAAAAGAAAATGTTTTGCCAAATTATTCCCGTTCAATTGATAGCCCAGATGAAATAATTATTTTAGGATGTAGGCTGATGACCTATGATTTTATGTTAACTGATTTTGTCTGGTTTAGCAACCTTGAAACTGTCTTGTGCGCGACGAGCAAATTGGTATTGTTTGACATGTGTGAATTATAAATAAAGGAAATGATTTACAATTAGCAACAACAGCAGAAAGAGAAAACATCGCGCTTCCTTTTGTATACTGCACAATAACACGATCGCATCGCGTTTCAGGAAGTAGGCCCTATCATAATTTTTCATTTCTCCTCCACTTTAGGGGAAAAAATATATAAAAATGTATGTAATTGGCAGGAAATCGGTAATGCTACACATTTATACATTGATGACGCACAACACGTTTCTGCCGAAGTGGGACGTCGATTACGACAATCAAGCTTTTTGTTAAAAGTTTTCGTTCATGGAAAATGAGTTTTGTTTACATTGTGTACATTCCCACGTAGTTTTATTTGTAAAAACGAATTACACAAAAGTTTTCGATAAAAAAAGGTTTAACTATATGGAACATTGTATAAGCAAAGTTTCTACAGAATCATCTTTTATCGTTTTATAATTTTTTCTAACGTAGTGCTTTTCTTTTTTCCTTTATTAAAAAATACATTTTGTATTCGATAATTCTGTTTAATTTGTTGTAACTATTTGCTTACTATCGAACTTAAAGTCATAAATCAATTTTTTCCTAACTACTAATTTGGAAATAATTAATCTACATTTAAAGTTATGTTAAGCACATAAAAAAGTGTTACAGGATACAAAATCGCAACAGCAAAAAATTCGGATGCCAAAAACGTAGGACATATTTGGCAAAACAAGCCACAAAAAACAACATGCCACGAATTTATCCAGGCTTTATCAACCGTTTATATTTAATTCCGTAATGTTTCAGCATGATTATCAAAAAGTCGTAGTCAATAATGGCAGAGAGGCAACATCACTACGGTATTTCTTTTAATCGATCCTTCCCCACTCTGAGGTTCACAAAACCGCCGAGAAGTTATTTGGATGAGTCTTGAGTAATGTGTTCAACACGTTCCTAGTCCAAAGCCATCGTTTTAATAAAAAACATTAGCCTGCCTCCCTTTAATTAGAATGATTTGATGCAATCAGTAAATTTTTCGCAAGTGGTAATCAAAATCGTATTATTACTGAAATTACCGTTCGTTATTAAAGTTGGCAAACAAGGCGAAAGACCATGAATAATATTTATTAACGATACAACAGTGGTGTAAGAAAAAAATTGAGAATAACATGGTAACACAATCAATGCCTCCTTTAACATCACATTGGGAGTCAGGGGCATTAAAAATGACCCAATGTTTCGAAAGAAAAACGTTTCAACGACTTTAAAAGACCGGTTATCGAATTTGTCTAGACCTTGATTTTACTGATTTTTTTAAAAACGGTATTTATCTTATGATTATTTGACTTGTTAGCTATTGCTACACGTTTCGGGGTATTGATTTTGGACACTAAATCTAAAAAATCTGACATCGATTTTCTCTTTTCACTTTACATTTAACATCAACTGAAATGATTTATTGATTTTAGATACATTGTTTGCTAACATGATGCCAATGGATATATTTTCAAGCTATTCGAAAAAAATATACATTATCAGATTACATTGATTATCGGAATTGTATCTTTCTCTTACGTCATAAAAAATAGTATTTTGACCTGAACTGAAAAATGCTTTGGGGATATAACCTACAAAATTTTACGTGAAGATCATTCTTTTTGTCAACCTCCCTGGTTTTACAAGAATTTTGGGTACACTGTACACAAAAGTAACAAGCAAAAATTACAACAAATTAAAAGAAAAAAGCTTTATTTTTATATTTTATTTTATATAATTTTTATCTTTAATTTGCATATTGTTTGCTAGGAGCCCTATTATTTTATATTAAAAAAGAAAAATTAAAAGAAGAACTTATTTTTATATAATTTTTAATTTTGATTGTAATTAATTTTCATATCGTGTTCTAAGGGCCCAACTATTTTATATTTAAAAAATCTCAAATTACAAGATTTTTTTACATTTATATAATTTTCAATTTTAATTGCAATTAATTAATTTTCAAATGATCTGAGAGACCAATATTTTATAATAAAAAAATTCTCAAATATTCAGGAATTTCACTTTACATGTTTATATTTCATATCGCCACTTAAGTTTTTTATGCTTTAAAAAAGGGGGAATTTTTATGTATGATTTAATTTTTTAATTTTAACTTTAATTGATTTTCATATTGTCATCTAAGATCCAAATTATTTTAAATAAAAATTAAAATTAAAAGCCAAAATTAAAAAAAAATATATTAATTATAATTGTAATTAATTAACTTTCATATGATCTTTTAAGAGCCATATTGTTTTACAACAAAGAAAATTTCGCAAATATGCAGGAATATTGTTTTACATGGTTTTAAAAAAGGGTTTAATTTGAGATTAAAAAGGGTTAAGATTGTTCGAAAAAGGATTAATTTGACGGGAAAATGTTCATGGCGAAAAAAGCTATACACAGTAATTATTTTGTATTTTTAGCATCTCGACAGACAGATTTAATCTAATGTCTTGGAAGTTTGAGTATTATTGCAAACAAAATCTATTATATTTATCTATTTGTATTTTTATCAACTTAATTTACTTGAGGACTGTGAAAGTATAATTTTGGTAATTACTACCTTTAAGTACCCAGTTTTACCTCATAACAAAACAATTTATAAATATTTATTGTACGGTATATTTAAATAATTCTGTACTACATGAAGCTAACATTGTCGCAATAATTACCTGATAAACTGAAGTTATACCCAGGCTGTAATAAACGGGCACGAAGAAATAGCACACGATAGGAAAAGCTATTATCATGCCGTACAACGTCTCCCACATGGCACTCCCCCTGTAGTAAAGTTCAGAGGGATAGCCTGGAAAGCAACAATAAAGTAAATAAAGTAATAAAGCAAGTAAATACGTAAAATCTTTTGGATTTTAAAATGGTCTCATTTTTGTGGGATGTTCCTGCGGGATAAAACAGTCTAAATTGGACGCACCTAAAAATACTCTAACTCCTAGGAAGCCCCTCGCTATCGACAGCATCATCGCTGGCATGGATATGGAATTGCTTTTTGCAAACGCGAAGTCCGCTTTGGTTTTTTCCTTGTTCCCAGAAAACCTTCCATAGATAGCAACGCCGAAAGAGCACAGGATCAAAGCGGCGAAGACTAGGTAGTCGTATATCAGAGTTCCCCATTCCATTCTGAAAAAAAAAAAAAAAAAGATTCACGTTACAAATGGACTGGTTGAGGTCCGTTCAAGGTTGTTGCTTGCAGACTACAATACTGAAGGGCGCAGAAAAATTACCACTAAGATGATTTTATTTGTATAAATCCATCCATTTTTGGTTTTAAAATGAAATAAATTCATTTTTGTAAAATGCGACAAAGTAAAAATATGTTTTTACGATTGTACGATATAATATAATTGGTTTATTTTTTACTACAATTAACAAATCGCCTTCTCACTCAGAAGACATAATTTCAAATATTTTCACTACAAATAACGCTTAAGTAAAGAAAACTTAAGGTTAAGTTAAAAGTTCATTAAGAAAGTTAATGATTTAAACATTCGGTTAAAAAAATCGTTCCGTTCAGAGAAATCATACTTTCTAATGTTAATAAATGGTAATTTTTATTTTCTTATGCGTTCTTTCTAAAAAGATTTGAAATTATCGAATCTCAAAACAATAAAATCCTTTTCATAAAGTAAAGGAATAAAATTCCCTTAATGCATTTTAAACTTAACCTTAGCTTTTAATTTCTTAAATACACTTTGTACGTAGTACAAAGATTTGATTGAAATTTTAAAAATTGTCAGTTTTATGACACTATTTATAATATTTTTTTACAAAGAAACCTTCTTGTTGAATCTGAAAACGTTAAAATTCTTTTTATAAAACGAAGGAATAAACGAATCCCTTAATCTTTAACTAACTTAACTAACTTTAACTTAACTTCCTTTGTAGTGCAAAGATTTGAAATGGTGCCATTTTTGCTTACATATAAAAAATTGAAAAATTATGGGACAATTTCACATTGTTTTACTACATAGAACATTTAAGAAAATTGATTAACATTGGAAACTTTGTACCTCTGAACACAATAAGACAATTTTTATAAACTGAAGGAATAAGCAATTGACTCTTTTAATGAGCACTTATCTTGACCTAAACCTTTTCTGCTATTAAACGTACGTTATAGTCGTTTTTATCCAAGAATCTTATTGTTAAACGGTTTTGTGCTTGGAATTTCTACTACATACAAAGAAAGTTGAAGAAAAGAAGAATTACCACTTAACGTTGTAAACAAAGGTATCTCTGAAAACAATCAAATTCTTTTTATAAACACAAAGAATAAAAAATTAATTGTTGGTTGTTTGAAAAGAGGATTTTTTTTAACAAGGTCTGTTTATCAAACAAGCTATTGTATTTATAGGTTTGAATTTGTCATGAATACAATAATTAAAAAAAAAACTTTCGCGTCACGCAGAAAACCCCAAAATAAAGCTTATGAGTAACTTTCAACATAGATATATTAGCAATACTACTGTTATTTTATCTACTTGTTTTTGTGTACCCTACTTCCCATGTACGACAGAAACGGGTTTGTAGTTTAAAATTAGAAAGATAGAGGGAATAAATTCTGGACGGTAAACCTGATATCACGCCCGACGTTCCCCAAGAGAAGCACTGAGAGGATTATATCGCGCTTATTTTCTACTCTACACAGTTACTGAGAACATGATATCGCGCTTATTTTCTACCTCTACATATGTCTTGAGAGCGTGATATCGCGCTCATCCCTACCTCTATGCATGTACTGAGTGCTTGATATCAGTAAACAAAAACTAAGTAACTACACAAATAAAATACTTAGTGCTATACTTAGACAGTAGACTGACGTGGAATCCTCACACACAACTCAAGCGACAAGAACTAAAGAGACGATTTGGACGACGAAAAATGCAGGACCGAAATCAGCCATGACGGTAAAGAAGATGACGGTACATAACTTTACCTCGACTTATTTGGACATACAGACCTGTTGGGTACCAACCAAGCCATCTAATATCCAACGAATGCATTTCAATCCTCAGAAGAATTCTCTAAACCCCTTAACAAGGGGATATTCCCTTCGTCAAAGATTTAACCAGTTCCCGCTCCCTCAAGTTTCATTCCAATCTTTGAGCTCAAGCCCTTTGTGCTAACCCTACTGTTCAAGCCCACTCCACTGCCTCCCATCCCAAGAACCATCAACATCGCCTCAAACGACGATGGCCTCAAGACATCTTTGCCCTTAAACTTATAACAACATAACAAACTGAGCAGCTTCTCATAACATCTCGGGGTGCAGCACTGGCCAAAATGTATTGTCCGGGATTTTTATAGCATCAAGAACAAATCATACATGTATAATTCATGTACAGAATACAAAAAAAATTAAATTACTAGGGGAAAAACAATGAGCACGTTAAGTAAAATATAATTTTTTTTTAAAAAGTAAATTTAATTCAAGAGATTCGACAAATAAATGGGGTTGTCCACATTTAAAAAATAATAATGATAACGCTGAAATAAAAATTGTTATATTTGATTTATTGAAACATTCGTTTTTGAACTAGCCCGGGTAGAAAATCGTGGGCTATCTTAGAAACTATTTAATACCAGCATGAGATAAATGTATACACGTAATAAATATGTTGCACTTCTCAAGGGAAGAAGCAAAACTTTCCAAATATGGCAATTAGCCTTCTTGCAACGTTCTTTTTAGAGAAGGAAGCACAAACAACTTAATTTTTCAACAGCCGAGTTACAAGTTGTAAAATATATAAATCGCCCCTGGTATTAAAGTGAAATCACTCAATAACATAATTGGACTTTCATTTCAAAATTGACGTGAGATAAATGATGCTGGGCGAAGACGTTAAAAACTTCGCAATGGGAAGAAAAAAACAAATTCCTCGATGGGGGTTTAACGAACTCTAAATAGGTCTTAGATGGAATAGCTTGGAAGGAGAATGTCTTTTAAAAAGGATATAAAAATGCATTACGTCTTTTCTTGACACCTTGACAATGATTAGCTCGACAATGGCCGAGAACTTCGTTGCGATTTATATAATCAGAACATGATTAAATGATTTGATTTCGCTTTGTTCAAAATGATTAAAAAGCTTGTTAATGGATTGGATGACTCAAAGGACTAACCTTCATAAAACTGACAATAAACATTATAAAATACAACATTAAATACAGGCTTCTAATAATTTAAATTTAATACCATCAAGGGTCGTTGAAAAACGTACAATCAATGAGCACATTATCATGGAAAGATTACAATTGCCGTTTCAATTTCAAAAACTTTCTTTTAACCGTTAAATATAAAATATATCTGTACAATTTGAAATGGAACTGCACGTAAAAATTTTATTTATAAAAGCTAACAGTTTAAATCTTAAAGCAATCCATTTAGGATTTCTATCAACTGACTTTTTGAATGTTGAAACTCTGTAAAACAACTACATCTTTTTTACAACTCATGTTTGTTTACAAAAATTAATATTCCCTTTATTATTGAAAAATCGTTTATTCGACAAAAGACGAAGGTTTGTCTGAAAATGTAAACATTCCTTGCAGAATTTGTATGCACTGATTTAAAAGAGTCATCGCTGACTTTTGACGTAATAATCGATTAAATCTGACCTTTGTAATCAGCGAAATGCCAGATAACCGCTGGTGATATTTTTAATGCTCCCAGGGCAAAAAAGGCCACATGGCTACAGGAAAAAATACTAACTCTGCGCTCATGTTTACAATTCTGCTGTTAATGAAATTCCTTATTTTGATTACTAATAAAATATGTGTATTAATATTTATTACTTCATGATTTCTGATCAAGTTTGCTCTAAATTAAAGATCCATCATGCTTTCGTTAAAATAAAAATATATATTTTTCGGTGCGCGGGTGTGTGTGAGATAGATAATAAATATAGATAGATAGAGAGAGAGAGAAGGAGGGGGAGGGAGAAAGAGAGAGAGGGTGAGGGAGAGAGAGAGAAAGAGGAAGAGAGTGAGAGGGTGAGAAGGAGAGAGAGAAGGAGGGAGAGAGGGAGAGGGGGAGAGAGAGAGAAAGAGGAAGAGAGTGAGAGGGTGAGAAGGAGTGAGAGAGAAAGAGGAAGAGAGTGAGAGGGTGAGAAGGAGTGAGAGAGAGAGAGGGGGAGAGGGAAGAAAAGAGGGGGAGAGAGAGAGAGAAAGAGGAAGAGAGTGAGAAGGAGTGAGAGAGAGGGGGAGAGGGAAGAAAAGAGGGGGAGAGAAAGAAAGAAAGAGAGAGAGAGAGAGAGAGAGAGCGAGAGAGAGAAGGAGGGGGAGGAAGAGAGAGAGGGTGAGGGAGAGAGAAAGAGGAAGTGAGTGAGAGGGTGAGAAGGAGTGAGAGAGAGGGGGGAGAGTGAAGAAAAGAGGGGGAGAGAGAAAGAAAGAAAGAAAGAGAGAGAGAGAGAGAGTGAGAGAGAGAGAGGAGAGAGAGAGGAGAGAGAGAGAGGAGAGAGAGAGAGAAGAGAGAGAGAGAGAGAGCACACGAGAAATATTAGAAAAACAAATAATGTGACTTCAGTTTATAGGTTGGCTAAAACAGGGATACTGTAGGGAGAAAAAACGCAAATAAATACACATATAAAAATATAAATATGTAAATTTTTGTATATGTATTACATATCTATGTGCATGTGCCATATGTATGATGGAAAGGCACACACTCAAACACACAACATATTTATGTGGAATGTATTTTTGATATTGAACTATTGTTATCTGTATCATTAGGTGGACAAACAATCAACCTGATTGACCTTCATTGCTAGCTACCTTTAAAAAATCAAGGGCATAGAAAAACGGGTTCTTCCCCTTAGACATGTCAGATCGCTTAAAAGAGTTTTAAAAATATTAAATAAAATAACCCAAAAAAATCTTTTTTCGTTTTGTTTAATTGTAAAGATTGTCCGCAATGAAATAACGATTAGTGAATTAGGTCAGTGCGAAGCCATTTAATTTTACAACTGTTTTTGATTTCTATTATAAAAAAAACCTCTAACTTGATCGTCAAAATTGTTTCCAGGGAGGAAATCCATCCTGTTAAAAATAAAACATAAATATTTCAAATTCTATCGAAAAACAATTGGAATGATATAATATTGTTACAGTTTTTATTT